AGAAACATTTGCTCACATCACAAAACTCAAGTCAATAAGAATTATACTAACACTTGTAGTACACTTTAGTTGGCATTTATACTAACTTGATGTTAAAAATGCTTTCTTAAATGAAGATTTTGAAGAAGTATATGTGAGTCCTACTTCAAGTGTAAATACTAGTGGTAGAGTATGTTGATTAAAAAATTTGATTTTTGATTTGAAACAATCTCCTAGAGCATGGTTTTATACACTTCGTCAAGTTATGACTCATTTTGGTTATCAACAAGGAAATGTTGATCGTACTTTTTTTGTCAAAAAAACTAATAATTACTACTTCATTTTAATTGTTTATTTGGATGACATGGTTTTCACAAGTGATAATAACATAAAATAAAAATGTTTAAGTAAAATATAGCAAAAGAATTTGAGATCAAAGATTTGGGAAAGCTAAAATATTTGTAAAATATTGAAGTTCCTAGATCTAGAAAGGGAGACATATTTATATCAAAGAAAATATATTATGGACTTACTAATCAAGGCAAGAAGAAAAGTTTTAAAACCATCTAATACTAAAACAAAACCTACATCTCATTAATGGGGAAGAACTCTCAAACAAATCAAGATGTATTTTATGAACAAATTTTTGGAAAGCTTTTGTACCTATCACTAACTAGACCTGATTTATCTTTTATTGTAAATCTAGTGACTATCATTAACTAGTCTGTATGCTCTTGTACCACTCACATGTAGGCTGTCCATTGGATTCTACAATACCCAAGTAAAGGTCTGATTTTTAAGATTTCAAATCACTTACACATTGAAAGTTTTGCTGACATAGATTGGGCTGAATCTTATGATGATTGTAAGTTGACTACAAGCCACTATGTTTTCTTGGGAGGAAATCTTGTCATGTGGCAAAGCAAAAAATAAACAATTGTGGCACAATCGAGTGTTGAAGTTGAATATCATGTGATGGCACACAAACTAACCGAGTTATTGTGGTTGAAAATTTTTATGGTAAGATCTTTGGTTACATGCTAAACTACCACTCAAATTATTTTGTGATAACAAAGCTGCAATCAACATTGCCAATAAACATGCACAACATGATAGGACCAAACATATCAAAATCAACTAACATTTTGTTCAAGACAAGATTAATTTGAAAAAATTATTCCTCGTCTAAACATGATGAGAGGATCAATTGGCCGATGTCTTTACCAAAGGATTATCATCAAGATCCTTTGAATCTAACATGTGTAAGTTTAATGTAGTCGATATCTACACTCAACTTGAGAGAGTGTTGAGAGGGTATATATCAAATAATACCTTCTCATAAAATAATCTTGTAATTTCGTGGCTGTAAAATCCCGACCTTTCCCAAATCGATCCAACAAGGCGCTGCTCGGAAGTAGGTCACGGCTGTGGCCACCTCATCTCGTCCCTCTCTCCCTCTCTCTCTCGTCACGTTTGCCCTCCACCTAAATGGGGGGACCTCGTCTCACTGTCCTCCAGCAAGCGAGGGTCACTCATCTCGTCGGATAGTGGAAGCTCGCCCATCCTGCTGCTCACGCCTACTCTCTCTACCCGATCAACCTCCATCTTGATTTCTTCATCAGGGATCCCCAGGAGGTTCAAGGCTGGTTGAGAATGCACCCGTTGCCCCCCCCTGTGAAGGAAAATAACGGGACAGAACCTTGAAACACCCTCCCCCTCCCTCCCTCTCTCTCTCTCTCTCTCTCTCTCCCCTCTTTACTTTTGGGTTCACGGGAGCGAACCGTCAGCTTCACGAAGACTACGGGGTCGACTGTTCTAGTGGAGGGGCAGTGATTCGCGAAGAAGGCGGCGCTACAGCTTACATTATGTAAACTGAGGTCTTCGCCGTGGCTGCGCCGGCGGTGGCAGCCGCGTCCATAGTCCGCATGACACGCAAGATTTACGTGGAAATCTCAACGTCAAGGCAAAAGATGGACGCAGGAGAATCATGGCATCTCATTCAGGAGATCATGACCCCAAAATCACTCTAGATCTCACTCCTCGGCGTGGAAATCTTGTCATCCCTTCAGCAAGTGGGATCGGGCTCTGTATTTCTCGCACCCACGGTGGCTCCATGCGCCACCATGGGTTCAAGCCACATGCACATCAAAGACTTGCCGCCGCCGGACAATTCACACTGTCTTCTTTTGTCCACAATTGAAAGAAAAGAGCCGATCTTCTGAGTCATGAGGAAAATCAACGCACTCAGCTGTTCATTCTGTCAATAGGCTACCCTACCCTGAGTCCTGACTTTATCTCTCTCTCTCTCTCTCTCTCCCCTAAGGAGCCATCAACCTGATCGGCGAATTCCCTGGGGGGGGGGAGAGAGAGAGTTTGAGCTTGTACGAGCCCATGCTTGGGGATGGGGGAGCAGCGTTACTCCCCCGTCGGCGTTGGCAAGGGTTCGTGGCATTGACGGCACCCACTGTCATCTGACTTCTCTGCCGCCGCTCGGGCCGTCCCTGGCATCTTGGGGGTTTAGAGATGCCGCAGCGGTCTCCTTCTCCGAAACATCCCACCCTAACGATCCCGAGGCTACATTTATCGCGAGGCTACACAAACAAACGCTCCTTGTCTGCGCCGGGGAGGCCAAAGATCAGGGGAACTACCACTGTGCGTCTCGTCCGGAAAGGGTACCCCACCGACGACCGCAGCTTGAGCTGCCCCCCGTCTGCCATCGACCACAGGATGGGAATGGAGGGGGACTACCGCTGCTGGGAATTAAATGACATCGGCTTCGGCTCCCCTCCTGTCCTGCGGACGTAGAAGATCAACAACGACGAGAGACAGACGCGAACGGCAACGTTGTCATTAGTCAGTCCTTGGGGAATCATCCACCGAGCCGATCATATTTGCCTCTCCGTTGTCCATCGTCGCCTGCGTCCGTATTCTCGTCTGCATGCATACATCAAATGGGAGGGAAGGGGGACAGGAGTTCTTTTCTCTCCTGCTCTGCACGCAGCTGGGTGGGGGGTCGGCCGAGGGACTCTGGTCGCGAAGAGCGCTCCCCAGACGGGACAAACGCGCACGGTTTTCTCCTGATTAAAGATTTGCTTGCTCTGCTCTGCTAATAATGACGAGCTAATGACCCGCAAGGGGGCGGCACTCTCTGCCCCCACCCGTCGTCGTCGCACGCGGTCCACGCGCCGTGTTGACGGCACTCACTGTCGTGACGAGACCCTGGAAGGAAGGAACAAAAGAACGAGGGAAGGAAGAAAGCCCTGGTGGGTGGAGGAGGGGGCAGGGGCCCTCGCAGAGTGAACTCCTAGTGAGGGCAGGGCCCCACGGCGACGAATGAGGCCTGTTTTTTTGGGGTGTGGGGCCCACTCGGCTGCACCGTAACACGGCACCCGGGGCGTCGGCTCAAGGGGCCCGCCGCATTAAATCGTCGACCCAGACGCTCGCGCCACTCCGGAGCAGACGTTCGTTCAATGGAAGGGGGCGCCCGATCTACAATTCCGTCGCGCGGGTGGCCGTGGGAGTCCCACGCACCGTGCTAGGTCAGCCGAGTTCCGGGGCCGGTGACCCGACCCAGCAACGCAGAATCCTGGGCAGTGAAAATCGACCGTCCCGCCGCCGCCGCCCTACGCAGCATCGAATATCACCGAGCCGCGATCGGCTATCATATATGTATATGGGCGGACAGATTCTTAATTAATTAATTGGGCGAGCAGCTGATGGCCGCGTTCATCTATCTGTCTGGGGAGCGCCTCTCACCCCACCCCTCCCTGATTCGTTACGAGCCATTCGCGTCCTTCTCAGGCGAGAGCCCGTCAATCAGCGGTCCCTTTCATGCAGACGCAGCGCCCGCGCCCCCCCCACACCCCCCCCCCCCCCCCCCCTCTGACTTAGACGCGTCTCCACCTACCGGCGACAGAGAACGATTGATTCCCTCTGTTGTTCCTCCGTCGTCCGTCCGTCTCATTTCCTCTTCTCGACGCGTGAAGAAAATAGACGAGGAATCAGCGCAGAACACACAACAGATTCGGGGAAGAGGAAGAGAAAATCGTCGCATCACGGCGTCGAAGGCGGGGGGGGGGGGGAGGGTGGCGGTGTTCTTCCACACTGATTTGAATTCCCCGTAAACGTTTCCACGGAGCTTTGAGCGAATTAACCGATGAGTACGGATACGATATGAATATGAATATGTTGCACAAGCACGGAGCGGATCCCCCGAGCCGTGGAGCTTTCTCCAGATCGACGGCCGCCTCCCCTCCTCACCGGTGGGACACGGGCAGGAGGGCCACCACCCAACCCCCCATCTGACGTCCCTCCACCCCGCAACCCCGGGCGCGATCCCGACACCTCGACTAGTTAATTTTTCGGAAAACAGGGCCGAAAATATCCCCACAGAAAAACGCCATCGTCCCGTCATCCCATTTCATATTAAATTGGGAGAACAGAGGAGCATTTCCGAAGCCTCCCCTCTCTTTCCCCTTCCCTCTTCCCCCTGTCGCGCAGTTGACGTGAGTGGGAGAGGAAAGTCGCGGCTTTTCTCCGACGGGCCTTACTCTTTCTTTGGCCGGGTGAGTAGCAACGGTTTTTAGCAAACGACGTATTAGTGCGTAAAAGAGCGTCTTTTACGACTGCTGTGAAAGCGACTCCCCCGCTGACTAAGTGGCCGAGCTCGGCGATTTTACCGTGAGGCTGGGTGGGGAAGGGGCGGCGGGGGCAGAGGAGGGAGTGGAGGATTCGCGATTCCACATTCGCCCCCCGGAGACGAACGCACGGTACACTCGCAGCAGCCCTTTATATACCGGGGAGCACCAGATTGCCCTTCCTCTCCGTTCCAGAAGGGGGGGGGCAAGGAGACCGACCCGACCCATCTGCGACCCTCCCCTCCCCCACTGCGCAGAAGCGGAGGAGAGGGGAGGCGCGTTCCATGAAGCGAGGCAGAGGGAGAGGGGAATTCCAGACGTAGGGAGGGAAGACGGAGGAGAGGGCCTGCCGCGAAGCTGCGCTAGTGGCGGCCGGAGCCGAAGATGATGGTGGGGGGTTCCCATGGGAGGAGATTGTTCTCTGCCGGGCTGAGATCGGCGAACAAGCTCTCCCTCCTCGTGGGCCTCGGCGAATCCTTCTCTTCCTCGCCCGGAGGGGAGGGGCACTCGCGGCCGCCCGGCGCCTGGTCCCCTAGGAACTTCGACTTCGACAGGGCTGTCGGCCTGGGGATCGTCGCCGCCATGAACGACGGAGAGCCGCCCAGAGCAGCCCCGGTTACAAAATCAGCGCCACCGCCGACGCGGTCGGTCCCGATCCCCATCGTCTTCGCCACCACCGGCGGGCAGAGGGGGAACGAGTGGAGGGACGAGGAGGAGACGGAGCTCTCCGAGGGCTACACCTGCGTGATCTCCGACGTCGGGCCCCCGGCCGTGCAGAAGATGGTTTGCTCCGACGACAGCGTCGGCGATGGCTGGGAGCCCTCCTCTGCGGGGCTATTCGAGACGCCCCCCCCGCCTGCCTGGCCTTCTCTTCTTCCACCACCGGAGGACTTTCTCAATCGATGCTTCCGCTGCGGGAAGAAGCTCCACGGACTGGATATCTTCATGTACAGGTAGAACTCGGCTCCCTCTCGAGATTATCTACTTCATCCTGTTGATATCTCGCAGAGCCAGCAATCCATAAAATTTCTGCCCTCGGATTTTGCGGCCAATTTCACGATCCTGCTGGTTTCTTTTTTCGCCTTCTGTTGGGTTATCCTCACGGTGAATTTTGTGGGGGTAGGAATTGCATATTTTTGCTTTGAGTTGCTATCTCCCGGGACGGGTGAGCTTTGTATCTCCTTCATGCCGTAGCCACGCACCATCCTTGCATGATCCTGCCTTCTTGGGTGCACGTCATTCCAATCTCCCGCACGGCGCGGGGCCGCGGATTTGGCTACTGCAGTTGGGGGGGCGGAGGAATTCGCTCCGAGTATAGATCTACTGTCACTTCTGGATTCTCCGACGACCACCAGCACACGGATGGACAGTGGGGGGACGGCCATCATTTCAAAGCTCGTCGTCTGTTCCTTCCTCGTCTGGGCCTGCCCCAGGGGAGGGGAGGGCATCATCAGTCGATCGATCTCCCCTGCTCGTGCTGACGGGTGAGCGTCTGTTTGCAGGGGTGAGAAGGCCTTCTGCAGCGCGGAGTGCAGATGCCAGCAGATGGTGAGCGAGGAGCAGAGGGAGAAGAAGATGCCTTTCGACTGCTCCATGTCCCCCTGCTCCGCCACGGCTCCGCTCTTCTTCCCCGCTGGCGTTGCCGCGGCTTAGACCAACCCCTTTCGTCCTCCTAATGGAGATTGAGGTACTACACAGGGGCGCTATGGCGATCACTGCGAGTGAATAAGAAGAGGCAAACGAACGTCTTTTGTTGGGAGAGAGAGAGAGAGAGGGAGTAGTGGCGTCCTCGTGTTGCTAGGGGGACGACCCGGCCTCTCTCCGTATGTAATTAATCAATAGACAGAAGATGACTTGCAGTCAAAAGTGTCGTGGCCCGTCGTGCTTGCCGAGTTTCTAGTTGGCTTGTAGCTTGCCCTGTTGACTCACTCAGGCAGAACAAATGACTCGTGAGTGTGAGTTTGGTTGTTTTAGGCGAACGAGCGATCGATCCCTCCACCAACCCAGCCCAACAACCCTCTCGCCCTCACCCTTCGCCGCCGACGGGCTGTTCCTCTTCCTCCTCTCGCGATTCCGAGGCCCCTCCGCGACCGTTCGAGAGGCCGACGACGACATCGACCATTCCGACAAGCATGCCCATGCCTCATTCTCTCGCGCGAGATTATTATTTCTTGTCGTATCCCTATTTCTTTTATCATTATTATTTATTATCGTCGCTTGTCAAATTATTTAGTATTTAATATTTTATCCATTACTCTCATTCTGACCGTGGGTCTACGCGTCCCCACACACCTCGCGCGAGAACTGTCTGGTCTCCTGTGGGCCTTACTGAAGTCGTAGGAACATTCCTATCGGGGCCCATTTAGAAGATGGGCCGCAGACACACTCGGCACCCACATCGGGGTCCGGACCCGTTGCGCTTACCGGATCCACCTAGAACCGTTTTGGGGGATCCGGACGCCTTGCTTACTGGGCAAGCAGGTTTCTCTCCGCCCTCTTCCTCGAACGAAAGACGAGTGTTCCCAGCTGCTCTCTCATTCACCCTCCCCCTCCTCTTCCTCCCGCCCGACGCGTTTGGTCGCCGCTGCTGCGATGGATCCGCTGCACGACATGAACCTGGACGCCCCCCACTCCATGGGGACGACCATCATTGGAGTCTCCTACGACGGCGGCGTGGTTCTCGGGGCCGACTCCAGGACCAGCACGGGTGACGGCTCTTCTTCCCCGCTCTATCCCCTCCGACTCCTCTTCCCCACTTCTGGACTTTTTCTGACAGTTTTTCATCCCGCACTTTTTTTTGTGTGTGAAATTCTCATCCATCTCCTCTTTTTTTTCTCCGCAAGTTTCTCATGTTGGTTTAGGGTTATTTCTGCCTTGCCTCCTCCAGGTATGTACGTCGCAAACCGGGCGTCAGACAAGATCACTCAGCTAACGGAAAATGTATATGTCTGCCGTTCCGGATCGGTAATCTCTCGTTTAATCATCTATCCTTTTGCGATCGAACGTTGCTCGATTCATCTTCTCTCAGATTATGCACGCATTTCCGCTATGTTCATTTACATTTTAGCGCCATTCCTTTAATTTTATTTTCGTATCTTCTACTGTCAGCCGACTGGGGGCATGTATTTCTCGTCAGGGAATTTATTCGAAGAATTCATTCGTATAATGTTTTAACGTTGATAACTCATTGGATGATTCCCTCAATCTGCATTTTTTTTCTTTACGAAGGTCTCAGAATTTTCGACCATGTCTATAAATATTCCCTGTAAACCTGTTTTCAGCATAAGATCATCAATCGCCACTGATGTTTTCATCGGCTTTCTTCAATATTTGCAAATATCATCAGCTTGAGGATTCTCCTTTATGTCTAGACCTACACTCGAGACATGAAAACCATCTCTACAGGATGTGCTTACAGTTAGACGTTCCCCTTAGTCATTTACTCCATTTACAGATAAATTTGGTGGTACGGAAATACCTGAATTATGTGAGGAGAAGTATGCCCCGATAAAAGCTCAGTTTGATCTTGCCCATGTGATCTGAATCATCCTATTAGTATATGCCACGGATGTTGTTTCGGTACCTGATTGGGCATTTTTTAGAGAACTTTCCAAGTTTGACATTTTCGAAGTATTTTTTTCTCTGTCAGTTCCTGTGAGAGATCCTCAGACTTCTGTGTGAGTCTTGCGCACTTGTATGTGAGGTGCCATTCGCATTTTTAGATTTAAAACCTCGGATGTATTCTTTTCATCCTCTCTGATCTTTAGTGTCCTAGTTCTTGGTGGAACAGGATATATATGTTCTTGCTGTAAATATGGACAGATAACAACAGGGAAAAATTAAGCGGACATACTGTGAGTGTCAAAAGCCCATGAAGAACCTCCACACACAGTATAAGAGCTGAACAAAAAATAATGCGACTTTTGTGAGGAACCTCCATCCAGATTATAATTAGGATTGTATGTGAAATGGTCGTGTAGTTTTTTCATCACTAGAGGAACATATTGTCTTCCTTAATATGACATGAAGATGTTATAACTGTCGGCAGTATTGGTAAACTTATCATTCCTAAGGATTAATATGTTAGTTTCTCATTTATGTGCTGCTACACCCAGAAGTTTTCTGTTGCTCCTACACCAATGTCTTTCTTTTAGTTTTTTTCGCTTCTAGAAACTGATATTCTTTTCCATTTATGTGCTAATTAGGTCTATTTTGTACAATTTTTCTCTTTCAGGCTGCCGATACCCAGGTTGTCTCTGATTATGTGCGTTACTTTCTTCACCAGCATACGTGAGTTGACTCAGCTAATTTTCTTTCTGACGATGTTTGCATTATTTTGTATTGTTTGTACTTGAATACCAAAAATTTTCAAATCCGCCTCAAAAAATAATAATCGAATACCCTGAGCTGGTCTTTGATTTTCTGTGGCTGTTGGTGTTTTACTCCTGTCCCATTTATCAGTGATACCTTGTTATCACTTTTGACACAATCCCTGACTGTTTTGTTGGTTTTAATAGACCTGTATTAGATTTGATAAGATAACTTATTATGCTTTTATGCAGTTTTAGGATAAATGAGTTTTTGTCCTAGTACTTTCTGGAGAAAATAACATATCTGGAAGAAAAGGCTCATATTTCGTTCGCTCTTCCTTTCTACTTGTCATTGTTCTAAGAAGTATTTCTGGATCTGTTATCATGAGTAGCGACTCATTTATGTTATTTCTCGTTCTTCTAGTTTTTCTTTCTCCACACTTTCTGATTTTAACATATTCATTTTTTTTATCTGAAACGTTAGACGATTAGTAATCATTGTTTCCGCAATCAATGACCTAAAGCATATCTTATTCCGAGCTACTGTCTCATACATTTGTTCGGCTTACTTTCTGGCCAAATAATACTTTGGCGCTATAGAATAATCATGTTTGAGCTTCTTGTTTTAGAATACAGCTAGGCCAACCGTCTACGGTAAAAGTAGCTGCTAATCTTATCAGGATGCTGTCATATCAGAACAAGGTATGTGCTATTTCTTCCCCATGACTCATGAGGTAATTAATGAACATGATATTTAGGAATCCAAATTTTTCTTAGAGACTAAAAAGAATCATTAATTTCATGTTTATGATGTAACCTCTTCTGAATTGGAAATAATTGCTGCCTCTACATAGTTCATCATTGGCCCATTATCAATCCAAGCTTTATGACAGAAATGATCTCACTTGTCCACTAATTTCCACCAGAATAGATATTATTTTTAAAGATGAGCTAATGGAAAACGTCCAACTGACCAACTTTTTGCAAATTGTATTTGTCGATTTATTTTTAAGAGATATGCTGCAGGTATTCTTAGCCTGTTGCGATAAGTAGCTCATTTTTTTTATTTCCTAGAAATTTATTGGTATCGGAATGTAGTCAGTAATTAGTTGATGGAGATATTCTTACTTTTCGAGTATTAATGTACTTTATCATGTTAAGGGGCTTTCTATCCAAATATTTTTTATTTCTTGAAGTTAAACTGATGAATCTATTATATTTTTCAGAATATGCTACAAGCTGGTTTGATTGTTGGGGGATGGGATAAGTATGACGGGGGACAAATATATTCTGTTCCTCTCGGTGGAACGATTTTGAAGCAGCCATTTGCTATTGGAGGTATGTAATTCTTAGGATCTAGATAGATTTTATTAAAAAAAAATGTGATCTATTTCTAATTTCAGTTTCAGCAAAAAAAAATTGTCCATCCTATGAAAGCTAGTGCAGTGGGTATAATTGCCCCTAGTTTCCATGTTTGTAAAATGGTACACATTTGTATAAGGAAACGGCAGGGGTCTTTCTGACTTTCAGACTTGCGAGTTTACTGAATAACTTCTGCATGATTACCATTGATACTCAGGGATACAGACTTAGAGAAGATTGTGGACAGATGAGTGATCAAGAATCTTACCTGCCTTCATGTTACATTCCCAGTAAAATCATTGTTTTCCATCTGTTTGGCAGTAAGTGTGTTTTTCCCACCGAACATTATCAGGTCCTGAATAGTCACTTGGAAGGGTTGATTGGAGAATCAGCTTGAATTGTCATCGTGGGATTCTCCATGTGATGATTTTTTTTTCTCAGTGAAATGGATGAACTGAGTGTAACGTCGTACTGTGGCCTCTTACTTCTGTTGACATGTATGGTCGTAGAAGGGTTGAAAGGATGTTGTTCTACAATAAACTGTTTCGCAGAGGCTTGGTTTCTCTTTGTTAGAAATGGACACCTTACATAAAAACGTCTTGCATGTTTTAAACTATCGTACCTTTGAGCCATTTCTTAAGGAGAGTTATCACTATGAATTTATGAATGTTATGCTACTCTCTTCGTACAGGATCTGGTTCCAGTTATTTGTATGGTTTTATGGACCAGGCATGGAAGGAAGGAATGAGCAAAGATGAAGCCGAGGTACGTAAAATCTGATGAAGCACTGATATCTTATGAAATAATATTTTATACAATTTATTCACTTTAACTACATATCCGGGTTTTTTTTTACTGTGGCATATCTAGAGGCAGAACCATGTTCTCTTATGTCACAATCACAGGAATCTAGACTTGGATAGTTTTGCTTTTCAGTAAAATGTAACACATCTGAGTCATACGAGGTCAAGGTTTATTGACGGTTTGATAGTATCTCTGAACCTTCAAGACAGCCTGAAACGAGGGAAAACTTTACACACTGAGCAATCGGATACTGCTGTCGCTGGTACCGGACGCCGTGTTGTTTATTGACATGGTGACTACCTAGTTTTTTTTTAAAAGACAAGTCTTTGGTTCTTGGGCACATCTTGAACTAGTGGTTAACTTTCGAATATGCATATAAAATTTGATTCGCGTTTTAGGCCTACAAAACAAACTGCAACCCCCCTCCCCAGCATTTTTTTAAACGTTTCCTCTATACTGCAGTTGTTTGTGTGAACCTAATTAAATTAGATTTATGTTAGAATTTTTTTCACGAGAAGACGTCTTCTTGTCGCCAACCAATAGTTTCAGCTTCCTTTTCCTTGGTTGAGGGTACACGATACTTGCACGCCATTGTCCCGTAATTGGTGTCATAGGCCGTTGACGTGCGGCTGCGCTCACCACGCTTTGATCTCAATATTTATATGCTATTATTTTTCGCAGTTTCTGGGTGACGAGTGTTCTGTTCATAAACCTGCCTATTTTCGGTTTCTTCAGTAACCAGACAAGCGTAGCTTCACTTTGTGCTGTAGAAATTGGTTGTGAAGGCTGCATCTCTGGCCATGGCTCGAGACGGTGCGAGTGGAGGAGTCATCCGCACTGTTATTGTGAGTATTTTTCTTACCCTCTGTCCCTTAAAAAGAGACGCATCTGCTCGTGTTATCCTTGGATCGATCTTTGGCGTAATTGTGGTCGAGAAATGGCGGCACTGTGACACCATAACCACCCTCCCAGCTGATCCTTTGGCCGTTTCCTGTCTTTAGATTGGCCCCCGTAGCTGATCCCCAGGGGCCTCTTAACGTAATCTGAATTAATCTCTTCACCTACGCATTGCTATTGAGGTGCATGATCAATGAATATGGCATCTAGTTCAGTGCGCCGGATTGTCATCATTCTACCACCCGCAGGTGCCACATGGTGATGCCCTTCTCTCTCTTTTTTTTTTTCTTTCTTTTTTGCAGATCAACGCTGATGGAGTGACGAGGAACTTCTACCCAGGGGACACGCACCCCCTGTGGCACGATGAGCTCGAGGCCCAGAACTCCCTGCTGGACGTGCTGTCGAGTGGCGGCGCGGCCTGCCCCGAGCCGATGAGCACTTGAGGGGCCAGAGTTTTGCTGGTCTGTCTTGGTTTTAGTCTCTCGACGATAACCTGCAGAGGGGAGGGGAGACGGAGACGCTAATGGCCGTAGCCGCCACCGGCAACCCCGCCCTCCCTTCTGCTGCTTGCTCTCTGGTTTGTGCCCGTTGGAATCTGTACGATCAAAAGAACAGCGACCGTTGAACGTTATTCCCTCCATTTCGACCCTTCTGCATGCGGGTGAGGATGTTTTGGTGCCACGGCAGGGCTTATTATGCGGATAGATGGCCTTGTGTGACTAGGTCTCGTGCCCCCACGCGGTGCGGCTCGCTCATTTTCGTCGTCACCGCCGCAGTCTCAGCCTCAGAAGATCAAACTATTTCACCTCCTCCGAACAGAACTGGAGGGTCTGCCAAAAAATGAGGCTTTGCTAAGAGAGGGGGGGGGGGGGATCTTATCCGATTCCGCACACCCCGCGCTCTCATCTCCCTTCAACTATTCCGGCATCAACGATACCAGAGACGGAGAGGAGAAGCCGCCGCCCCCACCGCGACCTGCGAATTCTTCGCCAAGTGGATCGGGTAGAGGCTCGCCCACCCATCGTCTGTGCGGACCCGAGCCAGGGACGGACAGATCAGTCCGCGTTGTCGTAGGATACGGCAGCAGGTTTGCTGGAGTTGTTGCGCTCGCCCGGGACGTCGGAGTTGTTGTACGCCTGGTATGGAAAGACGACGTCCACTTTCGCGCCGAGGTCGCTGCCGTCCAGGCTCATCTGCTCTACTTCCTGCGGCGACAGTATCTTGATGCACCGGACGCAGTTGACGAACTCCCTGCAGGCAGATTGATATATTGCGTAGCTTCAGCAGAGTCAGAGGCAAAGGGTAGGACCCACTCTCTCTCTCTCTCTCTCTCTGGTCAGTCAACTCACTCCCAGGGGTCGTCGCCGACGAGGAGAACATCGTTTTCGTGATCCACGTACACCAGCTTCCAGCCCATCCGCTGCCGGTACTCGAGCTGCCCCTCGATGCTGAACATCCGGGCGAGATCCCGCTTCAGTTTGTCGTAGCCCGAGTAGCGAGCCACGTCGATCGACCTGCCGACGGCCCCGCGCTTGTAAACCTGCGGGTCGGGTTTCAGGGAGCAGTCGGGTTTGTGTTGTAGCGGGCCGTCGAGATGAAAAAAAGAGAGAGAAGGGCAACGGGAATGATACTGAACCTTTGTGTACGTCCTCCTCCTCTGAAAAGGGGGAGGTGTGGTCCATGACGAAGGTCGAGTCAACAAGCTGCCGTCGCTGATGGTGGAGTCGACTGCACTGAACGCCATGTCTGAGACGGCCCCGAAGGACTGGGCGAACATCGCAGACACCGCTTCTTGCTGGTGGGCATCGTAATCGTGGGTCATGTCGGCTGAAGCGAGATGAGGACGGCTCCTGTGCTCCTTCCCCGGGCTTGCGTCGGCCTTTGCTCCTGACAGAGGATCGCTCGGTGTCGGCGTTCCGAGGATATTGTCCATGGCGACGCCGAAGATGACTCTATTTCCTCCATCTGGCGGGCCTGCGCTCTCATCGACGGCCGCGTCCCGGTACACGGCCGAGCGTTGTCCGCTGAAAGAAAATGGGTAGGTGTGTGTTGCATCTGCTGGGGACAGGCTCGCAGAAGTTCCCGGAGAGGATGAGCTCGGCAAGTCCATACGGGCCGTGGTGTACGCGTAAGATGATGCTTGAGGGGCGATGGTGCCCACGCGAGCCTGTGACTGGGTCTTGGGAATAACAGGGATCGAAGGTTTTACTTCGGGCTTCTGCTGATTCACAGTCCGGCCCGCAGCGGTAGCCAAATCCTCAAAAGAACCGGGGACCTCCGCTGCCATGACCGCGTGGCGGCATGTTTCGACCGAGGAGGCTGTTTGAGCGAGCACGGGGAAACTATTTGTCGAGTTTGGTGAACCAAAGAAGAAGGGGGCGGTGTCTTCTTGGGTGAGCACCGGAGGACTTCCACCTGAGGTCAACCGACAACCACCAGTTCCTGGGAGAGTATTTGCCGATGAATGTTGAGCGGCGACGCTCCTCGGCAGCTCGGTCGGATATGGAAAAACCCTTTGTCGAGGATGCTGGGTAAGCGATTGGGTGCCTGGCATAGGCGGTGTTTCTTCGATAACCATCGTCTGCTGCTCAAGAACTTGCTGGGGTGGTTGAGGTGCAGGTTGTTGCTCCAAGGGAGATTGCTGCTGAGAAAGTCTCTGAGGCTGCTGCAGCTGAGCTTGCCAATCCTGAAACTGTTGGAGCGGCAGCTGCTCCTGAGTCTGGTGCAGTGTGAAGCCTCCACCAGAGCGTTGAGCCTGAGGGGTCAGGAATTGAGGCTGTTGCTGCTGGAGGATCTGACTCCGAGCAAAGACCGGATTCTGCGATAGTTGACTCTCGCTCAGATTCGAAGGATATGCTTGACCGCAGTACAAATGGGGCCTCTTCTGGGGGCCAATGTCTTGGGGCTGTCGTTGGCCTGTAGGAACTTGCAGCCTTGAGAGCTGATCAAACCTTTCGGTTTCTTCGTGGGTTCTGGAAGCATCGATCCGCTCACAGTTCTGCAGGGAACTCCGTTTTCTGGGGTCAGCGAGCGAAAGGTTTTGCATGTTCAGCCTCTGGGATGCGTAGGGCGCGGTCGAAACCACGGCATTAGGCGAGCCAGAGTCATCGAAGCAGATCTCGTAGCCGAGCCAGGGCGCCGCTCTCTTCAGGAGGTTCTCCATCTCCGTCGGGTCGCCGCCGTCGTCAGCTGCAGAACAGAGTATGGGGAATTTGTGTCAGCTCTGGGAGGAGGAGCCAGGGAACTGGAGAGAGTGCGATCAAGAATTTCCCGGTACCGAGCAGTCCAGGGCGTCTCAGTTGCCTAGATCCGGGAAAAGGGAGGGAAGGGCATATGACGAATGGCGCTTGAACCAGCTCGATCTCCCATACTGACACCCTGTCTCGCCTTTCCCCGGGTGCAGACTCGTCCCATTCGACCTGTTTGGGGAAAGAAAACACATTATGGAATTCGTGATTGAGCTGAACCCCCAATCCAGTTCGAGTGCAGACAGAACGCGACTGGGGAGTCGTATAAACAAACGGGCGGCCATCACCTGAAGGTTCCGCCACTTGGAGTTCCTCCACCTAACAGGATCGAGATCGCCTATGCCCGTGATAGTACCCGTGTGCCTGCGGCGGACAGACGAGAGAGAAGGATTATGTTGCTGAAGGGCTTTTCTTCTTGTGAAGGAAAGAACACGTTTTTTGTTTTATTCGTTGAATTCAGATCGAAAGGATGGAAGATCGATTACCTTCTCTTACCTGAGTCCTCTGCTTCGAGCATCATTCGAAACCGCGTGCCGAAATCCACGTGGTAGCTGTAGATCGCCGTCTTATATTTTGCCAGAGGGATGACGAATGCTGAGGGGCTGGCTCTGCGAGAGCGGACCTCGATCATCATCCCCGTGAAACTCGGCGACGAAGTGGAAGGCAAGTGCTCTTAAAGAGATGGCGATGAAGGGAAAGTAGCGAAGGAGGAGATGTAAGGACCCCCACCTTGGATTGTAGAAGATGGTAAATCGACTGCGGCTTGCGTAAGCATGCGCCGCCGCCGCCAGAATCCCGATCTGGATGCTCTCACTTGACAGCACCGACGAAGATATGTTGGAAGGCTGCCGGTTGGCCCGTCTGATCCCCAGCAGAAGCTCTTTTTTGCCGCCCCTGCTCGATCCGCGAACAAAAGGTCAGCTCCAAGCAGTCCGCTCCGGGGATCGGAAGGTCAACAAAGAAGGAAGCGAGGGTTCCTGCCTGATGAACAGGACCGAGTCGCCGGCGACGAGCCGCTTCCCGTTGACGAACGTGCTCCAGCCGGTTGTGAGTAAGTGACGTTTTGGTTGACCTGATCAATGATTAATGGAGGTGGGCAAGAAGGAGAATCCAAAACCCATTTTCGACGAACCAGATTCAAATGAATAGAGCGAAAAATGAAAACGACGACAGTAAATAAAGAACCGGGTGGGGTAAGACCAGGAAGGTCCTCGAACCGATAGATTGACGACAGTAAAATGGATATATATATATATATATATATATATATATATATATATATATATCCAGAGAGAGAGAGAGAGAAGGTGGGTGGAGCTAGAGACGATACCTCTGTAGATATGGCGGAAAGTCCATATGTTGCCATGCAAATCTCTTGCTTGCAGCTCCTGTGCGGGAGGCTGCATAGAGTAATCCTACATAAAACGCAGTAAACAAGGACGATTCATTGAATGGTTTCAAGGCTAAAAGAATATTCTAGCAAAAGTCCGTGATACGGTGGACGAGAACTGGCGCTTACGAGAGGCGGGAAGACGTTCTCCGCTGCGCGGCGAGGAACGGAGAATCCTCCATGGGTGCTCGTGTCACTTGCCGTCAAGGTTTTGCAGAAGAACTCCGTTTGGGATCTCTCTGGTTTCAGTCCGAGATCCGACGTCGTCGCCACTCCCTCGTCGTTCTGTCACGAAAAAATAAAATGGAACAGGAGAGAATCTTAGAAAACGTGGCCATCGCTCAGGACAGCTTGCGTGAACAGTTCTCCGGAGCTGGTTAATCATGAAGTTTGTCAAAAACAAACACACTTCGAATGGCCATCTGATGTCGAATTAATCGTACTCACCTTGCTGTTTAGCGGCTGAAGCGTCATCTGGGCGAAAACATCGTCGGTCTCTGGATCTGCCTAGAGAATTCGCGGAAACTAAGCATCACTCCTTCTCGGTGGTAGAGGCACCAAAGAGCGGTCATCGCTTTGATCAACAGGGGAGGGAAAACCAGGGAATGCGGAGGCTTTACATGCAGAGAGACGCTGTGCAGGAGGCAAACCAACTTCCACGGAAGATTTGGGTAGCTGGGAATCTGCGCATCGGAATTCCTTTGCATAGTGGCCGCAATCTGAAGCGCGAAAAATGAGAACTTTAGGATCAGACAAAGTAGTATCTATGATGATTGTATATGGAATAGAGAAGAAGAGTCGGAATTGGGATGTAAGAAAGAAACAGTATGAACAGGATGCATTTGTGGGAGAGGATTGATCGGGTTCAAAACGGAGCCGGAAAGGGAGAGAAGGGAGCCTTCTCCAGCCTGGGCTTTGGTACACCGACCTGCTCGCTGTGGCCCTGGGGGAAGTAGACAACGAGGCTTCCTTCGGGGGGCAAGCTCACCAGCGGCCCGGCGCAGGCGTACCACAGCTCCTCGTTGATCCCGTTCGTCTCCCCACCACCTGATGGACAACACCGGTCAGTACATTGGCGAGGTTGCAATCTACTATGGTGTTATCTAATATGGTGAGTGAGGGAGGATTACCTTCAGAAGAGGTTCCTCCCCTTGAGACCGCCCCGCCGGCGCTCCCCGGAGCTTTCATCATTTCGCTCATCGGTTCGGCACCTCCGGATCAGGTGACGACGGTGGACTGCACCAATTTAAAGCTCCTCCGGCATCTCGGATGTAGACCCTGCGAACTCAGCACCGAGCGACTTGTAGTGCCAGCGGAAGGAACGGGGTGCCGTCCCCTGACCTGCGGTGGCGGCAGATGATGGAAGGAGGATATCTCTCCTCCCAATGAGCCCCCTGTCCCCTCCGCTACAGTGCTACCGTCCCTCTCGCGCTATCATCTCAGGCACTCGTACAGGCCTGTCCTGGCCGTCGCCCTTTCACGGTATGATCTCTCTCTCTCTCTCTCGGTCTCCTGTTCTGTGTGCATATAAACTGTCTCCCTCCGTCTGGTCTCCATTGATGCTCATCTCTCTCTCTACTGTTCATGACGTCATGTTTGGTTTCGGCATGGGAAAGACAGTAATGACCGAGACCCGTCACTTGTCCCACGGTGGACCTCATGCCTCATCTTTCTTGAGTAACTCGGCTGTAATTTTATTTCATCTTTCTTGAGTAAGCCATATGAAACAGACGCGAGCAACAGCGATCCGATCCGTGATTACTCCGAGATGGAGATTTGTACATGTAGCAGGCATAGTTTATCGATTTCCAGCATTCAAGCTGATGACAACTGGCCGAGGGTCTTGGCGGGAGGACCGTGACGAGTCAAAGCCGCCACTGGAAGGGGAGCCATTCTGGGGAATCCGGCGAGCGGATTACAGATTTCTTGCCCTGGCAATGTTTCCTAGGATGACACCCGTCCGGTGAGGCGGCTTCATGCCTTGTGCGCCTTCCGGCGCTCATTGCCGCTGTTCCCACCGGCGGCAGAAGAGAAGCCCACCCAACCAGAGAGGCCGCTGTCGCGGCTGCTGTCTGTCGTGTCACGTTGTATCGTGCTGACAGAACTTTTCTTCGTCTACGTCGGCGGTGTCTTCTCTCTTATTCTCCGACGTGGTATTGCTGTCCTCCCCCGATCAGACTTATTTCATTCCAGTTCTACCCTATTTTATCTCATCCTTTCTCTCTCTCTCTCGCTCTCTTTCTGAACCTGTGGTTGCTGCGTTTCCCTCGGTCGTCGCTCCCCAGGCTGGGCTTTGCTAGAAGGAATCTATGCGTGCCATCAGACAACGACGACGACGACGTAAGCGGCATTAATCAACTCTCCCCACCAGGCGCCCCGCGGGAAGCCGCCGACTTGAAGAGAAGGATGGCTACCCAACGGATATCATAGGGTATATCTCATACACGCCCCCCCTCCTCTCTCTCTCTCTCTCTCTCCCTCTTCCGGAGGGGCCACCGGAGGGAGGGGTGAGATTCCACCTGCTATGTTCTCCTTGGGATAGATAACTACTGGGTAACTACCGCGTCCTCCGCAAGACAGCAACCGAGTAACCACCCCCTCCCCCTCCCCCTTATCCATGCATGTCTGAGCGTGTCGGCAAGGATTCAACGGCAGGGTTAGAGGGGGAGTAGCCGCTCGCCATGCACGTGGGTAGCGGCGGACATCGAGCCCCCACCGTCAGACTGCACAGTTCGGGAGATCAAACTCCTCTGGTTTCAACGCGTCCCCCGTTGTTCCGTGAGAGGCAGCTGATCTACCCACATTACGCAATCTCTCTCTCTCCTCTCCTCTCTCTTTCTCTCTCTATGGCCGGAGCTTGTTCATATATTATTCCCCCGATCCATTTCTTCGCTGATGTCGCCTATTCATATAAGAGAACGATGCTCTCCCTTGACAATACCGGGCGTACACGTGCCAGCCCCCCCTCCTCTCTCTCTCCTTCTCTCTATGGGATGAGCTACCCGTTCGAATCTCATGCAGTGGCTTACGTCCAAAGAAAATGTGAGAAGATCCGCGGAACGTGGGCGCTGGAATAACCTAATGGTTCCGGTGGCATCAACTTCTACCAAGGGCCCGCCCTCGCGGCCCCACTTTTTTGACCTTTGCGACGTGCGGGAATCCCCCTCCAGTGGCGTTGACCTTCCCCCCAGTTACCGTAGACTTTCCCACTACCGCCGCCGCCGCCGCCGCCGCCGCCAATAGTATATTTATGGCGACGAAGGATGGCTCCCCGAAGACGACCGCCAACAACCGTGGCGACTGTCGAACTTCGGAGAGGCGTCGGCCCATTAAATGCTTCGATGGGCCGAGTTTCTTGTGGGCTCTTGGTCGCAAAGGGGTGCTTGGTCCAGCTGCCGTCGAGGGGAGAGACCGTCGAACTTCGGAGAGGTGTCGGCCCATTAAATCCTTCGATGGGTCGAGTTTCTTGTGGGCTCTTGGTCGCAAAGGGCTACTCGGCCCAGCTGCCGTCGAGGGGAGATAAGGGCAGGCGAAGCGTCATCGAACGGCGTAGATTGTGACAACGAACTACATCGAACGGCCCTCGCGTGGCATCGTCTCATTTCTTGACTCGGGGTTTTTCTCTCTCCCTTGTCTTCGTAGGCTCTCTCTTACCTTGCCCCTGTAATCTGCTTGCTCCTCTCCTCTTCGGTCTCTGCTCCTCTCTCCCTCTCTCTAGATAAACTAGGGTTTATCACTCCCTCGGCAGAATGGAGCAGCCCTCGATTGCCCCTGGCGGCGTCCCAAACTCCGGTGCTAATTCCTTCCCGTCTCCGAAGTCGTCGTCCTCCTCCGAGTCCTCTTCGCGGTCGTCGAAGATGGACGGCAACGGCAGGACGGCGACGGCGACGGCGTCGAAGAAGCCGTCCCCGCCGACGCCGGAGGAGCTCGTGGCGCACTACGAGGCGCAGGGGTTGGAGCCGAAGGAGGCTTCTCTGCGCGTCATCAGGGAGCTGCAGACTGTCCTCTATCGAACGGTGGCGTCCGGGAGGGGGAAGAAGGACCGCTTCATGGGCGAAACTGGCCGCAAGCTCGACAACGCCAATGCCCGCCTCGCCCTCGTCGAGATGAAGCTCGACGCCAAGCCGGGGTACCCGGAATCTTTCGCCATCGGCGTCTGCGCGGGGGCGGCGCTTAACGGCGTCGGAGCTGCGGCGCCGCATATTCTCGGCGGACTCCGCAAGATGTGGGAGGCAGTCAGCGGCGCCACCAAGGACCATTCTTCTCCCCCCTAGAGCTTCCCATCGCCATCCCCTTTCTCCTAAGGTTTCTTACCCTTTGTTCATAACATGTATTCTCTGCATGATTTACGCTTTTCGGGGGGAGGGAGAAGGGGGGAGGAGCTTGATGGGGCTGCGAGACTGGTCGAAGGCTAAATCTGGATCTCAAAATTTGGTGGTCGCATCGTGCCGTGTTTGCCCGGGCGGTGTTTCTTTCTCTCAACCCTTGCGTGTGTATGCAGCAGGGAATCACCGAAGACTCTCCCCCTCTCCGCCCCTGAGAAAGCGTGAGGGAGGTCTTGATCCTTGGTCCGCGGGGAACGAAATGCTGCGATTTTCCCACAACGGGCTGATGATGAGCTGCAGAACTAGGAGAGTACGATCCGGGTCCTAACAGTTCCGTCGACACCTCGTCCGGTCGACGGAGACCGAGAAATCGGGGAAGGATAGGTGGATGAGTGCGGTTCAGGCTGCATCGTCCACGGAGAAGGTTCGGTTTCCAGTTCACGAAGAGGATCACGCCGGCCTCGAATTGGGTGGGATGAAGGGAGAGGACGTGCCCTGGTTGACGATGTTTGTGGGCGTCCGCCCTGAACATGTGAGTCTTGAAGGGCCCCGTAATCAGCTCATCCGTGATGAGGCGCGCGCTGACCTGGGAACTGGAACCGAAAACTCTGGTCCCGTGCGCAGATAAACGAAGAAAGGTAATCGTGCGACTGGAAACTGATTAGTTGGGTACAGCATCTGTATGATTTCGTGCTTGTACTGTGAGGCGGTTTTGGGATGATTCTGAAATCTAACAAGGGTATTTCCTATTTCCTGCTAGTCGGAATGGCGATGGGCCGTGACGGCAGGCGCAGGGGCCCGAATCATCCCCTCACGTCTCCTTCCTCCCACGTTGTGCACGCGGCCTCTCTCCCCTCTCGTTCTCGAGTGAGCTCGGGCGCTGCGCATCAGGCATGCTGAGTAGAAGTGGCTCGTGTTGCCGAGTCCTGCGGAGGCGGGTGGCCGTCAACGTGTCCCGGTGCTACTCTAGGGTCTCCCCGCCACCGCCTGCTCCGGCGACGGTCATCAGGGTCTCCAAGAACAACTTGGCCTTCCTGGGCCCCCCAAAGGAAGGCCCTAAGCCAAGGCAGCTCCTTGCGCTGCCCCCGTTTCCCGCAGACGGCTCCAACCCTCTGCCTGGTAGGAAGAACTTCCCCCCGGCGGATGAGCCGGGGCGAGCGGCCGCCAGGGTCACCGCAATAACCTGGGCTAAGCACTACTTCTCAGATGTCCCCCCCGCCGTCATCCAGAGCCATTTCAACAAGGGCCTGGTGAGTCCCATCCGCTATTTCTCAGGCTTGCCCATCTCCCCGTCTTTTTTGCCGATGATCAGCGTCGATATTCGTTCAAACTTGCTCGCGTACCACGCACCCATCAGAGAAATGCGACGATCCTCCCCCAATCTGCAAGATATGAATAGCACTAGCGCCGATTCTCCCTTCGCCTGGTTTCTGGACATCGTGCCTGAACCTCATTCTGGTTGGAGGCTCTGGTTTTCCCTTTCCCCCAAAACCTTGGGAAAAGACAACATCTAATGCTTCCTTACAAAAGAGACCAAGTATTTGCTCCTCCGGCGTTCGTAGCTTTGGGTGTTGACTGCAGATTCTGCGTAGCTCAAGGGTTTGAGATATTCCACAAACTCCGGAGATACAAATTCCACTTGGGTTCTTTTCTTCTCCTATTGCTCTCCCGTCAGGATGTTAAATTGAAAAAAAACAAAACAACAACGGGGCAGATGATGTAGCGATATGGGAACCATGCTTGTCTGAATATTGTGGTTATTGCTTCATGGTCTGCGTAAACACATACACCCACTGAATGCCGATGTGCGCGTATTGGCATCGGTTGTGAATTGGATTAAAACCAAAAACCGGGACTTTTCTTAACTGATTAGGGGCGTAATGATAGCAATTTATGCGCGGTATTGGGCATCCCACGCTGAGTATTCCTTGCTTTACATAGTTTGAGCTCACGTGGGTTCTCTCTTCCACTGTGGATTAGGTCCTGGCGGCGCGTCCTGATCATGAAGCAGCGTCCCTTGGGAAGCAAAGGTCGATTCCGAAGACGAGGGAGGTAATATCAGTTAGTTACTCTATGGTTTTGGTCGCTCATTTTACTGGCGGTGCACCGCAGACAATATTGCTCGATTTTAAGCATACCGATGTAGTCCACAGTTGGCTGGATAATCTTGCTCGTTTCTCCCTCGTGATATTTTCCCTAATATGATGTGTTTGTTATATGCCCCGGTGGACATCTTTTAAAAACACTTGGAAGAAACCTACTACTGATATTGATCTTGCATTGCTCTGAGGCATGGGGCACATTTTTTACTTGCTCTGAGGAAGTTTGCCAATCTATTTACAGATCAAACATAACGAAACAATGGAGCCCGGCATGCAGATTTTCATGCCGGTGTCTGTTGCAGAGATGAAAATTTCGAGAAGATATGAGACCATCCCAACCACGACTCTCAATCCAAACGCTGACGAAATCGAGTACTTACAGAGGCTTGTGGCCTACCAGGCACGCACCCATTCTCTATGCACGCTACCATGGTGGATTTCTTTGCACGTTACCCATTCTACCATGGCAGTATGGTTCTAAAGATGGTGGCATCTTGGATATCTCTCTGGTCAGCTCCCTTTTGTTGACATGAAAATATTATGCTTGCAGGATTCTGCCATAATTGTGCTGAACAAGCCCCCAAAAATGCCCGTCAAGGTCAGCGTCTCAGAATGGTTTTGCAGAGTGAGGTTATGCGTCTTCATGTTGTTTCATCCCCGGGCACATGTATTTTCAGGGAAGCCTGCCCGTTCACAACGGCATGGATGTTTTGGCCGCTGCGGCATTGTCTTATGGCAATGAGGAGGGTCCCAAATTGGTAAGCTGTTGGATGCCTGATGTGTGATGCATCTGGGAGCATTTTTTTCTACTCCAGCCATTTCCATGCTTACGAATCCCTCCGCCTTCTCTGTGTTGTTCCTTTTATATTTCCCATATCGGCATTGATGGGCAGGGAGATAAATACCTGCCGTTCATATTCACAACAGTGTCTCGCCAGTGGTGGGCTCAAGAATCTCCTTTCTTTTTTGTGGCAATTCGCCAGCATCCCTGCTTCTGAGTCTTTCCCTGTTGGTCAGGTGCATCGGTTGGACGCAGAGAGCAGCGGCCTACTCTTGATGGGCAGGACGAGAGAAAGCACTGCGTGGTTTCATTCGCTCTTCAGCAGCGTCCGTCATGCGAAATCGTCTTCGGAGGTACTAATCAGCGTGGAATCTTTACCTGTTTCCTTGAACTCACTTATCCAAAATACCCTGTGTTCGGAAAAACCGAAATGGAGAATACCTCGAGCTACCTCCTTGGAGAAATTTAAATCCGCCCTTCAGTGCTTGGAGAAACTCCTCCGCACCCCCCACCCCCTCCTGTCATGAATGGTGTACCGATTTATGGAGGTTGGAGTGCCGATCCTCCCCTGTAGACTTTCTTTAATTCATATTTTTCTATAAAAATTACCCTGAAAGAGAAGAGAAGGGATTATTTTTAAAGTGGTGAAAAATATTTTAGTGTTCATTTTTGGGGGAGTGAATGTGGATGAAAGCTATAAGAGCGTGAACCGTTTGTTCATTGTCCGGGTGCATCTATGGAGGAGTGTACAGAGTGGAGACCATTTCTTGACCTTTACTGTGCCATCTTTGAGTCTTGCCAGTCATGGGATCTTTCTCCTCAGATACCCGTCGTTTTTTTTTTAATTTTCGTCGAATTTTCCAATCGTGCCCTATTATTATTATTTTCTTCAATTTTTTTGTTGAGTTTTTACTGCTGATGTTTCCTGAATGATGATCTGCCACCGGCCAATTTCCTAGATTTCGAATGGAGCCCACAAAGCTACGGTCCAGAAGTACTGGGCGTTGGTAATTGGCCGCCCCAAGGAACCGGAGGGGGTCATCTGCGCTCCACTTTCAAAGGTGGTCTTTTTTTCTTTCTGGTTTCCTCGGGTTCTCTCCTCGTACTGTTCTATCGCCTGCCCTACAATCTATGTTGAAGCAGTTGAAGATTACCCAATGACATTAGTTGCCAACGTGAGGTGTGAAATCGATCCGCAGTGGGGATATGGAGAAGGCCTTCTGCGTGGAGTAATGCCTTGAGATATGTGCATCGATGGCAGCGACATGAGATGACAGATGCATGCTTTTTAATTTCAGGTGCTGCTAAGTGGCGGTAGGACGGAGAGAGTCATCCTTGCCCACCCCTCCGGCATTGATGGCCACCGAGATGCGGTGACGGAGTATCGAGTGCTGGGGCCGACCATTAATGGCTGCTCCTGGGTCGAACTGCACCCGCTGACCGGTCTAAAACACCAGGCATGGCTCACTGCAACCCCTCTCTGCCCTCGAGTTGATCTCAGTTCATATTATTCACGTATAGAAATGATTCAGAGATCAATCTACGAGTGCCATGCTGAAGCCGGAGTCCTGGTTAAATCCCGTATCGCGTACAAATCTCGTGGAGCTACGCCCTCTGATGATGACTTTTCCCTTTTTTTTCTAGAGTAAATCGCATATTCTTCAGTTTCATAGGTCAACGGAAGAGCCGGTCTTCGATGATAGGGGCTATGTTGCTTTGGAGACCCGTTCATTTGGCATTATTTCGGCGGAGATGGCATGGTTCTTACGCTCGGCTTTCTTTTGAACCCACCAGCTCCGAGTGCACTGCGCGGAAGCGCTGGGCACCCCGATAGTTGGCGACTACAAGTATGGGTGGTGCGCCCATCAACGGTGGAAGCAGATGCCCCAGGTAGACTACGAGCCGGTGACTGGTGAGGCTTACAGGCTAAGGAGACCCGAAGGCTTGGCCGTCCAGAAGGGGAGCGTACTCTCCAAGGTTCCCTTGCTCCACCTTCACTGCCGGGAGATGGTGATCCCGAATGTCGCAAAGGCTCTCAGGCTTGGCCGCGAAGGTGGTCCGTCGCCTGGCGGAACTGGTGATCTTCTCCGATTCGTCGCGTCGATGCATTCCCACATGCAGATTAGCTGGAACGTCATGTCCTCATATTTGGTCTGAATATATGTATATATACATATCTAGAGGGAGAGAGAGAGAGACGTTCGCAATAAGTGCATGATTTTGTCCGACGTCCGTTCTCTTCGAAGCACTTGCGAGGGATGATCGTCTTCCAGGTTTTCCCCCCAGATTGCTGCCGGTTGGAGAGCGGCACAGGTGATACGGACGGTTGATTCGGGCGAGCCAACATTCCAGCCACCGGGCGATTCTCTCTCTGCCCGTCATTGCCTCATATTTGGTCTGAATATATGTATATATACGTATCTAGAGAGAGAGAGACGTTCACAATTAAGTGTTTGCTTTCTCCGAGGAACCTAAGGATGGATATAATATACTCCTCTACTGTCTCCCTCTCTCTCTCTCTCTGTCTCTGTCCCCTTTGACTGCCACCCGAAGGCAAGCATGTCAGCAGAACAGAAGATGTAACTTTAGTAATGCTCTGGCGAGTACGATGAACTTCTAGTTAGTCTATGAGAGGGCTCGTGGGAGCACGGTTCTCGGCCATCCTGGAATTCGCGTCACGCAGCAGGCGCTAGTCAACTAAGAGTGACCGACCTTCCGACAGGTAGGCGCGATGAACAGTCAACGTATGGAAGAACCCGGATCGATCCGATGGTAGGTTCATCCATCTCGCTTCGATTCTTCCGCGGGCGTATTGCTTACTTGGCACACATGGGGAAGTGCGGCATTCTTGCGAATAACAAAAGGAACGCCGACGCGGACTTTCTCTTGTGGCATTAAGCGGGCCCACCATATTGTCTCGCACTAGGAGGGCCCTGGGCCAGTGGAAATGACCGTCTTTTGTTGACTCGACTCTTAACATTTGAGAAATAGAAGGAACATATCCCCGGAATCTGGTCAAGACGACAATCCCGACCGTGGTTAAGGCCGGTGTTATCCTAACACAGCTCTCTCTCTCTCTCTCTCTCTCTCTCTCTCTCTCTCTCTCTCTCAATTGCGAGTTTAATACATGACAACGACGATGGGGTTTGAAAATAAATCCGAGTGGAATTTGGAAGGGGTGAAGAGCGGGGAAGGGCTCCTTGATTATCGGCGTAACACTCGCCGCTACCTCAACGTCCCTTAGTAAACGTTCAAACTACCTCTCCCTCTCATCGGAGTCCCCGACTCTGCGGATCCCCTCTCCTCCTCTCCCCTTATAAGTACCGCCCCTCCCCCTCCTCCCCTCCCGTCGCCAGGCATTCATTCACCTCACCAGATCGCGAAGAGTTCCTGCTCTCTCTCTCGCTCTCTCAGAAGCCAGCCAGCCTAGTCTCTCTCAAGGTGATAGAAGAAGGAAGAGGATGTCGAGCGCGATGAAGAAGGTGGAGATGGTGCGGCAGATCGTGAAGCTGAAGCAGGTCATGGGTCGGTGGAGAAGCCTAAGCCTTCGCCCCCACCATCGCGCCTCCCTGGCTTGCGAGGACGACGCCGGCTCTTCCTCGGGTCGGCCCATCCCGCCGGGTTTCCTCGCCATCTACATTGGGGAGGAGCGGCGCCGCTTCATCATCCCGACTCGGTTCCTAAATTTCCCGGTAATCACCTCCCTGCTGAAGAAGTCAGAGGAGGAGTTCGGCTACAACTTCTCCGGAGGCCTCGTCCTCCCTTGCAGCGTCGACTTCTTCCGGCTGGTTCTGCAGCTCCTGGAGAAGAACGAGGCCAAATACAAACTGTTCAGCATCGAAGACTTCGTGGAGCTTAGCGGAACCGGTGGGATCGAGGACCCCGATCCCTTCTCCTGCAGGGACGACGTCGCCGCCGACGATCGTTACAATGGGTTCTCGCCGCTGCTCCAGAATGCTAGGGTTTGATAACCCAAGATCAATCCCCCCTCCCTTTTTGTTTGAAGAGCCCCCAGGAATGTGTATGTAGACGGCGAGAGGCGTTTCTTTAGGGTTTTAATGTCTGTCGCCCGTTTCTTCTCCTGGTTGCACCGCCATGCTTGAAAACCCCATGTTCGCTTCCCCGCATTCCGGAAGGAATAAAGCGTTGGAGCCTCAACGAGATGCCGGCCTTGTCTCTCCGTTACATACTTCAAAGATTGGATTCCCTTTTTCGCGGTCAGCGCCACCATCGGCTGCTCTCTTTCCCTCGCGATAATGCCGCAGTGATGTAGCGACGCCTTTGAACCGTTCTGCAACGTGGTGCACTCTACTCGAACGGAGGAGCGCGGGGAAGCCGCCGTGGGGGCACGATTTCTCCGGCGATCTGCCATCCTGCTCCTCCGCTCATTATCATCATCATCATCATCATCATCATCATCATCATCACCATCATATACTTCTGTCTATATTCTTCCTCCCCTCCTGTCTCGACGGCAGCGATCACTGGGACGCAGCGCCGTTCCCCCGTCGCGAAGTTCTTCCGACCGGAAGAGCCCCCCGACTTGCTCAGCATCCTCGCCGGACTGATCCGATCCGATCGCCGATCGCCGGCGAGAAGCTGAAATCTCCGGAGCAAGGATTCCTGGTGCATTCCTGCTTATGCGTAGCTTCTCGCTGTGATAAATTAATAATATTGATATAAGCATTTGTTTGTTTTTAAAACATTCAATATGCATATAATTAAAAGGAAAAGAGTTACAGAACCCATGCAGGCCCACGGCAAAGGAAAGGTCAAAAGTCAGCGAAAGGATACAATCGTTATTATGAAACGTATCAGGGGGTATAAAAGTCTATTCTCTCGCGCTAGGGTTTCTCTGGGAGTATAAGAACTTTAGGACGGCTGATTTCTTCGTCCCTCGACGGCGAGTCTGATCGTCTGCAGTGTGAGAAGGTAGAGGGAGAGGCAGGGAGGGATGGGTGTCTTCACGTTTGTGTGCAGGAGTTCTGGTTCGGAATGGTCGGCGAAGCAGATCACCGGCGACCTGGAGGCCTCGGCGGCCTCAACCTATGAGCTGCAGAGGAAGCTGGTCCAGGCCGCAGCCGCGGCTGATTCTTCCGGTGGGGTTCAGTCGTCCTTTTCCCTGGTCACCCCCGTCTCCGCCGTCTTCCAGGTTGGCGAACTTTCTTCATCCGCTAATCGTATCAGTTCCCCCGTTCTTTTCTTATTCTGTGGTAGTCTAATTAAATGAGGATTTGGATTGAGGAAGAGTGCCCGCGCCCTGTCTTTAATCATCGGCTGATGTCGGAGAGAAATGTGCTGGTAGTTGCCCCCTCGCGAGCGCCGTATCTCCGACACTCGACGAATGTCAAGTAGACGCCTAAACGAGGAGATCGAACGATCAAACCGAGAAGCATGTTTTACTGTGCTGGTTGACGATGACCTTCAAATTTTAGTTGCTTATACTTGTTTCTGTCTGTTGATATCGGTAGGATCAGGCGAGAAAACGCCTTACTCATTGCTGGCACAGCTTTTCTTTCGGGACATGGGGGAATATAGATAACTGTATCTGGATCGCCTGTGAAAATCTCACCAGTTACCTCAAACTGGTTATAATAGTCTCCCTTGAATGTTATGAATCCGGTGATTGGCCTGAGGTGAATTTCCAGCGCGAATCTATGATGGGGTTACAGTTTTGGAGAAGATGCGGCAATGAATGGTTTGGAGTTCCAGAGTCTTGCGTTTTGGGTTTATACATGAGAGAAGTCGAACGATGCTCTCGAAAATGTATTTCATGCATTTTACGAGTGGAGGAGCACATCGGGGCCATTGTTCTATTTAGACTTGGATCTACGGAATTCGAGAGCGATGTAGGGACATTTTTCCTTCAAGAATCTTCATCAGTTCTTGATCTGTGGCTGGCGTAGAAAAGCTGGTTAGAATGTATGGTTTTCGTTCTCGTTGCTTCCGCTCCAAGAACGCGGCTTGATCATGAGAAATACAGTATTAGATCTTGCTCGGAGCTGGCGAATGAAACATCTTCACCGTGAATGATATCAGTAATATGAATTTATCTTCTGTCATGGGAGTTTGTGGGAATGCCAAGGGGCTACGGCATTAGCTGCTGATGCGTCTGACGCTCTTCGTGCTGCTGGACTTAGGTGATTATTGGCGGCGGTGGCGGCGGCGGCGGCTTCATTGGCGGAGGTGCCGCAGGTGGCGCAGCAGCAGGTGCGGCGGGCGGTGCAGCTGCCGCAGAGGCTCCTCCCGCCGAAGAAAAGAAGGAAGAGAAGGAGGAGAGCGACGACGACATGGGCTTCTCCCTCTTCGATTAGCCTTCTTCCCTCTTTCGGCTATTTTAATCCAGAAATCTGTAGTTGCGGGTTTTGGTGAGGATTCTTCTTTAAATTATTATCCCAAGAAATCTTTGATTCCGAGGTGGCTGTTCAGCTCTTTTCCATCCAGTTTGAAATATTTTGGCGCCTAAATTAGTTCAGAACAAACCTTGCTTCGAGATATTTGTGGTTGATCCAAGGTCTCAGAAATCCTCCTCAAGAACTTGGGGAGGTGTCAGTTGGTCAACCATCAAGAATGCGGCTGTGTACCATTATGGGTTTTCTCCATGTCCCTGAAATCTATGGTCTTAGATGCTTGCATCGATCATATATCCATGTGTTTATATATGTATATATATAGATGTGTAAATGTATTATTTACCATCTTTGTCAAACCAGTTCACATCTATTGATTGAAAGCAACTTCAGCGGAAATGTTGCTTGCAGTACCACGGACCACCTGTAGCTAACCAAGGGAGGTCTTAATTCCACCTGGTGTCATCTGGAGGACCTCTGAGAACTGCTGTCAATGGCATCTTTCAACAACCTCTTCGAGCTTGGTGTCTCATGGATGCTGATAACGCAGAGACAATCGCCATCCAGGAAACACAGAAAGCAATTGAAACGATGGAGTCTGTCAGAGCAATTAGGTGAGGTGAGAAACGGAACTTTCTCCATGGCCATTCCCGATTCCTGATGCCCCTACGCTAGTTTCTGTTAGCTGGCTTGACAGCTGCAAGTAGACAGAGAGAGACAGAGAGAGGGGTTGGGGAGATAACATTTGATGATGTTGTGGTCGTCAACATGGGAAGAGAAGGGGAGCCCCATCCCTCTGCAGTTTGCTCTCAGAGAAGCCCAATTTGCTCATCTTTTCCTCGCACCACAGCACTTGCTCCCTGGTGATACTCACCATTCTGAGAACCCTCGACACGACCCTGAGGTCGATGAGCCCAAAGAGCAATTCCACGTCCTCCAGCGCAGCCGGCCAGGAGCTCGACTGCTTCTTCCAGCCCTTCCTCTTCCTGAGGAGTTCCTTCAGCTTCATCTCCCTCTGCAACAGCATCAGGGCGGCAATGTCGAGGCCAGCCGGCAGCCGGTGAGAAAGATCCCGTCTTTATTAGAACCCAACCATGCCCACTAGTCCTTTCCACCAAGTGCACGGATTATTTGGAAAGAAGAAGAAGAAGGGGAACGGGCAGGTGTACCTTAGAAAGAGAGGTCCGAGCCTGCTGGAGAGCGGCTGCACAGCCATGCCGTGCCACCGACGTCGCGCCCCCAGACGCCTTGGCCTTCTCTGCCTTCAAGAAAAGGCGAAAGATCAGGACCGACTCCCCTATAGCCTTCAAGAGGTCCGCGGCAAGCACAGGAGAATCCATATCGCCGCGTTCCTTGTCCTCCAGCTCCAACCCTGGGAATGGACGTTGAAAAGCTCCAAGTCAACCGAATATAACTCGCGACTTCTCACACAGAAGAACGAAAATGGCCGAAATGAGACCCGTACAACAACAGGTAAAAGTTGTCTCAATCGCCACCTTGGAAGGAAGGGACCTGAAGCAGCTTGGGCATGGCCAGCCTGGCGCGAGCATAGATCTCCGCCCTGGACCCGGGTTCAAAGGGCTCGTTCTCTACGAATCTCTGTAGCAGGACCTGGAACTGTTGGAACGCCTGCGCAGAGGAGCAGTAGGAGAGGGAGTTGTCGGCCTGCACCAGTGTCTTCTGCCTCAGCTGGGTGTACTGGCAGTGGAGCGCCTCCCACGTCAGAGAAAGATGGGCGGCATAGGCCATCTCGAGACTCTGGAGGGATTCTTCCGCTTCATCTTGCCGCTGATGGAGGCGTTGACTTTCTTCCGCCAGCTGATCCCTCCTCTTGAAGGAGAGGCGGCGATAACCGGAGACCAGGCGTCTGGATGCAGCAGCTCGCTCGGTCCCACGATGCTCTGGAGGAGATCCAAGAAGCTCAAATAAGACAGATGTCTTCAGAACGTGCAACACGAATGAACTGTCGACAGCGGATGAAACACGGGATCCAAGTGTGAAACAAAACTACCACAGATTATTACGATCGAAAGCGGTGTCGAGATGGAGGATCTGGACGGGTGCCCTATTCACGCAGAGCCACCCGAAGAAGACGGAGACAGAGGAGGAGGAGCACCTGCGTTCTGGGAATGCTGCGCGATGATCCTCTCAAAGAAGAGCATCCGTTCACCGTACTCGCCGTAGAGGGTGCTGAACCCGCACCATGGAAAGACGTCTTCCACCTCCGATTCCCTCCACTGCCTGGAGCTCAACCCCCTCTCTCCCTCCTCCACCTCCTCCTCCTCTTCCTCCCCTTCTGGGCAGGGCTCTTCAGGTATTAGAACCATGCAACTGTTTTTCTTCAGCTCCCTCAGCCGCCTCTTAACTTCGTTCATTATGAAATCGTCGCCCTCCTCCTCCTCACCATCGGTCTCCAAGTCTGCAGCGGAATCGTCGCCATCCCCCTTCGGTGAAACAGCCCCGTTTCCTGGTTTCGGCACCTCTTCCGGTGCTTGGCGGTTCTCGGCATCCGGCCCCTTCTCCGCCGTCGACTTCAGATACCTGCCAAACCTTTTCGCCTTGAAGAAATCCATCGCCGGGCTTCCCGGGCGAAGCTCCAACATGAATGGATACAGGTCCCTGGAACAGAGTCGCCCAGGGTCTGCCGGTCCCTGAACAGAGAGAAGCGGCCATAATAAAGGGGGGGAAAGGAAGAAGAGCTAAGCTGAACAACTGGGGTGAACTCAAAAACAACTGGGATCATCGCAGAGAAAAGCCTTCGATTTTCACCAAAGAAGAGAACTCGAAGAACACCAAAGTTGTGATGCTTAGTAAGACCTGTGATAAACCTTTCCCGATCGCTTCCTGACCCGAGAGGGACGCGCGGCCGGAGGAGCAGCGGCGAGGTCGGTGTTTCCGTGCCGTCGACGCCAAACTCTTCCAGGGAAAATACAGGGTTCAATACGCAGGAGAGGACGACGAACCCTCTATTTCGTCCGCCAAAAGCGGCTGAACCAGCAGACCGAGGAAGAGAGGAAAAAAATGCGCCTAGCCCAGAAACCCTGCCCCCTCCGCAGGTGACGCGCCGACGATGGGGCCGGCGCTAATGACACTCTCCGGATCCCCGAGATGTGCAGAAGACGCAACGAGAGCGAAGGAAAGGGTAAAAACGGAAGCTGCGGTCCTACGCCGGAACCCGCGAGGTCTTTTTTGAAAGACGACGACGAAACCGAGGTAAGCGGAAAAGGACCCCGTGGCCTCCCCGCAGATTGCAGAAAAGCCTACCTGAAGAGCAGAACGCCAGGGTCCGGCTGGGCAGGTGTCGACAGAGAAGCTCGGCCGGTGGACTCGCAGAAGGCGGAGGTAAATACAGCGACTTGCCGCTGGTTGCCTTCCCGTTTTCGGATTGTACTCTCTCTCCCTCTCCACGCTCCATGCGTTACAAGTGTCCTGGCTGTATCCGGATTTGCGGAACCCTAGTTGGAAACAAATTTATGGGCTGTGCTCCTGTTGGCATAGGAAAGGAATAATCCCAGAGAGAGGACCACCAACTTCTTCAAATCTCGTGTAGGACCCATCTCCGTCAACATCGTAAGCTGCCCGTGGAGCAGGCTAATGGGGCTGAAAAAGGGCTTCTTCAGCAGGGCATGGAGTTAGTGTTACGGGCGTTCCCCCGGGATGCCAAGGAATGCGCCATCAATCTGCAGAGGAAGCCTCCCCCTGGCCACCGGCAGCTCCACGGCTTTCCCCCTCCCACCTCCTCTGCCTGAGACGGCTCTAGCGACTCACTCGAACCCCGTGGCTCGCATCCTCACCCTCCTCGGGCAATGCAACACCGTCGGTACCGTGAAGCAGGTCCATGCCCGCATGCTCACGGCCTCCATCCGCAAGGAAAACAGCTTCCTCTTCAGGCTGGTGGAGCTCGGAGACCGCGCCTACGCCGCCGCCCACTTTGGGTGCATCCCTCGCCCGGATAGCTTCGCCTTCAACGTCATGATCCGTGGACTCGCCACGACCTGGGCCGACTACCCCTCGGCTTTGGAGCTCCACCTCCTCATGGTCCGATCAGGGGAGCGGCCTGACAATTACACCTTCCCCTTCGTCCTCACGGCCGCCGCCAATCTCATGTGGCGCTTCCACGGCAGCGCCGTCCACTCCTCGGTCCTCAAGACGGGGCATCACTCCGAGAGCCACACCCAGCACTCGCTCATCACCATGTACGCCAGGTGCGGCGAGATCCAGTCCGCGAGGCAGATATTCGACGAATTGTCCGACAGAGACCTGGTCTCATGGAACTCGATGATATCCGGGTATTCCAGGATGGGCCTCGCGAGGGACGCGGTGGAGACCTTCCGCCGGATGAGATCGGCTGGGTTCGAGCCGGACGACATGACTCTTGTCAGTGTTGCGGCGGCGTGCGGCGATCTGGGCGACTTGGCCCTCGGCCGGTGGCTCGAAGACTTGGGGGCGGCAAGAGGGGCGGACCTCAACTCCTTCCTGGGCTGCGCGCTCGTCAGCATGTATGGGAAATGCGGAGATTTGGAGTCGGCGAGGAGGGTTTTCGACCAGATGACAAGGAAGCACCTGATAACCTGGAACGCCATGATCTCAGGGCAAGTTTATATATATACCTCGCGCTACTCTCGAGACTTCCACGCGCTTTCCGACGCATCTCCGTTAAGTGTTTAAGAACCCCCTCGACACTGATGATCGGACCGACTCTCCAGGTACTCGCAGAACGGTCTTTCCCACGAAGCGATCGCGGTGTTCAAGCTGATGCGAGACTCGGGGACAGAGCCGAACGAAGTCACGATGGTGACCGTGCTCTCGGCGTGCGCCGCGACCGGAGACATTGCCCTGGGGAAATGGATGGACGCTCGGGCGGCGGAGAAGGGCCTTCTTGGGGACGTGTACGTCGGCACGGCCCTCGTCGACATGCACGGGAAATGCGGCAACTTAGACCGCGCCATCCAGATATTCGACAGAATGCCTCACAGGAACGTGGTCTCGTGGAACGCCATGATATCGGCGCTGGCATTCCACGGGCGCGCGCAGGAGGCGCTCTCGCTGTTCACCCGATTGAGGGACGAGGGGACGGTGCGACCCAACGACATCACCTTCGTCGCGGTGCTGACGGCGTGCGTCCACGCCGGTTTGGTCGACGAAGGCCGCCGCTGGTTCAGATCCATGGCTCCCGTCTTCGGCGTGGCGCCGCAGATAGAGCACTACTCCTGCATGGTGGACCTCCTTGCGCGCGCGGCGTGTCTCGAAGAGGCCTGGGAGTTCATCGAAACGATGCCCGAGAAGCCCGACGCCGTCGTCCTGGGCGCGCTGCTCGCCGCCTGCCGCACTTGCAAGAATGTCGAAGTTGGGGAGCGGGTGATCCACCGGCTGTTGGAGCTGGAGCCAGCGAACTCCGGCAACTACGTGATCTCCTCGAAGCTGTACGCGGGCTCCAGGAGGTGGGAGGACTCGGCGAGGATCAGAGGCCTCATGAGGGAGAGGGGCGTCGCGAAGACCCCCGGGTGCAGCTGGATTCAGGTTTGCAGCGAGGTCCACGAATTCCGCTCCGGGGATGCCCTCCACCGCGAGTCCGCCGAGATCCGCCGGACAATCGACGTCCTGAGACAGGAGATGGAGCTGCAAGGGTACGTGCCGAACGCCGATTTGGCGTAGGGAGAACGAGTGAATCGAAATAGACATTTCCATCACTGTACAGAAAAGGAGCAAGCGAGATTCTGTGTAGGATGATGAATTGAATCTTCACGAGCAAGCGGGAGGAAAGAAGATGAGCCCCGTTCATCATTGGCAGGCAGCTGTCTCCGACCGACGCGGTTCCGGATTACATATCCCCGCCTCGGTTCTCATCGTGGCCGTCTTCTAGGGACAGCCATTGCCAACGCGGAGTATTTTTCACTGTGCCCTGAGAGCTTTGGACGTGATTCTCTCCCTGTGCGTCCTCATCTACGACGGTGCATCCATCTGGGGCAGGAGGGATATCCTTGGCCAACACCACCCCCCCGCCCCTCACCTACTTGTAGACACTGTGTCCCCTCCACAGTGTAAGGCTGGCGTCGGAAGCATCCCTGTTCGCCCAAGCCCCCAAGATGCCGTCGGATAAACTAAACCAAGATGGTGGTGGCCGTGCCGATCGGAATATATGGGCCTACTTTCTTCCTGGTAAACATCGATAGAAAAGATAGATCGGTGGTTAACATGCTGAGGTTCGCATCTACTTTAATCTCATCCCCGTCTGCTGTGGGAGCGTGTGTTCTACCTGCAGCCCTCCATGGCCCGTAATCACACCGCTCTTAACCACACCCCAAGAGATATATATATATCGAGAGAGAGAGATATATATATATATATATAGGACGATGTCTATTCAACAGCTTTTGCGGGCCGCCTCGGGAAGGAGGTCCTGCCTTGTTGGCCAGCTCTTCATCCGCCACCGGCACGCAGCCTGCCATCCAGGTTCGTAGGGAGGTCAGCTCTCCCTCGCGTGGACATATCGGCGCCGTCTTCCTCGCCTCGGCGAGCTGGTATATGAGGAGGAAGAGGGCGGTGCGGGAGGATCCGACCTCCACTCAACTCCGAGGAGATAGATATCTCGGCGCCAGCAGGCTACGCAGATGAAGATGCCGTTTACGTTTTCGTTTGGATAGGAAGAAAGCGAAGGGATGGAGGGAGATGCTCAGAAAATTTCCCTATGGTCGTCGATCCGGGCCATCCACCGGGGCCGGGCTTTTGGACGAGGGGCGTAGTTTAGATTATCGGGGGAGCAACGCCAGCGTTTTGATGGTGCAACAAAGCGTACGAGCTGAGTGGGCTGGGCCACATATAAATGGGCCGTCCACTGGAAGCTTCTCAATCATGGAGAGGGGATATTTCAGCAGGAGGCGCATCACATCGCCGTCATTTCCGTCCGATTCCGATGCTTTCCTGGTAGTGCGAGCCCATCCCCTCTCTTTCTTTTTTCTTTTCCGGTGAAACCCTCAGTCTCCAGCGTTTCCCCCGGGCCCGACTGTTTGGCACATGCAGCATCACCGTGGGGGGAGAATAATAATCTTCATCATCGCCGAGGCACCTAAAAGCATTTGTGATGGACCTATTTAACTATTAGGTTCGTATGAGCAAAGGTTCACGCAGGAGCGGGGAGGAGGTTTAGTTTGGTGCTGTTCTAACGTGTCGTGAAGAGGGGAGGGAGTATGGATGCACCAATGGATGATACATCCCACTTGGAGACTAGTATAGCCTAAAGACGTCGTCTTTCTCACTAGTTTGCCGCATTCTCTCTCTCTCTCTCTCTCTCTTCTGATCTCCCTTGGCGCGAGAGGACGGAGGCGGTGGAGCTGAAGTTGAGCCGGAGCATACGCGGCAGTCCCTCCTCGCGTCTTTCCAAAAGTTTCATGGGCCCTCCGAGAGAGAGAGAGAGCGTAGCCAGGGTTAGAGCCGTGTCGTCTAGGTCGAGATGGGGTTGACTGGGATTCCCACCCTGGCGGGGTCCCGCATGAATCCGGTCTGAGGCTCGGCCCAGTCAGATGGCTGTCTGTCACCAATAGCACGTAAGCCATTTCTCGAGTTCATGCCCCTGTTGGCGAATGTCCGGTGTCCAAGTGGGAACTAAATTATGGGTCGACTCTGTTTATCGGTATTATTCTTTAATGGACTAGAGAAACGGCCATTGATGGGACTTATCGTATTTAAATTTTCCTAAGAACGGGGCACAACCAATATATTTCGTGGGAAATATAATGGCCAATATATATATATATATATATATATATATTGTAAATACCAAAATAAGTCGTGGGAACCATGAAAGCTAGCACATGCCGGTCAATGGAAATGGCCCCCCATCCCTCCACCCCCCGACGTCTTTAGCGGCTCCAACGGGAAATTATCCCCTTGGGGAGGAGGTCCTTCAAGCGTCGGTTACAGCCCAAACCGGGGAAAAGCAAGAAGAAGAATGTCGTCTCTCTCTCTCTCTCTCTCTCTCTCTCCCCGCCCTTCCCCGTCTCTATATCTCTTCTCTCGCTCTCTCTAAAGGAAAAGGGGGAGAAAAGTTATCACTTTCGGGCGTATCTAACGCCTCGGAAGAAACCACCCTGGTGCTATTGCCCTCTGGAGTAGAGAAAAAGGGAGAGAGAGAGAAAGGGGGAGAGAGAGAGAGAGAGAGAGAGAAAAGGAGAGAGAGCGAGAGAGAGTCCACCCGAGGTTCCCTTTTCCAGTCGAAACGAGGATTAGACTTTAATGGCCATGATAATACAGCCATATCGGGTGCGTAGCGGACCGCACGGATGTTGCGTAAGTCTGTTGAGAGCAGACACACACATGAGGCATGCTTCTTCATCTCTTCGTTGCCTCCACCCTTCCTTGTCTATAAAGAGGCAGGTTCCCCTCCCTCTTCCTCTCCATCACGCCTCCCCAGCTTCCTTCTCCCCTCTGTCTCTCCCCCCATCTCTCCTCTCTGCATCCACAGGGAGCTTCGGCGCCCGTGGGTTCCAGGGAGATAATAACACTACCCAGAAGGTAAGTTCACTCTTTCGGTTTATTTCTTCTCTACTATTCCTCTCTCCCTCTATCTCTCTCTCTCTCTCTCTCCCCTCCCCTCGGTATATATATATATATATATATGCACACACACATATATGCAGGATCTTCTCGCGGTACGTGGGCCCTGAAATATATCCGGACGAGGCATTTCGTTCTCACCCGTTCCTGCCCTTCATTCCTCTGCACTCCCCGGGCGGCAGGAGATGGAGATGGCCGGAGACAAGACCGATAAGAAGGGGGGGTTGACCAGGTACCAGAAGAGCTACTTCGACGTGCTGGGGATATGCTGCTCCTCCGAGGTTCCCCTCGTAGAGAAGATCCTCAAGTCTCTGCCCGGCGTCCTCACCGTCTCCGTCATCGTCCCCTCCCGGACCGTCATCGTCGTCCACGACGCCGCCCTCGTCTCCCAACTGGACATAGGTCGAACACATGAACTCACTCGATTCACTGTCAGTTGACGAGGGGTTAGACGGTCTCGTTCCTTGGCGAGCACTGACACGCACTCTCTGTTCGATCAGTGAAGGCTCTCAACCAGGCGAGGCTGGAGGCGACGGTCCGGCAGTATGGCAAGGCCAAGGGCGTCCGGCATTGGCCGAGCCCTTACACCATCGCTTGCGGCGTGTTGCTGGCCCTCTCCTTCTTGAAGGTGTTCTACCATCCTCTCAAGTGGCTCGCCGTGGCAGCAGCGGCCGCCGGTCTTCCTCCGATCATCCACAGGGCCCTCGCCGCCGCCCGGAGGCTCACCCTCGACATCAACATTCTCATGCTGATCGCAGGTACGAACGGCGGCACCTCCACCTACCCTTCCGCCGTCGTGACGGCGACACCTCCTCGTGCCTGAAGTAAAGCTCATTCGCGAAGTGGGATTCCTTTATCCACCCACCCAGTCTGCGGCTCTTTGTCACACCCAACTGAGCCAGTGTGTCTACGCGGGGATCACTAACCAGCCGTCTTTCCGTGGTCTAATGTGCATGTGCGTTAAGTGGGTGGGTCCATCGCCTTGAAGGACTATTGGGAGGCGGGCTCCATCGTCTTCCTCTTCACTATTGCCGAGTGGCTCGAGTCCAGAGCCAGCTATAAGGTCAGTGCCGGCCCTCTCTCTCTCTCTCTCTCTCTCTCTCTCCCAATCAGCCTGGACATCGGACAACTTTGCGCTGAGATGTGGCGCTAAATTATTGAAAACTTTGCAGTTGCCTAGATGTAAAGTTAATTTATTCACGATGTTTAAGAAAAGTTTGGGCTCCTTTGGTCCCTGTAACATTTTGCGGACGCGTCGTGCTTTTTCAGGCCACATCGGTGATGTCGGCGCTGACGAGCATGTCGCCGTCGAAGGCCGTCCTGGCCGGCACTGGCGAGGTGGTGGATTCGAGCACGGTCGAAGTCGACAGCGTGCTGGCCGTCAAGGCCGGTGAGGTCATCCCCATCGACGGCATCGTAGTTGACGGGCGGAGCGAGGTGGACGAGAGCAGCCTGACGGGGGAGTCCTTCCCGGTCGCCAAGCAGCTCGGCTCCCAAGTCTGGGCCGGCACCCTTAATATCAATGGTGATCTCCCCTACCCGGCCGAACTCTGACGTCTTCTTCCTCTGAGACCTTTCACTGGGGCTTTTGGGGATTGGAGGGTGAAAGTGTATCCTCTCCAATGGCGCAGGCTACCTCAGCGTGAAGACGACCGCTCTGGCGGAGAATTCCGCGGTGGCGAAGATGACAAAGCTGGTGGAAGAAGCTCAGAATGCCAAGTCGAAGACGCAGCGGGTGGTAGACTCCTGCGCCAAGTATTACACGCCGGGTAAGCTTCTCATATTATATAATCTTCGTCCTGATATTCCAGGAGGCTGGGTATTTGATGTGAGCCGCCACAACGGTCTGATCTTCGGCTGCAATGCAGAAATCTCTCATTGCCGTGATAATCTTGGATGGAAATAAACGATCTGATATAATTTCGCCGATGTCGCAGGTCTGGTGCTGATGGCAGCGCTCCTCGCCATCCTTCCTCTGGCGTTGAAGCTCAACGACGTCAAGCGCTGGCTCCGTCTCGCCCTGGTCCTTTTGGTGAGCGCATGCCCCTGCGCACTCGTCCTCTCCACGCCGGTGGCGACCTTTTGTGCCCTCACCAGCGCCGCCAGGTCGGGCCTCCTGGTGAAGGGGGGAGATTTCCTGGAGACGCTCGGCAGGGCCAAGGTTGTGGCCTTCGACAAGACCGGGACCATCACCAGGGGCGAGTTTATCGTCGTTGACTTCCACCCGGTCAGCACTGACGTCAGTAAGGAGTCGCTTCTCTACTGGTAAGAACAAATCGTAGGGTCAACCCGGAGAGCAGTTAGTCGAACTATGTTCGGCTGAGAGTGGGAAAGTTCCTTTCCTTTCAGGGTATCCAGCGTCGAGAGCAAGGCCAGTCATCCCATGGCAGCTGCCTTGGTTGACTTCGCTCGCTCGAATTCCGTGGAGCCGAAGACAGAAAGGGTGAGCGAGTTCCAGATATTCCCTGGGGAAGGCATTTACGGAGAGATTGATGGGAGGTCCCTGTACATTGGAAACCAGCGAATTGCGGCGAGGACCGGGTGTGCAGCAGGTAGAAGAAGATGATATTCATCTTATTTTCGTGTATCTCCTGCAAATGGGACCCTCGCGTGTTGGTTTTGAATTCGTTCAGTCCTGCGGCAGATCTAGGCGTGGGGAAGGATATGAGAGGAGCCACGGTTGGCTACGTCTTCTCCGGTGCCGAGCTTCTGGGGATATTCAGCCTCACCGACACCTGCCGGACCGGGGTGGCGGAGGCCATTAGAGAGTTGCACCGCTTGCGGATTAAGACGGCGATGCTCACTGGGGACAGCTGCGCCGCGGCCATGTTCGCCCAGAAGCAGGTCTGGGACAACGATCCAGTCGCTGCGGCATTCACATAAAAACCGCTCCGTTTCCATACCATCTCCTGACGATGCGGCCTTCATTTTCTTTTCATCCTCTGATTGGTGCAGTTGGGGAATGCTCTGGGCGTCGTTCACGCAGAGCTCCTGCCTGAAGACAAGGTGAGAATTCTGAAGGAACTCAGGGGCAAAGAAGGCCCCACGGTGATGGTCGGAGACGGGATGAACGACGCGCCGGCGCTGTTGACGGCCGACGTGGGGATCTCGATGGGCATATCGGGCTCCGCCGTGGCCATGGAAACTAGCCACATAACCTTGATGTCCAACGACGTCCGGAAGATCCCCGAGGCCATAAGGCTCGGCAGGAGGACTCGTCGCAAGATCATCGAGAACCTCGTGTTGTCGGTGGCGACGAAGGCCGCCATCCTCGCCCTAGCGCTCTCCGGGCACCCGCTGCTGTGGGCGGCCATCGTCTCCGACGTCGGCACCTGCCTACTCGTCATCTTCAACAGCATGCTACTGTTGAATGCGACGAGGCACGGGAAAGCAGGCAGATGCCGCAGATCGTCCCACAAGGGGCATGCACATGGCAATATCGGTGCTCACCACCACGGCCGGGATGTTTGCAGAACCCCGCACCACGGCATCGAAGCAACTGGTGCGAGCAGGGAGTGCTGCTCGCACCATGGAGGTCGCTGTGGTGGGACTAAGGATGGCACGGAAGAAGTGAAATGCTCGAGAGACGATCTCCGCATTCCCGAGCACGGGTGGCGCATCAACTTGGCCCCTCTTCTCTGCCCCACCAGCTTCAGCCATGACCATGCCCACGAGAGCTGCTCCAACCACAGCCGCGGCCATAGCCATCTCCATGACTGCTGCTCCGACCGCGGTCATGTCCATAGCCACGTCCACGACCATTGCTCTGACGGTACCCAAGTCCATAGCCACGTCCACGACCATTGCTCCGACAGTACGCAAACTCATAGCCACGTCCACGACCATTGCTCTGACGGTACCCAAGTCCATAGCCACGTCCACGACCATTCGTCTGACGGTACCCAAGACCATAGCCACGTCCACGACCATTCGTCTGACGGTACCCAAGACCATAGCCACGTCCACGACCATTCGTCTGACGGTACCCAAGACCATAGCCACGTCCACGACCATTCCTCTGACGGTACCCAAGTCCATAGCCACGTCCACGACCATTGCTCCCAGAGAGCCCAAGTCAATAGCCACGTCCATATCGATTGCCCCAATCACAGGGACGTCCGTGACCATGATCATCACGTCCATCGCCATGATCACGACCACTCCCCCGACCACTGCCACACCCATGGACCTCGCCCTGATCAAAGAGACGGCCATGCCTTTGACGATAGCCCCAGTCATAGACATCAGAATGATTACTCCGCCCAAAGCTGCCGCGTCCAAAGACCTCAACGCGGTCATTTATCCAACCACAGCCATGACAGTGACAATTACCCAGACCACAGAGGCCCCTACAGTCGCGAACATGGGGATTGCTCCAGCTGCAGCCATGCCCGCAAAGACGATCAAGACAATGGTCCAGACCGCAGCCAGGATCATGAGAACGGCTCCGACAACTCCCAGGCCCATCGCCCAGACCACAGCTGCTGCGTCCATTGCCATGACCAAGACCAACATCACGAAGCAAGAGTCAGTCTGGAGGAGACCAATGAATCACGCAACGGCCGCACGGCTAGAGTTATCTGGAACGATGGAGATTCTGGGCGTAACGAGGTCCGATCCGCTATAACCTCCAACAAGTACGGCGCTCAAGGGCGGCTTCACAGGGGCCCTTACCAGGAGGAAGAGAAGACGGCAGTCGATCTCTGCGCCCACCGGCAGGACGAAGTCGAGTGCTTGCGCTACATCGCCTGCGATAAGCCTGCCGCGTTCACCACAGTAAGCCCTCCCCGCAACATCTGCCTCTGCGGGAACTTCCATAGACGATATCATGGCGGAAGCTGCAGGAGCGTCGCCGGGGCCCTCTCCTGGAGCCCCCAAGGAAGTGGCAGAGACCTGGGTGGCGGCGGATTGCCGCAATGGAAGGAGATAGTCACCGAGTAGCTGCAGGCGACTGCGCGCTGTGTTAGAGGGGAATAGCTTCCCTCCTCCGCTGTAGATCTTCTGCTGTGTCCTCCTTTCTCCCATAAGCTTTGCCGTCACGCCGGCTTCCAACGACGGACAGAGAGCTTTCGGTGAGGGAGCCTCTCAGTCTAGAGGAAGCATTGCGCTGACATTGACCTGGCCTTCTGCGACCGTGGCGTCCGGCGCGGGCCCCATCTTAGTGCTCCGAGTTTACAAAAAGATCTAAGCTTTACGGAGCAACGTAGGGCGCCGCGATCATGATCATCGATGAGAACTGGAAGCGGTCTTGCCGTCCCTTGTCCGGAACCGGAAGCCGGGGAGGTGTCGACTCTCTCTCTGACCCGGGGAAGCCCCGGTGCGTCTCCAGTCGTATAAACTACCAACGAACCCCCTCAGCCAGGCCCGGTTGACCACCAGACTGCGACCTATCGATTCACAATCGAATGCTATACGCTCGCAGACGAGGTCGATGAAATCGAAGATTCAGCGGCTTGAGGTTGCTCATGTCTCTCATGTTGACAGGGCATTGTTTGGGGAAGAAAAAATATTCACAATTTGATCTGTATTATGTTCATAACACCCGTTAAAGCTACGATCTTATTCTCAATAGTCAACAGAACCGTAGCAGGGCGTGAACGAATGGTAGCTAAGGTCAATGGCCTGCCAATCTGGCGAGGCCCATCAATCAGAAGGAGAGCTGGCAGATCCAGCCACCCCGTCTGGTGTAGGCTCTGATTCCCTGGCTCCTCCCAACGACGCTGCTGGAGCTGGAATCCCACACGAAGACGACGTAGGGTAGAGAGAGGCGTACCATGAAAGGCTCTCTCTCTATCTCTCTCTCGCTGGAATTTAGAAGGAAAGAAAAAGCGGAGGGGAGGAGCTCCTGCGCTGCTAGTGGTCAAATTTTGTCCGAATAAAGCTCCGAGTCCTGCGGAGAGCATCAATGATTGGAATCCAAGGTTGTGGATTCTGACGCACAGCCTTCCCCTCTTCGAAGCTTCGCCCATTGCAGGACCTCACCATGCACGGGGGGATCTATCATCCTCTCTCTCTCTCTCTCTCTCTCTCTCTGGTCCAGTGGGCTGTCCGCGCTCTCGTCCTCATTCAACATACTCTCACTCGCCAACCCGGGGAGTACCCACGTACGAGGAGAAAGGCCGTCCAGATCTCTCTCTCTCTCTCTCTCTATCATCCGGTTACATGTGCAGGTTAGAGAGGAAAAAGGCGGAGCAAATGAAACACGTAAAAGGAAGGGGGATTTGGGAACCTTCGATCCCTCGGGTGATGGCCAGGCTGTCCGAGTCGAGTGCCACCAGGTTCACCGAGTCGAGGCCGTCCGAAAGACGCTATTTCGCTTATTTCCAAGATTTAAAAAAATACAAAATCTTTATGCGCCCACAAATTTGTCCGCCCACGAATTATAGAGAATAAACAAATTATATATAGTCGATATTTCTATGAATAAATAATTATTGAAAATAAAAATCCCTCCCTCCCCTTCGCCGCGCAGTTTCCTCGTCCGGTCTCTTCACCGTCCTATTTTTTCTATATAAAAAAATAAAAATAAATTTGAGCTCACTCCCGTCGTTTCTCCTCTCTGACCTCGTCGTCTCCTCGCCACCTCCGATTATATATAGACAAAATCAACGGGGGACAGAGGGGTCTGCTCCGGATGCTTCTCTGCCCGCGTGTGTGCCCGAGAATTTGTGCGGGGATCTCTAGATTGTAAGAGGAGAACGGCGAGGTGATTCAAAGATTATTCCTTCTCCCTCTCTCTGTGTTGCGAGTCCTCTGCTTCTGTCGTTTTATTGGTTCCGGTAGATCGATCTACGCACCTGTCTCCCGTTTTCTTCAATTGGGGGAGTGTATGTTTTTCTAATCTTTATGTCCACGTCTGGTTTCCACCTCTTTGTTCGGAATTCCCTCTGGTCTTCGACCGGGACGGCGTCTTGAGATCGCTTCCTTTTTAATGTGGATACTAGCACCCGGATTTTTCTTTAACAATTTGCTCTCAGAATTCCGAACGTGTTGGGTGGTGGCATCCTTTGTTTCCTTTCCTTTCATCTTGGAGTTTAATTAGAGGCCGGCAGGATTGCTGTGCTTGCTTCTGTGTGTTCTATGTTTTCCGTCTCCTTTTCCCCGCTTTTTATCTATAAATGGCGTTGGATTGCCTATAGAGTCCTTCTAGAGTGAGTAAAAACGTAAAAACTTATGTTGCCTATCATCTGTCGCAACTTCTGTTGCGAATATTATTATGCAATCCAGAATGACAGATATCATTTGCCAAGTGGAGAGTGCCGGGTAAAGGGTAGTTGAAACTCGAAAAGCATTCTATTCGCAGGGTCTCTGTCATCAGGAAAGTGAATGCAACATCAATATGGTCAAAAACTAATATTGCTTTCGGTGCATTTGTCATCTTTAGGACTATATGAACCAGCTACTGCACTGCTGCAGTCTGCGAGTCATCCAATTTTCTGATATCAGTTAGAAGCCATAACGTGGGAGTTCGGATGTGGGCTATTTTAAGTTCCTTGCTTTCAAGTCGTTCATAAAATTATTACTTCCAGTTCAGGAAAAAGAATATAATTTACGCTATCAAAGGACCAACCTGCTGATATGACACGAACGGATGACATGGAGGTTGCAGGTGGAGAACATAAACATCCCATCTTGTTCGGCTGGTTATGACATCGTCTTGGAACATCCTTCTCAGCCATCAAGCTTACTTTTTTAAGATTGGCATTATGGTTGATATATAACATTTTTTTTTCTTTTGTTTATCTTGTATTGGTCAACGATGCTACTTCTAGTTTCTGATTGGTAATTATCACAGTAAATACTCTGAGAGAAATTTTACTTAGAAGACTGCCAAAAATAAACCACGAAAAAGGTGCTTGATTTTCAAAGATATTGCTTAAACTGGTCAGAAAACACTGAGGCAATTATGAAGAACACTTTCCCAGAACCAAGATCAACCTAGCCTCGAGCTCGGAAATTTTCTATTGTTAAAGAAGCATTCCGTAAAAAATTAAGACAATTTCCTGCTACTGATTATCGAACAGAATTTATATCTCTGCTGGGTACTCATGGGTACAAATGCATCTCTGTTTTCCATGACTCGTCCGTCACCTTCTCACAGCTGCATAATCAAATTCCTTTCATTCCCTTCCTTTTACTGTTATATCTCGAGAACTTCATCTGCATCTACCGGGATCGCTTCTTTTAGCTTTATTAACTGTCTCGTTTGATTGCTGAGCAGATCACTCACAATGCAGTTGGGCTCTACCAGTATTCAAGTGCAACAAGACAGTTCAAAGATTGAACATCTTTCACATCAACCGTCCACCGAAGATCTCTGCAAAGATCACAGATCTTCATCTGAGATTAAGTTGCTAGGAATAAATATCGACTCTCAAAGCTATGATGATTCTGATGAATGTAGCAATCTTGTGAACTCGGATCAACCACAATGTCGAATCTGCCTTGATTCTGAAGGTTGCTCCTTATCATGTTCACTCTCTAATTTCTCACATAGAATTTCAACTTCTCATTGAATGACGTCTTGAATAATCTTGCGATGCTTCTTCTAGGTGAAGATCTTATTGCGCCATGCCATTGTAAAGGTACACAGAAGTACGTCCATCGGTCTTGTCTTGACAACTGGAGATCAACCAAGGTAAAAGCTTGTATTAAGATACAGAAGCATCATCATGTTCTCCTAAGCATTTTGATGTCTGTGCGACTACAACATCCGTTTCTCACTTTGACGTCCAAATCAGGTTTAATAGATGCTTGCATTGTCATTGTAGGAAGGTTTTGCGTTTTCTCACTGTACAGAGTGTAGAGCCGTATTTTTATTACGGGCAAATGTACCTCCTGATCGGTGGTGGCTGAGATTGAAGTTTCAGCTCCTTGTCATTCGGGATCATGCATTCATTTTCGTGGCCGTGCAACTGGTAAGGTTACCGAGTGCCTTTTATCATTTTTTCTGCTTTTTGAAGTTTATGCCTCCTAGTTATGATATCTATGAAACTAGTTGCTAAATAACATTTGATTGCTAATTTTTTCTGTTGATGTAGACAATGTTGCTAGGCTCCATCTCGAACGAAAATTCTCAAATTTTATGAGATAGGTGATAATTTGACACAGCCTCAATATCACATGTAGACAATCCCCACATAACTCCCAGCTAAAACTTCTACACATGCTAGTTTTTTTAATGTAGGCGCACTTCAGAGTTTTCAAGAGGTGATCGTGTGTTGAAGAGCTTGCTACCTCTGGAGAACAGGAGACAGAATTCAATACTAGTGAAGGTGGCACGCGGGAATGGATTCTTGCTTGAAAGTTGGACATATTGAGTCGGTTTTACTATTCTTGTTTTGCGGAAGAACTTATTATAACAAATTCACTACCGCGTTGTGTCAATTGGAAGGTGGTGAGGTGTATAGATTGGCAGAATTTATGGGTGAGACATCAGGGGAAGATTTACAGATGCAATTACGGACATATTCAATGAAATAATGCATTTTTTGTTACTAGTATTATAACATTTTAGACAAAAATGCTTGAGATTGAAGGTGTCTCTCATGATTTCTGTAACATTTTTCCTTGGAATTCTAATGAATCTCTAGTTTGGATCCCGATGGATTCAGGCTTCTGGGTATGTGGGTGTGGTTAATTGTTTGATGAAACTTTCAGGAGAAATCTTCAGGAGCTTGTTTCTTACTAATGATCTCAGTGTTAAAGCTTTAGTTAATTTGTACTTCATAACTGGTGACTATGTGCCTTCTAAGTGGGATTTCTATAGACTTTCACAGACCGTGGATACAATTGCACAGATTGCGGGTACGAGGGTGATCCTTATGTCTCTGTTTCTAGAAGATCCTATATGTTTTCTTTTATATTTCAGGAAAAACTCGAGAGTGGTTGAAAAGGTGAACCATGTCCCTTCTTCATAGGTAGATTCACGACGTAGGGTCTGTATCTGGGATAAAATATCGGAACACAGAAAAACTCATGACGAGGCCTCTTTTTCCAACCCCCTTTACTGTACCATAGTTGTTCAACACTGCCTTACCCAAGGAGTCATTGGGCCACGTGGTCTATGAGTTGGCCTGGTCACAGAAATGCCTTGAATGTAAGATCCAAGCACAACCTGCTATTAGTTCAAAGCCTAATAGAGGCTGTTTAGCCTTCAAACTTGGGTTTTTGCCCAAAACAATCTCCACCTAGGTTGAAGCCATGACATTATTGTAATAAAATTGAAGTAATAATCCATTCCATCTCATGAACCGTATGAAATAAAATTTCCCTGCATAGATGCGACAGGCAAAAGGATAAGCTTATTTTTTCTTCGACCTAACAACTTGGCTGAACACTGGCCACAAGAGCGTCATGCATTCTGGGTAGATCAGCTCATTTTAGACATGACTTTCTGGAATGAGCTTTGACACCTTAATGACCTATGGAAACGCCTTAAATGTATTGTGTCAATGAAATTTGGCCAATGATCAATCTCTTCTTTAGTAAGATCTACCTTATTTTTGTTGTGGTGTTAGCGTTCAGATTTCTTCCTATATTAGCCATGAGTTACTCCTCTTCTGATCAACCAATATGCTTAGCTTTTTTGCCGAGAAATGGCAAATCTGGTTACACTGCTCGTCTGGATCACCTACAGTTGTTTTTCTTCTTTTTCTATATTTTATCTTCTTCTGCGTATCATGTCAGAAAATTTTTGTACGCATCTATTTGCGTTCATATGTTTTCATCAGTGTACAATAAACGGTTCTTTTTTACAGATCGTTGCCTTCTTGGGTATGCTAGTCTACAGATTCTATGGAGATGAGCTGAGAGAAATGTTTGGTTACGAACAGCATCCTTATGGATTCTATTCAGTGGCAGGTCTCTCGCTCCCGCCCTCCCTCCCTCCCTCCCTATTCTGCTCTGTCTCTCTCTCTCTCTCTCCTCGTTCCCTCTGTACTTTTGATAAGCCAGTGCTTATTTGCATTACATTGCATTTCGATTCAATCCTTCAGACAAGGATCCTCGGATGTATAATTCAAAGTTTAGAATCTTTAGAAAACTAGAACTTTGGAATTTGTCTTTTCAGTATTAATGACCTTCCTTTCGTCATATCATTGCTCTTTTGGGGTGCACTTTGTGAAGATATTTTTTCTTTATTTAGTTGCCTGGCATGAATTAATCATAATGCACAACTTTATTTTGATATGTCGTTTTTTGATCCACACAGTTTTAGCTATTGTTTTGGTTGGATTGCTTTATGGATTCTTCATAGCCATAATATGTGGGCAAAGGATCAGTGAACGGCATTATCATGTTCTAGCAAAGCAAGAACTAACAAAGGTCAGTTACACTGAACTTAATTTCCTTTCCCTTTTAATCCAAGTGCAAGTTTCTGAAAAAGTGTCTGCCTCGATTCTCTTTATTTTAATTTATTTTTAAGATATCCGTGCTTCTCCATTTAACTTTGACGTGGGCTAAGAGATTGCCTCCGTTCATGGGTCTACTCTGAATTACAGCTTTCGAAAACCATTTATTCATTTTTATTTTTATTTTTATTTTGTTTGGGGGGGGGGGGGGGAGACACTGCATGGATTGGTGAAAATTAATCCCAAGATTTAACGTGCTTTTCTAAATAATTGTAAATAATAAACAAATAGACTGCTCCTTTCTCTGGGCATTGTTTGGTGTTGGAGGAGACTGACTGACGGTGTGGATATATAAAAAAAATGCAGGAGTACGTGGTGGAGAATCGAGAGGGGAACAAGAATCCTCCTGAGCTCGACTCCAGCCACGTTACCGAACTGAGGATGCTCGGACTCTATTAATCCGACTGATAGATGGGGGAGAAGAGAGGATTTCCCTAGTGATGCCGACGCCTAGAATGATGCAAGGCGTGGAGGCTCTTGCCATCCATCCATTTATCATCTTTCTCTTCGGAAGATTCAACCTGGGATGTGAGAGGACCAGCCACCATCTATCTCTCCTCACAGGAAGACTCTGCAACGAATAATGCCTCCCCAACCCCCCCGGGGCACAGTTTCTCTCACAAGGGATGGATCCCCCCCAGCCTTTGGATTGCTATCGCTAGTGACTGTGAGAAGAAGCCACTCCACCCCCACCGTCCAAGCGAAGCAATACGGTATGGCTCCCGTTTATTTCCAAGCTTGCACATCGGCTGACTTCTTTGACTTTTTCTCTTCTTGGGTGTGCTTTTATTGCAGATGCGCCTCCATCTCGGCGGGCGGCCCAGATGCCTCCTCTTCTTCTTCTTTTTTATAATAATAATTATTATTTTTAATTTATTTCCTGACTGGGATGCGATCCGCGAGCCCATGGAGCAGATGAATGCCTCCCTATATCATTGCAGTAACTGTAACTTGGTAATATGAGAGAAATAAAAGAAATACAAAACCTGCAGAGTTAATCATCGGCTGGTCGAACTCCGGTCAGTGCAGCGCCCGCACGAGAGCAAAATTCTGGAGAGCGCGAGGATGGAGCTTATTCGCTTATTACTACCACATTTAAACAGTGTGCCAAGGCGGATACAACGCGGCGGTGGTGCAGAGGATGAGCAAGTTTCTGGCGAGCGTGCGGAATTGTTCCCCGCCGTCTCCAGCTATTTACAGCTCCCCTGAGCAGGCACCTCCCCAGAGCCTCTGCAGATGTGCGCAAGCCTGCTGATCAATAGCATATATATATATATTCAGCAACGAGGGTGCGACACCGCCTACAAAGCAGCATAGGGGATTCAAAGAGCCCAGACCCTCCAAATTTTCGCACTGGTGGAAGAGCTCTTTTGGGGGACAGGGAGACCTCAAAGCTTGAGGCTGACACATTGGGGGCTGCAATGGGTAATGAAAACCTTGGTGGAAGCTCACAAAGAGGAATCCCCTGCTGCTAGGTGGATTCTCTATGGGGGCAACCCTCCCGGCAGTTAAAACATTGGGCAGACCCACACAGAGTGACAGGATGGGGTTAATATACTAGGGAACAGAGCTTACCCTCAACAAGCACAGCGTTAGGTATCAGTCACGAGTCTTCATCATCTGATGGTATTCTGACTTTGTTGGGCTTCTCAGCCGAATCTGGAGACAAATCTGTAACAAAATAAAATAAAAAATTAAAATAATAATATAAAATTCTGATAAATGTTTAGTAATAATAAGTCCAATAAAGTTAACACTCAAGGCCGTTTTTTTCATAAAGCGATCAAGTAAAGAAACCCACTCCCGGTCCTCAAAAAACGAAAGCAGCATAATATGACTTTCCATATGTGATAGAGATGTCCATATCCCACACAAGAAAAAAAAAAAAAGAAGAGCCAGTGGGTCAGAAAATATGTTGGCCAATAAAGTCAAGATAGAACCTTCTCTCCCAAAAGTTGCCTCGAGAGCATTGAACTACGAGGAATTCAGAAAATTTTCACTCTCAGCCACGTCACATGAAGAATTTATCATTGCTCAGTCTCCCTCTTAAAAACTCGTACCATAAAATTGAAATACAAGCTGCCGATCATGGTGCCGGTTAGTCTCTTCAACGTCCGCCAGATGTTGGTAACATAGACAATAAGAGAGACCAAACAAGAGGAGGATAAATCCAAGATGCTGGGGCCACAGGACGAGAGGCTAGCAAACACGAGTTGTTGGCAACAGGAACTGCTCCATTAGTCCGTCATTTCTCTGGTGGGAACCCAGATCTCACTAGCCACACGATTACTGACAGTTACCAGGGACAAATAACCACACTCATTGTCAGCCACGCCAACACCTTCTGCTCATTCGCTTCCATTCTACCTCCCTCTCGAAAGGTGACTAATGTTAACACTATTAAGTCGACAAGAGTTTCTTTTTAACTTTTCTCTGGGAAAGGTGAATAGAATTTTTTTTTTTGACGAGTACATTTTATGAGATAAATGAACGTAAAAGCCACATTCTGGACTCCCATCTGTAGTTCTTCATCATTGTATTGCACTGGACGTACCGCATGATTAATGGGCTAGCAAAAGTTCTGCTGCTTAACAAGTGACCTGCCGTAGTTGGCATGGGCTTGACCATTTGCAGGCCAAAGAAAGTTTCGAGTATTCATGTCAGCCTTTTCGGGGAAAAAAGAATCATGAAAGAAAGAAAAACGAAGATGGACATCCCGAGGATGTAGCAGTCTGTCAAAGGTGGACACAATAATGTGTTGGCGTATTCTAGTGCAGAAGAGCATTCAATGCCAAGAACTCCACAGTCAGAAATAGTGCAGATATCTCAATGATAAGAGCGGGGACACACAATGGAAGAAGGGAAGGAGATGAAGTTGAAGAAAAAGCCTCTGAACTTTTATCAGCATCACCTTTTTCACGTTTGCACCCAAGATTGTTTCAATGCATCTTCCTTCTATATGAGCAGCTTAATTTTGTGGATGCTAATCAGATTTCAATTTATTTCCCAACTAGAGACTAAAGCTTCCCACCAACGGCATTTTGATTGCAGACTAAGCCGTTTTACCTCAATCTCTCATCTTCACATCAACAGCTTCGAATGAATAAAAGCATGAGAAACTACAATTAGCACACTGAAATCTCTCACTTCACGATCAGTGGGATTCCACTTGAACCTAGATGCCCATGGTGTAATTGCCCAAACAGTAAGACCAACTCCCCTCCTTATTATTTCAAGTCAATTTTGGTGGAACTTATAGCTTGATGTAAGTACATGTTCACCATAATTTTGCAATGGCAAAGTATCGACTGGAATTGTAGGAACAATTGGCTGCCAGAATGCTTGCCTAAATAGTTTAAGCTCATGTGAAAAGTGAATAAACCTATAAGTTTATTACGGAATCTGAAACAGGCAACCTTGAAAAAGACTCGATGCAACCCGAAAAAAAATCGGAGTCATATGTAAATATTATAGGAATTCCCTGCAAGGAGAAACAGTTCATACCATGAGTATTCTGAAAAAAATATCCATTGGAAAATCTCTATCCGCAGTGGGAAATTACACCTTGAGTGCATCTCTCTTCAAACAATCAGGAAACATCGTGTACCTTTATAACTTTTTCTCACTCCACACACCCATTACACCTTGAGTTCCTCTCTCTCTCCCCCCGAAAAAAAATATTTCCATAGCTTTGGTTCTCTTTTCCATCTTTGTCAACGTCAGAAAAAGTCAGTACATTATAGTCGGCATTTCCATCCAAGCACAAAAATCTGTCTTTTGGTTGACGGACATAACGACGTTCAATCTCTGGGGTGGGTTTCAGCTGAAATATCCCGCCTTCTCCTTATAATACCGCTCATTTCCCAAAAACCCGAATTGACCCCATAATAACCTTATTGAATAAATCGCTTCTTTGTACCACTTATACTGAAAAAGCCATGTTCTTTCTAAAAACTATAATATATAACGGAGAGACCTTTGAAGAGTCGCCATATGTCTCGTTAAGCACATCAAGAATGGAAAGCGCAGATTGAAAGCGCCAAGATTTGAAAAAGGAGAAGATGCAGAAAATCATAAGGTGTTCTCCCTATCGAGCATTACTTCAGGGTATACCGTCAAAAAGAAAACCTAAAAGGGGATGTTGCCCATTACCTCCGACTAGGTGAGAAGAGCATGGCCACCCCCAGGCTGTCGTCAGGGACATGACCTCCTCCTCGGTCATCGGACTAGACACTTTCTCCAGCACCTCCACCAGCTTATACGACCTTATCCGCGGTGGAACCCAGTAAGAGGACCCCGGGACGAAAGGCAGCCAGTCCGGCGCCGACCGCCGCACGAGTATCCCATGGATGACGTCCTCCAGCCGCCGCGCCGCCGCCTCCCCCCTTGCCGCCGTTGATTCCGACGACGAGGCCCCGGACCCTCCGCCCCCCTCCGTCGCTGCCTCGAGCACAAACTCAAAGACCTGCGCGAACTTCTCCGACCGGCCGGATCTCCACCGGACATAAACCAAGCTAGAGGATGGCGGCCGGCACCGCAGCGAGGGGAGGCGCGAGCATCGGGGGAGCTCCCGGATCTGGGCTATGGATTCCCGGATCACCGCCTGCGAGAGGGTCTGCGCCATGGCGAGAAGAGAGAAGAGGTGAAGCGAGAAGCAAGAAGCGAGACCCCGCCAACCAAAAGGATGAGGTGGTGCGAGTCCTTTGGCGCCTGCGAGAGGAAGAGTATTTATAAACACGTTCTCGAGATGGGCTCGGCCCAAATATCTCGTTCTCATCTTCTATAGATCTGCCTAATTTGGCTTTATGGACTAAAATACCCTCCCTCAAATTGGGGACTTATTGGGCCGCTATCCAATGGGCCCTAAAAATTTCCTTGAATGATCCTCCAATCGTCGTCCTTGTATATATATATATCAGGAAAAACGGGTCGGCGGAGAGGCCGAATCGTCTGCTGCTGCTGCGACGAGATCATCTCCGACGTCGTTGCTCCCCAGGCCGCCGGCGGAAACATGGCGGCGGCTACCATCGCCGAATTCCGCGGGGCCAGGGACGTTCACGCTGCTTTTAGGACTTTCATGAGGACCGCAGAGCGACTGGCTTGGCGGCTCTGGTTATCTTCGTTTCTACCGCGCCTATTTTATTTCTTTCTACTTCGTGCGATATCAGTCTTTTGTGCATCGGGTTTCAGGTGTTCCGACATTAGCCTCAGCTGTTCCCTCTATCCCGACGCGTCATTTATTGCCAGCCTTCTCCGGCAAGGAGGCAGTATTTGTTCCAGTCAGGCAGCTATGAGCTGCAGCCTTTGTTCTCACCTGATGGATAGTAGGACCCGGATGGGCAGTGAAAAGAATCAGTTGTGCTGGGATTGCCCAACGTGTTGAGAGCGAAATGAAGGTAATCAGGGCCAAAAACTGCAGAGTCTCTCTTTCCCCGCCCTGGTAACGAGATCAAAAGGTACAGTGAGCTTCGTTGCTGATTTATGGTTGGTAATCTAAACTTTTTTTCATCCTTGTCCATAATTCTACGAGACAAAATTGGGCATTAGAAGAACATATTTGATACAAGGATCCTCCAAGTTCAATCGCTCAAATGCAATTACAAGAATCAAGGCGTGCATTATATGATAAATATAATGTATCCTCACTGAAAAGCTAACACGTAACAGGGTTGACCAAAAAATGCAGGTGTGGGGGAAACAATGATCCGACTCTGTATTGGGCACGGAACCTCCAATCATCATTTCCAAGAGGAAGAACTGAACTTCGACAAGCTGAAGAACAGACCGAAATTGCGTCGCCCCTTGGACTGGTGTGGAAAACAACCTCCTCTGATATGATCAGGTTTTCACTTCTTACCAGCAGCGAGAGGCTTTATCTACATTCCATTTAAAGCGATTTAATAAGCGATAAACACTTGCCGCAGCTGATATTGATACAACATAGAACAGGTAATATTTGAAAATCTAGATACTGCGGAATAAGTTAAATATTAGAAAAGCTTTCCTGTATTTATTTTTCTCATTAACTTTAAAACCAAAGTGGCTGGTAGATCAGGAGAGACCAAAATTATCGTCACCATCATGTCAGTAACATAATTATTTTCAGAGGAATTTGAAGACAGCATTTAGTTCTTGTTCAGGGATGGCCGCGCAAGCAAAACAGGTTCTTCAACGCGTGCTGAAGATGCTGTCTCATAACTGCAAGCATGCTTCATGAGAGAAGACTGGTGAAGCCAACAAGACAAGAAGTGAGAGAAGAAACCATAAGGATATCTGTCGGGACTTTATCGTGTAGGTCTCATCTCGGAGAAAAGATTTCCCCCCTGATCGTTTACTGAAACTGTCAATTCTGCTCATTGGTTTATTCATTCTATCTATACATAGAGCCCGTCAATCTTTTTCCCTTGCTTTCCTTCTCTTCTGTATCTTAGTTTCTGCTCTCAGGTGAACGTCTTTTATACCCTCATTCCTTCACAGTCACCTTTGAGAAGGATATCTAGAAAAATTTTGCTAATCTATTCATTAATTTCATTAAAAAAACATGCAGGAGTTTACATTATCATGAAGATTACTCGACTTGCATTGATAAATCATTTCATAAAATTCGATTCAGTGAGAACTAGAGTATCTTCCTTTGATATTTTCTGAAAAAAAAAAAAAAAAAAAGGAAGAGGGAAATGGCTTCACGCTGTTCTCTTATAATAATGGCCCTGAAAAGATATATTCGCTCATTTGCGCTAATGTCTTCATAAATGAAAAACGGCTAAAAGATTCACTTGTAATTGAAAAAGGAATTATATTCCAAACCACGAGAAAGATAGATTGTCCAAGAGAATTATCTAAGAGCAGAAAGGTACCGATTCTAAGTATCTTAGCTCTTTCAGAACTTCACTTGTTTCCAGCTCCTACAATGAAAAAACATGATAAAGACGATGTTCCATTTTATCAAAATTAAAAGAAGAACAAAGTCTCAAACATGGTCATAATGATAAGGATGATGATGATGATGATGATGATGATGATGATGGCAAGAGAAAACAGATATAAAAAAAAAAACCAGAGAACGAGATCAGATTACATATAATCCTTTCACCAGACCAAGTTACATCGAAAAAAGATTTCATAATGCTACAGTACACAAATAACATTGCGACATATAGTTCAAAAAATCGACAAGAATGTTTTAAAGCATGAAAGTTCATTTCCTAAAGACAACACGGCCAATTACCGGATTGGAAAGCCACTTCCAGGATAAATCCCAGTTCGGGCTAAAAAGTCAACTGATATTTTACAACTTTCAAAGGTACGATCATAAATATCTAAATATAAAATTATGGCTGGTCAAAAACAATTCTCTCTCACCGTATCAAGTCATGACAACTGTATAGTTCTGCTCTCCAGGCCAGAACATGTTATTGTACCATTCTTAGTCAAATGGAACGATCATGATGAGGATGTAACATCGATTGATCAGAAGTCCCATCGCATGATTACGAGTGTAGAAATCACTTGAGATCAAGGAGATAAGCAGGGAACGGGAGAGGAAGGAAAGTTATCAAGTGGCTGGCAAACCCACCCCAGACGAGTCAAGATGTCCCCGGAGTCAAGAACAGAAGACGATAAAAAAAGACATCCAAAGGCAAAAAAAAAAAAGCTACCAGTGCCCAAGCTACCCTCGCAAGGGATCATTATATCATGTACACCACTGCAAATTGATCACAGATATCATGCATACATAACTTATGAGACAAAGAAGAAACAGTGGATTGGGCCATCATAGCCTTGGTGAAGATATCAATTGATCTGACACACACTTCATTTTTTTTTCTTTACTCTTCCGGGTAATCACAGTGGCTCAAAAAGATATACAGTAACCTGTAACGGACCCTATGCAATCGCAAAAACTAGCTCAACCAGCATCAGAGAAACGCTAAGTTTAAAATCATCACCCTTATAGGCCTTTACTTTACTATATGGGTGTCATCACTGAAGCTACTAAAGCACTTATCGGAAGATGATGCCGGAAAGGGGGAGCAAGTACAGCCTTAAGGAGGCCTCCATTCTTTCTCTCAGTGATATTAGTATGCTTGGGGTTTATAGGAGCATGAGGATTCACGTACCATCCTCTCATGTTCAATTAACTCATTGGTGGTGTTTGTAAAAGAGAGAATGAGAGACAGAATTACAAAGAAACATGGCCAAAACATAGCTCCATGATGTGATACCATGAATAAATAACTCAGGGAGAGAAGATAAGACCAAGAGAATGGGAGAGGAGAGTTGTCGAGTGGCCAACAACCCTACCTCACCTCCCAACAAGAAGATCGTAATCTTGTTCACGCCCATATTAGTTAGATACTTTGTCTCCCTTTGTCTGAGAGGAGACCTGCAACTGGCAACACCAAAGGCTAGATTATTCTCCCTTTGTCTGAGAGGGTAGTACAGTGGGCATTATCACAAGGCAGGGTGAAGCGACTAATCAGTCAATGATAGTGAGATTAGCCTGGATTCTGGCCAATCTTTCTTTTTCCTCTTCCCTTTTCCCTTTTTCCACCCACCATTTAGGGGGATCAGGATTAGGCCAGGGACCCTTAATCCCAATTCAAACTATAGTCAACCTGTTTATCTGGTCACTGTCGATTACCTACATGCAGCTTTGCATTATCCTATCTAGGACTGGCTACCAAGTTAGAGGTGCCGATGCCTGTTAAACGAGAAAATGTGACTGCCAATAGACGTCTAGACTATAATATAGGTGCATATCCACTCAGACACAAGGCATATAAGTACACTTACGCGGTAAGAAATTTCTGCAAAAAAAGAGAATCTGCACAAACCATTGATGGCGTAATGGGCAAAAGTTATCACCGAAATCTCCATCAATATTCATTATTACAACGATTAAATTGGATATAAACTTAAAATATTGAAATCGCAACGTAAAAAGTACTTCATATTTGCATACTTTCTTCTAATGACCTCGTAAGAATACAATTGTTACAATGCCAGAAGTTCACCTGGGGAACGGCACAATCAGCGTGTATTGGATCCCAAATAACAGCACAAGAGCAATCCCAATCATCAGTTTGAGATATCAATGGAGGAGCTCTGCAAATATAAACAAACAGGAAAGATTTCATTTTCTGGTGCTTGGAATAATATGCATCGTCTATAAAAAAAAACTGAATTCAAGGATAAATTTTGACAAAGGAAAATGTTTTATGATAATGCCAATAGCATAAAGAAAAAAGGGGAATATATCGGAAACAAGAGAACGACAGTTCGATTGTGTCCAGGAAGAGGATGAAAGGAATCATGAGGCATTATTAAATTAATTATGGTCGTCGCGTCGAATGGGTGTTGTTAGTTACAAGATACAGCCGTTATATCATATTAAGTTTATTTGAAATTTATTAACACTATATAGAATAAAAGAATATGCATATAGCCAACTTTAGCCCACAGTAGAGTAACAAGAATCGAGAATATCCCAAAAGGCTCTACGCAACCAAGGCATAACTAAAAAATTAAAGAAAGTTTGTCGTTTTCTTTTTCCTTTATTGCCATTAAGATTCAATTATAATTGACAAAACCCATCAATTCCGACGATTTAAAATTAATTTGGCATCATATTGCATAAGAAACCTTTTCTGAAAGGGCTCAAGGCAGTTTACCTTCGCCACTTTCCACATACAATTCCCTGTTCATCCCCCTCTGTCCAACGCAGAACCTTTCCTCGACACTGAAGCCAATTGCTAGTTGAGCCAGAACTTGATGACTGACTACAGCACTAAAAGTAAAATAAGAAACGTAAAAAATCTACCATCTAAGGAACCATTCTAAAGTGTTTTCCGAAAAAAGTAATCAAAGAAGACACCTTACATTCAAGCTATCTCGTTCGGTAGGATTCAATTCCAAAGGCTTACCAAAATAATCATCATCACTATACAAAAACAAAACCAAATGTTAGAGAGCCTCATGGAGTTCATAACCCATAAAGCACTGGAAAGCATAGACTAGGAAATTCCATGATTGGATGCCTTCAAAAAACAAAGCATAGGTAAAGGTGTAGAATAAATCCAACTTAAAGAAATATGAAGTAATTTTAAAGTCATGTATTCTAGGAAGTGACTCTCAGGAATGTCACTTACGATTGGTATATACAGAATCATATCCACCGATCAAGACTCTAGAATTCAAAGAGAAAAGAGTACATCTCATTGTGATTACAAGAAAGCAGCAGGAAAACAGAGCTAAAATAAAATTATACATTAGGACGATGAAAAAAGTAACTCAAGCCAAATAATTGTGTTGATTAAAAAAAATCAACCTGAAATTAGTATGATCCCGTGACAAGGAAAAAGTAGAAGTCTTCCAATTTTGCAAAATCACACATATAAATCTCCCGTCGTAGATTTGAAATATTACTCACCCAACCCAAGATTTCATTAGCATGCCCACTGTTTAATTGTTTCACGAAAATCCACCTAGTAAACAACTTAAAATACTTTACCCCGCAATACTATGAAAGAAGGCTCCACAGCATAAAAATCTTCTCCTAACTGAAGCACTATGCATGCCTCAAGAAGTGGGAGTTGTTAGGTTAAACCCGCCTTTGGCTGAAATGCTGAGAGGGTTCGCTCCAACCAGGAGTTTATTACATATTGAAAGGAATAAAATTTAGTTTTAACCAAAATGAATCCGGTGAATAAATATTCTCAAGATGATGAGTTAGTAAAAAAGCAACTTAAAAATCACAGAATCTAGTAAAATCTTTAGAAACTCTCTTATCTCGTACAAAAATGCATAGTTAAATACATAAATGAAGATCAAGGAAAATGAATCGGTACAAACACCAAGCATAAAATTTTGAATCAATACATCAAAGAAATGGAGATGAATTTTTCGTGGAAGAGAAGCAATATTTATTGAATAAGAGCCATTATTTCTTCTGTCAAGACTTTGAAAGCAAACATCCATTAGAACCTCCATCGTGCTCATTTAATTGGAGCTTAATGAACATACACTAGTAAGGTAGATATATTATTAAATGTATGAAGGTGAACCAAAACACCAGACTTGTTGAACCCCATGTTAAAACGATACTTGACAACCTGACTGATAAAAAAATTAGGATTACAAAAAGATAACCATAAACCTCAATCTTTTTATACAAATTTGAGCATAAAAGCTTTTGAAACTGATGCAGTTCTGCAAATTCTCTTTCACATTAACGTAGAGAGCAGAAAATCAATGCAAAAAATGTACGCCCCATATTAATAGGTTTCGTGATTGCAAAGGACAATCACCAAAAGAATGTTTCTTATGTTTACAAAACATTCATCACGACAACGCAATTGGGATCCAAGGTCAGATTACCCTAATGAGATCATCTGGAGTGATTCATGAACAATCCTGAAAACATAAAACAGCCTTTTATTAAGTAAGAAGTATACTTAAAACTACTTTTATTGAGTATTTTCGTCAAAACGTTTTTATAGTTCTATCAACCCTTTTCATAACCCACCCCATAATTGAATTAGCCAATTCCTTGAATTATGGGGGTACATATGTCAGTTAGACTTTAATCACAACAAAAAGAGATTTTTCAACTGTAATCACAACATTCGAACAATCTGTAAAAATTGACTGAGATTCGCACTTTTCCAAGACCAGACCAGAGCTTTATTACTAGAGGGAAAACTGGGAATGTACAAAGAACTCTTGTATAACAATTCACGTGGATGTGTGTCCCAGAAATACACCCTATGAGCAAAAATCATGAGGTGGTAAAACATATCATGTTGACATTCACAGAAGCACATTGATAGATATTAACAAGCTTAAGTATAATTGTAATTCAGGAAAAAAAGGAAACTGCTTGGGAGAACGAAGAAGACAGCTGGTTATAAAAACATACTCAGAAGTTGGCCTGGCCCATTCAGGAACTTTTGCTTGAAAATCTTCACCTATTTTGACACCCGAAGTATACGGTTCTGTGTCTTCTAACATGTATAAAATTGGACCTAACTTCTCTTGTAACATCTCTTTCCTCTTCTTTTCGCTCATGGCATAAAATAACTTTTCTGAGAGAGTCTCTGGTGGTACCTTTGGTTTCTTACTCAGACAGGGGTGACAGTACCATTCGTCAACTGGAAGTTTCTTCACCTTACAACAGGATAGATGCCATGCCTCTTCACAAAGATCACAAATTAACATCTTCTGCAGGCTATCCTTAAGACCACACAATTTGCACACGAGAGAAGCGAGATCATCACTGTTCCTTGCACAAGAGACATTCGCCAAGCTGCAGCTACTGCCAGCCAGACGTCCTACTGGCTGGGCACGACAAGTAACATCAGAGAAAAGTTCATGTTCCATGATGCACTTCGAAGAAGAACAACTATCATTTACATTGTTGTACCTCTGGGACAGTTTATGAGGCTTATTCGAGGATTTCTCCTGCGCCTCAGTGGTCTGGCTTGGGAGAACCAAGTGGCTATTATCATCAGCCTGTGAGGCTTGAGCATTGACAGGTTTCTGCTGATGGAGTTGTACAGAAATGGATGTATTTACAGGAAGTGAAGGGATCCCATTAAGATAATGCTCATATTTTTCCCAGGAAGTGCATCCATAATTCAGGCCAGAATTACAAGTATTGCTCCCATTTGTGATGCCAGCACAATTGTCCTCTGACAACAGAGCAACAGAGTTTCGCAATTTCCGACGCTTGTATACATAGCTAGCATGCATGTTGTAAACATTATAAGGAAGGAACCCTGAATAGTGGCACATGAAAAATGCACAATTATGTCAAATTTTAATGGGTTGCATCGACTCAAACATATCAAGCTCAATAACACAAACCCATTGCAACAGATAATATAGCTTGATGCATGTGTGATAATATAGTTTCTGAAAAAAAAAAAAACATATAGTATTTGTCAAAGTAAATAAGCTGCGACTTTGTTATCAAATAAAGTAATCCTCGCCTCCCGAAATTCGTTGATGCTGTTAACATTGTAGTCACACATGCCAACTAAAAATGTTTGAGCTGCTTTAATTTTTTTAGTGCGGATATCCGTTAAACAAGATGGTTACTGTTTATCCAACTCCTTACCCTAGGAGAGAAATACAATAACACATTGGTCTAAAACTGCTGCGATCAGGCTATGTTTTCAAGATTTCTTGATTAGTTTTGAAGCATACCCAATGAACGTCAGATCCTTCAGAAATATTGCAGCATAGTTTACTCTGAACTAGATTGCACATGAACACAGATTTCCTTGAATATTGAAATGTTCACTGAATGGCCCAAACACATGGTAGGTTACACATAAATGCACATCTAATAGTTATATAAATTTCTCAAAAGACCATATGATTCGTGCCTCCAGGAACAAGTCAGATAGATCCTCTAATTATGTCTCTTAACTGTTGCTTCATATGTCAAGACTAAGCTACAAGTTACCCGGTGAAAGTCACAGAGACATTTGAGGAGCCGCTTTATCCGATTCAGGAGGTAAGTTTGGCATTTGTTTTAGTCATGGATTATACGTCAAACAAAGGTAGCGACGATGCATTATTGAGGGATTGGAATCGGGTATGGTTTCTGGCGAGGAGCCCTGCCTCTTTTGTTTTCAAAGAGAGGATCCTCGTCTAAAAGAGACTAGGTTTTCTTCCAATGAACCCTGGGGTCGTAACGCACTGATATGAGAAACACATTGCAGGAGACGCCAAAAATCAATCATTCATCTTAAGTGCGTTGATAGCGGATAATGGAGTAGCTTTTGCTAGGATTCCAACGAATAAATAAATAAATTGCAATCCGGTTCCCCTTCTTCTGTTCTTCCTAGATATTGCCCACATAGGGATTCCTGTTGCGGGTTATGTTGTGACACCTGATGCAAAATCAGGCATAGATTGGAATTTAGACGAACGGGATTCTTTTGTTATTTCCACAGGTTGACTAATTAGCGTAATATGTGGTGGTGACGACTTATTTCCCTCTTCGTCCCCTGCTTACTCTTCTTCTTAATCTGTGGGTGCTCGTGTGCCTCGAAGGCGTGATGTGTATGTGAAGCAAGCATTAAGCTGAAACCCAAGAGAACGACGTAGACAGATGGTAGATGTTGAATCTTTACCTTCCTGTTTGGGATCGTTCGACTCTCTGTGTTTGGATTCTCCGTTGTTGTCACTCGGCAAGGAAGACTCCATCAGACTGGGAGAGAGAGGGGGAGAGAGAGAGAGAGAGAGAGAAATAGGGAGAGGGAGTCGTTTCTCCTTTCTTTAAACCTCCCCTGAGATCTCTCCCTGCCTTTTATTCGATACTAAAACAGAGGTATAAAAAACACGGCTTTTTTATCCTTATTGAGGTGCAATTAACTCCTCATTTCCACAGGTGGGGCATCATTTAAATATTTGCGAAAAAGGAGGAGGACAGCCTACGTTGCCCGTGCTCCCCTCCAGCCGTCGGATTGAAGGCGGCTCATGGACTGACATCGAGACTTACCTCCACCATCGAACGTCTGGCGATCAACTCCGTGTCTGTTCATCCCTCGGTGAAAAAACCAGGATGAATTTTCATGGCCCACAACGAAACGCAGTCTCGAGAATGCATCTGTGATTCCTCAAGGGAAATAAACGTCTCACTCGAAAGCCAAATGGGTGCTTTTTCAGGGTCTATATAACCCGTTTGAGGCCAGGCGACAACCCCTCCTGGCCCTTAGGATGGGGGAGGACTATTTATCACATGAGGGGAGCCAAAAACTGTTCGAGGTAGAATTCAGCCATCCATTTTGATTTTAAGCTGTAACCTCGAGAAATGATTGCCAATCTTTTATATCGCTTTATGTGTGTGGAGCTCGTCTCCGTTTTATATATAATAAGTTCAGTATGGAATACAGAAACATGGTTTGAATGGTATTCTCCAGATTGCATTTCGCTACTCTCTCTCTCTCTGATGTTAAGCTTTCGATTGGAAGGCCCTACTAATTGGAGTATGTGCCAATAGACACGCGGATAAGACAGTTCCCTACATTATGATGTGATGTTTACTCCGTGCATTCGAGTAAAACCTTCCATCTATCCATCCATCCATCCATCCATCCATCCATCCATCCATCCATCCATCCATCTTGTGACGGATATGAGGCGACACTATTCAGTCTGGTGTTGTGATCGGCGATTTGTGGGTTCCCACTGATCCATAATTGCACCTTGCACAAACAACCAGAATGATGGTGGTCTAATCTCAGTTCTACATTGGGCGAGAGAGAGAGAGAGAGAGAACTTCTTGGGCTTCCTTCTCTGATGAATTCAAGACAGGAGGTGAGAAGTTTTAAGAAACACATCAGAACTGATTGCTGTGAGGCTGACTGCAGGCAGGATCTCTTCTTCGCTTCTGAAAGTGAGTTTTTTTGATCTGCGAAGACTGTTCGTCAAATACCCTTCTGGAGTTTATGATTCTGACTGATTATTTCGTGTGATTTATCAGTGCAAACTTTGTTCTTCATCGTTTAAATGTAGCGTATAGGAGGAGATTGGAGTTCATTCTATTCAGAGCAAGAGCGAGGGGCTTATTTGGAATTTCCGCCACAGAACGCCACAGAACGACTACTCGACTGCCACCGCTGCTACTTCCGCCGGGTCCTCTCCTCCGTTTTCTTCCTCTTTGTTCCGACCTTGCGCGACTCCGTCATCGCCGGTGCATCTCCGACGAAGAACATTCCAGGAAGCGGGCAGCCAGGATCCCTGGAATCAGCCCCCACCGACGCCCGTTCTCTGCTTCCGGCGGAGCACTGCGTCTGCGTTGCTGTCCTTGGGTTACAGTTCTCGAAGCCGTTCGCAGCTCCAGAGGGCCATCGGGTTTTCGCCCGTGGGAATCCTTCAACGGTCCTGGGTTTATTCTTCTCCTTGCTTGATCAAGCCGTCACCCGAGTCGAGGGGGAAGTACTATGCCTCACAAGACTCGACCCATGACGGCCCTTCTGGTGTTCACGGGGCTGAATGCCCTTTTGTTGACGACGATCACCCCCGTCTATGATTTTGTGTGCTTCCATCCATATTGGGAGAGGCGGGTATGCTTCATGCTGTCTCTCATGCTCCTCAATAACTTCTTTTCCGCGGTGAACTTATCACAAATGCTCATTGCATCTCAGTCTTGCAGAAATTCTAGTTTTCAAAACCATAAAATAACTTGTGACGCTGTCATCATCCACTGCGTTGTGCGTTCATGGAACCAACGCAATGACCTCTATATTGATATTTCTGGCTCGAATAGTTTCTTTCCTTCTGCAGTTTTCCGTTCTCATTACAGCCTTTCTTTATAGGCATCAATTATCTTGTGCGGATTCATTGATATGTGCTACTGAGAGTGGAGGGTTTTATTCTTTAGTCCATAGAACAAAAACCAGTTCCCTTTCTTTCAATAAAGTTGTGAAATTTTCATCAAATATGGCTTCCTACGGTAAACTTTGAACTGAATTCCCCTCATTGGGGACGCATGCTATTCCTGCAATATTATGAAAGATCTGGCCAACCCAAGCTTTGTTTATATTAGGTCTATTCGATTTTTTAAAAAGAAAACTGCGTGGGGCCAAATTTCCTCCCTTCAAAATCATATCAGGGCCATCTATACTTTGAACCACCACAATGGGTAAAATCTAATCGGATGCTGCCGGGCGGCCAGTGTGTGGATGGAAAGTGCGGATCATCGTTTTGTTGAATCCAGTAAACATTTTAAGATCTATGACGTCAGTGATGAACTGGGGAAATAGGGAGAGGTTTGGTGGAAGATTTTGGATGCCATTGGACACTATCATAGAAGCAGTATCACTTGCAGAGGATTGCTCTTCACCATCCTCTCCATTGGGTACCCCGTTGGTGTAAGGCAAGAGTAAGCCTACTTTCCGGTGGTGAAGCTGTTTGCTCACTGTTGGGCAAGAACGAAGTTTAGTGAAGCGTTGTTCATCGTGGGGAATCATTTGTCTTTTGTTCTGTTCTGGGCTAGGTGAAAGTTTCGTTTCTATGTACCATACCCAACTGAAAGAAACAGGGAGAAAGGATGAAGTGTTTCCAAAGATGTTCACATTTGACTCGAGGAATTTATGCCGTGGGCGAAGATCTACCTGGTGAACGTATAGATGTTTTAAAATGGAATGTTTTTTTTTTTTTTTTCTCAGGCATCCTCATTCGAGACATTATCTGTTCTGATTATGGTAAGTTTCTTGTAACATGCGCTGGGGCTGGACGTCTAAATCTGGAAAAGTGCTCCCGCATTGGTGGGTTAGTCAATGGGAGTTGACCCTCGGGATGTTCAATCTGTAGAATTAAACTCCTATGCTGCTTCTTGGCAATCAACGAGAGTGGACCCACCTGATCATAGGAGATCTAGCTTTCGGTAATAACTGCTCGGAGGGGTTTAGAAAAGCTTCTTGTTCAGTAAATCATAGCAAATATCTAGGAATGTTTTTTCTCTGTTGACCCTGGTTTGGATGACTTTGTCCCGTTCTGAGCCATCTGTGAGTAGGACCTACCTACTGGTGGGAAGGCTCATTTATTTGAATTCGTCTTTTACCCAGTAATTTCTGCTATTCTGCCGCCTTACTTATTACCCATGAAAGGCCGGTTGCTGCTGGATATGCATCTCCTGCTAAACAGAAGGCATCACCTCTTCCTTGCCCCATGATTTTGATCTGGTCTCTCGCCCCAGAGAGCAACGCGGGTGGGCTCTTTTCAGGCTGACGATCTGGGATTCTGGGATTTGCCATCGAGCTCTCAGGCCAATCGCGGTTTGTTATTTGTTGCTATGGTCGGGTGGCATCTGATGGTGATGATGGCACACCAAGTACCATAGATTAATCCCTCAAGATCTGGAAGTTTGAACCTTTTTCTAGCTGGACGTCGCTTGCTTTATCGCGAGATTATGTGTCTGGATATTCTTCTGATTCATGGCATGTTTGTCTCCACATGATTCAGAGAGAAAGGCGCCGGAAGGAGCTGGAAGGAGCTTCAACCGAGAGGCTTTCATAGTTGGCTCTCGCCTTGCAGTTTGGCGCGGCCGGCGGCCTTCCAGAGGGCGAGTGCGCTGCGGCTCAGCGGGCGATGCGATTGACCTCCGGCAAGAGACGCCACCCGGTGGGATGTGGGAGGCCTTGGAGAATCAAAAGGGAAAAAATCTTTCTTTTCTTTTGTTCTTCACTTTCGGCCGCTTGAGACCTGGACGTCTGATTCTGTTCATGGAGCAAGCGAGTGATCTCGGCTGGGTGAGAAGGGTGCTGATGTTGACCCGCGTCTGATTCGCTGACTTATTAGCGCTTGACTCGTTCTAATACGTGTGACAGGACAGAATCGCCGTTGTCCCTCTCTCTCTCTCCACCCACACGAATTAAAATTGGGCGGCATCTCTATCCAAAGCAGCAGTTCTCGGCGCAGAAGGCCGATGTTACCACCACCAATAAGCACATTCAAAGGACCACTCGCGGTGGAAAACCAGCTTAATGAAATGGGTTTTTTTTCTTATCCTTTCTCCGAAGCTCTTCCCCCTCGCAACGCACAAGTTTGGCAGAAGAAGAAGAAGAAGAATCACCAGCCGTACTTGGCTTGGGTTTCTTTCTTGGTGAGGAAGCCCCTGGACCTCCTCTCCGCGAGCTCCGTCTCCTTCTGCCTCATGTCGTGGTAGAGCGACCCGATCTGGTGCTTCCTCCTGTGCAGCTTCGACGGCTTCCCCTTCCCAGAAGAAGCGACAGGCTGCAGAACATCACCAGAAGGACGCACACGTGTCAGAGGAATGCTCTCTGAAATCGAAGAGCAGGAACTGGTATTCCCCTTGGCGCACAGTCACTCATGGGCAATGAAATATGAAGACCCTTGAAAATTTCTGCTTCAGATGCAAATATAATCATCTTAAATTGATGATGAGAGTTATCATTTCATATCTTCTTCTTTTTTTTTAATAAACGGGATGAGATTATTGGGAAGAGAAAAGAGGGTGAGGCGGTGGGAAGGATCCTGTGGGGGAAGATGAACAGCAGAGAACGGATGAGCAAAGAAAGAAAGAAAGAAAAAAAGACGGGGAATCCATGGTTGAGCGGGTCTGAGAGGCATGGGAGAAGTCAGAAGATACCCAACGCGGAGAGGCTTCAGAGCAGAGTCAACAGCTGGTTGGGTGGGTCAGTTCTTCGTCACAAAACAGATGGAAAAGTGTTCTAGACGATATCCTACTTCTTGCAGGGCAATGTTTCCATTAGCACCCACCGAATGGCATCTAAGACAATTGTGCCTGTGCTCTATCCGAATCAATAGAAATGGCGTTGATTTTCAAGGGATTTCCATGGAACCTTGATAGAAACAAAAAAGGCATAAAGTTCAAAAGCAATAAAACTGCTTCATTGACCAATCTTACTGTAATAGAATAATCCCATGAATGATAGAGAGTAGGTTTTAATCGCCAACATTGAAATTTTCTATACGTCTCCATCGATTTTAATACAATAATAGTTGAAATATGATCGGAAAAGGAGTAATGTACCCACAATTTCTACATCCTTTCAGATTTCGGTTGCTCTTCTCCAGTTTTATGGGCACTCCTTCAAGGCCCAGGAACCTTGAAAATCTACCAAGATGAACCCACGAAAAAAAGCATAGTTTTCCTGAAATACTTGAGAATCTCCCCTCCATCTCGCCTTAGGGTCATCGTCTTCCTTCAAAACTACCCAGTTTCACCCTTAACATGCATAATACACCCTCTGTGCAAGTCTTCCCTCTCTCTGATAACCATACCTGCTAGCTTCACAAACCAAGACGGCTGAATTCCTTAGGAAACAAAAAAATAGACACTGAGATTCAGATTGTTGGATTGAAGATCCTCAGTCAGGGATGAGCTCCAAGAAAATCTCAGTATACACCAATTCCTCCACTCTACTAGCGGCCACAGTTGAAGCACACCCTCTGCACCACTTTCTTCTTTTCTTGCCAACTAGACGATGAACAAGGGTGTAGTAAAGTCAAAGTAAGGCCCTCCAAAATCATCCCTTTTCCCCGCTTGCTTCTTTCATCTTTCTTCTTTCTGGTTCTTCCCCATTTTCATTCTCTGGGCTACAGCAGGAAAGCAGCGCCTAAATTGTAACTAAGAAAAGAAGTAACATACCATGACAAGCGTCAAGGGAGCCGACCCTGATTTTTTCATTGTGTGGTGTGAACCTACTGGGTCCAAGGTTGACCTTTCCAGCAGAAGTCAACACTAGTTTTATTGCAAGCGCAGGTCTGGCCCTCTTTCCTGATGAAATCCCATCCTTCAACCCTCGAGAACGATGACTAATCCGAATGAATGAAGTGAAAGGAAAAAGAGGGGCGGCCGGCGAAAAATGCATGGGCAAAGTAGAAGGATGTCTGCGAAGAACGGAAGAAAAAAAGGGAGGAGAAAGAGAGAATGGAATCTATGGGTGTCATACCTGGTATGACGGTCCAAATGCGATTCCCGTCAACTTAACCTGGTCTTCCCTCGGTCTGTTCTTGACCAATTCCTCCTGCTTGACCTCGAGGATTTCAGAAGGGATCGCATTCCTCCATCTCTTTCCGAGAGCTCTAGCCGATTCCAGCACCTCCGTCGCACCCACTGTTTCCACCGCCGACGAGCCATAGCGCCAATCGCCAGCGTGATACTCATAGCTCTCATATCCCTCATAACTCCCATAACTGCCGTAAGTGCCATAGCTTCCGGCAGTGGAAGGCCAACTAGCCGCAGCGTCGCCACCTTCTGCGCCGTAGTCGGACTGGGCGCCTACCCACTGACCCTCATAGCTCCCCTGGTCCCCAAATGCCCCAGTCATCGCTTGCTCCGGTGCTGGGGGCTCGTTACTGCTCAAGGGTAGGGCCGTCTCCACAACGGACCTCCTCAGGGAAGCGGAGACGGCGGCGGGAGCAAGGCAGAGGGTGTTCTTGGGCGCGGGAATGATGGAGGAGAGGGGTTTGGACGAGAAATCCAGGGTTCTCTTCCTGCGCTTCTCTTTGCTCTCCTCGTCGTCTTCGTCGATGTCGACAGCTCTGAGGAGGGAGACATCAATCGAAGGCCTGAACTGGACGACCTTCCTACCGCTGGGCTCCGGCGGCGAAAGAGAAGAGAAAAATGAGGAGGAAGAGGAAGAGGAAGCGGACGGCGTGGATTTCGGCGGAGGCAAGGAGGAGAAGATTGAAGACGAAGGGGAGGCCTTGGGACGTGGAAGGGAGCTGAACAGGGAGGTGGAGGAGGCACCGTTGGCGGCGGCGGAGGAGGAGGATGAAGATCTGGAAGGCGGGGGGATGGACGATGAGATCGGCGAGGAAGGCGGCGGTGGCCTCGGCGGCCGGGTTGAACCGTACAAGGGCTTCGAGGGTGGCGGCGGCGGATTGCGCTTCTTCTGCTCTCCTTCCCTTCCGCTGCCTTCTTCGTCGGAGGAACCGTAGTTAGCCAACAGCGACTCCATGGGAGAGATCCGGCGGAAGATGAGAGAGCGGAGAGGTTGGGGATGAAGAGGAAGAGCTTCTTCTCGTTTTTGGGGAGGAAATCGAAGGATGGGGGCTCACCGATCGGACGGCTCTGCTATACCGGTTTCAGGAGCCCACAGGCTGACTACGGGGGCATCAATATGGGCCTCAAATAGTAGGGCCTATTTCATGGGCTCAAAATCCTGGGCTAACACAGCCGTCGCCCCCCCAAGGGCCATAATGGGCCCAACTTACGGGCATTAGTTTAGGCTTTACGGGCCTTATTTACGAGGCAGATGAGGCCCGCTGGGCCGCCTTCTGGAGATCGTGTGGCCACGTCACGCTGACCCGTGGGGGGGTTCGAACGACCGTTAGGTGGCGCAGAGATCGTGTGTAGACGGGGTCGCTGGCGGCCTGGCTACATCAAAACACTTGCTATTTTTTTAAAATGCTTGCTCGGGTGGTGGTTGCTTACAAAGGCGCAGACCCGGTCTTCTAAGAATGGAAAGCATAATTACAATTTATGGAGTCCACAAGAGTAGTTAGCGCGAAGGGGAACCACGTTCGCGGCGTCAGTTAGAGGAGGAGCACGAGGCGGGAAGAGTGGACGAGAAAGTCCCACAATCTGATGGACGGGAGAGCATCAGGAGGAGGAGCACTCGGCCCAGCCCTCTCCTTCTTCGCCGACGTGGCACCGACGGATGGCGCGTGATATCCGCGCCTCCGCGGCCAGGATGAGCTTCGCCGGCACGCCGGAGCACGCCTCCACCTGCCTCAGCAACGGCGCCGCCGCCGCCGCGCGAGACGTCGTCGTCTTGACGGCGAACCACAGCGCCGCCGCGGCGATCGCGCGGAAGGGCGCCGACGGCATCCTCTGCATTCCGACGGCGAGAGCGTGGGCGGCGGCAGCGGCGGCGGCGCGGGGGTCGTCCAGGCCCACGCGGCGGCACCAGCTCAGAAGGGCGCCCTCTGCTCTCGCGTCAAGCTCCCGCCCGCCGCCACCGATCCTCCGGCTCTTCCTCTCCCGACGAGGACTTGATCCGGCGGCAGATCGGATGGAGCGCGCGAACTTGATGGAGGAGGAGGCCCCCTCGGAGGGGGAGATGGAGGTGATCCCGCCGCCGCCGTCCCGTTGGCCTGCCGCGGCCCCGGATTCGGCGCTGGAGACGCAGGAGGAGGAGGCGGAAGTGTGCCGTGTGGAGGAACAGCAGGAAGAAGACTCCGACTCGGAGGACAGGGCCCCGCCGTCGCCGTGGTCCGTGCAGGAGCGGCAGAGGAAGCGGAGCGGGAGGAATCCGGGGCCTGAAACCGGCCGCTGGTCGCCCTCGGCGGAACCGCATTCGACGCAGATCAGGCGGCGGGGGTGGCGCGAGACGAGGAAGTTGGCTCCGTGGACTCTGGCGTCGCATCCCCAGCACAGGAAGGCACAGTCCGACTCGCACCGCAGCGCCGCCTCGCCGTCGCACAACTCGCAGCCTACCTTCGTCTTCTTCATCGTCTCCCCCCTCAGCTTCCTACGCCACAGAGAGAGAGAGAGAGAGAGAGTAGCGGTCTCGAAGAAGGAAACAGGACGCCCCTCTTCGGAGGCGGCGAGTTGGGAGAGAGGGAGGCGACTGCGACGGCGACTGCCCTGGTGGCTATATATAGAGAGACTTGCTTGCATCATCAGCTACCTGCCGTTGTCACCCGAAAGAGAGAGAGGGAGAGAGAGAAGGAAGTGGAGGAGAGAGAGAGACGAGTGATCAAAGAACATTTAGTTCAGAATAATTGAAAGTTCGTGGTGGTGGTGGGGGTCGCCTCTTCGTCGTCGTCCTCCTGTCCACATACCTGCCTCGTCCTTTCGTCCGGCAAGAGGAAGCTGCCCAGAGACCGACCTCACGTTTGGGGAAAATATCCAGGTTCCAATGACGTGGCCTCCCCCTGCGGGCACGTCGGGTCCACCGCGGCCGCTCTCGCAGAGCCCCCGCCGCCAGGTCCGCCGGAGCGGCACTTTCTTTATGGTCGAAATGGGAGCGACGTGTGGTCAGGATCTACGGAGGGAACGGCGGGAGGAGGACGGAGGCACGTGCCGGAGTTCTGGCCATGCCACGCCGCCGACTAGGGTTTCTGACTAGTCTCTGCGAGTCGCATTGGTATTGTTTGTAGATCGAATCTCCGATCCATGCCCAGGAAGCCATCTGATTGATCTTCTTGCTGGATTCTCTGCTCCCACTGGTGTCGGAGACTTTTGCCACCGAGTTTTCCCCTTCTGATCAAGATCGGGCGGGCGGGAGAGAGATCGCCGCCTCCGAAATGACGTCTACGGAGCTCCGATCGAATGGCGGTTGACTTCCCGGCCCCAGGCCGCCACTTCGGAGATGCGATAACTGGTCAGGTAGACCTGATTGATCGATGCTGGGGCTAAATCGAAGCTCGGTCAGCAACCGGGAAGGAAGGGAAGGGAAGGGGGGGGGGTGGAGGAGAGGAGAGAAGATCCGCCGACCGCCATGGGCGGGAAGCGGCGTTTCCCGGTGTTCATCGTCCTCGCTCTGGCTTGCCTGATCCTCCTAGGAACACCCTTCCGCTGGGAGATCATGTGGCGGAGCGACAGGGGCGACGTCCGCCGGTTGAAGAAGTGGTCCTCCGATCTCCCCCTTCGCTTCCGCTCCGATGGCACCTTCAAGATCCTCCAGGTAGGAGAGAAAGGACCTCAGAGAACCCGGCCGAACCAGCGCTCCGTTTTCTTTGCGGCAGAGTAGATTAAGGCTAGCGATGTGATCAGTCTCTGCCATTTATCATTCACCATTCTGCTGTAAATTTTCCGTCCCAAGGTGGCGGACATGCACTACGGCGCGGGGAAGAGGACGGGATGCGAAGGCGTGCCGCCGTCGCAGCTCGCCGGTTGCAGCGATCTCAACACCACCCAGTTCCTCCGGAGGATCATCAGCGCCGAGAAACCAGACCTCGTCGTCTTCTCAGGTTAATCATGCTCCGCCGCCGGCGGTCCCTCGCTGCTCCAAATCAAGAAGAAGAAGTTGATCGACTCTCTCCTTCCCTCCATCCATCAGGGGATAACATATTTGGCCCGAGCGCGCCGGACGCTGCCCAGTCTCTGCTCCAAGCTCTGGCGCCGGCGATGGAAGCCGGGATTCCATGGGCGGCCATTCTGGGCAACCACGACCAGGAATCCACCATGACCCGCGCGGAGGTGATGCCCTTCCTCTCCCGCCTGGACTACTCCGTCTCTCAGGTCAACCCTCCGGGCCCGATCGACGGATTTGGGAACTACAACCTCGAGGTTCGGGGGGCTGCAGACTCGGAATCGGCCAACACCAGCGTGCTGAATCTGTACCTCCTAGACAGCGGCGATCGGGAGATGTTTAATGGCAGTCTGACCTACGGCTGGATCAAGGAGTCGCAGCTCCGCTGGCTCCACGACACCTCCAGGCACCTCCAGGTACGGGGGAACACGCCGACCTATCCATCTATCATCCTCGGCTGGCTAGCTATTACTGGGTCCTTTAGGTCTCGCCGCCGCTGATCTCCCTCTTCGTCAGGGATCGTCCACTGTCGGGGGGGCTCCTGGTCTGGTGTTCTTCCACATTCCGATTCCGGAGGTGAGGGCCCTGCGGGGAAAGGAGATCGTCGGGGAGTTCCAGCAGAAGGTCTCGTGCTCGTCGGCGAACTCGGGGGTTCTGAGGATGCTGATCTCCATGGGCGACGTGAAGGCGGTGCTCACCGGGCACGACCACCTGAACGACTTCTGCGGCGAGATCAGCAGCGTGTGGTTCTGCTACGGCGGCGGCTTCGGGTACCACGGCTACGGCAAGGCAGGCTGGCCCAGGAGGGCGAGGGTCATACAGGCGGAGCTCCGGCGGGGTGGCGGCGGTAGCTGGCTGGGCGTTGAGAGGCTCAGGACATGGAAGCGCCTTGATGACGGCGCACTGACCAGCATCGACGACCAGCTCCTCTGGGAGGAGGCGCGGCGTTGACTCTCGGCGGCGGCGATCTTCTCCGTCCTCTTCGCGGCTCGCTTTGATCACTTGCAATCACCGTCGGAAGAGTTAGTCTTCCTCTGAATGTGTACTCTTAACTCTCGTCTGTATGGAAAGGACAATAATACCCTCCCCAAAGCATGGTTGATGTGAAGCGTCGGAGCTTCACAGGGGCTCGTAGTGATTGATCCTTTAGTGAAGCCCTCGAGATTTGCCGTACTTGGACGCGTGGCACCGATGCAGATCAGACTCCGGCCCGGCCGCGGGTGCCGGAGGAAACTAGGTGGAGGCGAAGGGAGCGGGGGATCGCCGGTGGGGTAGTTGCGCTCTCCTCCGCCGCCACCACCGCCGCCGCCGACGATGGAAGACTGGTGGCGGGTGGTGTTCTTCCTCCTGTTCATCCTGGGCTGCCTGCGCCTCCTGGAGACGCTCCTCCCAGGGGAGCTGACGGCCGGCGACGGCGCTGTTCCCCGGGTAAAGAGGTCCCCCGAACTCCCTCTCCGCTTCCGCTACGACGGCTCCTTCAAGATCCTCCAGGTTGGTAGCTTGGTCATCTTCATCTTCATCTGCATCTGCAAGTACTGAGGTCCGGAGGGCACCGTCCGGTTTCGATTTTTGCCCTCCATCTTCGGTGTGGGAGTCCGCCAGGTTTTCCGGCTGTTTATGCATCACATTCTCGCGGATTACCTTGTAAGGTGGCGGATCTGCACTACGGCATGGGGGGCACGACGCGATGCAGGGACGTGCTGCCGTCCCAGTTCGCCGGCTGCACCGATCTCAACTCAACCCGCTTCCTCCAGAGGATGATCCACGCCGAGAAGCCCGATCTCATCGTCTTCTCAGGTACTCCGCCGACCCGCTTCCCCTCGCCAGAGAAGGGCGGATGCTCTTGGCCCCTCGATTTTTGCCATCTGAATCTGCCTCCACCATTGGCCGATTGTTCTTGGCCTCTCGATACCCGCCCACCCTTTGTCTACTTCGACTCGTGAGTTTCCTTTGGGAATTAGGGATTCCAGCGGGGAGGCCGGAGGTGAACCAAGTTCGAGCTGAGATCGCAGAATTCTGTGATGTAGGGGGGATCAGATGGTAGGCAACTGATGTTCGCGGACTGTTAATTTTCGCACCTTGCGCAGTTCATCCTCATTCCTGTTTCAGAATCTGAGTATGCTCTATCCCATTCTAAATCCAAGGACCTCGTGCCAAGCATACTGGGTTGGATCATGGCAGCGCCCCCGCTGTTCAATCTCCTAGGGTTTCTCCTCCCCCTTCCTCGTTCGACTCCACTGAGGTAGGTGTTCAATGAATGCTCTGTCTGGTTGCTGCCAGGGGACAACATATTCGGGTCGAGCACCCGCGACGCCGCCGAGTCCCTATTCGGGGCCTTCCGTCCGGCCATGGTTGCCAAGCTGCCTTGGGCGGCCATTCTGGGCAACCACGACCAGGAGTCCACCATGACCCGCGCGGAGCTTATGGCCTTCATCTCGCTGATGGACTACTCGGTCGCCCAAGTCAACCCCCATAGCCTCCCGAACGAGCTCTCCCGCATCGATGGATTTGGCAACTACAATCTCACCGTGCACGGGGCCGCGGGTTCGCCGTTGGTCAACTCCAGCCTGCTGAATCTCTATCTCCTCGACAGCGGCGATCGAGCTGTCGTCGGCGGCAGGCGGACCTACGGATGGATCAAGGAGTCGCAGCTCCACTGGCTTCGCGCCGTCTCCGAAGAGCTCCAGGTACAGAACTAGATCATCCCCCCTCAGAGAGAAACAAGGAGTCTGCTGATTTGACCTGGGCTTCTTCTTCTTCTTCTTTCTCGTCGATTTCAGGGATCGTCCCCTGTTCCAGCGCCTGCTCTGGCATTCTTCCACATTCCGATTCCGGAGGTCAGGGAGCTGTGGTTCAGGAAGATCCTCGGGCAGTACCAGGAGGCCGTCGCCTGCTCCTCGGTCAACTCGGGGGTCCTGAAGACCCTCGCGTCCATGGGGGACGTGAAGGCGGTGTTCGCCGGCCACGATCATCTGAACGACTTCTGCGGTGAGATCGGCGGCGTCATGCTCTGCTACGGCGGCGGCTTCGGGTACCACGGCTACGGCAAGGCGGGCTGGCCCAGGAGGGCGAGGATGATTCAATCGGAGCTCAGGAAGGACGGCGGCGGATCGTGGGCCGGCGTGGGAAGGATTCGGACATGGAAGCGCCTGGACGACGAAGCGTTGACCAAGATCGAGGAGCTGGTCATCTGGGAGAGCCCGACGTGAAACCCCGACCCGGCAAGTTTTGCATAGTCAATTCCCGCCCCCGCCCCCCTTCATTTTCCTCTAAACGTGGAAGTCGTCGTCTTCCTTTCGCCCGCCTGTCTGTACATTGCTCGGATCTATTTCTCTCCTGCATCTATAGAGAGAGAGAGACAGAGAGGTGGTAATCGCATAATTAGGCAGATTAATCTGAGGTGGCGGTTCTTCTCTCTGCCAGTAGCAGCGTGTCAGCTTGTCAAGAGATTCGATTCCGAGCCGGCGGCATGAATGAGCAGAGCCGCCATGCCTGCAGGAGCTCCTCGGCGGGTGGGCAGGGGAGACCGGACGTTCAAATGGTCCAAAAGCTGGGGGAGGAGCCGTCATCTCTGCAACTCCTCCCCCACCCCCCAAACCCTTTGTTTCTGCGTAAAAAGGGGAGTAAGGCGGTCGGCGGCTTTTCCAGGTCGTGCAAAGCAGATGAGACAGATGAGGGAGACGCCGGTTTGTCCTCCCCATCGTCGTCTTCTTCGCAGATTCTGATAGGACTGGCAGGAGCTTCGAGGTTTGATAATGTGGACGCCGTGGAAGCACAGTAACCGCTGCTGTGCAGGATCAATGGCAGATGGACGAACGATCGTTTCGGTCACCTGAGAAGAATTCATGCATGTACAGGAGGGAGTCAAGATGGAGGGAAGATCTGAACTGGCGGCTACCCTCCAAACTCTCTCTCTCTCTCAACTGTTACTCGGTTGGAATTCTCATGGGGAGAGCAGAACCATGGAAGCCGCCGGACTCTGCCGGAGTTCTGGCTCTGCCCTCCTCAACCCACAGCCTCAGTCTGGGGCCGGTCTTCGTCAGAGTTCTTAGGCTGGGCTGGAAGACTTCCCGGAGCCATTGGTCGAAGAGGGAGTCAAGGAAGGAGCCGGAAGCCGCTGCCAGCTCCTCGACTGCTGCCCCGTCGACGGAGAAGGAAAAGATCCCGAGATGCCCTCCTCCCTCCCCGCGGGCCTCCTCGAAGGACCGTCTGAGCTTCCACAGGAAGTGCTCCGCCATCCGGCGGCGCCGCTCGTGGCAAATCTCCACCGCGAAGCGATGGGCGATCGAACCCAGGAGATTATCGTTGCCCATCTCGTGGGTTAGATCGCTGGGCACGCCGTCCTCCTCTTCGCCGGCGGGGGTGGCTCCCTCGTTTTCCGGGTCACCTGGGGAGACGTTCAGGTCGAGCAGGCCCTCTCCTTTTCGCGCATTCTTCGGCCTGAGGGAGATGGGCTCGTCGGAGGGGATCTTCCTCTTGAGATCCGCCGGCGGCGACGGCGACGGCAACGGCGAGTCCCCGACGTGAAGCTTCATCGCTATCACTCCTCCGTCTTCCTCTCCGCGTTCGGTGGTTTTGCTGTGTCCGCTGCTCGCGCAGAGGATGAAGACGGCCTCAGAGAAGCCGACGGCGCCGGCGGGGTCTCTGAAACCGCCGCCGCCGTTTCCATGGAGTTCGCAGAGGACCCTCAAGAAATCTGCCTCCGCCCAGTCCACCTCCTCGATCAAGAACACGGAATTTGGATCCCTCCGCAGGGATTCCGCGACCAGATCCGCGTGGGCCTCCGCCTTCCTCGCGTTGATGCGGACCACGGGCCTGTTGACTGATGCGCAGAAGAACTCTGAGATCGCCAGCGATAGCCTCCTCTTCCCGATCCCGTCGGACCCTCGCAGGAGCAGCCAGATTCCTTTGTCGTTCTTCTCGTCTGATCTCCTCTCCGACAGCACCTCCGCAATGGACCCAAGAATCTCGGACTGCCACGGGACGTTCTGGTTCAGCCGCCGCCAAAGCTCTCGCTGGTGGTCCGAGGTCACCCCCTTCTTATGGTCAGCCGTCGACGTTGCAGAATCAGAGAAGAGAGAAGCGCCGCCGCCCAAGGCCAGGCCAGTCCTCGCTTCAGAAAGCCACGTCGTGGCGGAGTCTCTCGCAAGTAAGCTCCCGTTCCCGCCGGCGGATTTCGACGTCAAGTCTGAGAAGAAGCCTCCCCCACAGTTGGACCCCCGTGGAAGAGCTGGGCGTCGATCAAAGAAGGGAGCGAACGACTGCTGAACCTGAGAGCCCCTGTTTTCATGGCGGAGTCTGCGGCAGACCCAGTTCCACTTCCATCTCAATTCTACCAGAAGATCCTGCAAAGCTCTAAGGATCAGGCCGAGAAACTCACCGGTCACACAGATGAACGGAGGAGGAGGGGACGGTCGGTAGGGAGGGCGTCTTCTCTTACCTCCCCGCCTTTCTCAGATCTGTTCGGCCGCGTCCAGAGAGGCAACCCGTCTTTGGGTCCGCCGGAACGGAGGAGGACGGGCGAAGTTGCAGCGAATGCTTCTCTCTCGAAACTCGAAGTGCACTCCGCGCAGCAGACGAGCTTCTCGTGGCCGTCGTCCTCCCTGGGAGGAGGCTGCTTCTTCAGCTCCAGAGGCCTAAATGGGCTGCTGCTCTGTAAATCCCCCTCACTGTCGGACAGATTAACAAACGAGGAAACAGAGATTCCATGAGCATCATCTATCTGTGTCGCCCTTGTAGACAAAGAGAGGCTGCAAAATTATTTTTTCTATTTTTTTTGGTTTTGAAAATGGCAGGGCATCCATCGGAGGATGGGTTTTGCCGTAAATGGAAACCAGGAAAGCAACTGTGCTTGGCCGGCCGAGGAGGTCCCCCTTTGGCCGCCACCGCGACTTGAGAGGAACCAGAGGACCCCCAAAGGAGGACCGGGGAGAATCGCCATTTAGGGTACATGGCCAGGAATGGAGACGGGACGAAGAAGAAGACCCCGTCACGTGTGGCGAGTAGAGGGAAGCAGGGGGGGAGACTCACCAGGGGATATGGAGGCTCAGGGCGAGGCCGCCGGAGGGCACGGAGACAGGCTGAAGGCCCCATTGGAGCTCGAGCGATGGCTGCCGCTTCTTCCAGTTCATGTAGGTCTGCAGGTCAGCGACGGCCACCAGCCAGACCATGCCGCCGCCTGTGGCCCTCAGCTCGGAGAGCAACCTCCCCACTTCTACGACCAGATAGGTTACGGCGGGATCCTCGTCGATCGCCCACCTCAGGTCGCCGGCGTAGAGGATCACTCCTCCTCCTCCCCCGCCACCCCAAGATACAAGGGAGCTCACCTTCGTCCTGAGCTGGGAGACCTTCATCTCCACGTCGGCCCTGCTCGCGAAGGTCGAGCCGGAGAGCTTGACCCACTGCGCAGACCTCAGCTCCTCGGGGACCTCACCCTTTTCCACCATAGACATCAACTCCGCCACCAGCAGCTCGCCGTAGGAGGCGGAATCGCCGACCACCACGGCGTTGCTCCTCCTCCGCTTGTTCTTCTTGCCCAGGAGCACGTCGAGTAGGACCCTCAGGTCCTCCTCCTGCGAGGCTGAGGGGAGCAACGGAGCGGGCTCGGCGGGCGGCGGTGGACAGAAGGCGCTAGCGAAAGTGACGATGTCGCGGTGATGCTCGAGGGAGACGGGGGAGGGAGGTGCAGAGGAGGCGTCTTCCTCGAGGCTGTTCTTGACGCTGGTGCTGGAAAAGCCGGCCTCCCGCATCACCCTGCTCACGCTGGGGTCGTCCAGGATGGAGATGATGAGTTGCTCCAGCTCAACCTTGACGGCGAGCAGAGGCGGCGGCTCTGGCTGCGCCGCCGGCGGGGGCATCTGCTGCTGCTGCTGCTGCTCGATGCAACCGCGGCGCTGGTGGGCCTGCGCGCGCTTGAGCGCTGCCACGAGGGCGTTGGAGAAGGCAGGGTTGGGGGGGAAGAGGGGCCCCGAGGAAGGCGGCGGCACGGTGGGGAGGCGGTTGAGGGCGACATTGAAGCAGAGCTCGAGGGCGCGACACTGCAGCGGGTGGGAGCTGCGGTGGCGCGGGTGGGAGCGGAGGCAGGCCCGGCGGAAGAGGCTCCCGGCCTCCCGGGCGGAGCTGAGGAGTGTGGCGGCGACATGGAGCGGGGTCACTTGGGCGTGGCCGCGCCGCCTCGCCAGGCCCAGCGCGTGCTTCAGCACCGACGCCGCCTCGCTGGTGAGGGCCTGCTGCACCGCGCAAGCTCCCGTTCGCATAGCCGGAGTTGCACCACCCTTTCTCCACCCACTTTCTCCTCCGACGATTTGCACTACCACCACTACACCGCCGCGGCGGTTCCCCGGCGTCCTGTCCTCTGCAGAGCCGAGCGGAGCCTCTCTGTCTCAAGTCTGTGTTGTGTTTCTCTCTCTGTTCGCTTTGTCCTACTCCGGCTGCTCCTTTTATCTCGGCCGGCATGGGTTCCTGCCGTTGCTTTCCGTTTCCACTCCTGCCTTCACCTGCTTTGTCTGCCCGGTTCTCCCTTTGTTTTTTCCACTTTCCCCTAATCCTCCCCCCCCTCCCCCTCGTTCCTCCTAATAATCTCTCTCTCTCTTAGACACACACTGGTGGTCTGGGTGGACCAGCTCTGGCTGGGCTCCGCAAGGCCGGGGACAGACCCGGCCCGTTGGTCCGCAGCGGACTAACAAGACGACATCTTTGCGGTCGGAAAGGGGGCGGCGGCGGGAGATGGGGGAGCCTCGAGTTGGGTCAGAGACTCAGAAGCCTTCCCCCGCTTTTGGGCGTCCTCCTTTGAACGCCCCGACACAGAGAAGAGAGAGAGAGAGAGAGAGAGAGGGGTGGGGGGGTGGGCGGAGACAATTTGTTTACCGGACCCCTCCCACTTTCTCTCTGTCGTCGTCTGCAAAGGGAGTTTCTTGGACACCCCGGCGCATTCAGAGACGAAATCGCTCCCATTAGCCTCAGTATGGCCGTAAACTCTGCACCTGTGGTGCGGGCGAGAGCGAGAGACAGAGAGAGAGAGAGAGAGATGAGGGGGCAGTGGAGAGGGCTTCCATGTGGGACTTTTCCTCTTGCAAGGGCGGCTTTTTGACCGGCCCTGATCCTCTTACTCCCCCACCGCCCTCCCCTCGCCGGAGGTGGAAGGGGAAGGGCCTCCTTTTCCTCTACGCGCTTCGGCGCCGTTGATCCGGTCGCCACGCGGCCCTCTACTCCCCTTCTCTTTCCTCTCCCTCTCTCCTCTCTTCTCCTTCCTTGCTGGCTGCGAGAGTCCGTCGCCCATCTCCGAAGCAGGCTGGCTACCCATCACGAGTGAACGAAAGATGATACGATCGTCTCTCTCTCGCTGTGCCCCCCGCGAGTAGGAGCGGAGCTGCATGAAAAGAAGACAAAGGGAGCATACGGCGCAAGGGGAACGTCTTTGGAATCTTTAGGGGGAAGCAAAGTGAAAGACCCGAAAGCGAGGTCAGATGGGAACGTCTGTCTACAGGAGAGAGAGAGAGAGAGCCGGCCTCAAAGAAGAGAGAGGCTCTCTCTCTTCCTTCAGATAACCAGTGCCAAGGTCTGAGAACGCGAATACCCACCGATCAAACAGGAGACAAGAGTAGTGAGCCCGCGCACTCGAGCAGCCTTAAGCATTAACCAGACAGAGAGAGGGATAGAGAAAGAGAGAGCGAGAGAGAGGAGAGTGAGACAAGGAGAAGGGGTAAAAGACGGTAGGAGAAAAAGCGAGACCAAAGTAAGATGATGACAACAGGTAAAGCGGAAAGGGTGGTGACGGTGGAAGATAGCGAGAGAGAGAGAGAGCCGGCCTCAAAGAAGAAAGCCTTGGGGCAGCCAGTGATGACGAAAAGCAGGGGGGGAAGAATGGCGGCACTTTATGCATTAATCCCAGCCCCGACGCCGACCATCATAAGCGCCGCCCCCCTTTATCGTCTTTACCCTTTATACTCCCAGATTTCGAGAAATCCCCTCTCCCCCATCATTGCATGCAAAAAGACCGCCGATTTCTCAGAAAATTACCCCAAGCGAATGCGGTAATTCTGATGAAGGTTCGGGCGACTTTGGACGAACCTCTCCGCCACCATAAGGTCCGCCACGTCCCCCCCTCCCGCTCCTCAGAATTCCTTCCTTCCATCTGGTTGTCGTGAGCCCTTTTCTGTCCTCATTTGAAGAGAGAGAGAGAGAGAGAGAGAGGGAGGCTCCTTGGCCCCTTTCCCGCTCTGCCCTTTTTGGGGGGATCCGAAGCCATCCGACGGATAAAAAGCCGAGGCTTTGATCGACATGCAACTAGTAAATAAATAGCACCGTCTGCGGTGGGCGCGGGGAAGGCTTTCAAAGACGCACCAATCGACTGGAGAGACCGCGCGGGCCAAAGTCTTTTCTATTTTTCTTGAAACAGGATATCCTCTGCTGAAGGCCCCTTTTTTTTTCCGGCCAGGTATTCCCCGAGAGCGAGAGAAAGAACCGTTTTTTTCTCAGCGGGTTGGGGCGGGCGGCGCACGCCCTAGGGAGCCTCGGACGTCTATCTTCGTGGGCCGGTGGGAAAAGACTGTTCTGCCGCCGGAGCTGTGCAAACGCGGGATTGACCGGCCCATTTAGGAGTTTTCCTTCCGGGTTCCTTCCGGCGGTGGGCGGACTGTTTCTCAAAGCGTCTAGAATCCACTCGACAGGAAACCTCTCTCTCTCTCTCGCACGCTCGCTTTCCTGGGATGCGTTTCCCGACTATAAATCGGATGAGACCCCGCTCTGGCTCTCTGGAGAAAACAGCAGAAAACGGGAGGTGGTTCTTGAAGAAGAGACAGGTGCGATGTGTCTGGTGTTCGTGTGCGACGAGGAGGAGAGGGTGCTCGGGAGCCAGCAGGCACCAGGGGCCTGCCCCTACTGCGGCGGCAGGGTGGTCGCCACCGATGTGGAGACCCAGTGGAGGTTCTGCTTCCTCCCCTTCTACTTCAAGGACAAGCGCAGATACACCTGCGCCGTCTGCACCCGCCAGCTTGCCCGCTGCAGCTAGCGGGAAGGGAAGGGAACGCGCTCACCCCCTTCCGGCCGGAGAATCCCCAGATTGCTCCGCCGATTTGTCCACGAAGAAAATCCACAGACCACAGTTCTTGTATATCCATATCCATCCACCCCACCTGTCCCCCATCTAATTTCCATACTGGCGGCTACTTCTGATCTCTGTACTTTGAATTATTTCGTGAATGACGATTCTCTTTCCCTTCCCTCCTCTTCCCCGATTTTTTTCCATTCCTAGGTAGAGAGAGAGAGCGAGGCTATCCCCTTGAACCTCTAGAACCAGGACGAGGGCGAGGCTCTCAGTTCAGCGGGAGTATGGATTCGAGGATTGAATGCGACCCCGCCGTTGGGTCAACGAGAACGAGCCTCCCCGCCGCCAGCCAATGTGGACCGAGAGCCCTATTCTCTCCTGTATAGAGAGGGAGAGATACGGATATGCTCCTCGGATGCGGAATCAAGCCCGGCACACAGGCCGTGCTGACTTGCGCCGGCCCGTTAGACCAACGGGGAACTCAAGAGAGAAAGTTAACATCTGACCAGAGGACCCCTATAACAACAGGAAGCAAAATAGAAACTTGCCGTGAAAAGCCCCATGAAGCTGCCGATGTAATCGCTATGGAACCTCGAAACTGAGTGCCGCGGGGGAGAAATCAAGATATTGGATGGGCCCTTTCGGCTTCTGGGTCGACAGAAAAAGAACGATGCTTTCTAATAAGACAACGGAAGAACAAATCGTGTAAATGCCGAGGAAACTATGAGAAGATTGGGCCACATTTTTTTTTTTAGCACAAAGGAAGAACAAAACTGCTGAGAGCTGCACCAAATATGAAATCCCGAAAACAAGCTAACGTCTGCTGGGTTTACGACTGGCAATAGCAACGAAAAAAAAGAAGATTATCAAACTCCAATGACTAGATTCCCACGCCATCTCTAGTTCATCCTCCTGATGAGCTCGTTGATGAAATTTTCCCTGTTACCGGCGTCTCCTCCTTCGACGTAGTGATTCCTCTTCTTCTGGAGACCACCGAGCGGGGCTTTGAGCTTGAACGGCCACAAGAAATTGTTGGCCTCCTTGAAGTGAGACCCGACGGTGATGATCTCGTGGATCAGATCCTCGACACAGATGATCCCGTACTTACCCAACGCCTGAAACCATGTGGGTCCGTTAAACTCACACACCCTGCAGACGAAAATTAAAAAACTTGTTCCTCGTCAAGAACTGGAGATGTGCCCAACCTGTTCCACAATGGCGTTGTCGGTCAACGCGGTCCTCTGCTTGTTCAGTTTACCAAAACCCCTCTTGTAGATCAGCTCCCTGACGCTCTTCAAGTTGGGGTACCTGAAAACACCCCCACCCGTGAGCGATGATATTCATATCCCAGATCAGATATCAATGGGAATACATTCCCGGGATGCCCAGCATATACTGGGACATTTACAGTACCCATAAGTCACATAAGGCTCGACCCTGTGGAGCATGTTGAGGGTGGCCTTGTTCACTTTGAGGAACACCCCGTTGAAGATCTGTGGAAAAGATAACAGCTCAACTCCTGGGCAAATCAATCAACAGACGAAGCGAAGAGGGATGGACTCAGAAAGAGCGTCTACACACCTGACGGAGACGCAGGAGCTGTAATATCTTCCGGGTCTTGGGGTGCATCGCGTTGATACTGGTATCAAAAAAAGGCTCTTGTGTCGTTAGAACAATGAACAGAGGAGATTATGCAGAAAAATAATCAACTAGAGCATCTCCTGACACAATCGACGGAAAGAGATATCAGAAGGAGGCGAAACCAAGCACGGATCACGCAAACCCCACAAGAGATAAGGCTGCGGCTGCTTTCCATCAAGAATTGATAATTATTTCGAAATCACCGGAGGGGCAGAGGGGAGGACAAATGAAACCGAGAGAAACAAGACTGACAACGGCATGAATGGAAGATGATCGGAACAATATTGAAGTGCGTCTAGATGATGCATCGGAAGGGATGCAAGCAAAATAAATGGAAGATGATTGGGAGATATTGGCTCACCCTCGGATGCGAATGATGAAGAGAAGCTTGGCCTCGGGGGCGACATAGAACCCACCCTTCAACCTAGCCTCGCGCTTCAACTGGATCAGCTCCTTCTCCTGTGCACCGCAGGAAAACAAGGAAACATAAGCACTCCCTGCCATAGTCCACCGGAAGGAGCCTTCAACACATATGGAAGCATCAGACGCACGGTGAGATAGACATATAAGATCCACACTACCTGGGACTCGTACTCCTTAGCGTACTGAAGGGCCCTGTTGAAGATGATCTTCCGGTTCTCAGCATTCTTCTTCTTCTGCTGTTCGAGTTCATTCTTCTTGGCCAAGGCCCACTCGTCGGCGCGCTTCCTCTTCTTCAGAACCGACTCGGGGATAATGGCCGCCTTCGCCTCCTCCGCCATATCGCTCCGCCTCTCCGAGCCGCCTGCGAGGCACCGGCAGAAGAGAACCTACACTGTGAGGGAGGGTTCGAGCGAACGAAGAGAGAGGGAAATCAAGAGCGCCGGCGCCGTCGCTCACTGCTAGGGTTCGACGGCCGCGCTCTCCACGAGGGAACTAGGGGGAAGGGAAGTGAGAGGCGAAGTGGGCTGTTATACCGTAACCTAGAATTGTATCTGACGGCTAGAATTGAGCTAAAGAATGCGACTTCATCTAAACCGTCGATGGGTACCACGCGATGGCGGGGGCACGGCGGGCGTCGCTCATCTCATTCACTTTGCCGAGCCCACTATGACCGCTGCAAAGATATCTGGCCCAACGGACCTCCCAGAACTGCCCAAAACTGGAGGCCCAATGACCTCGGTCTTTGTCTTATCTGGGTTTCGATGGGCCCATTTCGGAAGCTTCTATCTAGTTCCATCATTCCGCGTAGTTCTCTCTCTCTCTCTCTCTCTCTCTCTCTCTCTCTCTCTCTCTCTCGATTAATAGTAGAATGACTCCTGAGTTCTCGATTAAATAAAATAATATTTTTCTGATATATGAAGGATCTTTTTTATTAAGGATGATTTATTCTAATTAGTGGAATGAATATCTAACTTGTAGGAAATTGATTAAATGAGATTAACATTTTTGTGGATAGCCCAGGCTTTTAAATAATTTAATTATAGTTACTTGTAAAAAAATTATATTACATGAGGGATCAAGACTTTTGAAAAATTATGAAACTATTAGTTATTTGATATATTTTTTATTTGTAAAATATTACCTCATTTTTATTATTATAAGTTTTCACGTCTAAACCTATGAACATTGATGACTCGTGCGCTAAGACATAACCCACGAGTGTGCACAAGGCATAGGACCTAAAGAGGTAGACGCCATTTGGCCTGAATTGAGAAGTTGTTATGTCCCAAAACCAAATAGGTGTAGCTTTTAAGTGATCCTTTTTATGAAAAGAAAGGGTATCCTAATCTAAAATGACCCACTATCAAAATGGATATCTTGCTCAAATATTAGGTTACAAGGATTCAAACCAAAAATTTAGATGGTGATGTTTGTTTCAAAGGTTTTTGCCTCTCTACTACCTCTTGTTAAAGTCTCAAATATTCATATGTAAGATCAAAACCAATCCAAAATAATCATGCACATGAAAATAAATATCAAGCACTTCCTTTATTAGCATCACTCTTTTAAAATCATTCATCAACTATGAACAAATCAAATGACAATTGAAGATGGAGATAACTTATATCAAGCACTACCTTGTTATTAGTCAATTATTTATTCTTATTCTAATTAATGATATGTGGACTCATTGAACTACATATTATTAGTCATTTTTTTATTTATTTTTGTTAATATTTTATTCGTTATTCTTTGTATTTCTCATTTACACTTTTTTCCTTCCTTATGTTTTTTTTCATTATTCAAATACTTTGTGGGCCTTAGCTACCTAACCCACACCTCCTATTTTCTTGAATCATCACTATTAGAAATTCCTCAACAAGACTTGTGGATCTCAAGCCATTATACTCAAGAAAATCACTCTAGAATCTCCTTTGGCAAGGTACGTTGATTTCAATTCCCTTTGTGAAGCAATCATTATTTTTAAATCCTTGCTCCTTGTAAGAATTGAGTGAACCATAAGCTAGTCATCTTTGTACTTTTTATCAGTGATCTTAACATCCTAATTGAAACTTTATATGAATCCTTAGAAGTGGGGTTCTTCTTAGGTAATTACAATCCTAATTTTTTAAAAATCAACAAAATTAGCTTACTCATAATCTTCCTTAACTTAAGCAAGAATCTCAACCTTCTATTTGGTACTGATACTTAACCAAGAGCACAATGTGGAGGAATATATACAAAAAAACAATAGTGCATTATACTTGAAAAGTGCCTATTTTTAATTGAATCTCTACATGACATATGAGTTGATCAAGTGTATTAACATGTACACCTCTTTCAACATACATCATAGTTGAGAAAGTTATATAATTGAGGAGGTGCAATTTGCCACAAGCTTTTATGGAGAGTTGAGCAATTAAGATGAATCTTGTTTACTTATAAGAAATGATGTACTTTCAAAATCAATAGCTGACAAAGGGAAGCATTAGAAAATAATATTAATAACAAAGGTCATGAGACAATCTGTATTTACATTTTTGACTCACACATACCATTTACTCAAATGAAGTAAGAGTATAAACAACTTGTTCTTATACTATTATATCTTATTAATAGAGAATAGTAATGGTTGTCGAGATTATCTTTAGTTCGTAAGTTGTGAAATATTTTATAGCGACAAACATTGAGTGTGAGAAAATCTTTTGATTGATGTTTCTTCTCAAGGTGAATATATCAAAAATCAAATGTTAAGTATTATATGATATGTGAGACTTGACCGACTACTGAAAAGTAATATCAAATACGTTGGGCAGCCACATTTTTTAATCAATGTTAAACTTGTTCGTGACCCACACCCTCAATCCTAATAGCTCCTCACTCTTCGGGTTTCCATTAATCTTTCTCTCTTACGGTCACAAAGCTGGTCACATGCCCATCGCTGTGTTGGTTGTAAACAGTAGATTTGGCCTCCGGTCGGAGCAGGGATGCTCCGCCGTCTTTTGTTTTCCCCCGCGGAAGACAAGATGCCTGCCTTCGTTACCAAGCATGAGTATGACGGAGCTTTACGACCAGCCCGTACCTCCCTCAAAAGCAGGAGCTTCGCTTGCTATTCCCTCTCTCCACGAGCTCCCAGGGAGAACCTTCCCTTTACGTTTACGTATGAAAACTCGTGAGTGACGAAAGAAAGGTGCACTTGAGAGAGACGGAGATGGAGTAGTTCAAGTGGGAGATGGGTTTCGAGGAGCAGGCGCCTCGAGCTCTTTCGTGATTTTAGTGATAGAAAAACTGCCATGGCGTGGTCTTCTTCCTCCGGGAAGCGATCATCTCGCACGTCAACCTCTCTCTCTCTCTATCTCTCTCGGTTGTCTCTTTACAGACCTACTCCACCATGCCAGCGAGTGGGAGCCACGATGCGACGAGGGAGGCAGGGCAAAGAGAGACTTCATGGAGCGAGTTTTGTCATCCTCATCCCAACTGCGGAAATAGGAGAAAGGAGCCGCCCAAGGCGGGCGATGGCGTAAACCTCCCCCGTCTGAGTCTGAGTCTGAGTCGGTGTCGGCCTGCCCACTTGTAAAAATGTCCTGTGCCGCGGCGGCCTTCGCTTTCTAGGCCGCATCTCCCCACGTCGAAGCTTTCGGCGAGGCCCCTTCACGGCGCCGCCAGCCGGAAGAAGTCTCCGGGCGTTTACTTTCCGCGACGTAGAGAAGAGGAGGGGAGAGGAGGGGAGACTTGCCCCGCCGGAGCCGGTCGGAGGGCCGCCGTGCCGGAATGTTCCTATTTAAAAAAAATGGAATAGATAAAAAGGGCGTGACCTTGGGGATCGTCGATGAATGAGATGAGTTTGTTATGTGTCTAAAACCCAATAGAGTAAGTCTCACCTGAACCATTAGAGGAGCTGAGTGTCATGACTGATTTTAGCTTCTCAATCTCAGCTCTAAGACTTTCTATATCTCCCCGGGGATGTTGTAGTCTGTGCCTGCTGCAGGATTCGGAGGGCACGAAGCATCGCCGCTGGAATAATATTATCTTGGCAGCCAACGTCAACTACTCTCATAGCTGTGCTCCACGTGACTGGGTAATGCAAACGAGGCATGTGGCGTCTTTATCGGATACCCAACTGACTTTCAGAAGGTTCCGCGAAACTTCACAAATCACCCCCAACGAGCCCATCGCCGGAGACCTCCGTCCTCTCAGTAGCATTTGCCAGGACATCGCTGGTTGGTACGTGAACGCTTCGTCTCTTCATTATCTTCCTCGTCCCCCTCGTCGTCGTCGTCCTCCTCCTCCTCCTCCTTTCGTCTTCATCCCGTCCTATATATTACCCTCGCTGTTGCGATGGTCATGTTTTTCTCTCCCTCTCTTATTGCTGGCACTCGATTTACCCGTCTATTCATATTCCTATTCCTATTCCTATTCCTCTTCCGCTTCCGCTTCCGCTTCATCTTCTCTGCCTCTGGGTCTGGGGGCGGAAGTGAGCTCTACTGTCGCAAACTGCGTGTCCGTCGGTCTGTAATGGGGACGCCGCTCTTGCAGGTGTCATCTCTCCTGCGACCGAGATGGACCGCCCAGGACAATGGGTCGGCTCTCCTCATCGGCACCATCGGTATTTCGACGAGGAGTCCGGAGGAGACCGCGGCAGCGGGAACAGCGGCGCTGCTCGGGGTGACGACAACGCGTTCGACAATACTTTTGAAATTCCTGCAAAGAATGCGTCGATTGAGCGGCTTAGGCGGTGGAGGGTATGGCACCACTTCACCTCGGAAAAATTAGTGTCGCATTCTCTCCATGAATTCGTCTATGCACTTATTTCGCTAATTGGAATGTGCGCATGTCAAAGGGCTTACCGTATCTAGTGAGAGCTACACTTGTCAATGTTCAAAGAATAAATAATGTATCATTTAAGTCGATTGACCAAAATGAGGATTTCAGAACCGAATTTGGGAGATGGTATGATTTTAATCATCGAAGATCTGAGAATAAATAGTGTTAATGAGACGAGAGTGAATTTGGATCTGGCGATTTTCGGTAAACCCTAGGGCTATTCAGGGATTGCTTCCTTATTTTTTAAAAGAAGGATCAATATATAAAAAAGGGAACGCTCATGGTCGTGTGGACCAGACTATGCAAACTAAGAGAGAAATTTATGCTTCATTGGTTAGCATTATGCAATCTGAATGCTTATTGATATCTAGGTAGAAACGTCATGCATCAAAATAACGTTTAATTATGTCAGTTGATGATTCATTTTCCCATCTGCCATTTCCATCACTTCCTTGGCATGCTGTGAATCCTGAAACAACATAATATCATGATTGGCTACTGTCCTTCCACTTTCGAGATTGTTTTCAGCTGTGGAGGATAATTTTTGGTGCTGGAATAGTTGATTTGAAGAGAAAAGTTCCCGTTCTATGTCGGGTAAATGACAAACTTATACTTTAGTTATGGACTGTTCTAGGGTGGGATCTCTAGAAAAAAGAACTTTCTAAAGCAGAAAGTGGTGATTCATCATTTTAGTGAATATGTTGAAGATTGTTCAGGTGGCGAATGCAATGATAGGTAGTGATTGAAAATGCAGAGATGCTATCTTTAATCAAATACATCCCATATCATGTAAGGTCTTTGTAGTTCTATAATTAGAATGTGGAAATTCTAATGCAAAATATTAATGGTATGACAATTTGAAAAATATTTTCTTCATCTTTTGCTATTGTTGTAGATCAGAGTAGGACTAATTCACTAGAAAGACCACCCTCGCACATGTGGAGAAAATGTTCTCTTCATTCAAAAAGATTATTTACAAAGTGGAGGGGTTTGGCATTTATACTAGACCTTGGAAGATTTTAGATACTTATAGCTCTCCTCAAGATTATGTATCCTATCAACATTCCCCCTCAAGTTGGTGAGTGGATGTCATCCATTCTTATCTTGGGTAACTTTGGTAGAAGTATTCTGCTAGTTGATTGTGTGTAGAGATTAATGACATAAAAATCAAATTTGCCTCCAACGTTTCTTTAATGAAATGATGATCAACCTCCATGTTTCGTATGATCATGTCGTACTAGATTATGCACAATATTAGTTGATTGTTGTCACAGTATGGTTTCATAGGATTGGGCAGAGAGATTTTTATCTCATCAAGTAAGATCTTCACCCAAAGTAACTCACACACACTCTGGTTAAGTGTCCTAAATTCAGTTTCAACACTTGAACTGGAAACCACATTTTGATTCTTCTTCTCCACATGACACGGTTGACTCCAATGAATGTGAGATATTCAAAAGTGCATAGTTTGTATCTATTAACATTTCAACCTCTACCTTTTCTCTTCATTGAAGAGAACTCCTTTGCTTGGTGTGCCTTTCAAGTAATGTAGTACTTGATAGAGTAGTTGACCACTAAGACATTGATACATCTCACTGTTAATGTTAGTCTTTTCCTTTGTCAGACAGTTTGTGATTTGGATCAATGGGTGTGCTAGCGGGCTTACATGCCATATTCCCAGTATCGTTCAACAATTTGTTAGGTACTTATGCTAGGAGATGAACGTACTCCCAGAAGAGTGAGCCATTTTGATTCCCAAGAAGTATTTGAGCCATCTCAGTGTCTTAATATCAAACTATCTAGCCAAACATTGACTCAGGTTCTGGTTTTCCACTTCATGATTTCTTGTGACAAATAGTGCTTAAAAAAGAGGGTATGATCACCATTAGTTTGGCTATGATTCAACTTTTTTTTTGCCTCCAAACCAGGCTTGCGGTTGTTGTTTGAGTCTACTAAAGAGATTTTTTTAACTTAGACATGATATTTGATGATAGTTGACCCTCATATCTTGGTGGAAGAGTCTTATAAACTCCTTCAATGAGATCACCACATAGGAAACCATTGTTCATATCATATTGTTGTATGTCCCTACTAAAAATCGATGTTAAAGATAATATAAGTCTATCTGTGTGTGTTTTTGCGACAGGTGAGAAGGTTTCTTATAGTCAATATCATAAACTTTTGTATGGCCTTTATCAACCAACCTACCCTTATGTTTCTTGATCGAGTCATCAGATTTATACTTCAGGTTATACATCCATTTACGCTAACTGCCTTCTTATCCTTAGGTAATTTCACCAGATCTTAGATTTGATTTTTTTTTTATGGTTCTCGTTTCTTCATCCATGCTTGGTTTTACTCCTTGGATAGAGTTTTTGAGACATTTGTTGGAAAGGTAGTGTTGTCTAAGAAGTTGAGGAAGGACTGGTAGGATGGGAAAATTTTTGGCTGGATAAGAAGTTGGCTGATGGGTACATAGGTCTCTTTGTACACTCTCATTTTGCTTTCCTAAGGCAATAAAAAGTGAATTGTTGTTTGGAATTTCATTATCAATAGATGGTATTGGTGAGGTATTCTGGATATTCTCTAAGGTTGGATCAGAGTCTTTGGCTGGTTTAGAGTTGCAAACTTCATTTCTCTTAAAGTAGACTTTGTCAAATCTAAGGTGTTCAAGAAATAGATCTAGGTTTAGAGTTTTCTCAAAGACTAAAATAGTAACAATTGTTTTTTTCCAAGAAGTAGTTGAATAGTCTAAATGATGATCAATATGATCTGTATGAGAGAAGATTCAATCGTTTGATGGAGATTTTTCAAAGTAGGGTTTTAATTCATGAAATGTGACATCTATTGATATGAATATCTTTTGAGTTTGTGGATGATAACTTTTTTTGATTAGTTGAATATCTAAGAAATATGCATTTAAGCAATCGTGGGTCTAGTTTTTCTTTAGTCTGATTGTGGTGATAGACAAAAGAGACAACTAAATATCCTTGGTTTTCATGTACTTTTTATTTGATTATTTGGAAAGTGTACTGTCAACAAATCAAAAGGGCTTTGAAATCCTAATGTTCAAGTAGGTAATCAATTGAAAAGATATGTTGTTGTTAAGACAATTGCACCCCAAAATATTTTTGTCACATTACTTTGGAATAAGATTGATCAAGTTACCTCTGAGAGATGTCGATTTTTCTGCTTAACTAAGTCATTTTGTTGTGGAGTATATGTGTAGGAGGATTTATGTTCTATACCTTCTGATTGGAAATAAGAATTCAAGTTTGGCCAAAGTATGCTTTAGCGTTGGTGGATCTAAATTTCTTTATACATGTCTCAAATTGATTTTTGATCATAGCACAATTTTTTTTAAGGTCTCACAATTATCAGACTTCTGCTTTAGAAGAAATAACCACATTCAATGAGTATATTCATCTATAAAGGTGATGAACCACTTATTTCCTAAAAGATAATTATTGGGACATGATCCCCAAATGTCATTGTAAATGCAAAAGAAAGGAATTTCACTCGTTTCTCCTTGTGTTTGAAAAGAAATACAAGTGTGTTTAGAGAGTTTACATACATTGCATTTAAGGGAAAAGGTTTTCCATTGTGCTGAAGGAAGGATGGCCCATTCTTGAGTGGAGAAATTATATGTTGGGGAGGTTTCTTAGGGTCTCTAAGCGTTGATCTGCTTCCACTAATTACGTTTGAGTTAGTACCTCTAGGAGGTAGAGTTCTCCATGTTCTCTAGCAACTCCAGTCCTACAATGTTGTACCTTATCAAATGTCATACAAATATCCTAATCAAGCTAGCTGCAATAAGGTAAACTGTTCACAAGTTTCTTTACAAAGATGAGATTGATAAATAATTTTGGGACAGGAAATACATTGCTAAGTATCCCAAGGGCTCACGTTTAAGGTATCTTATATTAGTAATTGTTATACGAAAATTGTCAGCAATGGATACTTTTCAATCACTAGACCAATGGTTGTATTTAACAAGGTGATGAGAAGAAGTTGTCATATGGTCCGTTGTTCTGGAGTCCACTACCCAACTTCTAGAATGCCCCTAGATGGGGCTCTAATTTCGAGAGAGTAGTGAAGTTTATCAAGCTGAATCGATGATTACTGTGTCTTGGTTGACTTCAACTTTTTCAATTCAACTCAAAGTTGTTCTATCTCATCTAATCTATACTAGAGAAGGATGTTGAGGCTTAGATGGTGCACTAGGAATCGAATTAGTAGGCAGGTCAGCAATCAAGATGTGCTTTGCTTCCATGGTTTTCAAAGGTGGGGTTTTGTGGCTTTCCATGGAGTTCCCAACATTTATCTGTAGTGTGACGAGATTTTCTATAATATTTGTACCAGAAATTATCCTTATAATCAGACCTCTGATTTCTTGATTTACGAGATTGGGGTCGTCGACTTGGATCTACAGTTTTCTTCACGTTAGCCCTTGTTTGGTCATAAATGTGGCATTATCTATATCTGACATTGATAGCATCAACTTTTGACGACTCTCCTCATTCAGAATAATTGAAATAGTCTCATCCATCTTGGATCTTCAATCACTGCTCAAAATCTGTTGTTTGACATGGTAAATTTTTTGATTAAGTCATGAAGTAATTTAAACATTCTTCTACATTCTATGAAATTCTGTGGAAAAACAATTTCCATGGAGTTTTCAGTGCCAAGATTGAGATAATAATCAAGTTCTTGCCACAAATTTTTTAATTCCTTAGCATATTCCATCACCAATTTATTTCCTTGAACTATGGACATGGACTTTGTCTTTAGTCTGTATATCTGAGCCTCATTATTCTTTTGCGAGAATTTCATATGGACAGTCTCTGATAAATCTTTGGTTGTAGCCAAGAAAAAGAAATCACGACTAATTTGGGGAATCAGAGTTCCCCAGATCCGTGTCTTGATCAATGCATCCTCTCCCTCCAATAAGGAATTCATGTGATGACGGATTTGTTTTCAAATCTACCAGGTGATGTAGCATCCCTCTTCGAGTTAGAACCTCTTTCATACATTCTGACCACTGGATTCAATTATACCCAGTCAATTTGAATTCCGCAGGCATTGCAGAGAGTTCTACCCATAGTTGCGGGGGCAATGGGACTGGGATTAGAATCTGTCAAGGAAGAAGAAAGATCATCCATCGAGGAAGAAGAAAGATTTCCAACTTTTGACATAGAGTCACAAGATTTCAAAGTGGAGGGGGCTAGTGTTTATACCAGACCCTGGAAGGTTCTAGACACTTATAGCTCTCCTCGGGGTTGTGTCCCATCAATAGCTATCAACTTTCATGCACCAACAACATTGTCTTAGCCATCTTTTTCTGTCATCTTTTTGCTGTATGGGACTCATCACAATTTCAATGTGCTTGTGGCAGATGAATGGATGTTTCTAGTTCTTCATCCTGAAATTTCTTTTGAATCAGCACTGGTGTGATAATGTTTCCTGGTGCTCCTTTTTTTAGAATTGTTCATCAATTCTATTGATAATTTTTTGACTTTTTTCACAGGACCTTTTTCTGTGATGTAATTTATGGACTTAATTACTTAAAAAATGGTTCTATATTCTGATGTTTTTCTCTTCGGATTCGTTGGGGATTTAATATTTTTCGTAATTAAATTTACTTTTTCCTAAGTTGCTTTTTTTTTTCTCCTCAGCAAGCGGCTCTTGTGCTAAATGCTTCCCGTCGGTTTAGATATACCCTCGACCTGAAGAAAGAGGGAGAGAAAGAGCAAATAAGAAGGAAAATTAGGACTCATGCTCAAGTCATACGGGTAAAGAATGGGAAGCAAACCTGACCTGAATATGAATCCCCTGTCCATGATGCAATGTTTTCTAATTAACTTTGCAGGCTGCTTTTCTATTCAAAGAGGCTGGTGAAAGGGAGGCACCAGGTAATACATATCTCGTCATCATCATAGTTAACCTTTTATTCAGGTCATCTGACATCCTTTTTCTTTGAATATTCTTCCTGTATTCTGTCAGGGCCCCCTGGAGCATTGCCAGCCCCTGGTTTGTACGGTATTGTGGAAGAACAACTTACTTCAATGACCAGAGATCATGATTTGTCTTCACTACAAGAACATGGCGGGGTGGGCTCCCATAGGATTTGACTCTTTCAAAATGCTCTCACTTTTTTGCTAATAGTGTCGATTCAATACTTGTGTATCAGATGAAGGGATTGGCTAGTTTACTAAAGACAAACTTAGACAAGGGAATCAGTGGAGATGATAGCGAGCTACAACACCGTAGGAACACATTTGGGTCTAATACTTATCCTCAGAAAAAAGGACGGAGCTTCTTGGTATCTTTCTTATAATCGACCATCTGACACCACTTATTCAAGAAATACGGCTCAATAAATTCTTAAGGACCTCATGTTCCTCGTTGCAGCTTTTCTTATGGGAGGCTTGGCAGGATTTGACATTGGTCATCTTGATGATAGCTGCTGCTGTATCATTGGCATTGGGAATAAAGACTGAGGTAGATTTCCATTCGGTTTTAAAGTTTTTATTATTTTTCAAGATACGTAATCCCACATCTGAGCAAAACATTCTTTTTGGACTAAGTTTTTGAATTTACACTTATTTGCCTTCGTTTATTTTTTTTTCTGTTGAATGAAAATTTATATAGCTTCAAAATGGCGAAGCTTTTTTTTAGGATAGTATCCCCCTCCGTACCCAACCATACTGAGTTTAATATAGTGAATTTTACTTGCTGATACTATGGGACACAAACTGTTTTCTTATATATTTTAACTTTAGTTTAAATGCATACTTTCATTGAACACTTTCAGTTCTCTTCTTTTTTTCTTCTCGAAACATAGTTTACCATGAAGGTAAGCTGTCATGACATCTATCAACCGAGTGTACTACTCATATGAAAGTTTTGACGTGCACACTGTATGCAGTTATTTACTGTACTATTCTATCAATTAAGTCATGGTGTAAACGAGTGCAGCTTTCTCTAATCTATTTGGGTTACTGTCATATGTTTCTCGTGCTTAATCTTGGTGTTCTTTGTCAACTGTCTAATTCTCTGTTTAGGGCATCAAAGAAGGATGGTATGATGGTGGGAGCATTGCCATTGCTGTTATTATTGTTATTGTTTTTACAGGTATGATCCATTCGCATGGGGAAAAAGTGATTTTCATGATCTACAATAATTGATATCATTTTTTTCTGCTTTATATTCTAAGTCAAGTGAAGCATCGGGTAACGATCTTGAAACATATTTTTCTACATTTTTCACTTCATTTATTTACAATCAATCTGGTCATTTCTTCATCAATGTTATTTCGGACATCATGTACAGACTCAGACATTTAGTTGATAATAGTTATCCCTTTTCTTGAGGATTCTATTGTTGGCGAGATATTGCTGCTCTAGTCTCAAGGTTGAACTTTTTAAATCTGCTTGGCCAGTTGCTATTCTGGGGGGATATCAGAGAAAAAAATTGACGTGGAATTTGTCCTGTATTTTGCTATTTGTCTCCTTTTCCTGCTGATTTTTTGAAATCTTTTAGTTGAACTTTGAAGCTCTGGCTGGGTCTGTAGTCTGTTTGGGCTTGTTTCTACAAGTCTATTCCCGGACATTTTTTCATAGTAATCTTTTATGGAGTAACAACTTGCGGTTGGATTTTTTTTCCACAGCTGTGAGCGATTATAGACAGTCCCTTCGGTTCCAAAATTTGAATGCGGAGAAACGTAACATTCACTTAGAGGTATGTGCTATTGAATCGCGAGACTTTCTCTTTTATTTGAGTTTTCATTTCGATGTTTCCTATTTCAAACATTTAATCAATTGTGTGTGGAATTTTCAGGTAGTCAGGGGTGGAAGAAGAATTGAAGTTTCAATATTTGATTTGGTCGTTGGGGATGTTATACCTCTGAAAATTGGTGATCAGGTTTGGAGAGTAGCAACAGTTAATTGTTAAAAGATCTGAAAATTTTTGTATGCTGGTTTTATTGGAATGGATGGTTTTATGCTGTGTTGATGTTGCGAAATTTTCCCTCAGGTTCCTGCGGATGGACTTTTTATTTCGGGTTATTCTCTTGCTATTGATGAATCTAGCATGACTGGGGAGAGCAAAATTGTAAGCCATTGTATTATTTCGGCATCTTTTTTGAGGTAACATTCTAAATTTTTTTCTTCCCTACAGGTACACAAGAATCTAAAGGCACCATTTTTGATGTCTGGATGCAAGGTTGCTGATGGCTATGGTACTATGCTGGTATGATGAGCTGGTATCTGAATTCCATTTCTTCTAATTACCACAGACCATTTGTGCAAAGTTTGGGCCACTACCTAAATATGATTTAAGATGAGATGAACAAAATACCTGGAAGAAATGAGTTTACTTTAGTTGGATTATACAATTTAGGTTATTTTAAGAATTTACTGAAAGTGTTCTGATCACCTTCTTGTTTTTGCACCCTGAGGTTCAGAGATCAAGGAAGTTGAGGCATTGTTTCCTTTTGAATGTAGTCATCTTCTAATATATTGGTAGAAAACCTAAATCTTTGTTTGTTAATGAAGGATAGATGTGTTATTGCCCGCGTGTTTGTGGTCTGAGGATGTAACTTTGTGTCTGCTGATAAACGTTTTTGCGACATACTCTCTTAGTACCTTTCGTGTACTTGTTGCAGAAGCAGAATGATAGTTTTTTTAATGTGGTTCCTACTGTGGTCGTGTGTAAATGCATATCTTAGACCTGCACGTCCTATATACGTGTTTGTCTGTGTATTTGCCAATTGTTACATGCGTCCTTCTACATACTTGTATCACTCATATCTAAGTGGATGTCGGAGCACTGTCGTCGTTATTTCCATGTCTTTTACTATTGACCTCCTAGGCATTAAAGGGTGCTAATAACTGGTTGTCTCTGACAACGTTCCCTGGTAGTTACTCTATGTGTCATCTCCATATGTTGTGCTGAATGAGTCATAAGGAATCTGAAGGAAAGGATAGGAAGTTGCTATCTTTTTGTCCAGTCTAGAGTCTCCTTGGCTGGTTACAAATGTTGCTTATATTCATGGTACAGAAAGATTCAAAACAAAATCGTATGGAAGATTAGCAAGATTCAAAACAGCAAGATTATCTGTTTCTACTTGAAAATTCTTGCTGGCGTATCATGTACAGTCTGGCCGTATGATTTATGTGGACAAGTTTCTTTAAAGCAAATGAATAATGGGTCATAACTCATCTAATGGAAAATATTGAAAGTTGATTTGATTTAATCCAAAATTTATGATGAGCCAGTTTTTGAAAAGCAGACAAGTTATGGTTTCACTTGTCAACTCTTCCTGGAGTATCCAGTAAAGTTAGGTCTACCAAGCTTGATCTATACCACTTGGTTTTATCGACTACCTGGAAATGGAGTGAAAAGAAGATTTCTCGCTACGCCATAGTGTCTCCGGTTTTGCCTAAATGATGGACGTTGTAACTCTCAGCCCTCAAATTGTTTCCGTTCTACTTCCTAAAAGCTCAACTTCTTAGAAATATGAACCATCAACATCGTTTATATGGTGATGGTATCTTGATCATGTACAGGAATGTTATTCTGAAACTCTAGGGGCTGTTCCACTTGAGCTGATTTTCTTTCCCATCATTGCCTATTTTCAGGTAACTGCTGTTGGAATTAATACTGAATGGGGTCTACTGATGGCAAGCATATCAGAGGATACTGGGGAAGAAACTCCTTTGCAGGTTTTTCCCCTGTAGATTATACTTTTGAAACTAACTCTCTTTTTTTTTTTTCTCTTTAGCAGATATATTTTTGGAAATAACTGACCTGAATGATTTTTTCTATTAAAAAAAAGGTCCGGCTGAATGGTGTGGCCACTTTTATCGGTATAGTTGGGCTAAGTGTCGCATTTGTGGTCCTCATTGTCCTGTTTGCTAGGTATGGCTTCGTTCATTGTTCTATTTTAAATGTTTTGAGCTTTTGGGAATTTCTCTAACATAACACTTCCTCCAGATATTTTACTGGGCACACTAAAAACCCTGATGGCACCACTCAATTCGTGGCTGGACAGACAAAAGCCAAAGCTGCAGTAAATGGAGCCATAAAAATCTTTACGATTGCTGTAGGTCGTCCTTTTTTTAATTCTAATCTAGGTTGTTGATATCTACTTAGATAGCAATGATGGGATGATTTATTTTCTAGGTTACTATTGTGGTCGTTGCTGTGCCTGAGGGTCTTCCTTTGGCTGTTACATTGACGTAAGTTTGTGTTTGTCCCGATAGTTGTGGTTTCACCATATTCTTGTACCTTGATGTATAATATTTTTTTGGTTCATTGTTTTGATTGTTGCAGTCTTGCATACTCAATGCGCAAAATGATGGCAGACAAAGCCCTGGCACGTACCTTCCCCATTTTCTTCCCTTGGTAGCCTCTTTTCAGATAACGTCATTATGGATTGGGCATTACAGGTACGGAGACTTTCAGCATGTGAGACTATGGGATCAGCTACCACAATCTGTAGTGACAAAACTGGAACTCTGACGTTAAATCAGGTAAGTTTATCATGGATCTAAGTTTAGTTCATCTTTTTTATTGCAACATTTTTTTCAAGAAGTCAACCACTAAATAAGAGCTGTGGGGATTCTATTTACTGCATAGTGATATTTCCATACTCGAGGCGAGCATTCACATTGAGTGCTTCAGCAGTACTATCTTACGGCATTTATATATCATACGTGGTTGACATGAAGATTTCATTTTTTTCTCACCATTTTAGATGACTGTTGTTGAAGCATATGCTGGGGGGAAAGAGATTGATCCCCCAGATAATAATGAACAGCTATCCTCCGCCGTGTCATCGTTATTAATTGAGGGCATTGCGCAAAATACAACAGGCAGCGTTTATACTCCTGAGGTAAAGTTGAATTACAGTTGATAAGACAGCGTGCATATTTCCTTTTTTTTTATTGAGGCTGTAATTTTGGTTCCGTTCCTTGGAGATTGTTAGCTCTGGCAATGCATTAAAGTTTTTAGTTGGTCCTGTTGGCTTGTGTGCCACTCCTTTGTTGTCAGATTTTGCAAGAGTCATAGTGCTATCAGGAAGATAGAGGCTCGCCTTTTCAAAATTCTGATACTAAATGTTGTATAAGTAGTAAAGTTTTCTTGAAGGCACAAATGTGTTCCCTATAGACTAGGGATCGGGGGTTGCTTCCTCAATGAGAGTGCGCACTGGCAACTTAATATCAATATTGAAAGAGGATGTAACTTCTTATTGCTCTGAGGAAGTCAGACGTAGGAGAGTTCGCTTTATTAGAGCTTCATTTCTGCTTTGCAGTTTTATGTGATTGATGAGAACTTGGTGGGGATTCTGGCGTGCAATATTTTATATTCTATCCATCTATCTGCATAATATTTTAATATATTCAGTGGCCATAGAGGACGCACTAGTATGAGCATTTCTATTTAGCAGAACGGTGGATACGTTGAGGTTACAGGTTCACCAACTGAAAAGGCAATTCTCGGTTGGGGTGTCAAGGTACCGGTTAATGTTTATTTTCTTCTGTTAAATACGATATACCTTTTTATTAGTTAGTATTGATTTCATTTTTTCATTATGCTATAGCTGGGAATGCAATTTGAGGATGTGAGATCGAGATCATCTATTCTTCATGCTTTTCCATTCAATTCAGAGAAAAAACGTGGTGGTGTAGCTGTAATGTCGGTAATGATTTCCTCTCCTTTATGCCAACTTTTTTTTTTTTGTCATAATTCATATTTGTCCGAATTTATTTTTATTCATAGTGCTTTTCTATTCAGCGTTGGACATTTATTTCTATTCATAATACGAAATTATTTTTTATGGTGGTGGTGGCTTAGCCATAATGCCTTTCTATTCAGTGCTGGACATTTTCATTTAGAGCCATAAATTGTTATGCTTAGTTATTGCTCTTCAAGAAGATCAAAAGCCTTGGTGAATACCAATGTCTTTTGAGTGATGTTCTGTATGATCATTAAATGAATCACGGATGTATTTTTTGTTGTATTAGCTTTGATCCTGATTTGCTCTACTGCATATCAGTGTCTGAAGAACGTCCATAACGTTTCAAAATTTTAAATTGCCTTTTCATCACCTTTTGCTACCTTGTAGTTGAACAAGTGATTGAAAGTGCTGCAATAGAAATTGCACACTCTTTGTTAAACAATCTTATTTTCTTCTTTCAAGTTGGCTGCACATTTTCCTAGTATCTCTTGCCATTCATTATCTTTTCATGCATATTCATCTAGCTGTTTGACAATGATTGTTTTTTTTGTGCCTTCTTTGACCTGCGTTGCTTCTTGTTGTCTGTTTCAATCTTATTTGTAAACTGCATAAAATTTGATCTTCTGCTTTGGTTCTATCATCTCTGTAGCTTATACTTATTTCGCTCATGTGAAAAAGATATTACTCATCTGTTACGCAGAACAAGTTTTTCTATATTGGGTTTTCCTTCTATTTTTCCTTTTTGTCCTATTATTAGATGTATTTCCTTTTTTGTGTTTCTGTTATTAGACCTTTCCATAATACCAGAAAGGTTCATTAGACACCAATATAAATATTGGCGTACTGCCTTGAGAAGGGCTAAGTCAGTTTTTCCCTTTCCTACTTCTGCTGTATCTCGTAATATGGTATCAGAGCTTTCTCTCTGATCTTGTGTGAAGACTGCCGACGGAAGATCAACCAACTTTGGTGGCGACGACGACTTCACACTGTAGGGAGTGTCCCCTGGTGATCTTCTTCCTGCCTGCAGTACCTAAGATCGTGAGGTTTCTTGGTCGTAAGCAGACCGGCAGATTCCTTGGAGAGTCACTATACCATCGTCTTTTCTTGACGGTGGGAGACATCTACGAAAACACCATCGTCAATTCTTGACGGTGGTAGGACGTCTACGAATACACCGTTGTCATTTCTTGATGATCGTGGACGTCTGCAAATACACCATTCTCGTTTCTTGACATGGCAGTCATCCTTAGTTTCTTGAACAGAAATTGTTATTTGGACCACATCAGGGAATCTCTGTTTGAGATTTTTTTTTGGCTATTTTGTCGCGGCTGAAGAACATGGAGACAAAGGTCAGTGAGTCTTCCTCCTCTAGCCCAAGACATTCATTTGAAGTAATTAAGGTATGTTCAGATCCACCTAAAATTATTGAGAGATTCCGATTTGATGGAATCAATTTGTTCCAGTGGACATCATATGCAGAATTTATTCTGTGTGGGAAGAATCTGGATCGTCACCTTCTCGTAAAGTATTGACAACCCAGGATATTCTCGGTGGAAAGAAGACGCATTGATTCATTATTAGATGCTAGACAATATTTCACCAAAGATATGTGATAGATTTCTTTTTCTGAAATTTGTGAAGGAATTATGGGACAAGGTTCGTCGTGTTCACTCTACTAAACATGATGAATCTCAAATTTATAGCTGGGTACAAAAATCTCTGACTTTGTTACAGGAACATTGACTGTCTTGGAATATGCTTGCGAATTGGAATCCATCTAGAGAGAAATCAATCACTACAGACCAATCGAGAACCCTGATAATGAAGAACGAAATTATATCATGAAAGACATGCTGTATAAATTTTTGATGGGGATAAATCTAGAATATGAGACTCTAGTAAATCAGATCTTTGCTCGGAAAGTAGTACCAGATATTGAAGAGGCAATTGCATTAACTAGACAAGAAGTAAATACTAGAAATTTGAGAAACGATTTAAAGATAAAAAATGCTGCATTCAATACTCTCAAGGACAAAGATACCTCTGTATTAAAAAAGGGAGGTAGTAAAGTACCATTTATCAAAGGAGATCCTAAGACTGATCCGAAGGCACACTTATTTTGTACTTATTGTCGGAAAAATAGTCACACTAGGAAGACATGCTGGAAGATCTATGGCAAACCACCGAATTATGGTAACTTGTATTTTGCTAATGCTCAAAATGAAGATGGTGTTGAGCCCATGATTTAAGGAGGAGTTAGTCAAGACGGATCTACTTCCTCTCAACTTTCAGAGATTGAAAAACTCAGAGAAGAAATTGAACAATTGAGGAGCATGATCAGCTGCAGTTCCCTCGCACATGCTAGTAAGCTACTGATCATTGGCATCACCTTCACCCCAAAAAGTGTCCTTGATCATTGATTCTAGAGCTACTGATCATATGACACCATATGCATCACTATTCATAACATGAGGTATGTACCAATAATCAGAAGGTTATTATTGCAAGTGGAGATTTGTTACTTGTAGTTGGCATTAGATCAATTCATCTTGAGAAATTGGGGTCACTAAGATATGTTCTTCATGTTCCAAGATTGAATGCACATCTATTGTCATTGAGAAAATTGGGTACAGACTTAAATTGTTTGATATTATTTGATGACAATATCTGTTTCTTTTATGACAAGGCCTCGGGCAAGAGGATTGGGCATGTTTGAGCACGGGATGGACTCTACTACACAGGGCGTATGGATAAGACATTGTTGACGAATTTCAGTCCAAAAATTTTCACTTTTGCTTTTACTTCTCCCTTGAACAAATTGTTGTTGTTACATTGTCGCTTAGGACATCCGTCCATAAAAGTACTTAGATACTTGTTTCCAAAACTATGTCGTGCTGTTGGTGAATCTACTTTCATATGTGGACCCTGTCAAATGACTAAGCAGCGACGAATATCATTTTCATCTGCTGGAAATAAAAGTGAATCCCCTTTTTCAGAATACATTCTGATATATGGGGTCCTTCATCCTGTGGTGTTAGGGACTTCAGATGGTTTACCATCTTTGTAGATGACTGTACTAGGTTTGCATGGATTTACCTAGTGAAAACAAACTCAGAAGCTAGTTCAAAATCAGTTCAGTATAACTCTTAAGAAATTCCTATCAAACAATGCTAAGCGTTTTTTCAATTCTATTGTCTCCAATTTCTTTGTTGAGGAGGGCATTGTTCATGAATCTTCTTTCCCTATACACCTTAGCAAAATGGGGTAGCTGAAATAAAGATTAGGCAATTGCTGGAAATAACAAGGGCTGTCGTGTTTAAAGCCCAAGTGTCAAAGTACTTATGGAGTGAGGTAGTATTAACGGTCATTCATCTTGTTAATTGTCTCCCATCAGAAGCATTATTATTTAAGACTCCTAAAGCCTTATTGTAGGGTTATTATCCGACTGTGCAATATGGACCAGATTTACCTCTTCGAGTACTTGGAAGTGTTGCATACATCCATCAATCTCAAAATGGACTGTCTAAAATTGCCCCTAGAGCCATAAAGGCAGTCTTTATGAGCTATTTCAATACACAAAAAGGGTATACATTTTATGACCTAAGATATCAAAAATTTCTTGTGACAATTAGTATCACATTTGATGAAAGTAGCATGTATTTTTAGTAGACAACAACTCAAGTATCTAGCTGTATTATTCATGTGCTAGGAAAACACGATTTACACATTGAGATTCTCAAGGAAAATGAAGCTCCTGAAATGGTACCAATAAATTTTCCAGCACCTCCACCTCCACCGAATCGATTTGGTCGAAGTTATTATCAAAGAAAGCCAAAGATAATCAGAGATACTCATGAACAAGATCTGCCTGATGTAGTAGATGCCCATGAACAACCTGATGTAGTAGGTACCTATGAACAAGGTTTGCTTGATGCAGTAGATGCCCATGATTCTATTATTGAATGTGACAATTCACTGATTGATTAACAGAACCTTCTTATTACTTAAGGAAATGAAATCTGCCCTATTGCTCTCTGCAAAGGAATTAGATAATGTAGAAAGAAAAAAAGTATATTCGTCCTGCAATTATGTATCTTATCATCGCCTATCTCCATAATATAGGTCATTTCTGTCAGCTATTTATAAACATGATACTCCTCAAAACACTGATGAAGCTTTAAGAAGCCCTCTGGGAAAAAACAATAGATGAGGAGATGCTAGCTCTATAGAAGAATCAAACCTAGGAACTCATGATATTAAATCGTGGGTTGCAGATGGGTACACACTATTAAGTATAAATCTGATGGGACTGTTGAGTTGTTTTAAAGTTTGGCTGGTTGCAAAAGGTTTCACCCAGTGTTATGATATTGATTACATGGAAACCTTTGCTCTTGTTGTGAAGATGGGAACAATTTGGATATTAATATCTTTGGCTGTGCATTATGGATGGTCCTTATTATAATTTGATGTGAAAAATACATTCTTGTATGGAGAAATCTCGGAAGAAATATATATGGAGCTTTGACTAGGATACAAAGATCCAAATGGTACTCTAAACGTATGCAGACTTAAGAAGGCATTATATGGCTTAAAACAGCCACCAAGAGTCTGGTTTGGCTGCTTAACCAAAACAATGAGAGCTTTGGGGTTCAAGCAAGTCAATGGAGATCATACCTTATTTTATAAACGATCAAGTTCAGAAAAATGACGATCTTACTAGTATATGTCGATGACATGATTGTCACAGGAGATGATATGTAAGAAATCACTTCTGTTCAAAAACAACTGACGGCTGTTTTTGATATCAAAGTGTTGGGACAACTAAAATACTTCTTGGGAATTGAGGTAGCTTACTCTTGTGGAAATTTATTTTTATCTCAAAGAAAGTATATTACAGATTTACTCAAATATACATGCATGAGTAACTACAAACCAGCGTGTACACCAACTGAAGCAAAGTATTGCATTGGGGCTTCAAAGGAAAGCGATTAAGTAGATAAGGGCTCTTATCAACGATGAGTGGGAAAATTAATTTATCTAATCCTATACTAGACCGGATATTGCTCACTCGGTTGGAGTGCTAAGTCAATATATGCATGACCCTAGGGAGGTACATCATCAAGCTGCTCAACGAGTCTTAGCCAATCTTAAAGGAACAATTGATATAAGAATTTTGTTTTAAAGGGGAGATTCTCTTACAGTAGGCATCTATACTGATGCTGATTATGTTGGTTCAGTTGATGATAAATGCTCTACTACTAGCTATTGTTGTCTCATTGGAGGAAATTTGGTCACTTGGCAAAGCCAAAAACAGAGAGTTGTGTGATAAGTACTGATGCTGAAGTAGAATTTAGGGCTATGGCCCTTGGGATTTGTGAAGGCATTTGGATAAAAAAATATACTAAATAATTTACAAATACCTATGGAAGGTTCAATTACCTTGTTCTGTGACAATCAGTCCGCAATAAGTATTGCACATGATCCTGTTCAGCATAACAAGATCAAACACATTGAAGTAGACAAACATTTTGTCAAAGAGAAACTTGAATCAGAGATGTTTTGCACAGAGTATGTCTCATCTTCAAATCAGTTGGCTGATATATTAACTAATGGCATTTTTGCAACAGAGTTCTGCAAACAAATGAGCAAGCTGGGCATGAATGATATTCACGCCCCAGCTTGAGTGGGAGTGTTACGTAGAACAAGTTTTTCTATATTAGGCTTTCCTTCTATTTTTTCTTTTTGTCTTATTATTAGATGTATTTCCTTTTTCGTGTTTCTGTTATTAGACCTTTTCATAATACCAGAAAGGTTTATTAGACGCCAATATAAATACTGGCGTACTGCCCTGAGAAAGGCTAAGTCAGTTTTTCCCTTTCCTGTTTCCGCTGTATCTCATAACATCATCTATGCAGGCGGGTTCTGGAGTCAATATCCACTGGAAAGGGGCCGCTGAAATAGTTCTATCTTCATGTACTGGCTGGCTTGAGAAGGATGGGAGTGTAAAACCGATGGATGATGATAGGGTAGATATCCATTTTTTGCTCTTGGTTTTTGAGCTTCTCCTCCGCTGAATTCATTTTCTTTATTGATAAGGTTTATGTTAACATTGATTTTGTGAACGTAATGAAAACCTTTTTCTTTGTTTGCAGTTAAATCACTTTAGCAACTCCATTGAAGATATGGCTGCACGAAGCCTACGTTGTGTCGCTTTTGCCTATAGATCATACGAGTATGAGAGTGTTCCTGCTGAGGATGAGAGAGACTCATGGTCACTACCGGAGGGGAACTTGATACTGATCAGTATTGTGGGATTGAAGGTATGACAAGGAGCCACGACTTTCTTTCCGTGAGATGGCATCCTGTATACCCCATATCCACATAATTCGTCTTATAAGACCACTATATATTCTAACGCACTGCAGTTGTCAGTTCTTTATCAGTATACGACACATCAATCTTATTATTGGCATTGGATATTTGCTTTAGGTTTGGTTTACTCTCTTCTTAAAATGTCATGCTTTTTTAAATGTGCTTCTTCAAACCTTCTATGTCAGGTAGCCCTCTAGATGCTTAATTTTTTCCCGTTGATTATGCTTTTTTTTGGTCCTAATTTACGAAGTCCCTAGCTGTAACACTTGTCTTAGAAAACTATTTTTATTGTCCGTTGGATCGAGAGATTTCATATCTAGTTTAATAAATTGAAAGAATGTGATCTACTTCATACGAAAGAAATCATGTAGTCGTCTATCAATCTCATCATTCTTCTTTACATAATGGCAGTTCGAGGTTAATTGTCCGCTAGGGTTGTAGTAGCAGTGGACAATGAGCAGATAATTAGGATTTGGTTCACCAGAGTAGTTGATAATTTGAGCATAGTACAATGTACTAGTTTCTCTTGGATCAATCTGTAGCCTCATGCTGTATAGCCCCCAGTTTTCTGATTTCTATCCTCGTTTCTTTGATCTTCTTCCTTGTTTCATAAGCACAGTTGCTGCCTTCTTTTTATCATTTGCTTGCTTCTTAAGGTTCCATTCTTGATTGTGACGGGATTTGTTTCTTGACAACTTCGTTTTCGTAGGATCCATGCAGACCTGGGGTGAAAGATGCTGTGCGATTATGCACTCATGCAGGTGTTAAGGTAGCTGTTGGTTTCTTGACATTTTGTTCTTCTTTGAACTTTCGTAGCCTGATGTCAAAACATTTCTTACTGATCATGTTTCATATCTCCATGTTTCTGATGTAGCCCACATTTGGATGTTGCTTCTGCTAAGTTACAATCTATCACAACATTACAATCTCCATGTTTATGTCAGCCTCTGATTGTTTTTCTCAATAGGTACGCATGGTTACTGGGGACAACATTCAGACTGCTAAAGCCATAGCATTGGAGTGTGGAATACTTGATTCCGGAGTTCCAACTACAGAGCCCACAATTATTGAAGGGAGAACTTTCCGTGCGTACTCTGCCACGGAAAGAGAAGAAATTGCTGGTAGAATATCGGTAGGACTAATCCAACTCTCAGCTCTTTGCTTACAATGGGAAATTCCATTTATAACCTTCGAACAATCCGGATAAGCAGAAAAGAGCATTGCTGTGACATCAATGGCCATCCACCGATGAAAACTGATGTTTTTGATTACAACCTTATGTCCCATTCTTTCTGCATTTCTTAGAGACCAGATCTGAGTGTAGTTGGAGTCTAAAGATAAAGTCACAATCCTCCAAGACTGGGATTTAGATTTAGTGATGATTACTCTAAAATTCAATGATGGGCTTACTTGAGCCATATAAGGTAACTAAGAGGCAGCAAAGGAGTCAAGACGTCACTTGAGATATGAAAGAAACGTGAGTAGAGCTTAATCTAAGGGTAAACGTTTTTTAGAAAAAAAAATGAAAAATAAATTCTAGAGGAACAAATTTTGAGGTGGGTCTTTTCTGAAAAAAAAGGTGAATTACAATTTTAGGTCCTCTAGCTCTCAGACGCACTTAGCATTAGCCAGAACAGTTTTGTTAATGCAAATTTGATATTGTAGACGTGACAAGCAGTCTGGTATGTGTTGTGTATGAGGTCAGATAACCTTCACAAGTTGATGATTGAGTTTTTTGTAATCCAATTTACGTCAAACTGTTACAGGTGATGGGAAGGTCTTCTCCTAATGATAAACTCTTGCTCGTGCAAGCATTAAGAAAAAGAGGACATGTTGTAGCTGTCACTGGGGACGGTACCAATGATGCTCCTGCCCTACACGAGGTTTTTTTTTTCATTTTTCATTTTGGCTGGTTTTCACCATTTTTCATTTTTTCATTTTGGCTGATATTTCAATTTCAATCGACATACAGGCGGATATAGGGCTCGCGATGGGCATTCAAGGAACAGAGGTCGCAAAGGAAAGTTCAGACATCATCATTTTAGACGATAATTTTGCTTCAGTCGTAAAGGTTGGATTCAGTGCCATATGCATTCCTTGCTTACCAATGATACATCTTTGCAGATGAAAGTGATGATTTTATGCATAATTCCATTTCCTTGTATTTAGGTCGTCCGTTGGGGGCGTTCTGTGTATGCAAACATTCAAAAATTTATCCAGTTCCAGCTTACAGTTAATGTTGCTGCTCTTGTAATCAATGTTGTGGCCGCAGTTTCCGCTGGCGAGGTTCCTTTAAATGCTGTTCAGGTTTGATTTCTTTTCTGGATGACATTTTGTGTAGTTCAGTGTCTATGAATATTTTCTGCAAAGTACTTACCCGTTACTTAAAAGCTGTGTTTCTTCGTTTCCTACGAGTTTATCTATTCTCACTTGTGCTTCTGTTTCTTGTTTTGGGAAAACAGCTTCTGTGGGTCAACCTCATCATGGACACACTTGGAGCTCTTGCGTTAGCCACTGAACCTCCAACAGATCACCTCATGGACAGGCCTCCTGTAGGTCGTAGGTGAGAACCTTGGGGGGTTTTGAACGCGCAATAAGTTGCGAAAACTTGTAATATATGCTAAAATCCATGATATTGAAGTCCTTGGTCACGAATTTGGCTTTGTTGCATATCTGCGTGAGTTCTCAACAGCAGCATGCTTTATTTTTTTCGAGTACAAAAATTTGAAATTTTCTGGTATTGTTTTTACTCTGTCAGTAAATGGTCAGTTGCACTTGTTAGAATTACTTATGAGGTGGGGAGGTTTATTACTTCCGTAATATGGTTCTCTATATAGTCACAGAGTCGTATGTATTCTTTCTGATCGAGCTTGATCATCTCCTTACTGACGATTGCCGTTTTCCAGAGAATCTCTTATCACAAACATCATGTGGAGGAATCTTCTTGTACAGGTGTGTGTTTCATTGATTTTGTCATGTACATTTCTTCTTACCATTTTTAATTGATGTGTGAGAATTGGCAGTCTACGTATCAAGTGATTATCCTGCTCACGTTCAACTTCGACGGAAAGAACATTCTACGCCTGAACAACGAGACACGGGAGCATGCTGATAAATTGAAGAACACCTTCATATTTAACACGTTTGTCCTCTGCCAGGTATTTAAATCCTTTTTTTTTTTTTTCAGAGTTAGTAATAATGCTAGATAATCGGATAAAGCAACATCCTTGTGAGCTTTGAATGATGGAGGGAAAGCCCGATTTTATTATTTTTGGTCCCCACTTTATTCACATCTCGATTAAATGTTCCTTCTTATTTCATTTCTCCATGAAAGGTTCTTCTATAAATATAAATATACTCTCATAGGATGCTGTAGTTTTTAATCCGAGAGAAGAATGCTTCGTCCTCAGGTTTTCAACGAGTTCAACGCAAGGAAGCCTGATGAATTCAACGTCTTTGCTGGTGTTACGAAGAACTATCTTTTTATTGGAATTGTTGGGATGACTGTCGTCCTACAGGTGAGAGAGGGGGAGAGGTTCTGCCAGACCCTCCTATGTCATGAGGTTACTAAAAAGCTTCCAGGATCAGCAGAGTATTTATTATTGGCTTTTGCCTCTGCAGATTCTCATCATCGAGTTCCTTGGGAAGTTCACTTCAACCGTTCGGCTCAACTGGAAATTCTGGCTCATCTCACTGGCCCTTGCTTCTGTCAGGTACAATCGGGCTCTCTTTCTTCCAAAATAATAACAAGAATAAGAATAATTTATTTATTTATTTGTTTATTTATGTGCTCCATGGCCCACACCACGGGGAAGAACTGGGCAAGTGGGTAAACCTTCAATCGAAAGGCGAATGCATGGCCTTGAAATCAGCTGGATGTGGAGGAATGAATTAATTTTTTGTACGGGTTCATGTTAATGTGAAGAAACTGATCAGTCTTCGTGGGAACAGTTGGCCTCTTGCCGTCGTCGGCAAACTCGTACCTGTCCCGGAGAGACCCTTTGCGAATTATTTTATGAAGAGAACCCGCCGGCCTGAGGACCCAGGTACCCCCCTCCCTCCCCTTCCCCTCCCGCTGGCCGAATCACTCGGCAGTTTTCCTCTCTGGAGCAGGTAATGACATGTACGAGCATTCAGCTCATTTCCATTCAGGTAATGGAGTCGAGCCCGAGGTTCCAAGGCAGTAGCTAGAATGCCCCTCCTCGGCAGGATGTGGCCTACCGCTGATGGGGACGACCCACCCACCCACCCGGTGACTGGACCTTAGCTAACCCAACTCCGCTGTAATATCTCATTTACTTTCTATAATCACTTTCCTTCTCCCGGTCGAAATCTGTGAATGGGTTTTACAGCATTGCCTCCCTCCCCCCCTCTGTGCAACCCACCCACACCCTCTGAACCCTTTCATGCTTTAATGCTGCTGCGTTGATGACTGGAAAATGATGACGCAGGAGCTATGAATGGATGATTTTGGGTTCGGGATTATCAACCGGTGGAACAATTGCCAGATTGGGTCAAACCCCCTCTCTCTCTCTCTCTCTCTCTAAACGTTTGCCTTCTTCGTTTCTCTTCGTCTCTCTCTCTCTACACGTTTACATGCAGACATGATAATAGCAAGAGATTTTGGAGCAATAATCCTGGAGGGATGGGCCCCGTCGCAGAGAATCTTGGGGGAGATCGTCATGTGGGTTCCCAGAAACTCGACAGTACGTTCAAAAGAGGAAAAAATGATGGCTCCTTGCCGGGTGGGGGGAGGGCGGACGCTGAAAGCTACGGTCTGGTGAGGCTCTCGTGGAGAAGGCAGTGGAAATGATGCATGGCTTGCTCAACACCCGGGGCGTATCTGCCGCTGCAGTAAGCCGGAGACTCTAGGCCCTTCTGGACTCCTTCGCACAGATCAACGTCCTCCATCTGCACCAAAAAACGACCACTCTCTCCGCTCAGATCTCCCAATGGGAACCCTAAACCTGGAGATGTCATGGGTTTGCTGCTCCCTCACCTGCACCGTCTCGCTCTCTTCCAAGCTCTTTTCGATGAAGGCGTCGTCATCCTGCGGAAGCCCACAACCACCCGATCAAGAACTGCGCCACATCGAGCATAAATATGCCCACCCACCCCCCCAAAGATCCCCAAGAGCAAGTACTACTGGGAGGTGCAGCGATCACCTTCAGCGCGGCGTCGAGAAAGTAGTCGAAGATCACCCGGCATCTACGAGCGCCCTCCGGCACGACGAGATTGGTGTCCATCCAGGGGCCGTACCTACGATCGCGAAGAACATCAGAACACCAAGGTGACGCCAACGCGCGGCGATCGACAGCAACCTCGGTGAGCCGCGGGTCACCTGTTGATCATGAAGTTGGGGTACACAAATGCGTACAGCGCCTTGGAACCTAGCCGGCCGAGATCATCCCCCCCCGTCGAGGCGATTCTGGATTCTTGTATGCTTACCCTCTCAAAAACCTGCAGACGAATCGGAAGCGAATCGGTTATCTCGGAGACGCTTTGCATCAAACTGGAAGGATGACGGCTTTGCATCGAGCAGGACGATCCTCTGAAGAATAATCTACGAAACAAGATCCGGCAGCAGCAGAAGAAAGAGTTACGCTGGTCGTGTAGGAGTCGAGGTCGAGGCCAGACGCGAGACCCGCATGCGCGTAAGGAACGTGGTAGCCCCCGTCTAAGTAGTTGTCGCAGAAGACCTTGCCTCAGACGGACGGAGGGACGTAAAAATCACGCCATGATGAACTACAAAGCACGGGGTTGGATTGAGCTCATGAGGGGGCCAACCTTCCAGTTACATTCAATGGCATACTCCCGTCGGCAGACGTGCTTCAGCGAGGAGTCGAGCCCACTCCTGAGTATCTCCGAGCAGCTTCCTAGCCATTCAGCTTCCACCTGAGCCGGGCTGTCTTCGTCCATGTTGACCAGTACGAACGGCCCCCACGTAGCAACATTCAACGGAATAAGACCAAAGTCCTGTCACCATCACAGAAGACGATCGGCGGTATGTATTCCTCACGGAAGGGAGCAAGGAGAAGCGAATGATGGCTTAGGTGAGAGCTCATGAAGTGCTACTCCATACGTCCACGCTGAAGTTTTGGATCCCACTGACTCGCGTGGCCTTGAGCAGCGCTCCGTCCAGTCCGTAGGTCCACCCCTACATGGAGATTATCAGTCTATCAAGCGTACACCAAGACTACTGAGAAATGCCCACACCAGGTAATATCTAGCAAGTTAGGGGTCGGCATGTGAGGCGAGCCTCAGGGTTACGATTGCTCGGATAGGATTTTGAGCGCAGGGGGCTCACATGGTAAGGGCAGACGAAACACAGCTTCCGTCCGGTGCCTCGAGCGAGCAGAGAAGCGTGATGGCGGCAGACGTTGTGGAAGGCACGGAGGCGCCCTTCCGCATCCCGACACACCACGAAGTGCACATCTCCCAGTCTGGTATGTAAGAAAGCCGATTAGATCCTACTGCGGCTGAACACTATGTAATCTGTTCAAGATTAGACGGCGAAGCCGACCAGCCAGAGAAGAGGTGATCACGAGCTAATCGATCGGAGAAGAGCTGAAATCTCTCCCACGTGAAGAGAAGAGAAGAGAAAAGACGCAACTTTTATAACTTTCAGGCGCTTATGTAGAGGAAGGTGGACAGTGGAGATGAAGTCGGATGAGCACTTGGGGGTGCCAACAAGAGATATTACCTTCCAGTGAAATACTCGTGCGGATTCTGGATCTGCTCGACGTACCCTGGAGCGCCGACAATGGAAAAGCAACGGAGGCATCAGACTACGGGATTTCCGCCGTCTGTTGCGAAAGCCACAGAAGCAGCAGGCAGTTGCAGCAGCTTCGAATGAAATCGATGAGGAAAGCTCAAGAGTCTCACTCAAACGAATCGACTCCGGGGAAAAGACAAGTAATTGCAGGCGGACAAAGCTCGATAAATGGGTTTCAGTCAAAAAAGCTTAGCCAAACTCATCGGTTCACAGACGCCGACTCTGTATAAATTAGCCCCGAGGATCACGCACAGCGCAGACAGGGAAAGCGTTCCTGGAGATCTCGGAATTACCTACAGCCTGCCACCCTCGTAGGAAGACGCGTTCGAACTCTAGGTTATGGAAAGAGGGATCGCGATACCAGGAGCTGGGGGGGGTGAAAGCCTGTGGCAAGGGGACGCCGGGATCGAAGGCCTCCACCATGCGGCGGACATGGAGATCACGAAGTTCGGCGGGATATTCGCCGGACGGAGAGGAGGGCATTCTCCTCCCATCCGAAGCCGCAGCAGAACATGGAGATCTGCCCGAGCGAGGAGAAGGTGCGAGCGAGGAAGCGAACAGCCCCGGCGGCCGTCTGCCACCGGAGAAGCGCCGAGATGAAGCGGAAGATGAACGGGCATTTCTTCGTGCGAGCGTTACGGCGGGGCGAGCCACTGCGGCGTCTCTCACCGCCGCGATCGCCATTAGTGGAGGTGAAGAAGGGTAGTCCTGTCCCCGCGGAGGGGATGGGAAAGAGCGTGCGCCGCCCCAATAGCCTCGATGGCACGTGGGAACACGTTCGAACGACGCTACGTGGCGGCCCAACACATGTGAATCTCCAGCGTGAGTGGTTCTGCCATAGTACAGCTCAGTTCCGCGATTGACAGCCACGGTTGCCGAAGAACAATCAATCCACTCAATAAGTATCACCACCCCTCTGAATGACATCGTTTTCCAATCGCTCGTCTGTTCCTGCGAGCACTCGTCACTTGCAGAGCTTGAGCTTCTTGAAGAAGGAGGCGACCGCCGCTTTGGGATAGGGCCTCGTGGCGATGCAGGTTGGGATGTTCTCCGGCTGCTCGATCCAGAGCTTGTGGGCGATCCCAGCGGCGATGAGTTTCTCCGACAGGTTCCGGATCTGGGTTTCCCCTTTCACCTCCAGAGTCACCTGCCCGCCGCCCAAAAAAAAACCAGAGACAAGCAAGAGCCATATAGGAGGAAATCATCATCTCTCTGTGCGCATTTCGTCGAACAGATATAGGGCGTTGGGGATTTCGCCTCGCCTTGTGCATGAAGTCGATGTTGGCGTCGGAGCAGTAGGCCACGGTGTCCGGGTGGCCCCGGTGAGCCCAGACGGCGGCCACGGCGGCGTGGCAGCCCTGCGTCACGACGCTCCCCAGCGGCCACGCGTCGATCAGATCCCGCCGCAGAACCACATACTGCACCACCACGTCGTCGTCGGGCTTGTTCTGGCCTACGGCTGCGGCACCGCCACCGCCGCCCGCCGGCAGTGGAAAGCGCGACGGCGCTGCCGCCTCGGACGGCGCGCTCATGTTCCTCCGGAAGGGATTCCTGGGGGGAGCCCTCACCTGGACCAGAGCACCGGAAGAAGAGGGGAATCCCACGCCGACGGCGGTGGGGTGAAAATGGAGCGACGGGACAGACAGCCGAGCTGAGAGTAGCGGCGGCCGCATTCTTCCCTCTAATTCGTCCGAGAGAGAGAGAGAGTCTGGGCCAAGTATGCCATAGTCGACCCCAATGGAAGACAGCCCAACAAACCATGGGCGTAATGGGCTGAGCACTAGCTCTGATACCAACAAGGCCATATTCAGTCTTCAGCGCACGGATGACATAGAGATCGCATCACATCGGCCACATGTGTGTGTATGTGTATGTGTGTGCCCACATTCATCGATGTGAAAGTATTCAAGATGCCAATTTTTGGTTCTTCCTTGTCTAGGGTTGCCGAGCGCTCGGTCATTCTCTCTCCAGAACCCACATGCAAACCGGCTCTGAGAATGCTAGATGAGGGGCAGCGCCACTTGCACCAGTAAACTGATACATGGCTAAGCTTCTGTATCCTCCTTCCGAGGATCACGCGATGTGAGAGACGCATGTACTCAGCCGTAAAGCTCGAAGAAGAAGAAGAAGAAGAAGAGGGGAGGACAGCGACGATCGTCATCCAGTCGAGCAGCCGTCTCCTCTTCCAGCCCGGATTTCAGTGGCTTAGACTCCGAGAAGTATGTAGTAGAGGATCGTCGTCGGTAGGGCAATGAGCATGCCAAAGATAACCCTGCACAGACGATTTTATCAGACAGAGACTCCACGGAAGAGTAGTTTACTGTTCGATAAGACTTGACAATCATCGCGTGTTCTTGACTTGCTTCCTAGTAAAATGAACGCCCCGCTCCGATTCCACGACGGATCGCGCGGCCCTCTAACTTGTAATTGGCTGTCTCTCTTAAGGGTGCGTCGTATGCTTTGACGGCATGTTGGACTAATCATGCGGGAGTCAGACTTACGACATGTTATGATCATGATCTATGTTTTGACTGCATTCATTACGTGTTGTGTTTAATATGAGAGTATCTTGACACATTTTCCCTCCACATGGTGGGCGTCTAAGTCAAAATTAATATAAAATGACTGAGGTAAGCACTTTAATGTTGGTCAAACGTCTGACTTAACGCATTCGATAGTCGATTATTCTAGTGAGAGAAAAATATGTACAAAGATGAGGCCGATCCCGCTTACGCTGTACTTAGGACCTCCGCATGGCAGCTGTACTCCTTGGCGAAGACGAAGGGGACGATCCCCAGAGGCAAAGCTGCCTGCGGGCAGATGCTATGAGAGTGAGTTACGAAACCGGCATGGAAATCGTACTCGAAGGCGCGCATTAGGGTTTTGGAATCCACCTGAACGATGGCAATGCGCAGTAGCACACCGCGGAGGCCGATGGCTGTGGAGGTCGCCGCGGCTACGGCCGGGCCCGTTAGGAACCTCACGGCCGTGGAAAACGCCGCTATGGATTTCCCGCAGGCAATGATCTTGGGTTGCAGAGCCATGAAGAGACCTGATTGCGTGACCAAACAGGGTTTAGACGATTGTAGACGTGGAATAAGTTGTGAATCCTACAATGTGGGCATCGGGAAGATGAAGCAATGAACACCTAGGCTGAACATAGCCATTCCTAGCCCGGCGTCGGAGAGTATAGACACTGAGCCTCTCACAATTGCAGGCATCTCGAGGTGCCACCTGAATTGATTCAGCTTGAGTTAGGACGAAGACAGACGTTGGGGAAATGGGCTCTGGCCTTGTTGGGAAGGTTAGATTGATATATACATATATCGAGATCGAGAGAGAGAGAGAGAGAGAATCACTCTACCAAATTTACGTACCTGAAGGAGACGAGAGACCACACGAGGCCAAACAAGCTGGAGTAGGTGTTCGGATTTCGGATAAGCTTTCTCCAGATCATGACGAGAATCAGTCTGGTCATGAGGTATGTGGGCAGCGTCGGACGGTCTTCTCCAGACACTAGGCTTCCCCGAACCATCTCTCCCTTCTTCTGGAGCTTTCGATTCGGGCTCTTACTACGCTCATCTGCGTCCGGTTCACCATCAATCCCCGCCTTCCTCATAGATCTGGTGCTCTCAGAGGTGGCATCGACTGCTGTTTTATTTAGATATTGACCCCAAATAGAGCTTTTAGAAAGGAAGAATATGAGTCAAGAAAGGAGGTAGAGGGAGAGAGAGAGCGAGGAGCGTTCTACCTCTCGATACTACAATATCTCGTGGGAAGTCACTCAGATCTCCGAGGTCAACTGAGGCTGCTAGGTTTCCCTCGGACCCCGGAGACTCACTGCAGCTCCAGGTGTACACGTGGAGTTCCTTGTTCGAACCACTCCCATTCTTCCAGAGGCCTTCCTTCCCACTCCATCCTGTCTCTGACCGCAACGTCGGGTTCGGAGCAGGGTAGACATGGGAGAAGTTTGAAGTCAACGGCTTTCCGATGACGAAGTCAGCACTTCGGCTCCTTGGGGACCTTGTTCCCATCTCCTCGTCGAAGTCGGTGTAAACTTCCGCCTGGTTGAAGCTGGACGTCCTCGGCGTCATCAACGTCGACGACTGTACCGAGAATATCTCCACTCCTGTCATACTCGACGCCCTCGCCGCCATGGAGGGGGCAGAGTTGACCCCACTGCATGACTTATTGCAAGACGGCACCGTTGACCTGACGTTGGAGCTCGACTTCCTGACGACGACGTGAAGCCGGCCGTCTTCCCCAACCTCGGTGTCGGCCTGCAGCTGCTCCTTGCCGCAGAGCGAGAGAACGTCGGGGTCAACGGTGAGGGAGGCGATGGAACCGGCGGCGTCGGGGAACTGGTCGGGGATAAGAGCTTTGGCGGCGCGGTACTCGAAGAGGAAAAGCATGAGGCTGTACCACACCACGCTCTGAAGCACGACAATCTGCACCATGAGGTCGGCGGCGGAGTCGCCGTACATGGCCCGCAGGAGGGGGATCCCCATGACGAGGGTGTTGGGGAGGGTGGAAAGGGAGAAGAAGGTAATGGACCAGTCCAGGCTACCGCGGCGGGTGAGGTTGCACCAGAGGACGAGGGCGGCGAGGACGACCGCCTTCTGGAGGGAGTCAGCGGCGATGAAGCGGTAGTTCATGGAGTAGGGGTTGTTGGAGGATATGAAGTGGAAGGAGAGGAGGGGCACAGCGAAGAGGGCCACGAAGCGGTTGATGCCAGCGCACTGCTCCGGGGTGAAGACCTTCCACCACCGCACCGAGCCATAGGCGGCGATCATCGCCACGTAGAGCGGCACCATCGCCGCCAGCACGTCGTAGATGTCTCTGCCTGCGATCATGTCGGTGCAGCTCTCTTCTACCAGGCAGACGAGGAGGAGAATCAAAGACTTCACAGGTTCCTCTTCCCCACCAGATATCCCCTGGAGGATCCTCGCTTCTGTTCGCTGGTTCTCTCCTTTATCCTGGAAAGACACAGAAGATCACAGTGAGAGGAAGAATGCCAGCGTAGGGTCTTCTGCGCCCTTGTTGCTTAGGCTTCACATCTGTATGGTCAAGCGACCATTTCTGAGAGACTTCTTCCTGTCCCGAGGCTAGACTCTCCGACAGGGCTGCATGTGATGACATTAAAATAGGTACTCTTCTACAGCGAGCGAGAGACAAGGAGAAGGAGAGAGGGGAGGTGGGGAGAGAGAGAGAGAGAGAGAGAGAGAGAGAGAGAGAGAGAGGGAAGTGGGGAGGTGCATGTGGTCTCAGCGATGATCTTAGAATGAGACACTAGTTCTTCTGTCATTAAGAATCCTCGAGAATGGTGGGTGATGTGATGCTCGCAGAAATAGAAAAGGAAGAATAGATGTTGGATGAAGACGAAGCTCTATACACAAGAGAGAGAGAGAGAGAGAGAGAGAGAGAGAGAGAGAGAGAGAGAGAGAGCGCCTAGAGAAGGGTGGGGGGGTGCAGTCAGCGCCATTTAGGGTACGTCCCTGGGTTGTCGCTTCCCTGTCGACGATCTGCTCAGCAATCCAACGGGTCCTCCTCCCTTTGTCTCTTTGGGAATGCGAGCCGTGACCTCTCTCCCTAGGTTACCGATTTCGGAAGACCATGGCCAACTCTGAAACTCTTGCCGTCATCTTCACAGAGCAAAACCCCCCGGGACAGGAGAAGGTGCATGGTCGAGACTGAGACCACCATCTCAACCTCCGTCGACGACGACCTAAACCAGAAGCCGAGCCCTGGGTGGAACGAAGGGCGGCTGAACAGAATGAAGTTTGGAAGCTCAGCTCAGTTTAGGTAGCGTTCTACCTTTCGAGAAGCACGCAAGAATAATCTATACTTCGTAAACTGCGGGCTGCAGTTTTATGATGAATTAGATGCTCCGTGGGCCAATTCCCCACGGAGCTTCCCAAGCCGATGTCGTTTACCATGCAATGACCTTGAGAGAACCTCAGGACCTCTAAACCCTATGCATTTAGGATACTGGGTTTATTATCCCAGCCAGAGAGAGAGAGAGAGAGAGAGAGCCAAGATATCCTGTCGGGGCCGCTTCTTCTTCCGGGGATAATTTTTGAGGGTCAGCTCACGGAAATTTAGACTTGGCTACATGACCCCACCTCACTATGTCAAATAAAAAGTGTAGTAGCCACATGGTCGAGAAAAATAGTCAACGCCTAATCTAGTTTCTGGAACCATTATGTGTAAGACTGATCAGAGGTGGTTCACATGACCGACATCGACATGATCTGCCGGGCAAGACCAGGATCTTGCTGTAGCAACTCCCTCAAGCTATTCTCCACCTCCCCCAGCTGCTTTTCCAAGTACTCCTTCGATGTCTGAGGAAAAAGGAGACCCCGGTCATCTCGGGGATAAGTCAACTGAAAAACAAGCAAAGCGCAACGAGTTTACCTGCAATGCGGTCAACGCATTTTCACTATCCTTCAGCTTCTCGTCCTGCTCACTTGCCAGCAACGACTTGGGTTCGAGCACAAACCTGCCGGGATCAAGAACAAAAGACGTGAAGAATAAAATAGAGGAGCATTATCTTGGCTGGAACTCGAAGAGGATCCCCGCGGGGAATGGGGGGTTCTTGAGAAGACACTCACACTCTGCCTGCAAATCACCGAACACAATTTCAGATGGGCAAGCCAGAAAATGAGAAACATTGGTTTCAAACAAGTCAACAGGGCAAACTGAAAGCATCATTGGTGGGGAGTTATTTACAATAATTGCTTTTCTCGTCATCTATTCTACAGATTAGCATCGACTGATACCACTAAGTTTTACGAGATTCGTGATGATCTTCCTCACGCACCAATAGATTTATAGGTGTTTGTATCTTCCGGTAGGCCCTGCAGCTCCTCCAGGGTCAGGTAGGCTCGCTTCTTCTCCCCCTCTTTGGCTCTAATCTGACTCTGTACCTGAGAGCAATTATGACCAGCTGCACAATGTCAAACAAGCAGCAATAGAGTAAAATAGCCACTGTGAGCAGGCCAGAAAGCAGGAATTACATACTTGTGGACACACTTTATAACCATTAGGAAAAGGGAACATCAGATGCTGTGGCTACAGAGAATAAATGCACACAAGGCCATCTAACAGGGCCAATCAATAAATGGCCTGTACTGGCATTTGATTTCAGAAGGTTAAACTTTATCTATAACCTTAGAATACCTAAAACCCAGTTGAGATATTTATGTCGGTTCATGTTGGAATAGCTCTTCTCCCAAGTCTCGTTGGTGGTTCTCCTCTAACTTAGACATGGTGTAAGGACCAAAATAATGGAAAGCAGGTTTAGCTGCTGCAATCGTCGTCAATCCCCTTCATGGATTCGGACTCCGGTGTCCTTCATGCTTAGCAGAATCCACACCAAAATGTTGTCCATGTGAAGACTTCTGAGTATCGTCCAACATTTGGAAAGAAAAGTGAGGACGGAGTGTATGGAGACCAACACATCCCCTCAGATGAACTCAGGTTTTGGGTTAGGCGGATGTTCTGGATTCCTTCAAAATATACTTTCCGGAAACTAATAAACTATATTCTAGTCCTGGAAACTTCAATTGCGAGCTCCTCATAAATGGCATTGCTCGAAAGGAAATCTTAGCCTCCCCTAAGAACCAAGAAAAATCTACAAATGAGAGGAAATTTTCATTCTTGTCTGAAATATAACTGAAGATCATTCCTTTCATGGAAGAACCCAAAGAATATTCTTTTAAGAATGACGCTTAAAAAGTTCCAGTCTTAATGGGTAGCTTTCCCCATATCTTCCCACAGGTAACAATCTTTGAGCCGCAGAGATAAGCAAAAACATAGAATCAATGAAGGATTTTCCAACTTCCAACTCTTAAACAAGGCAGAATGACTCTGCAGCAAAGGCCATCGGGAATATAATAAAGAAGACAGATTTATAGAGGACAGAGCAGTACATATCTTACAGGCATAACTTATGTTATTCGTTTTGCAATTAAATCAGCCTGTTAGTTTCCTTAAGCTTGTCACATTTTTTAAAGAAAAATGTTAATGCTCACCAGTCTTTGATCCCCCACAGTAACTTTAAGATATGTCCATTAAAATTATTACAACTTCTACTCACGAAATAGCTTTTTTTGTTTTGTAACAACTGATAATTCCACGAATCGATATCCAAGCTATCAGGCAAGGACTAATGGCAAGATTCTGGAACCAATCATGTCCTAATCAATTCACGTTCTAGGTCTAGTTCAATCAGGAGCCATTAGTTCTGTCTATAGACAGTCAAATCTGACTGGTTCACTAAAAATGCTACAAGAAACACGAAGAAGACCATCCTTTTCCAGCAATCTCAAGGCAGGAATCGATGACTGCATTTCCAAGTCGTCCAACAACACAGCCCGCCTCTTCCCCCCTCTCCCCCCACCCCACGTTAAAAGAAATACCATAGAAAAGTGCTCGCACAAACACCAATTGATAAATTGCTCAATGAATATATGCATCATAAAGCTCTTTCTTTTCTGTTAGCAAAAAAACATGTCTTCTTTTTTGAAATTGAAAAATGGTATTCAAACCTCGATCTGAAAGGATATAAATCCATTTCAGAAGCTCATTTCGATTTTATATTATGAATAAACGGTAACCGATACAACAAAAAATCACACCATAAAAGAGCGCACGCGAACTTGCCCGAGTGTAGAAATATTCAATAAGGTTTAAGTAATGTCTTTCAGAACGGGAAAAAATCATGAAAAGAATCAGCTCGAACTTTGTTACAACAGCATGACCAACCACGGCTTCACAAGAGTTATAAACCCCCGTCATCAAGATCCCATCCATCTGCAGAAACATAATCTTGAAGTTGGTTCAAATACAAGCATGATGGATGCAAAACAAAATCCTTGCATCAATGTTTCCCCCAATCTCAATGCACTGAGATCAGTGAACGAGTCAAGTTTCTAACATTCACTTCAAATTTTATTAAAAAAGTTAAATCATAGGTACTTGGTTTGGGGAAATGATCTTGCCTTGTGGCCAACCGTTTTCGTTTTAAACTTTCTTCTTCCTACTCTATTTTCTCCATTTCAAAAAATGCGCTGAGATACTTACTCTGATCTCGTTTTAAGTTTCGTGACTTCAATGGAATATGAGTGATTCTTAATACATTATTTTTTTTAAAAAAATAGATTAATGGACATTGGTACGCGAAGATCCGTATAGTGAATCACAGATCTGTTCCAAGGGCGCTTAATATCCAGGAACCCATTGATTTAAATAAGCTATGACATGCACAATGCGAACCGTCATCGATCAACTGAACGCTGATGAAGACACCTATGTTCCAGAAAAGCTAACCAAATTCCTGTTGGACGTTCATCCAACGGCTGTTACGTGAATCCCTCCATTTATCATGCGATGTCGAAAGGGAGTCATTATTGAAGAAAACCAAAACAAATAATCATGTGCAGCTGATTGCCAACTACTCACCGAACCGTGAATACTACTCGCGGGAAAAGAAGTGCAGGAAAACTTGGTAAGGCATATTACGTGACATCAGATCATCAAGAGCCCAATTCGACGGTTCATTTGTGATAGAAAGAAAAAAAAAAACAGATGAACGAGGGACCTGCTTCAGCTTCCCCGTGGTCTCTATCATGCGACCCTGGATCTCCATAAACGCCTGAACATCATGATAATGAGAGGATGAGTCAACCAGTCCACTGATCTAAGAGCGCCGTCGTCGACGGACGCACCGACGCTAACTCTACAGGGATTAGGAACCCTCACCGTTCTTGCGGCTTCGTCAGACATCTTCTCGAGATAGGAAAGCGCGAGAGCCTATCAGAGGAGCTCCCCTCCCCGACGAGTAGCCCCACAGTTCTGCCGCCGGTCGAGAGAAACGGGGGTGGGGGAAGACGGCGAGGAATCGGCGCAGGGTGTTGATGGGCCAGGGGGTAGTTCCGTTCCTCCTCACGTCCACGTTATCTTAACGAGCTCCCCTCATCTCCACCGTGGGATGCAAAATTCCCCGGCTGGCCGCACATCAGGATCCGAACGACCCAATCAACGGTGCAGATATCAGAGTCATCAGGAAGATCTCAACCCAGTCGTTGGATGAGGTGGCGAGTAATTTGGGCCCGTTTTATCTTAATGGGCTTCATTCTGACACGTCTAGGCCCAAACAATGGGCCGGGCCGACGAGGCTTTCTGTCGGGGAGTGGGACCCACATCCGCCAATCGTGGACCTCAGCCACATACAAGATCGGCCAATTGGGACAGAGAAATTAATTAATTCAATGGAAAATAAATATTTTAAACTCCTAATCACTCGGTCAAAGGTTCAACAGCGATCAACTCGGTCAAAATGAAGAATGCTTTGTAACTGCTCTTTTGGAATCGTTGACGTCATTTTCTGTTTTTACTTTTTAATTCCGTCAGGGGGGGAGAGAGAGAGAGAGAGAGAGAAAGAGGTGGGCCCGGGAGGGCCATCTGTCGTGGACTGGGCAAGACGACAAGAAGGGGAAATTACTTGGCCAGCAAATACGAGTATAATGCACCGGCCGTACGCTCCGAGATTTCCCGCTTCCGAGGTGCTGATGTCACCGTCTAATTGGCCGGTCCCGGTCAAAGCAATATCCCGCATCCCCTCGTACGACTTCGGACAGCTTATCCGGTCCACGTAAGCGATACAACGGGCTAAGCCCACCGACGAGAGAGAGAGAGAGAGAGAGGATAAATTCTGTGGCGAGGGAAGGTGGGATCCCCACGACAAGGCAACTGGACGGCGCGGGGGGAGGGGGGGGGTGTGCATGGCGTGGAGCCTTATCTTCGCAAATATTTTATCTCTCCCGTTTCTCTCTCTATCTCCATCTCTATCTCTATCTCTATCTCTGCGCACAGTGGGCGGCGTAGACGACAGAGAAAACGGCTCCAACTGCGTCGCGTCTCCCTGTATCGCACGCCGGGAGGAAACGTGGAACCATCATTCATTCATCAATACGGCGCGGCAGTGAGTTCACAGAGAGAGAAGAGAGAGAGAGATAGGGAGAGGGAGGGAGAGGGAAGCAGAGGGAGGGAGAATTTTGGAGAACCATCATTCATCAATTCGGCGGCGGTGAGTTCACAGAGAGAGAGAGAGTGAGAGAGAGGGGGGGGGAGTTGATGCTATCTAATCTTATCCAGACAGTGGAGTTTGGCTCGGTTGTAATCGTCAACCGCGTGCTAAGCGAGCTCGGCGTGTTGAAGATCGGTGAGGGAGAAGGATCGGGGGGACCGGAAGGCACCGTCGAGTTTCCTCTGGAAGGGGTGAGAGGCGGCGCCGCCACCGTCTTCGTCGTCGTCGTCGTCGTCGTCGTCTTCGTGGTCAACTCCGTCTTCACGGAGGGCACGGAGGACGGAGGTGTTGAGGGCGGCGTAGGAGGCCCGCCGCTGCCAGGAGGCCTTGCAGGTCGTCAGGATCCGCCGCCGCTTGTTGAAGGGGTTCTCCTTCTTGGCCATGTCCTTGGCCGAACCCAGCGCCGCCGCCTCGGAGAGGCACGCGAAGGACTTGGACTTGCCGGAAAACCAATTCGACAGGCCCCGCCTGCGGGAGGGAAAGGAATGAGAGAGAGCGAGAGAGAGAGAGAGAGAGAGAGAGGAGGCGTCCAGTTTGGAGCGAGCCAAACTCCAAAGCGAACTGCCGCCAGTGAGCGGAGATATCAAGAACCCACGCTGCAGGCGATCACAGCGGGGCCAGAAACCAGACGCAGAGAGGAAGAAAAAATCGGAACAGTTGGAGGAGACGAGGGAGGAGGGTGGGTTCTTACTTGACGGGAAGGGACTCCTCGAGGGAGTCCATGGAGCCCAATGCGCCATCAGTGACCTTGCTCTGCACCTCCTCCTCCCCCTCCTCCGACGGCGACGATGAGAGAGAGCTCTCCTCTGCCGACCCGATCGAAGAGCTCGGTGATTCCTCCACCTCCTCCTCCTTCGCCTCCCGCCTACCCTCACCGCCGACTGTGCCGGCAGCTAGACTGAATTCCCGGGAGTCCACGCAGGCCGCCCCCGTCGCCGCCGCCGCCGCCGCCGCCGCCGCCCGGTGTCCCTCGAACGCCACCGCGGGACCCGCCGCCACCTCCACGCTGGAGATCCCCAGAGTCATCCCCCCCTTTCGCCGACCTCATCAATCGAGGGATCAACGCCAATCCATTTAGCTCCTCCGATACAAGTAAGGAACCGATTGAAGACCCCAAGAACCAGAACCAGGATAGATAGATATTGAGAGGGAGGGAGAGAGAGAGGGGGCACTTCTAAGGCGACGCGCTTTGACACGTTACAGGGGAGGGCAGCCGACGTGTCACGCGGAGGTGGGGCACCGATCGGACGGCGGCGGACAATTATTATGAAAATATATAATAAAAATTAGGAGGTGGGAAAAATATCTGAGCCCGCTGGAGGAGAGCGGAGGGGTGAGAAGTTAACATCCGAGGAGAACAGTCACACAGAAGGCGGGACCCGACGGACGTGGACGAAAGACCACCCCCCCGTTATCCGCTCCTACCCCTGCAGAGAGAGAGAGAGAGAGAGAGAGAGAGAGAGAGAGAGGGGGGGGGGGATGGGGCCCACAGTGTGATGATCCTCGTCAGCGTTCGTGTATGGGGTAGGTCCTTAATGGGCCTTGATGTTACATTACGAGCCGAAAGGCCCACGGGCTATCCGGGACGTACTACGTGGGGAAATGAGGAACAGACTGAGAACGGCGTTCGGCAGAGAATGGGCCTGGGCTGGTCACCTCGTCTTAGTCAGCCCGATTCCGTCTTCCGAGCCCAACTAGTAAAATCACTTACCCGGAACCCAAACTCTCTCTCTCAGAGGTGCCCAAAGAGTTCAATTAGTCGTCCGTATCCTAAGTCCCCCTTCAACCACCCCTCCGCCGGTGCCCAGAAAAGCCACCCCTCCCCCTTCAACCACAACGGTCAACAGAGGGGCGAGTGAGGGGACGATCGATCCCACGAAGTCAACTCCACGGCAGCGCTGAAAACCTCGTTAAAAGCAGAATCCAAATGAGAAACGACGAAAAAGTCAGAGAGAAAACGTGAACCAGCCATGGGCCAGGAGAAATCTCCGCCGCGGGCCAGATGAGAGAGAGCATCGCACCGCAGCCGGACGGAAGGACGAGAAAATGGGCCGATGATAGATCAGAACAAAGAGAATGTAGGAACCAAGACCGCGCAGCTCCAAGATCCGGAGGACTCCGAGAGGTGTCGCGCCATCGAACCATCTAGAAAGCTTCCATACCATCGCCTTCCCCGCGTTCTCTGGTTCTCCACGTCCGCCGGAATTCAGCGCTGCGCACTGCTTCCCTCATCGAGTAGATGCAGAACGGCTGCGGTGCTCTCTCCCTCTCTCTCTCCCTCACTCGATCACTGTAATACATACAACCCAGCAGAGCAGATGGTCCGGCAAAAATTGCAGCGCGGCCTGTCCGGAAGATGAGCGGGCAGGCAGGAAGAAGATGAAGGGTGGGTAGCTCGTCACCGTGGACGGTCCTGCGGATCATGCCACTGTGGGCGCGAACTTGTACTGGGTCGCGGCCACCACTCCGGAGAGGTTTCCGTTGGTGTGGCGCGGGTTGAGGCTCGTAGATCTGACGGGCCTCAGCTGGAAGAGGGAGCCGAGCAGATCCTCCAGCGACTGCGCCGTGTACTTGGCGTACTTACCGGCGCTGGCGTCCTGCTCCACGAGAGGGCCGTAGTTCTGCATGTAGCTCCGGTAGACGGGGACGATGGCCTGCACGGTGAGATGGCAGATCTTCTCGCGCAGGTCCTTGTCGGGGATGACCCAGCCGGACTGTCGCCGGTGCATCTCGTCGAAGGCTCCGTTGAAGGCTCTGAGGCGCTTCTTCACGAGGTCCCTGGCCGTGGCCCTGCCCCCCGAGAAGAGGATCAGGCCCTCCCGGCTGAGCATCCCCGGGAGCTTCGCCCAGGTCTCCTTGAGATAGCTCGCGGCGTAGAATTCCTTGCACTGGTCGTGCTCCCTCAGCCAGGCTTCGCCCAGAAGCTCCCCGACCTTGGTGCACTTGAGATGCTTGTAGAGATGCCAGTGGGTGTTCATCAAGAAGACGTGGGAGAGAGTCGCATCCTCGTAGGCCTTGGACCAGACCTGGAGGTTCTGCTCCAGGGCCCGGATGATGTCCAGGACCGCCTCCGTGAGATGCCGCTCCAGGAACTTGTGCTTCTTCCAGCTCCGGTGAATGGTCAGGACCTGCGTCAGAATCGTCCTGTACTCCTCCCCGAGGAGCCTGTTGCAGTAGTCCGTCATGAAGCTGACAAGCCTCGGCACGTTGCCGTCAGCGGGCGGTGGCATCTCCCTCTGCAGCTCCACCTGGACCAGGAGCTCCCAGAAGATCTCACAGGCGCCGTCGACGACCTTCTTGATTAGATCCCTGGTGGCCTTCTGAATCTCCTCGCAGGGCTTGCAGCCGAAGAGGCGATTGAAGTCCAAGCGCAGCTTGTTCAGGCTGGCGAATATGTCCAGGAGCTTTAGCAGTTTGATGGGGTCCTTCTTGCTGTCGGCGACCGTCCGCCCGAACTGAAGGAAGGCGAGGATCCCCGCCCTCTTCGCGATCTCGGCGAAGCAGCCGGTCCAGACCTCGGGAGGTCCACACTGCTCGAAGATGTCGGAGCACAGCCTGTACTCGGCCTCGAAGAGGTGCTTCACGGCGAACTCGAGGTGCTTCCCCCACTGGCTGATGTGACCCTCGATGCTCTGCACGTCGTTGAACTCTGCGGGGGAGATCTCAAGGTACTGGAGGTCGAGCGCGTTGAGGCTCGCCTGAATGTTGGACGCGCGGACCTCCACGAAGATCTTGATGCAGTTCTCGAGCCGCCCGTTCGCGGACAGCCTCTCCAGTATCGGGTGGGTCTTCTCCACGGCGGAGGACGGCGGCACGATGGTCTCCGCGGCGGCGAGGAGGCGGCGGAACTCGGCCTCGAGGCGCTCCAGGGCGGCGCCCAGGAGGCCGCCGTCGAGGGGATCCTTGGACTCGCTGAGGGAGAGGAGGGAGGCCTTGAGGGCCAAGAGGTACCGACGGTCGGCGACGGAGTTCTCCTCGAGGTACTCGACGATGTCCTCCAGCCACTGGATCGCGAGGCCGCAGTTCTCGGAGAGGAACCGCAGGGCCTCCTCGAGCCGCTTGAGCACGGAGAGGTACCCCGCTAGGTCCTCCTTGCTGGGATCGGAGAGCAGTGACGGCTCCAGGCCGTGCACGGCGTCGAACACCTTGAGGACTGCAGCGGCGGGGCCGACGGCCCGGTCGATGTGCCCCCCCGCCGCCGCCAGCGCTTCCTCCGGGGCGCAGATGGGGCGCACGGCGGCCTCCACGGAGGGGAGCCGCTGCTGGATCTCCTCCAGCCGGGGCCCCGCCTGGCCGAGCGCCGCCGCGACAGCGCGGGACTTGTCCAGGCTCGCCATAACCGACCGACGCGCCGCCAGAAGGTTCTCCACGCCATTGCCGCCGGTGGAGCGGGAGGAGGAGGAGGCGCGCGGGGGAGGGGGATCCATCAGACATGCGCTGGCTCCGCTGAGGCGAGCATGCATCCCTGGAGGACCCCCCCCCGAATCTTCCTCCTGATCCAGGTCTCTCTCCGGCGCTCAAAATGCACAACTGGCCGGGAAAAGGGCACGCCAAAATGTCTCTCCGATCTGATACACCCCCCTGCCCCCTTTTGCTTCCCCTACCTAGCGAGCGAGCGAGGAGAGAGAGAGCAGTGAAATAGGGGCATGGACAGCTGGGCCGTTTCCGTGTGGCAGGCTTTTGCTTTTGTCGAAGCATTTGGCGGGCACAGCAGAGAGATACAGACAGAGAGACAGCGAGAGAGAAATAGGCGGGGGTCGGGTGACACGTGTACACGACCGTTGGGGGTGACGATGGCCTAGAGGGCCGGCTTTTTCGAGTGCTCAATGTGGAGGACGGGCCCATTAGGCTCACTCCGACATCAGCGGCTCCTCCGCAGACTTGTCAACGCAGGTGAGACGCCAGATTTGTCAACGAGGCGATAATTATTTAATAATGAAAGAAATCCACGAGATATCATAAGAAATATTTTTTAAAAATCCAAAAATGATTTTCAGCATCCGGGGAATTTGTTTATCGAGCTCGGATTATTATCGCGAGGTTATATTGTATTTACTTCCGACAAGGGAGAAAAGTCAATATCCATGGTTAATTAATTATATTATAAACTGGGGCGCCGTCCTCTTTATCTGACGTCCTCGCGAAGGACGGCTGAGATTGCTCGCCCCAGCGTGGCGCCGGTCAGAGAATGTGCAACCCGTAGGGGAGTGGGGGTGTTGGTAGTGGTGAGGCGTCATCTGCAGACAAAGCGAGGGTGGGCCTACTCGTGCGCCCCTATCCTTTGACTTTTTATCGGAGGAAAATCTCGGGGGAAATTTGCGGGCCCCACGCCGCTTCCCACTCACTCCACCGGGATTAAAGAAGGGGCCGCCCACCCTTTGGATTCTTTTGGGGGGGGGGGGAATACCCGATGCTCAGGTCAACCTGTCAAGCTGCCGGTCGTCCTTTCTTGTCGCGTTCTATCGAGGAACTATTTTCTTTACATCCGGGGATTAAAAAAAGGGAAAAATACGTTGAGAGAGAAAGTGTGGGAGGAGGGATCCGCCCGTTCAGATCGATTGGCCTCCTCCTCCGGCGTTGAGCTCAATCGTTGGGTGGCCGCGCCGCCGCTGCGGGGGCGGTCTGACCGTGGGTGTGCTCTCCCTCGTAGGTGACGATGAGCATGGAAGGGTCCTCGAGCGCCCTCTCCACGTGCTTCCTCGCCGGGCAACCTCGCAGGCTGCTGCACTTGTAGTACCCTCTGCAGGAGGAGGAGGAGGAGGAGGAAGAAGAAGAAGAAGCAGAAGAAGAAGGTCAAGAAGGAGGAGGAGGTTCAGGCCATTATCGGCGAGGGGCACCTTCTGGCGATCTATATACCTCGGATAGGGGGAACCCTTTATCGGCTTCTGCCCGTATTTCCTCCACGAGTACTCGTCCGGCGGGATGTCGGCGATCTTGGAGCTGATGGCCGGAACTCTGATGACCTTCTTCACCCGGTGCCTCCTGAAGAGGGAGAGACGATCGCCCGTTTGAGATCGATCGTCCGAATGGTAGAGACGTATGATACGAGACCAGATGAGGCAAAAGAAGGGTTGGGTGGGTTACTTCTTCTTGGAGCAATGGCACCGGCCGCCGGAGATGGAGTCGCAGTGGATGTGGGAGTGGCGCTTCTTCTTCAGGTCCGACGAGAGAGGTGGCCTCCCGGCGAATAGGGCGGAGCCCAGCTTCCCTGTGGACAGGCTCCCGTCGCCGGTCAACGACGTCATGAAGGACGGAGACGCTGACGACATCGACTGGGAGAGAGTGAAGCCGTCCGCGTTGATAACCGGGCTCGGCTTTGAGAAATCGATCGTCACGGACTGCGGCGGCAGCGCCGCCACCGCCGCCGGGGCTCTGTGTGTTGCCTGGGCCGGCGCAGAGGAGGGGACGGCGGCGGGATTAGGGCCGGTGGAGGCCGTCGGCGGCGGCGCCGCCCTGTCCCTGATGGCGGTGGCGGCGATGGGGCCGGACCGGAAGCGAGCGCGGCCGGTGCGGCTCAGCATGGAGATTACCTTCTTGAACTTTCCGACCGCAAAGTCGGCGATCTCCCGGAAGTCTGGCTGCGGCTGCTGCTGTCTCCGGTGGGACAGTTGGAAGACGAGGAGCTCCGCGCTGCGGAAGCCGGCGGCCGCTGCCTCCTGGATGACCGCCGCGTCCTCCTCCATCCTCGAGTATCCCATCAGGTCAACCGCCATCGGTGGCGGAGGGGGCGAGGAGGGGAGGAAGAGGACCCGGTGAAGTAAGAGGGAGGTCCGGAGACTACTCGGAGATTTGATGCAATTTATACGGCCAAAAGAAAATAGATGAACAACCGGGATGTAAATCTGGAAGGAATCTCAGCCGTCAGATTTCTGTCCGTTGACCTCTGCCGCTCACAGAAGAGACGGCTAGACACGTCAGAATCCGTGGGCTGATCAGGAGGAACGGCCCGAACCGAAAGTCAACCGGAGGACAGAGAAGATGTGGAAAATGGCGTCCCGGACAAGACACTGGCGACTCTTCGTTCTCTTCCCGCCACCGCCAACCAGCACAGTCGCAGCCTTAAAATGCGGCCTTGCCGCCCTCCGATATAACTACAAGTAGTATATATTAATTGCTTTTAATTAATTAATATACTATATATCTCTCTCTCTCTCCACCATCCCCTCGATCATATCCTCGGCCGGAACTGTTCGGCGGGATCGGATCCAGCTGTGCCAAAGCGGTCCCATCTGATGCACGTGGTCAGCCAACGTGTGCCAACCGTCCGTTCTGTTTTTGTCCGTTGAGAATCGCAAAGCAGTGATCTAGAAGGCCCCCGAAGAACGGCCCGAAAAGCCGGCCCGTCGCTCTACAATAGAGGAACACGTGGCCCCTTCTCCGAGCTTGTTTTCGCGCCGTGCACCGAAAATAGGCCGCGCTGACCAAGCTTGGACGATGGTAGTGTGGCGTGGGGGACGGATGACTTGTTTGACTCAGCTTGACGAAGGGATGGCATCCACTGTTTCCCGCTCGGTGGACCGTAGTTCGATTCCTCGCTCTCCGTATCTCTCTGTTCTTTGGCGACGGAGGAGGATACGCCCGTTGACCGACTGGTTTTCTTCTTCTTCATCATCTTCTTCTTATTCTTCTTCTCAGTTTCCCTCGCCCTTCGTCCCCGGAATATGTCGAAGAAGACAAGGTCAATGGGTCGCTGCCTCCGATTTGGAATATGTTCAAGGCTTTTGGAACTTAGCCTTTGCCCCTCGACGGCTTCTCTTTGTCCGCGCGCAACTCCGGATATTCTTGTCCGAGCGTCTATTCAGAGGGGGGCCAACCCAACGTCGCTGTATGGGATCGTCTTCCTCTGTTCCATCTCCGCTTTCATGCAGCTGGAGACGGAGGTGACAAGCCTTGCGAGTTCTGCCTGTCTGCCTCTCTGAGTCAGAAGGTGCTGAAAATCTCCACGCCCCTCTCCTTGGTCTTTCATCTCCTCATATGTTCGCCAACGGAGACGAGAATACAAGTCCACTGCGCTTGGTCAGCGAGCTGCCCGTTGAGACGTGAGTTCTCCCGAGTTCACTGCTTCTACACAGCAAAGGAGCCCCCCCCTCCCCGCCTCCTCTCTCTCTCTCTCTCTCTCCATATATATATGTACATATGTATTTAGTGGTTTATTTGGGCCCGATTGGGGGAAATCGGGCCGGGGAGGTCCGGGCCTCGAAAATGGGTGCAGCTCGTCAGGGCACCCCGTTACGGTGGGATCACGGATCCATGTTTTTGACCCCGTCCGCTGGATCGTCGGACCCCGTTACCGACCCTTCAATCCGGCCCCATCTCGCGCGCCGCCACGTGGCGTCCCGCCCGGTGTTCTAGCTCGGCGCAAGAATAATTAGATAAAAGGGAGAAATTCGTATTTCGGGCGTTTTCTGAAAAGGAAAAAAAATCGTTTAAGGGGGGGCGTTCCCCCTCCGCTCCCTCCCACGGCCCTCCCCGCGCCTTCTCCTCCGCTGCTCCTATTTCTGGTATTCGCCTCCGCCTTCCCTCTACGACCGCCCTTTCCCCCGCTGTGCTCGCTTGCCGCAGGTGGGGATCGCTGATCGAGAGCCGTGATGATTGTTAGGATTCGTGTATCGCGTTCAGATCACGATGATCTGGTTTCTGGATTTTCCGTTTACTGGAATAGATTACTCTGTTTCTGTGCAGGTGATGGAGCGGGGTTAAGGTTGACGTCGTGTTCGGTCACGTTGCGGCAGGTACAGAGCAGATAATGATGTCTTTCAATTCGCCAAATTTTCTGTGATCAGTTTGGTTTCCTTCTTTAATTGATCTCTCCGTGGATAGACGACAGGGCCTTTGGGTCCTTATTCTTGAAACAGAGGTTGGGATCAGGGAGGGAGGCCAGATTGGGTGATCTCCGACGTAAGAGATGGGTTATTTCAACACGGTTACGTCGAGTGCCAACGGTGCTCGTGTGGACGATTCCCCGGTCAGCGGCGGGGGTCTCAGGTGTCCTCTCATTCCAGTCCGGGGAATTATTTCTGTTCGTTTTCACCTCTTCACTCGTATTAGAACCCTCTAGTTCCTTTGCCACTTTCAGCTTGTCTCTGCTCTGCAGAGATAGCCTTTTTTGTGCTTTGGCCTGCTGGTGTTTCCGAGTTGCTCGGTGTTTTGGATGTGAGGACATGTCCGAAGGAGTATTTTGGATTAACTTTGCTTATCGGCTATGTAATCTTTGAATCGTATCAATTTTCGTGATTGATGGAAAATGATTTCAGATTTATCCAATTTATCTTTCGTTAGCCTTTTTTTTAACGATTTCCAGCAGGATCATATCGTATCCGAGAGAGGTGAATTTTCATTTGTATTTAATGTATATTCTTTGCTTTGTTTTTATGTTCATGCTATCTAGCAGATGATACTAGCCATTCCTTTACCAGTCAGGGATAAAGCGACTAATACTGTAATTTTGAATGACGTTTATCATGCTTGGAGAATTCACAACTTCAACTTTTAAAGATGCATTCGATTTGACCTTCGTTTGAAGCAAACCTTTTCTAATGGATCGAGAACTACAAAACTGATTTTTACAAAAAAAAGGAAGGCAGAATGACTACAAAATGATATTATCCATTGGTTAGTGGAATGTGGGATTTATTCACTGACCACATTCTCTCTATTTGACAGTCAGAATGGAAAGTTTAGCTATGGATATGCAAGCTCTCCTGGGAAGAGATCGTCAATGGAGGACTTCTATGAAACAAGAATTGATGGAGTAGATGGAGAAATTATTGGTCTTTTTGGTGTATTTGATGGTAATACTCTTATGACCAGGCTGTTGAAAACTAGATACTTGTTTATATATTTCATGATCCCAATCAATGATTTGTCAGAGTGAACTTTCTTTTAGTCATTGTGTCTTTATTAATACTTAGAAAAGAGGCTTATCGGTTTTCTATGCATTACTTGTACATTTTTTACCCCAACGTTTCGAAGTATGTACAGCAGAGATTTATTGACGATTCTAAAAATTTCTGTTATACTCAGGCCATGGAGGTGTCCGTGCAGCAGAATACGTTAAACAAAACCTATTCAGCAATTTAATAAGGCATCCAAAGTTTATTAGTGATACAAAATCAGCAATAGGTATTTTCTTTTCACAAATATAGAAGATAATTTTCCTCAATATTCTTTGGTTTATTTATTTTCTATGTTGAAAAGATTTAGGTGAAATTCTCTTTATTTCAAGAATAAAGCCTTAGGTTCTGTTGTTCGACAGTGGATGCATACAATCATACAGACTCCGAGTTCTTGAAGTCTGAAGTTAGTCAGAATAGGGACGCTGGCTCCACTGCTTCAACTGCCATTTTAGTTGGCGACCGTCTACTAGTTGCAAATGTTGGAGATTCAAGGGCAGTTGTCTGTAGAGGTGGCAATGGTAACTTTCATTGATCTCCCACTTTCCATTTTGTTCCGAATGATGACGGCATTGTTGCATGATCTTGATTCACTGTTGAAATTTTTCATAATTTTTAGTTTGAATGACTAAGATATTGGGCTGTGGGCTCTGAATACAGGAGGTAGTTTTACTATGCCTTGAGGTATTTGAAACTAGACACGAACTTCATGTTAAATGTTTTCCCTTTGGATGGTAATTATAGTAAATTACGACATCAGACACTTTCGTGAACCTATCCTTGATGCCAGAGTGCAACATCTGAGTCTATGGTAAAAGCACAACTTGTTGATGAACTATGTAGATTGTTACCTTTGTGATGTGATTATTTACTGAATAATTTTTTCTATAATATACTTTATACTAGTTTTTAATCTTTTGTATTCTAGATTTCTGATGCTTAATTTCTATGGGATTTGGACAAAGACATCTTTTCCAGTTGAGTACGTCCTGCCCATTGCAATAGGAGATATTAGGTTGGTTCCACTCGTACTGCACATTTTTTTTCTGCAACCTTCTACCTTATGCACCTTTTTGTGCGGGCAACATTGCGAGCACAAAAGTAAGGCACAGAAAGTAATGAGTCATTTCAATATCATACGATCCATTTTGATTGAGGCCTTTCTTTTTTCAAAAAGAGTTGTCGTTCCCTCTTAGTCCAAAACTCTGGCTTCCCAGCACGAAGCAGTATCCGTATCTTGTGCCTGCATGGGTGCATTAGAAACTTTGCACTTCATTCTGAGGCTCTTAGAAGAGATCAGCAAATTTGGTACATAGAGCTTATTTTTCGAGTGTCAGTTTTGCATACAACAGAGGCTTACAATCGATATGTCTGTAAAATTTCAACCGATAGGAATTGGGGGTAGGGATCTTATCCTGTCAGAAATTGCATTTTCGACACGTTAGGGTTCATCTGACTGAATAATGAATGGTAAAGCTCTCTTCTCCTTGGTTAAATCCCCTTAGCAACATGAATCTGCCCTTAGCAGTGTATTTTGCCTCGTCAAGAACAACTCCTCTTCTTCACTTCTTTGTCATCTCTTAACAGGAGCTCGTCGTTGTTATGGGATTATTTATGGGTTAACATTAAGCTCAAAGTGGATGAAATCATCTCATGTTGCCAATGCAAGGATCATTATTTCCATAGCCTGAGCTGTGAAGTCACGATGGAAGTTGGTAACAAAAGCATCCTCATTGATGTGATGCAAGATTACTTATGACTTATTATTAGCTTTTCAACTCAATCGTGGATAGATTTTGATGCCAATGTATTATGGTTTCTCCTCAGCCCGTGTAGGATTCTGAGAAAAGATTAATCATGGCTCCTCAGGGCTTTCTCGCCATGATGTAGGTTTCAGATAGGATTCCCCAGAATGTGTGTCTCCGCCTTCTGTCGTCATCTCCTTCAACTCTTTGACTTGAGGCCTCTACCTCTCCAGCTGCATCAGATTTGATCTCCAAGTCGCTCAATCTTGGCAGCAGAATTGTGCCAGTCAAAATCGCCAACCGTGTCTTGACTTTTTATGATAATTTTGCTTCATTCCTTGAGCGATGCCGGTCCATCATCGCCATTCCCCGTTTGATCACTGACCACAGATGAAGACTGACTCTCTCTCTCTCTCTCTCTCTCATGGTGGACTCACCCTCTTGCTCTCTTCCCATCCTCAAAAGGCAGTGCCCACAGATGGAGAGCACGCACGCTCCGGCACTCTCACAGATGTCTATTTTTATACGTTGACTTGTCCGCGTAACGAAAATATATAACCTTTTCTACTGTAGCGTGCGTGTTCGTCAACTGTCGGTAATGGTTGGTTAATTTTTTTGCCATGAAATCTAATCCCGCAGCGATCGCCGTCTCCCGCGACCACAAGCCCGACCAGAGCGACGAGAGGCAGCGGATCGAGGAGGCCGGAGGATTCGTGATGTGGGCCGGTACGCCGCCAGCCCGCCCAACCACCCGCAGAGGCCGCATTGTGTTTGCTCCTCAACCTCGCTGACCAGAGTGCGCCATTCTTTCCCCTGCAGGAACATGGAGGGTCGGCGGCGTCCTCGCGGTTTCCCGGGCCTTCGGCGACCGGCTCCTGAAGCAGTACGTCGTCGCCGACCCAGAGATCCAGGTGAGAAGAAAACCCTAAAGATTCCCCCTTTCCAGCCTGCCGAGCGGCGGCAGCGGGCTGGGAGCTCCTCCTCTGTCTGACCGGCGGCGGCGGACCCGTGAGATTATTGCAGGAGGAGGTGGTCGACAGCTCCCTCGAGTTCCTCATCCTGGCCAGTGACGGCCTCTGGGACGTCGTCTCCAACGAGGTGCGGTGCCCGGAAAACCCTGGAAAACCTTCCCGTTGACCCGCGGACCGTTGACCTAACCCGGTGTGTGCTGCTGCAGGAGGCCGTGGCGATGGTGAAGCCCATCGAGGACCCGGAGGCTGCGGCGCGGCGGCTGATGGAGGAGGCCTTCCAGCGGGGGAGCGCCGACAACATCACCTGCGTCGTCGTGCGCTTCCTGGCCTGGCAGGGCGGAGGCGGCAGCGGGAGCTCCTCCCAGTGAGGCCGGCGTCGCCACCGGCGGCCCCGAATAAGCTCTCCAGTCATGGAAGAACACGTACCCTCTGGCGCAGTCTCCTTCGTTGACGTAGTCGTTTCCGGTGGGGAGCGGTGTGTGAAGAACCGGCGGCTCCAAGGCTTCCCCGTGCGTGTTGTGGCGAGCTCTGACGTCCCCCTCTGTGTTGTTTATCGTTTTCAGGTTAGAGCGTTTGCAGGGATAAAAAGAACCCATAAATTTAATTAATGGCCGGCTCGGGAGATTGGGTGTCGACGGCCCGGCCAACTCTCATCATCCTAGTTTTTCTCTCTCCTCTCCTCTCTCTCTCTCTCTCTCTCTCTCTCTCTCCCTCTTCTTTTTGGTTAGTATATCGTGGATTTATTTATGGTCAGCGGACCCGCAGAAGAGCGGCAGATGGTGCTAGCTGGTTTGAATCCCGAGCTTCAACGGGCCCGAGTTGACCGCGTCGCGGTCAGGTGGGTAAACAGTCCGATCGCTCACTAATTTAAACCCACCGGTGACTTTCGGCACAGCCGTGGGAGATCTATGGCTTGAATCCTGATTAGTCCACGCCCTCGCCCAGCCACGGCGGCGGCGCGCGGATGAGGCCAACGGCAAGGAACCCAATCCTCGAGTAGGCAGGCCCGCGAGCTCGACCTCGCACATCTACCGTCCCTTTCGGCGTCGGCCCATCTCAGAGTTCCACGTTATAGAAAGTATCATGTAGCAACCCCCCCTCCGATGACCTAAAAATCACAACTTGAATACTCCGGCGGGATTATATCGTCACGTTGCAGCAGATCACTGCGAAAGAATAGCTTGCTCCTGCAGGTTGCATTCAATTTCAGGAAGAGATAGAGAGAGATGTGAAGAAATGTGGGCTCCAAGTTGGGGGGCGGGCGCTTATCAGGCTACCTGGCGTAGGAGTTACTTGCTATAAATTCCATTATGAGGTAGTGATTGAAGGTGAGCCTGGTCTCTCTCCCTCCAGCTACTGGGGCATGCCGTGGAGGAGACCCTAAGAGTGAATAACTCCGCCGGATACGATTTCATGGGCCTCGAGAATGATCCGTTCCTAGAATGGTTGTGAGAGCGTACTTGTGGTTTTCATATGCCGATCTTCGTCTTGAGAAGAGGCGCATGTTGGTCGGGGCATCGATGGGTCCGGACCCGCTCGGCCCTGGTTCGAGACTGCTCATCTTCTGGCCCGCGGAGACGCCGGAAAGACATAATCCATATGATGTCCTCGCCCATCCATCCCCGATTGACCCGGCAGCGTACCTTGGCATCTACCGTTTCTGAGAGAGCTAGATTGAGATAGCCAGATATATGCATTTATATATATATATATATATATAGATAGATAGATAGAGAGAGAGAGAGAGAGAGAGAGAGAGAGATTAGTGCATGTGGGTGAGGGGCAAGTGGTTGAATGTGAGACATCTATGTGACAAAGGAAACGGGCTCCAAGCTCCCGCGAGACACTGGAAAGGTGCAGTCTTAGCTGAGGCGTGGGTATGCGAAAAAGAGGAGCTGCGTCGGAGGCTTGCCGGGCCAGTTGGCACCCCACGATTTACAGGGTGAGGAACTCTTGACAAAAGATGATCTCCACAGCCCTGAAGCGTCACCTTGGAGAAGACCACATTCAGAAGGCAGTCCGAGACGTAGATAGTGTCGCAACTGTAGGGAGGATTCGTGACTCATGCTTTAAGAACATATCGTGATCTCTACCCTCTCCAGACGAGGAGGGATTGATCTCTTCTTACAGGTGAGTATGTGTCTATTATATATGAATATGTGGAATTATCCACATATCCCATGGCGGTTCCTGATCGAAGAGGGAGAGAGCCAGTAGTGCACCTTGTAGGGAATTCATGGTTGGGGATGCGTGGGCAGTGGGGAGGGATGGGTTACTACTCCTTGATAGTCGGCGTTGTCGATGAGCCCTTCTTCTCCGTTCTCTTCCGCTTCGTCCGCAGGGACCTCCTTCATCCGCCTGCCATCACCCTGGATCGTAGATTTCCATGACACAAACTGCTCCTCAGCTGGATTTACAAGGAAAAACAGTCACTAAACGGTCACGGAAGCACGGACCTGCGTTTTCCAACTCCCGAGAAGCGCCCTCGTTGAAGCTGCTGGGCGGCGCGGTGGGTCCACAACGGGCTTCCTGGGTGGAATCGTCTGGGATCCCATGGTGGCAGATGCGGACCAGATTGGACTTACTGCGGAAGCTTGGGAGGTGGAGAGATAGAGAGTGAGAGAAAGGAGGGAGAAGAAAACACACCAGGGCTTCATGGTCATGGCCATGAGAGAGTCTGGGAGAGAGAGAATAGGCGTGATAAATAGGGGAGATGAGAAGGGGTTCACATAGACGAGGGAAGGCGGTGGGAGGTCTCAATAATTGAATTCAGGGTTAGAGAACGTGCCTGTGGGGGCTTGATACATCCACTAATGGTCAGAAGTCCTCAGAAACCCAATACGACCGAAATTTATGACCCGTGTTTCCCCGAGAGCCTGTTCTCGTTTCGTCCGTAAAAGAACCTGGTAAGGTGGTTGTTGTGGTGTGATCGAAGAGGGCGAGGGCGAGGGAGGGCGAAGGCGTGGACTACCAGCAATGGAGGCCGGGGTGCCTGCCCCAGATGGTCCACTGGGTGGCAGCTGGCTTCCTTGATTATGCTACCATCTCTCCATCGTTTTGATGGGACGGGCCATCCACGTGGTGGTGTCCTCGGCCAGCAAGACCGCTCACGCAGCTGGCGGCATCCGCCAACGAGTCTGAGGCTACTTGCCCGTGCGGAAGGAACTTGAAGTCGTCAGTTCCACAGATGTCCTGCCTGTACTTCTCTCTCTCTCCCTCTCCCTCTCCCTCTACCTCAATGAATTACATATACGACGCTCATATTTTTATTTTGAATAATCGTATTTACCTGCGTGACGATAACCGGTTATATCGTAAGAGTGATGAAAACGTTGATGTTGATGCAGATAGAGGAGAGAGAAAGAAAATTTATCGGAGTGTATGATTTCTATCTTAAGAGAAGCTTCTCATCGCTGAATCAGCAATGTTCATCCACTCCGACTAAGCATTTCTTTCTCAGCTTCAGCGCTGCTCTTTCTTCTTCTTCCTCGACAGAACCCGAATCTAGCTGGAGGGGAAGAGCATGAGTCCCTGGGGCGGAGAGGAACTAAATTCCGTGTCTCTATGCCATTAATGGCGCTGACGGGAGTTAAACGCGCAACATCATATCTGGGAGCGAGGTCTGGGGCCAGCCAACTTACATGAAGGAGGTGGTCCAGGCATCGCTGCGATGCGATCTCCATAACCACTGAACGAAAGATGGTAATTCGGCGAGGCGACGCGCAAAGGCTGAACTGACGATTCCTTAGTCCGTCTCTCTTCAACTCATCTCATGCTAAAGTCGCAGCTAGGGTGTTTCTCTGCAGCACACGAGAAGCATGAGGGTACTCAACAGCCCTGCTCGTTGGCCAACGGTGTCCGGTAATGGGAATCCGGACGTAAGGCGTCTCCACCAGGCGACTCAAAAGTGAGTTGGCTGGAAATCAGCCCTAATCAACGCTGATTTCCATCTAGTAAACCATGTGTTTGAAGCGCCTGGAAATCAGCTTCCCACCCGCTCTAAAGTGCTGGGGAAGCGCGTTGATTATGTGCCCTCATAGTCTTCCGACTCTGCGTGTTTAGCCCCTCATTGCGTAGTAAAGGTAGAATATCGAGATTTCAAGGCCTTAAACTCACCTGGGGAAAGCCAACACGACCGGGCTTCACATGTTTTAGATCGGCAAGAGAATCAAGACAAGAAGTGATCTTTATCTCGCGTTTTTTTCCTTCGTTTTCTTTATTGGTGTTGCAGAGGGTTACGCCTCTACCTGAAAGGAAGGAACGTTGAGTCCAACCAGGGGATGTTGTTCTGGGGGGTATCTGGTCGACTGCTAGCAAAAGGTTCAGCGAAGAGCGGGGTCAAAGAAACACCCCCCGTCCCGTCCCCACCCGCATGCCAGATTTGTCTCAGTATTCCCACAATGGTCCACCATTCCGCCTCTCAGAGCCTCCGCTTTCGGTTCCCGCCGCCCATTTGGGTGTTACGACCCCAGAGCCGTCTTGATGAAGACGAGCTGACCCTCTGAAGATTCCCTCCATGTCCTATGCGTGCTTATCCCTACGTAGCGTACTCCGCCTTCTTCTTCATATTATTCTCTCGTCACCTGGTGCTTGGTTTGTTTGTACGGAAAGGCATCGGCATAATTATTAACTCATTGTTGTTGATTCATCGCCGCGATAGATGGACGGAAGGGTGGTCAGAAGACCGGAGACGCCGGCGCAGAGAGGAATGGTCAGAGAAGTTACCTGTCGCTAGTGTTGCGCACTGAACCTAGGGCTCCGTTCTTGCGCTTGGAGAACACTTCAAGTTCATTTGAGGCTCCGACATCGCCGAATCGATTCATGTGCTCTTAGTCGAAGCGAGTACCTCGTCTCTAGAGACCACCCCAAATGACCTCCCTGAGGAACAACAGCGTTGTCTGATAAGTTTGCGGGGAAAATCTGAACATTCCCGGCGCATAGCCCAGCCAACCATGAATCGGTGGATCATGCTGGTAAGTTTGCGGGGATTAATTGGCCGTTGCACATACATTGGCAGAGTTACCAATTCATTCATCATGATTATTTATTTTTCATTCATAATTAACATTATTAACTTCTCTTGTCTGTTCTAGAAACGGCTTCAGCTTACGCAGCGGCAGGAGGAACACATTATTTTTTTGAGTGTTTTTTTTTTTTGTTCTGTCATCATTGTAGATTAACCATCCCTCACTTCGTCGCGTGAAGTTCGTCTGATTCTAAACAAATAATTTGGTCATATCCCTCTGATTAACGGTCAATGTGGTATGCACTGTTTCGATGGTTTTTTTCTAAGTGTCGGTTATCTTTAAGCCTCTTCCTTGTTGTGATGCGTTCTCGGCAATGGCTTCTCACGCATTGGAAAACGCACCGAGGACCGGAGAGTCCGAATCTATTTGTAGACTAGTCCGCGCCCCTTTTCATCCAAGATCACGGCAATTCGAGCCGTTCCACCTCTCGCCGTCGGCGGCAGTTATGATGGACGTAACTGTTTATACGACTATCGAATCAGCTCCTGCTCCGACACTGAGAGCATTACAAGTGAAAATAAGATAGGGGTACCGCTAATAATGAATGGGGTAGTTAATATCTCCGCAAAGAAAGAAAGCCTGACCGGAAACATATCCATAGTTGTTGTTGTTGTTGTTGTTGTTGTGGTTATCTCCTTTCTCTTCGCTTGTACGATCCGATTATTTCTTGGACCATCACTGTATCTTTCTGTGCACAAGTTCACACCCAGGGTGACGAGGCTGAAGAACAAGAAACCGTCGCGAATGCAGTGCAGGGAATTTTTCGACGCGGATAAAAGAGATTAAACGTCCATTCTTTCTCCTTCCCCTTCCAACGGATGCTCCTCCCCTTCCATTAAGCAATTCGTAATTAATCACGCAGGTCTCTCCACTTCCACCACGCAACCTCGAAAATATTAAATATGTAGCTCCCCCAGGAGGCATGACCACCATGTCTCTGCGATCGCCACTCAGAAATCCGACAAGCTTGCGTCGTTTCTCCTCTATTCCTCCTTCCAGTCCTCCTTCCATCCTTATCGTTCTCCTCCCTGCACTTGGCCAAAGCGGCGGAAGACCATGGGTGAAGAGGCGCCGTTCGACACTCGCCTGGCCCTTGCCGTCGGGGGAGATGTAGACGCTTTCGTTGCTAGAAAGAGGAAGCAACCCGCCGAGTTCCATATCCTGTTACCTTCCCACGCGGAGGAGGAGCCAGGAAGATCATGGCGGGAAGATCAAGGGCCGGGAAGGCTGACGCTTAGGAGCGACGCTGCTGCCAAAACTACCGACGCCGACGGCACTGGAACAAGGAAGAAACTGCGCCTCACCAAGGAGCAGTGGGACTTTCTCGATAACCGTTACAGGGAAAACAGCGCCCTCACTCCGGCATGGAAAACCCTTACAAAACTCTTCAACCTCGAATCATTAAAAATGACTTAAACGTAAGTCCAGCTTATTAATGATGGTTGATTTTGCAGATGCAAAAACCAGAACTCGCGGACCTGCTAAACCTTCGTCCCCGGCAGGTTGAAGTCTGGTTCCAGAACAGAAGGGCAAGGTTAGATATATTTAACGAACTTTGATCATGTATCCGCACTGAAATGCATCAGATGAACTGACAATACTAACCTAATTTTCGAATAATCTCATATAATTTGGGAAATTAAACCGATGATTACATACGATAGTATTCCGGCTCATTGGCAATCGCCTTTGGGTTGGACAGTCTGATCAAGTTACATGTTCCGAAGATATCTACACTGATGTGGAGTGTGAGAATGTTACTACATTATTTAGATGGAAAATAACTTTTTTTTATTAAAAGATATCATTAAACTCAATGTCGAACGTCTTCGAATTGGACAATATGCTTATTCATGGTGATCTTTTATTTTACCGCACGGCGAGGAGGGGTGAGCACACATAACCCGCGAATTGTAGAGGAATTAGGTGAGCTTGAGTTATTGCTGCGGATGCAGGACGAAGCTGAAGCAGAAAGAGCTCGACTGCGAATTCTTGAAGAAGTGTTGCGAGAGCTTAACTGAAGAGAACCGGCAGCTCAAGGAGGAGCTGCAGGAGTTGAGGTCGGTCAAACAGTCGCCAACGGTTGTCGTGCGACTCCCCAAGACAACGACATTGACTATTTCGCCCTCACATGAAAGACTATCCGCTGGTGACGACAAGATCGCCTCCCCTGGCTTCGATGGCAAGACGGAGGAGAGGTCCAGACCTGTGAAAGCTTCATGCCTGGAGAGATAAGTGAAGAGCGGATCGGAAGATCTCCCAAATAAATACTTTTAGGAACATGCCTCGCGTTATCGGGAACTCAAGGCCTCGTATGAACCGTTTTTTCTCGTAAAAGAACCAAGAGCAAAGCCAACTCCCCTCCCTAATTTGTACATTCTTCCTATGAAGAAATGGCTTGTTCGCTGTTGGAAGGGTTTGACCAGTATACCGGCCGAGTTGTTGGTCAATTGAGTTTTCTGAACAAGTAACCTATGCCGTGGTGTAATTTAATAGGCCTGTCATTTTGTAGGACCGGTGGGAATATCATATTAAAGAAATGAAACCGAAACACTTGAAAGGTGGCCATTGCTTTTTGACGCTTTAAGCATTCAGACAAAGACGGAATAGCTTGTCGAGATGTTAACGATTTTCCCCCCTCCACAGAGAGAGAGAGAGAGAGAGAGAGAGAGAGAGAGAGAGTTATCTCCGTAGCTTGAAAAGTATCCCGAGAGAGCCGACAATTGCCTGACCCATTCACCTGTTAGAGTTCTTTCATCTTCATTCATGTTCTTCGCGGATAAGACAAAATTCCGAAGGAGCACTAGTTAGGACGTCTTTACTTGGACGACGCAGGACGGGGGGACTGAGGACCTCGACGATGTTATGTCGTAGTCTGTTGCATATAGCGATGACTTGCATCAACATCCACGGAACCTTAGACACGTAAATGTCTCGCGTTCATCAAGAGTAGCCGAACCATTAAAAGCGCTCGTGATGCTTCTACCATAGCCTAGGACGGAATCAGCTGGCACGTTGAGAAGAGATTATATATATTTAACCTCGCTGACTCTCATCTTTCCGTGAGTTTCATTGAGTTCTTACAAAGGGCCGCCATGTTTGTCTTGCCCCTGTGCATGAAAGAAGTTGGGACAATTGATATCCTTCCTTCACGGCTCCGATCCGGTAAGCTTCCAGTTGTTGAGTCTACATCTCTCCACAGTCGCAGAGCATCGATTGGGATGATACAGAAGAGGTAACCTTCCATCTCGCGTAAACTGGGAAGATGACGACCATTGAAGTAATTGTTCATCAATATTCCCCCGCGATGACGTTACAGTCAATGAGATCAACAAATGCTTGAATGATGAACCGAGTAGCGGTTCTAAACTTTATAATTAAATATAATTTTTCTTCGTCGTCAACTGCACTAAGATATAATTCGACCAATTTTCGTGAAGCAAGTAAAAATGAAGAAGATTTGGGGAGATTAAAGGGAATATTTGAAGGGGGAAAATGTGGACGCCATAGGGAGACATTTTTTTAAAAAAATAATTTTACCGGTGGATTCATAAGTGATGATCAACCTGGATCAACGGTTCAGGTGATGCAACATCTTAACTAGAAGTGTTGACGGGACTGAACAATGGGCCAAAACCAGCCTGGACAGAAGACAGAAAAGAAGGGCCTATGCTTGATCCTCATGCAGACCCAGCACAGCTCTATGTACCGACGTAGGAGACAGGAGACTGGAGAGAGAGAGAGAGAGAGAGAGAGAGAGAGAGAGAGAGAGAGAGAGAGAGAGAGAGAGAGAGAGAGGGATAACCAGCTAATAAGATAAACAAATTTCTGAATTTTAAACCAAAGTCTAGATATAGGACAGACAAAGACTGAGCTTGAGTTTAATTTTATTTCCTGATTATATTTTGAGATCTAAGACCTTGAAATTGAACTTGGGCAGACTGTCCCCCAACGTTACACAACCCCTGTCATCCAATCGCGTTGTAAAATTTACACGGTGAGTAACTGGGCAACGGAATGAAGGGAATGTCGACCTAGGAGGGCCCACCTTTGACAACGTAACAGGAAGGACGTGCACAGGATTACTTTTATTCACGCCGTCGTCCCCTGCCCGTCTTTATGGAGATGTGGTTCACAGATGGACCCCCATTCGGGCCACCCTGATCGAGCCGTAGGAACAGTCAACTGATCTCTTTCCTACCAACCAGGTACTGTTCTTGCATCGACTTACCCGTCGTAAGGCGCAGAACAACCGGATGTGCTAGACTAGACGGAGAGTGGAACGTGGGAAACAAGCAGTGTACCCCTTACTTCCCAGATTTTCTTGTCGTGTGCCTACCTTAAGCAGTTAGCCAAATCTTGTTGCCCACGAAAGCCATCAATAGGCCTATTCTCAGATGTCTTCTCATCCAGTACAGTCCCAAGATCCTGTGAGATTAGACGATGGCTATTTGCATCTCCCAGTCCTCCTGTATTGCATTACTTCTCCTCCCTTCAGGAGATGGTCTAACAAACTTTTTATCTATTATCGGTCATACTTGTTAGAACACTCTGACATTATATGTCTTTTAAATCCATGATTAGACGGACAGATCTACACTATTCATTGTCACATTATTCAAGGTTGACGTGTCGGCTCTTTGATAAAGTATATTAATCATAGAGAACTGATACTGAGTAAACTATGGTTGATATTTACACAAATACATCACTTTTTCTCCTTTAATATGAAACTATGGGATAATAGCTGCACTAACACTGTCATAAGCTCTGCGGATATCCCCCAATCTCCTTTGGAATCGGGGTCGCGACTCGTGTCCAAGCCACCAGAATGAGGTGGACATCGGAGACAGGACCAAACGGAATCTCCTACGGATTTTTTTCGTGTAAGAACTTCAGAATCCGTCATTATATGATCGATGCTTGAAATATGTTGGGCATGATGGAGTCGTATATGGTAGGTATCGCGAGGGTATCGCTGCCTTGTCTTCCTCTTCCCGTGGTGTCAATGCTAGAGACCGACTCCTTAGCCTTATTTCATTTCATTAGCAACTTCTCCGTGACCAATATTGTTTTGTGGACTCGGGTAAGTGGGGACTCCTACACCGACATCTAGAGTTCCTTTGGACTCCCCTTTCCATCTCCTGTTCTCCTAGACATGCTGTCCATTTCTCCCGTCCTTATTTGAGTTGGTGACTTTCAGGCTTGAGATTGACACAGGTGTAAATTTTATACATGTGCATTGTTTCGAGTTCACTTCTAATTTGTATTTTCTTCTATAGTACAACGTTTCCCTAGTCCTCACGATCAGCGTAGTTGGTTTATCAGAGCCGTGCAGTTTTTTTTGTCGGCTTCTCTGGCAGCTGTTTGTCTTTGGTGTCACACGGCTATTTTCCCCTTTTATTTTAACATTCATCTTCCAATATCTATGAGCTTCTGCGTAACATCGCGCAGCCCCACATCTCCCAACAACCTTCCTAGGCTCCAGAAAGGCCAGCGGGCAACATGGCGTAGAATAGGTGAAAGGATCCCTCGTACCCTTCAGGCTACGTGGCGTGTCCTCTACGGTCGACTAGCTCAGGGCCCGTGGGCTCTGGCCGGGTATCCCTATCCATTGGTTGTTGGGAAAGCACATAATTTTAGTCTCGTGCCTCGGTAAGAAGCTCTCATTTCCCTTTCTCCAACCCACGAGGAGTGACGATGGGAAGTCGAGGTATCCTTGGCGCAGCAGATAGCAGTGGTCAGGAAACGGTCCGGCCAAACAATAATAAATGAGATGATATCACCAACATATGAATGATCTGAAAGACATGCTTATATCAATTAGTTATCGCATGCTTCTTGTTTACCAAACTGTATGGTTTTGAACATTTTATAAGGTTATCTGGCATCACTACAGAATGATCACCCGATATAAGATGAGCTGAGACGAGGTTTAGAATTAGAGATAACAAGACGATGTGTAAACTAAGACGTGTTTGGTAGTGAGTTTGGTAGTGAGTCCAGTGATGTCAAATGAAAGATGTACTCGGCGGTCGTGTTTTCGTTATATCTGCCTCCCATGATGCATGTCGGTGGATTGGTGACAGTGAATCTGAAAGATGGTTTGCCACAACCGAACTTATTTCCCATTGGGTAACCGAACTTATTGCCATGGTTAAGTGATGCGGCTAGTGTTTTAGTTCCCCACTGGGTAACCGATCCCCCAATAGATGCGAACTTATTTTAAAAATAAATGTGAATTTATATATAGTTTCCTTACCAAGTTAACTACCTTGGAAGATAATTACCCCAAAATTTATCATCCCGTTGAAGTAGCATGTACCAAGGATAGTTCACACCGTTGAGTTGACGCCACAAATACATTTATAGATGAGAGCGCCATGTAATTTTCGTAACCAATCGAGAAATACCTTATTATTTTTTATTTGGGATGAATGGTTTTTATTTTAAACCCACCTGCTTGAGAAATATCGCATTCAGTGGCTACTCTTCCGCAACTTCACGGTATTTCACTGCTTGTTCAGTTTTATATTAGAATTCTACGAGAACGAATGAGACAAGATATATGAAGTACCTGTAACAATTGATTCTAAACCAGTCATCCAGTCATTACTATTCACTTTATAACCCAACTAATTAGAGATATCTAAATAATTACTCTAGTACTTATATTTGGCACGAGGATTTATCATTTATTTAGTCCTAAAATTATCAAAAGCTAGGTCGCTGGAATTCTCTCAGTACATGGTTACCCTGAGTCCAGTTAGACATACAGCTGTCACCTTCTTTCGGAAGCCCTCTGTGAGGAATTTTAGGTTTAGATCGCTTTTTTAAAAGTTAAGAGATTGGAGGGGTCCAAACCTAACATTTGAAATAAATAAAATATTCACGCTTTGAAACATTCTCAGACTAAAATAAGATGATGAGAGATGAAGAGAACGAACGCAACTATGGAGTGGAAACGGTGCTTCACCAATTAACCCCTTCAATTGATACAAAAATCTAGTAGAACGATGGAGAAACATGAGCAAGACTACATAAAAAAGGTCTGACCTTTAGGGTTCTCTTGTCGACGTTCTCCCATGGAGCAACCATGTTTTATTACGATCAAAGCTGTACTGATGCAATATAATTGCGCCGCCCAGTAACTCAAAATAAATTGAGAAAGAGTGGGGTAAGTACGAGTGTGTATACATGTTAGTTTATAAATTTTGAAGTGCCGATCCAAATGAAGATTATTTTCTGTGACGTCATGTCACAATCAAATCGACTTTTTAGGAAGTCTTGCGAATAAGGATCATTCAATATTCGTGATTATAATAATCATTCCATATCTCTTTAATCATGGAAGTTTACATTCTCAGATCACCTCTCTGACAACGTACGGGACTCTTTTTGTCCTACAGCGTCGCTGTGAATTTATCAGCAGTACAATTGATACGAGTCCAAACATTTCCCAATCAGTTTCTACGGGGAGGGGGCGGCTGTGTGCGGCACCGCCATTCACTACCCACCGCAGGCGTGAAAACATACACCCACCATTCCTTTATCAGCCCACACTAACCATTCCACTACAACGCTTGCTGCTGCTGCTGTTGCTCTCTCTCTCTCTCTCCTCCCTTCTCTCTCCGTCTCCCCTTTTTTATCTCTCCTCCCTTCTCTCTCTCTCTCCCCCTCCCCCCTTCTCTCTCTTTCTCTCTCTCTCTCTCTTTTGAGGAACGAAGCATGGAAGGAGAGCCATGCAACACCAATCTAACCCTCGGGCTAGGAGTGATCCATTCAGATGTCGTCGACATTGCCTCTCAAGATTTGCGCCAGCGAGGGGTAGCAGGAAGACCGTCCTGCCTACATCACAGCTTATTCCCGCCCTCCGATGTGGGTGAAATAGATCAGGATCAGGAGAAAGACCAAGGCTTGTGGAGATCGAGTCTGTCGACTGCAAGCGAAGACGAAGATGAAGACATCTCGAACACGGGACCCAGCGAGGCAGACGGAGGAAACAAGAAGAACATCCGGCTAACCAGGGAGCATTCAGCCGTGCTTGAACGTGTCTTCAGAACACAGAGCACCGTCACCACTGTACGGAGAAAATTTATGCGAAACATCCGTTGTTTTCATCGAGCACGAAGCATCTCCTAACGTTACCTAATACACGTTGTTTTCCAGAGCGTGAAGCAGGAACTAGCTGATCGGCTAAATCTTCATCCTCGGCAAATAGAAGTGTGGTTTCAGAACAAGAGAGCTAGGCATGTTTCAATAAACATAGAACACGTATCCATGTTGAAGTGCATGGTTTACTGTTGATTTAGACTGTTACGAGGTTTTTTCCGTAGAGGAGAATGTGTGGTCCACGAATGACAATGATTCAATTGAAACTTACAAGAATTTTAGAGTTTGACTGTTGGCGTTTGAGCAGGAACAAACTGAAGCGGATGGAGGTGAACTACGAGCTCATGAATAAATGCTGCGAGAGCCTTACTTGCGAGAACCAGCAGTTGAAGGAGGAGTTGAAGAAGCTGAGGTCAATGATGACACCGTCCGTCTGTCCATCCTGCCAGCGGCTGAAGGAGGAGCTCCACTGCTCCCTGCCAACAGATCCCCACGTAAACGACGCTTAACTAAGCAGTCTTGTTCTCAAAATCATCAGATTTTGGAACTCGGTGGTTCCCATATATTAGACTAGATAAATCGAGGAATCTCCCAGTTATCCTGCTATCTCCCTGGTACGACAGATCTTTGTCTCCTTCTCTTTTGGGTAGGACATGGAGCAATGGAACCGCAAAAATATGAAATTTTCGCTTTAACTATAAATAGCTCCCGTATTTTCCATTGGAATATTTTGAAATTTTAATACAAATAATTCTTGATAGGTGATTTCCTACCCTCCAGTTATCTCTACTGAGAGGTCGTCACTGTTCTTAATCAAAATGTTAATTAACTAAGCAATAACCTGCGAAAAACAGAATATTTAATCAAATCTTGAGTGATCTTGAAACTTTTTATGTAAGTGATTAGATTCATAAACCACGTAAAAAGATTTGATTCAGAAATAAAAAAACTCTACTTTGAAATTAAAGGTATGATAGAAATATAAAAAAATGATAATCCCTGCATCAAAAAAATTATCCATTTATTTTTGAATCAGATTACAGTTTGAATAAATCGACCATAAATAAATCGATATTTTCCAACAGTGAAATTTTAAAACCTTTAGATTGGGTGAGATACATATGAGAATGAGTTGTCTTGATGGTCTCTTTCAGTTCTCACTAATTGATGTTCATGATTTTTATCTAATATATTTTTTAGATACTCTCATCAGTTTTACGTATATTACATCTAAAAGATTATCGCAAGATAAGATTTTCAATAGAAGTGTTGATAATGTAAGGAGAACACTGTACATGTCAATTATATGTAACTTTACAGATTTTAAGTATCGACTATTTTTTGAAGTAGCCTTCCTTGTTTTCTAAATAATAGTTAAGTTGACCATCAGATAATGAATAGAACAATTAGTTGACTCGTGGTCTCTTCATTGCTCCATAATGGAATTATATGTTGTGTTTTGTTGAGCATTGTGACTAATATTCAGATGATACTCTCTGTGTTAAAGCAAGCCTAGCCGTGAAGGTAACTACCTCACCGCCAGATTAAAGCGGACTGAACAAATTTAAAAACTGATGATAATAATCAGTGAAATAGATTGTGTTGCAATCGTGGTAAAATGGCGTTAAGCAGGTCAACAAGCTAGCATTAAAAACCAGTGAAGATAACTAAATCCTAGTCAAGTAATTAAAAACCTTTTCATTAACAAGGAGTCAACGTAAATTAAAAAGCATGACATTTTACTGGGTGTTATTAGTAAAAATTGGGGGTATCACCTTCACTGTCAAGTAGAAGTGGGAGGAAACCATAAATAAAAAGCTAACTAAGAAGAATCCGAGGGAGAACGTCACAAGAGAGGAGAAACAGGGAGAAGAGCAAGATTCTCGAGTTTCTGTTAAATTATCAATAAGCAGCGGTGGATTTTTACGTTGGGCTTTTAATCTGTAGCCTTGGTGAGCCATGTTACAGCAAGGTGTCATTCTGTTTCCCCCATATATTCAAAGTCTCCGTCAATTTCTGTAGTGCTCTCCATCAATGTATTGTTTTGCGGCTGCATTCGAATCGACGCAGGTTACCCTCCCAAGCCGTTGTTGCGCGGGGGGAGATATCACAGATGAACCGATATCGCGGGGACGAGAACGGGAGTACGTTTCATCAACGGGACAAAACTTGAAGAGAAAGAAAAAAAAGGCTCGAGAAGACAGTTAATATTCTCCTGCTTCCCTGGCTTTTCATTTTCTTCTATAGAGAAAGAAAAACAAGGCGTTGAGAAGATTGTATGTTTGCTAACTAGTTTACTGGCTTGTCCTTTTCTTCTATGAATAGCGGAGAAAACCTCATCATAGGCCTTCTTATGAACGCCCCCAGATAAGTAAAGGTCAAGAATAGGAGAAGAGAAATAAAAATAGTAAGTTAGATGGGATCTCGGAAAGGAGAGGAGAAATGAAAGAGATCTAACAACCCCTTTGTTATCCATCTGATTCTATCTTCGCCAAGTTTTGAAGGAGACATCTGATTCTCTCTCTCTCTCTCTCTCTCTCTCTCTCTCTCTCTCTCTCTCTCTATATATATATATATATATATATATATAGATAGATAGATATATATAATATCTATCCCTCGATATTATATATATATATATGTACATCTATCTATCTATCCCTCGATATTATAGATATATATATATATATCTACCTATCTATCTATCTGTCTATCCCTCGATATTATATATATATAGATATATCTACCTATCTATCTGTCTGTCTGTCGGTCGGTCTATCTACCTATATATTTATCGATCTATCTATTAATCTATCCATCTATCTATCCATCTCTCTACTTATCTATCTCTCTGTCTATCTATCCATCCATCCGTATCTCTCTCTCTCTCTCTCTCTCTCTCTCTCTCATCTAAACTCTTGTGCCTACTTCGTTCAGTAGACACTAAGAATGGGTGCGGAACAGATTCGTAGGAAACGACATAGGCCCAAAAGATGCAATCTATAAGGCCTTAGGGGTTTAAGGAAGAAGAGTAAAGTGTTGTTTAGGTCGGCCTGTAAGTTTCAACCCTATTTTTGTTCTTAGGCCTAGTACCTGTTTGCTGTTCTCTAGGAAATCTTAACTATTAGAAATTTTTATCCCTTTTTTTTTGTAAAGAAGATCTAAAACTCCTGAACTACTTAAAGGGGCATACTGTACATTAAGATGTTTTTTTTTTGAAACGCAGAAGAAAATGATATTTGATATTCCTCTTTGCTCGTGGATTCGAATAATCTCCCATGTGGATTCAAGGAATCCTCCTTTTTTTTATCGCTGTATATTCAATGATCCACTGTACCGACGACCATTGTGGATTCAAGTTTCTCGTTTTTGGATCCTTTTGAACAAGAGGATCAACCAACTCCATCGATCACTGTAGATTAAAGGATTTTGCAAATGGAGGAAAAAAATTCAAGTTCATTGTAGATAAAAGGAGTTTGTTTCAGATTAATGTGAGAGTGTTCCGGTGGCTTCTTGTGAACAATTCCTCGAGGAGTTTGTCTTCGGCAAGGGCCCCTCTGTCTTTATTTTGCTGTATGCATCATCCAATCCCGTTTTTTCCCCTCTTCTGGAGGGCTTTCATGCGTTTCTGCGGACCCTCTATTTTGTCCGACTTTACGTTGCATTATTTCCCATCCAGTTGTGATTCGTACATCTCTCTCTCTGTCTCTCTCCCCTCTCCCTCGTTCTTTCATTCTCTGATCCGCTGATAATCCCTTGCATTCACTCCTACACTTCGTAATAATTATTTTGCACTGAATTGAAACAAATAAGAATGTAAACAAGCACTGAAGGGGAGAGCGGAGGGAGGCCTTCATTAAAACAGCTTAGTGTCAAAGGCCAAGGAACAGAAGCAACGAGGATTAGCTGCAAGGGAGCTGGTTAGAACTCCAGAGAAAGACAGAATTGCCGTCTTGATCTACCCTCTGTCGGTCTTTGTTTCTGATGAGTTATTTGCAAGAATCGACGTGAATGTGGGTATAATCTAGTGAGTGCGGGAGCAAACGCTCAAAAATCAATACAAACTATGCCCCCACCCATCCAAAATTATCTTCCATATCATCTCCATCTACGCCACAAGTAGTGGGTTGGCTTAATATCGAAGAAAACAGTAGTCCATTGTTTAATTCCACATTGATTAGTTGGTAATCTCTGACAGAAAATAAATTGGGCGAGCCAAGTTAGGTTTCCGGTGGACTAGTACTGGGCTTCGAAGAACGCTTAGTAAATGGTCCATGAGCTGTGGATCTGCCTATTTATGTCCATTAAGATCTTTAGAATAGCGTCATGTGCCGGGTTGTCAAGCTCTCAGGCTGGGAGGTCAGCTGGGACCAGTTGACGCTGCCAGAGAGAGAGAGAGAGAGAGAGAGAGAGACAGAGAGAGAGAGTGGAGAGGACCCGTTATCGTGCCAGCTCTTCGGACACAATACGACAGTCACAATCCCATGGTTGACCCCTGATTTAAGGAGTGCATCCCTACAAGGCCAGCATCATGTGAACGGGCGGGCTCCACTTCAGCCATCCGGACAACAAACTTATGGCAAATGTCCTTATTATTGCCATTAACCTCGTGATGGCCCCTCCCTGCGCCTGAGTGTTTCATGATGAGGTCAGACCACCGCGGGTAATTCAGACCTGATTTGTTTCCGTCTCTACAAGGTCGCGGCTCCTTGACTGACAGTCGCATTTGACTGACTATACGGATGTACAGACGTTCTCCGAAGGGGGCCTCTCTTTCTCTGAAGAGTGCAAGAGGAACGGGGTCCGTCGATCCTGCCCTACGCCCCATTTCATTACCAAAAAAATATAGTAACGATAATTAGGTCCAAGTTTTCGGGGGGAGAAGTGAGAGGAAGATAAAAGGAAATAAAGAAAACGGCGATGGAGCAGCGAGCCGTAGCATCTTCCTCCTTTAAATGCCCCCAACTGGCACGCATGAACGGACGCCATAGACCGACCCATCGAGAAGGAAATAGTAGACTTATAGAAGGGAGGGTACCTCCTCACTGTAGAGGCTCCGTCCGGAAAGCAGTCAAACTTACGTTAATGCGGGGCTTTTAATCGCAAATTATTGCCGCCATCATTGACAGCTGCAGCATCCTCCAACTCCACAACTAGGCCGCAAAGTCCACGGCGGGTTGAGTGATGAGTAAGAAGACCGTTCCCTCACCCCGATGACGGGACTGATGAACAGAAGAACTCAGCCCCTGCCGGGCGCCAAGGAGGTGAGGGAGCCACATACTGGGGAAATCATGAACCAATGATCAGCGCCGGATCCGTTTGAAGATAAGACGTCTATCAACTTTGATTCGAGATGACGGAAGAAACAAATAGCGACGGGCTTCTAACATCGAAAAAACATCTTTCTCGGGTACTAAACGAGAATACGTTCTAAGATCTCTGTGCAAGAAGTGCGCGCTCGTCTGCCCGGCTCGGAGAGATTTTGTCTGAAACTGCGGGACAATTAGGGATCTGGATGAGAAACTTTGATGGGTAGAGGGATTGTTTTTTCTAAACGTGTCGTACCATTAGGGAAAATTTTCTATCAATATAATTGAAATGCAATAGAAAACCTACAGTTTCAGACATAAATACGATAGAGCTACTATTCTCTCTCTCTCTCTCTCTCCCTCTCTCTCTCCCTCTCTCTCTCCCTCTCTCTCTCCCTCTCTCTCTCCCTCTCTCTCTCTCTCTCTCTCTCTCTCTCTCCCTCCCTCTCTCTCTCTCTCTCTCTCTCTCTCTCTCTCTCTCTCTCTCTCTCTCTCTCTCTCTCTCTCTCTCTCTCTCTCCCCTCTCTCTCTCCCTCCTCCCCACCCCCTCTCTCTCCCTCCTCCCCACCCCCTCTCTCTCCCTCTCTCTCTTCCCCCTCCCTCCCTCCTTTCCCTCCAGTGTGTTACAGACTACTACAATTCTTCGCTGAAGAGTAGGTTTGTGCGATTAAATGGCTCTCTCCTTCTCCAGGAAGATATCTTCAGAAGAAAACGCCTTCATCTCAGCGAACCTCCCCCTCTCCCACATCGGAGGCGCTAGTGAGGGGCCCAGGGAGCGGAAGGATGCCTTTCCAGAGGGTTTCAACCACCATGACATTCAATGCCGTTGGAACGCTGCCACGGGCATTTAAACGCCCTACTCTCCGACGGCGAAACCCGGAGCGAGCAGATTTAATGCCCCAGACTTCGCTTGCCCAATCTGGAGATGGGAGTCCATTTCTGTGTCCCCGTGATATCAGAGAAATAACCAGAAGCATCATCATTATCTTCTCCTCCCATCCAGGTCTCCATTGCACTGACCTCTCAGCTCGCCAGGCATTTATTCTTCCCCAAATAGTTCTGGATGAGCACGAACCGAGAAATGCTCTCCAAGTTCTTGATATTTTATACCTCCTGTTTATTCCCATCGATCACCCAAAAGGAGGAGATAGCGAATTACCTGAGATAAGGAGACGAGGAAGGGTTGCAAGGGTTTGAATGCTCGGGTGCGGGCGAAAGAATGAACAAATTGTCTCTAGGCTTTGTGGTCCTTCCAAAATTCGGCCGTGAAACGCATTATATTCTTGATATCCGTGAAGAAAATTTTCCTACAGAAGAAGAAGAAGAAGAATCCAAGCTCTCTTCTGCAAGCCATCAAGGAAATGCGGGAACAATATGAATGGTCAACGCAATCCCAGAACATCAACAGCTTAGGTTATAAAGCTCCGAGCCCTTTACATGTCTCCCAAAGTTGGAAGTAGAAAGAAAAGGAAAAAACTTAATAATCATCTCGTTTTCCTTCGTCCAACCCATCCACGCCCCAACCCATCGCTCCATCTCCTTCCGGAAGAAGATGAAGAAGAAGAACAGCAAACCTGGCATATTCTTCTTCCACTTCTTCTCCCTTCTCCTCCGTCCCCCTCTCCTCTTGGTCTCGACCCCCTTCGCCGCCGCCATCATCGTCCCCATCAACAGCGTTAACCTGCTGCAGACGGTGTTTCTCATCTGTTGTGCAAGGGATTTGGGCCGGTGGGCACGACCCGCTTGTCATCGTCCATGGTGGAGTTGGTCTTCTCGTCCTTTCCGACGGAGCTGCAGAAGGCAACCACCTTGGACTTGCAACGATGCTCGACGGAAACGACGACCGATGCGGTAACGGTTGAAGAACGCGGCTCTCTCGACGGTCGCCTCCTGTTCTGGTCTCCATGGATCTTTCTGGTGATCTCCCGCGCAAGTCCATGAGAACCCATGTCGGCCAGGATCAGAAAGAGGCTCAGCACCATGGCCAAACGCCGTAGCCGCCTCATCGCCGCCTTTCCTCGCCGATCCACGGGAAAAATATGAGGGTCGTGGGAGGATGATGGTAAGGTATACAAGAGATAGAAGCTGAAGCTTCTGTGTCAAATAAAGGAAGAGTCTTTTGTTGCCGGAGAGATGGAGGAGAGAGAACCGCGTGTCGAAAGGAAGGCGGCAATAACTAGGGCTCCTAAGATTTTACGGTTTTTTTAAAAAAACTTCTACGTCCATCTGTAATGGACTCCACCAAACCCCATTAATGGAGCTTCAATTCCCTTGCAGGCAAAGTGGAGAGAACGGGACTAAGAGAAGCACACAGAGAGGAAGGGGAAGCACAGAGAGAGGAAGAGAGAGAGAGAGAGGGAGAGGGGAATAGGGCAAGACGAAAAGAGTAAGATCGACAGACGGAGAGAGAGGGATGGAGATGAGCGAAGCAGACTGAGAGGGCAGTGGGATGAAAAAGGCCACGAAGACATCAAAAGTAGAGGGAGAGGAGATTCAGAAACGCAAGACATTCCACCTCATTCCATTCCATCTTACGGCGCTGCTGCCCCCTCCGACCGCACCAGCTACGTCTGCTCTCCAACTCCTCTCATGAAAAGCGCGTCCATAAACCCCACGGACCATCCCTGAACCCACCTATACCGGGCCTCCACGTGCGATAGCCCCTTTCAAAAGGCTTACTTCCGATGATCACATATTTTGTCTCGCGGCAATTTATTGCTGTAGAGACTCACAGCGGAAGAAGACGACCAGACACGGAGAGAGAGAAGACCAGGGCCTACTTCGTGCAGCGCGTCTACCGGTGACATCCCTATGGCAGAAGAGAGAAAGAAAGAGGGGGCCTGGGGAAGAGGGCGGGGAGTCCGTACGTGCCGGGATCACCAGAGACCAGAAGCGTGAGACAGGGGAGAGAGTACGTAGATAGAGAGTGATAGAGAGGAAGAGACTGGACTGCCCCTCCCGACTAAACCAGTGCAAGCGTTTCTTTTCTTTCTTTCTGCCTGCTTCTTCTGTTTCTCTCTCTAAAGTCTCCTACGCCGCTTGACCACCCAGACAAGCTTCGACAGTTAAAAAATCTTGTCTGGTCTTATCAACTAGGACCACCGTCTGATCTTCACCACTATTTCTCCGCGTCGGCGGAGTCTGTAGACGTACAACACTCAGAAAGACGGCCTCCCTGTCGCATGCAAGGTCAGCCCTAATGATCTCTCCCGAAGACTTCACTCCGTCAACCGTCGTCGAAGCTTTACTCGAAACCAACTCATTTTTCTTCATATCAAGCGTGGCAATCAATTTACCTTCCAATCCTGGGAAGTTCATCCGATTTGACTTCGGTGAGAATTCCAAGCATCGACCGTTGTTCGCGCCGGCAGGTCAGACGAGGTTGACTTCTTCGAGGGAATGCTCCGAACAAGGGGAGCCAAGAGGAGAGCTGTAATCATTCCCTCCTGCGTCTTCTAAGGTCTCAGTTGACTTCATGGTTCACCTGGTGCACGGAGGGGGGGGAAAAGGGAGAGGCGCTGCCGTCATTCTAGCCGAGGGTATTTTCCGATCACGGTGTCACTACTTTCCTTCCTCCACTCCGAACATTATCCCCGCCGCCTTCTTTCTTCCTTCTACGGCTTTCTCTCTCTTGGGGTCGGCTCTCCTCTGCAGAGGCTGGTCTCTTTCCTCCGTCCTGTTCTCTATCTCGCTTCGTGGCTCCCACGACAATAGATCTGAACTCCACCTACCTTGACTTGAGAGAGAGAGAGAGAGACGATTACCCAACAGGGGCACATCCTCTCTCTGGTTTCCGACATGCTAGTGCTATGATTGGAGCCGAAAGTTGAGAATTTGGCTTCTGGTCTCGAATCAGAGTTCCCATGGTTCAAACAGAGGTGAGCTACAAGGTTCTCTCTCTCTCGTACGGAAAGATTTAGCATCAAGCAAAGGATCTCTAAGAGAGAGAGAGAAAGTAGTGAGAGCAAAGGCCTAGTGGGCCCCACCCCCTCTCTTCGCCCTCCTACCATTCAAATGGGCGGCGGGCGAAGCAGGAGTTGATGGCCCGGCCCCCTCACTTCAATGACGGGGCTTGCTAGGGTCTGATGGGTCCCACCGACATCACTCGGATAAACCCCAAGACCTGACGTGGCCAAATGTATAAGGTAGGTTCCCTTTACACGGTTTTGAATGCCCGGCCCCGCCTCGGCGACTGCGTGTGGGCCCCATTTTCCATGGACTCGGGCCTCAATCATGATCCCAAAAAAAAAGTAAGGCCCACAGTAGCCCAGTCATTGTAGTGAGGGCCCACTCCCTGTCTGGGCTCGCTCGTTCTGGGTTTTAAATGGTCTCGCTCTCTCTTTCTCTCTCTCTCTCTCTCTCTCTCTCTCTCTCTCTCTCTCAGTGGGCCGGACTAACCAGGCAAGATCCGTCGAGCCCAGCATAGGCTTCTTGGACTCCCCCGAGCCCGGCCCGGCAGTCCTGCAAATACTGCCTATGGACTCTTTAAGAAAGTGACAAATGACTTCATCTCCCCCGCCACCAAGACACGCTCTCTCTCTCTCTCTCGCTCGCTAGATATAAAGAGATACATGGAGGAAGGGAGGAAGGGCGGAGGTCAGAGAGGGCAAGGCTACTCAGCGGCGTTAAGAGCGGAATGGAGGACGTCCTCAAGGTACTTCTCAGCAGCGGCGTACTGCCTCTTCTTCTCTTCAATGGCCAGAGCGGCGAGGGCCTTATCCTGCAAGAAGAGCAAGGAGACAAGGGAGCATCACACCCGATCTACTTACTTTAACGGAGGCAGAGGACCACACTCTTCCACGGAAATTCGAATGAGGGTGGGTGAGCGAGTGGGCGGTTACCGGAGGGAGATCCTGGTAGCTTCTCAGGGTTTCCAGAATGGGCTTGGTCTTCTTCTCCAGATCCTTCTTCTGCTCCGCCATCTCCATCAGCACACCGTGGTTGATGTCTGAGCTATACCCCACGCGCTTCAGCACGGCCTGCGCGGCGAGAGAGAGAGAGAGAGGCCATTTAAAAGCCCAGATCGAGCACCTGCACTGTGGAGCTAAGAAATTGGCAAAGACATGCAATGATTTATGATCCTCAAAGCTCCGAAATATTGGGAGGGGGAGGCGGGTGATGATAGTAGTTGGCCTGCACTGTGGGGCTGTGGGGGGGGGGGGCACAGTTTTGCAAGCCCAGTCTTGTGCATGGTTGAGTTGAAAGACAAGGCCAGTCAGTAGGCATATGCGATCAATCTGGGGCGACAACATGCGACACATCAGGTTTGAGTGCGAGTGGATTCACCAGATATCCCCACTATTAGTAGGTATGGGTGGGTTTATCTCATCAGGTACATGCCGTTCCAGAATTCTATGATCTTCACAGGTCAACCCTCATTCTACTGTGCATGGATTTTCCTAGAACAGTCTCGTCTCATGCGCGTGCATCCCAAGGATCGGCACAGGAGCACCACATCAGCACCTGTGAGATTCAAAGAATGAAGAGAATGTATGATAGTGCCCATTCTTTAGATGGCCACAACCCAGGCTGAATATTTTCAAACACTCGGCGCCATCTGAAAGCGCGGCATGAGGGATGGAGAGAAACCGGCCATGAACCTGATGCAGTTGAAATGTTTAATAGCAGAAAGAGCCCAGAAAGGTGCGATCAAGCCCTATCAGAAGAGTTACGCCGGTTCCATGCGAGGATTCATGGGTAAAAGATCATATTTTCAGAGGGCGAGATCAACTATTTCAGAGGTAGCCCCTTCGACTAATCAGAAAGTATAAGCAGCAATATTCCTCAATGATGTTGAAAAAACGTCCGTGGGCAATTCTAGCGGGCCGGCCATATAAGTCATCCCTTGTCGCATGCAAAATGAGGGTTTGATGGAGACTCGTTGGAAATAAGGAGATAGAAAGAAAACATATGTGTATAAACAAAGGAAGCACGTACCTCATAATTACAATTTTGCGTTTTATATTGCCTTTCTTTTGAGTCCATAATAGCCAAGTTTGTCTGCCATTGATCCATTTGAGCTTCTTGAGTGGCAACTTCGTTTTCGAACTTAAGCAGAGTCCTATAAAAGGAAACCGACCATATCATAAAAGTTTTTCAAAAATGACTTTCAGAAATTATTATACGCGTGTAAAGTTTTATGAAAAAAAAAAAATTCCAGAGAGGAACAGTTCATCATAAAGAAGTATGTAAAGTTTTATGAAAAAAAATAAAATCCAGAAACGAACAGTTCATCATAAAGAAGTAAAGAAACCCCAGTGCTATCAAGAAAATGAAGCCACCAAACTGACCCTGAGTGGCATGCAATATCACACCCTTTCCCAGTAGAAATGATATAGGATTTACATCACGAAAAAGATAATGGAATTATACTCTGACTCAGCGACCCATTTATCATATTTCGACTCAACAAAAAGCAAAGACCAGCTCATATCGTACGCTCTCTCTTTGTCTATGCGGAGCTGATTACGCTACGATTTCACCTGCGCATGCGTTGGTATGGCAACTGTCCTCCGCAATTGCAAATTGAGTGAATGCAAAGCTTTTGTGTGGAATGCAATCTAAGAGAAGAGTTGCGTCCAGTACTTCTTCAATTCGTTGAGCTTCGTGATGGCCTTCCTCGTGTATCCCAGGAGCACTTTGGATTCCTTCTGTATCTTCACCCTCTTTTCCTCCACCTCGTCCCTCCGCAGCGACAAATCCCCCATCGCCAACACAAAACTGGCATCCACGATTGCACAAGTACCAACACAAATTCAAAATTGAATCAAAGAAGGACCCAGGCAACTAGGGGATAACAGAGCTCCAAACCTGCTCATCTCCGTGTCCCTGATGTTCAGTAAGTTCGCCACGCTTGCGATCACCTGCGCGGACTCGATCGCATCCGCCGACAATCTCTCCTGCGCCAACCCCACGCTCTCCAGGATCTCCCTTAACCTAACGGCTGCACTCAAGCATTAGCGATAAAATGCATAAACACGAAGAAATTTCGCAAGAAAAGGAACAGCGATAGAAGAATAAGACGAAGAAAGGTTTCATCGTCAGATTTGGTGACGGACCTTGCGATCGGTACTCGGAGGCCTTCTGGCGGAGGTCAGACGCGACGATAGACGCCGCGCGGGTGCGGGCCTGCGAGAGGGACGCAATGGCGTGGAGATGCGCCACGCTGCGGGGAGTGTACTCGAGGTCGGGAACCTCCCGGCCCACCGCCTCGAACTGCGCCATCAGCCACGACTTCACCTCCGAAATCCGAGCCGCATTCGTCCCTCCGCCGCCGCCGATCTTCCCCGTCCCGCCGCCGCTCACCCCCGCCGCCGGTAGGGGCGTCTCGACGGCGGCCAGCAGGTCCCCCATGCTCTCCATCGCAGGGAGGGAAGAAAGCCAGAGAAACTCAAATGTCACCCAGCCCAGATCCAACTGACCAAACCATAGAGTACTGGTTCCCGGGCCGGATTCCAAAAATGGGCCCCCCATACACGCTTTCTAATGGGGCCATAATTATTACCGGCCCAAAACTCCCTCCGTCTCCGACGCCGCCGGCCTTCCTCCTTACTACACGTGCCCTTGGAGGCGGCGGTGATCCGGCCGCCACGGCCACCCTCTCCGACAACCAGCCTTGGTTGAAGAAACACAGAAGACACAGAGAGAGAGAGAGAGAGACGAAGAAGAAGAGGAAGAAGAGGTTAGAAACCAGAGGGATGAGGACGTTACCGCCGTCCCTCCTGCGGCACCTCTCGAGGGGGGTGAGGAGGGCGCTGCTGGTCGGGGAGGACGCCGTCGACGTGCCGAGATGGGCCATCTCCGCCACCCCCTACGGCGGCGCCATCGTCAGCGTCTCCGCCGCGGTTGTATCCGTCAACCTGCTCGTCGTCTTGTTCGTCGTCCTCCGGCGGTGCGGCGCCGACACCGGCGAAGTACGCCGCCCCAGCGAAGCGGCTCCCCTCTCCGGAGAGAGGATCCGGGGTTCAGTTCCGGCCGCGGAGCAACGGAGGTACGGCGAGAGCGGCGGGCTGCAATGCGCCGTCTGCCTGTGCCGGCTCCGGCAGCCGGAGGCGCTCCGTCTGCTGTCCGGGTGCGGGCACATATTCCACGTGGAATGCGCCGACCGGTGGCTGGAAGGCCGCTCCAGCTGTCCTCTCTGCCGCCACGAGGTCCACCGGGAGGGCGTCCACCTGGCTGTGCTCTGTCAAGGCCTCCTCACCAGGGTGGAACCCCCTCCGCCCGACGTGGATGCCACGGGGATCCTCCCTGGTAATGTGGGTCCCACAACGCTTCCCATCACCCACCCGTCCAACTCGGAGCCGAACCAGGCTGAGTCGGCCGGGGCGGCGGGCCGACTCGGCGACCGGTTGGACGAGCAACTCCTCTCGGACCAGACACTCCTCGCCCGCGCCGGCGCTTTATCTTACGCCATAGCCGCCACGGAGATCCGAGCAGAATAGTTAAGGGGGGGAGGGGGGCGGGGGGGGTTGGTTTCTTCATTTTCTTCTCGACTTGATTTCATCATTCAAAAATTAAGAACATTAATGAGATCGAAATATTCCTGATCAAACATTTTAAAATTAACAAATTAATGGGATATTTTATCAGATTGTCGCCGCAGCTGCTTTGATTCTGGATGAATAAGCACCACCACCATCTCACTATTGAAGATCCTGCAATCACTCTCTCAACGCGACCTCAGTTCGGCAAGTGTTCAATCCTACGGAGGAACCAAGTCTAACTAACTGATTTCGCAGCGAATCAGATCTACAGCGAGCTTTACCAACTCCCTCTTGCGGAAAAGGTGCGATCTAAAACTAGAATCGTTTAGAAAACGAGAAAAGAATCGCTCGGCAGATGAACATAAACTGCGACGGATGAATGGAAGAATGAAAGTTCTTCTGAAATCGGTGGCGTCAAGAGCTGGATGGCGAGATCAGATAATTGTAGTCTGATTTGTATGAGCGACATGTAGACATTCCGCTACTGATTATCATCACCTCCCAAAGCGAGGAAAAAAATTGAGAAAAAACGAAGGTGAGAACGGAAAAATGTCGTGAGAGGCTCAGAAGGATCCATTGGTAAGTTTTGCAGTCAGAGAAGGGATAAACCGCCTCTCAGAAAATAGGTAGTTCCAAGCATCACAGCCTTTCCAGGGAAAACAAATAGAAATAACAGGAGACAGAAGGAGAATAGGGATCTGGATCTGGTGTCGCTGCATCAAATTTGGAGAGCACCGTAAGTAGGCGGATCACCCCAATCGTGAGAGCAGAAGGCGTTCCCCGCCTTGATCTAGGCCGTATGCAAAAGGTAGCCTGGTAGTTTTAGAAACGAGGCTCCCGTCGTCTGAATCAGGGCCAACACCAGATCAACAGAAGAATTCAATCCCAATCATTAACGACATTACCATAGAACGAATAAGCTGGACGACAAAGCGGGGGATGGAGGGGAGGAGGAAACTGATGTAGCCAGATTTTATGGGAAGAAACCAGAAGATAAAGACCGAAACGTAGATTTCAGCCGCCGATTCCAAGCAACCTTTATCTGACGATAGATCTGGGCTCCTTGCGGCAGACGGACGCCACTGTGGACACACGACGCCCGGCGCCTGCTGCTGACTCTGTGAAGGAGCCTTCGAGGCTGCCTCGTCCTCCCCTCTGAATGGAACTCCCACGCGTGGATTAGACGAGAAAAAACAACGACGAACAGCGAAGAATGATCACAGTGAGCAATCGTGCCGCACTCCTGCGCTACGATGATGATACTCGTAGAGAGTCGGAGAGGTAAAAGAATCGATCGGAGAAGGCGAAGCCAAGAGGAAGGGGATGGGGAACCAGGGTTTTCCTTCTACCGCGCCGGCAACAAGTGATGATGAACACAAGTAGGGTTTGCCCTCCTCGTTTTATAGGCGAACCGAGCCACAGACCCGACTGGATACAGCCGCAAGCGCCACTTGATGGGCTTTTACCGGATGGGCCGTAACACTTAGTGGGCCGCGATGTCTTCCTCCACAATGGGCAAGCGTGTTGAGCGGGAATGGGCCCACGATGAGGACGTAAACGTGGAGACGGCGAACCACGAAGGCCCGATACGTCCTCCTAAATGGTTAATCAAAATTAAAATTATTTATATATTTATAAAAATAGTTTTTATATATTTATAAAAAGTAGCCCTCGCTTTGGCCGACAACCATACGAAGATATTCAAAGACTCGGAATATAAAAATAAACAGGAAAATCTGATGAGATCCAATGAGGACAGCCTCGCTGCCACGTGTCGGCATCTGACGTTACCGATGCCTCCTCGGGGGCCAAGAATAAACTAAATAAATAAAAAGTGTCACCGAAGATAAATGCGTGCCCACGTGGAAATGGGCCGGGCCCAAGTCGGGCTGGGCCGGTGACACGTCAGCAGCTCCGGCCTCTCAAAAGAACGCTTTTTTAGGAAGACTGTCTGCACTGCCGGAGTTTGATAAAATGGTGCTCTCCGCGTCAACGGATGCGACCCCCTCAACTACTAGTGATGGAAGAAGAGGAGGAGGGGTGGCGCCCGTGCGGCAAGACGGCGACTGGCGATTCTCCGCCACGGCGCCACGTCGTCGAGCGGGCGCCGTGGGCTCACACGCGGCCGTTGCGGCGTCGCCGTCGCCGATTTTTATCGGCCTCGCGAGCGCCGACTCGTGCGACCGGCGATTGCTGCATTCCACAGCGATCTCCGGCAGGGGACGATCGGCGAGATTAAGAAATCCCTCCGCGGGGATAAGGCCGGATCGGTCGGTTGGCGGCGGGTCGACCAGGCAACCACCGCCGCGCGGCGAGCCCTCTTTGTACGTATGTGACCGCTCCCCTGCTGGTGGTCAAAGCTCCGGGGCAGAGAAGAGAGAGAGAGAGAGACAGAGAGAGAAGAGAGAGAGGCTTTTTCTGTGTGGGGGAGTAAATATATACGACGGGGGGGCTGGTGGGTCATACTCTACTGCTCTTCTCCTTCTCCTCTCCAACTGTTGTTCACCGGGAGGAGGGGAGATGGGGGTGGCGTGGGAGAGGAAGGGGGCGGCGACGGCGGCTGCGGCGCAGATTGGAGTGATGGGGAGGAAGAAGAAGACGGTCCGGGTGATCGACTGGTGGGAGAAGGTGACGCTCCCCGTCAAACGGGCCTGGGTCTTCGTCACCTCCCGCGTCGAGGCTCGCCGGAAGTCCAGTGAGTCCTCCGTCCCCCTCCTCCGCGTTTGGGCCCCTTTCTTTGAGACATCATCCCGGGTTTTCTTCTTCCGCGGTCGGCGCCATGAAAGCCTCCTCCTCTAACTCTCTCTGTATCTCTCTCTCCCTCTTTTTATGTGTTGCAGTGGCGGGGATAATGAAGCTCCACAACGACGTGCAGATGTGCGGCTACGAGGACGTGCAGGTGATGTGGGAGATGCTGCGGTCGGAGATGGAGCTCTCCGCTCACGCGGCCAGGCGCCGGCGGCCCTTCTGGAGGGTCATCGTCTGGTCCGGCCCGGCGGTGCCGCCCGATCGCCGGCGGCAACCCTCCCCTATCCCTCACTGACTGATGGAGAGGAGGAGAGCTTGTGGAAGAGATAAGGAGAGAGAGCGGAGGGCCACCAGCTCGTTTTCCCCTTCCCCTTTCCTCTTCCACCTCCGCTCCTCCCCTGGCGAGACTTTCCATCTTCTCCCTGTGTATGCACGATCCAAACAATATGGAATATGAAGTATACTTCTCTCGCTCGCTCTCTCTCTCTCGCTCTCGCTCTCTCTCTCTCTCTCTCTCTCTCTCTCTCTCTCTCTCTCTCTCTCTCTCTCTCTCTCTCTCTCTCTCTCTCTCGCTCTCTCTCTCTCTCTCGTTCTCTCTCCCTCGCTCTCTCTCGCGCTCTCTCTCTCCCCGCTTAGTTGGGCCTCTGGGGTCACTTGCCCACAGGACAAAACGGCCCAGGGACGCCTAAACTGGGCCGGCGAACAGAAGAAATCCTTCGACAGGCCATACGTTTGGGCCTCACTTTACTACAATGGGCCTGCCCAATATCTCCATAATCCATAAAGCCCCGGCGCGAACACGTCAACAAAGCAGGACGTCACAGCCATATAAAAAAATTCCCGCGGCTCCTAGAAGGACATGTCACCCACGGACAAGTTCCGACGTGGACTCCCCGCTGGCACCGTTCAACAAGCGCGCCGATTCAGAATTATAAAAATAAAAAATGCCTAAACCCGTTTATTATTATTATTTATTATTAGGCTTAAACCAGGACGACCGTTGACGACGATCGGGCCACGTCATCGCTATATCCACCATGTTTTATTTAAAATATTAAATATTGCTCGGTCCACCAACTGCAACGACCACAAGCGCCGGGCCCCACATTTAAATAATTTATTCTGTTTATTTTAAATAAAAATCATTGATTTGACAGCGGCGTGATGAACGAACGGTTGGATTTACGTCGAGCAGTCGAGGGCCGAATATTTCTGGAGATTTCAGGCAACGACAACATTCTTCCAGGACAAAGTCACACGTGACGGAATAGGGGATCGAAGCCGTGCCGCCATCTGGCCGGGGGCCCGGCGCCGCCGCCGATCCGACCTGGCCAACCGGTCTCAAAACTATACGACTCGGTCGGCGGCGCGGCACGAGAGACAAGCCGACATTCCCACGGCTCCTCTCCCCGCCGTCGGTCTTTGACCCGTCAAGGACGCCTGTCCGTCCATCTCATCCAGCTAGGGAGGCTGGGGCCGGCGAACCATTGGGTCCACTGTACCCATGGGGGCCGTCATATGATCTGTAACGAACGGCGATCATAGGATCTATCTGTCAATCGGGGCCGCGGATCTAGCGGTCGAGATTGATCCGATTAGCAGTTGAGTTGACCTGTGTGGGAATCTGAGCCGACGCGACCGACGATGCTTGCGGTTGACCCAATTCGCCTGACCCTTGAGAAAATCGTGCTATCAAAAAATAAATGAGGGAATTCCCAGGCTCGATATATACACGCAAAATAACCACATAACGAGGGGATATATTTATTTATTATATATATAATATTTCATTTCCCTGAAATTTTAAAAATGGCTGGTCAGGGTGGAGGAGGAAGATCAGACACCGACGACGGCCACGCGCACGGCGGCGAGTCGAGGAGGGTTCGTCAGCGGGCGGGGCCAAATCAGCGCCCGGCTCCTCGGAACGGTGGAGGGCAAGCAGCCACGCCTCGGAGCTCCCCTCGGTTGCGTAGATTAATTTATTCAATCGGCCATTAATATCTGCTCCGACAGGGCTCTTCGGGTTCACGCCATGGGTAGTAGACCTTCTCCCCGCGAGCTGCCGTAGCGTGCAGGCTTCTCTCTGGTTTTAGGTATTCTCTCTGGAGGAAGAACCCAGCATGAAGGAATTCCCTCCGCCGATTCAGCCCTCTCTCTCTCAATCTCTCTCAATCTTTCTGTGGCTAGATTAGTTCTCCTGCTCATGGAATGAGTGGGGAGAGAAGGAAATAGCTGGATTAGGGCTCTCTTCTTAGTCCCCCGTAATCCGAATCAGAGATTGAACGGCGGCGGGGACTGTCAATCCGGAGGATCCTCTGCGGACGGAGGATCGGATAAAAAGCGAGGGCTCGGCGGAAGAGGACAGAGAAGTAGGAAGAGAACGATTGAGCGAATTCTCCAGCCGCCGCCTGTTCAGCCGGGGGTCCCCACACAGGGTTCCCTCCTGTTTCCCCCTCGCAAACCCGTGTTCTGGCTGGCCATCCCGTGAAGAAGGGGAAGAGGAAGAAGAAGAAGAAGGCAGATCTCCTCTTCAGCCCGAACTCCCCCTCTCCCCTCAATCATCCGGCGATCACCCGCTTCTTTCTCAACAGGTACCCGTTCTCTCTCTCTCTCTCTCTCTCTCTCTCTCTCTCGCTGTGATTCTCAACCAGGAAGGAGTCGCTTTGGTTCGCCCCCTCTTTCTGTGAATTCCCGACGGTGATCTGGGCTCTCAACGGCGCGGCTGGTCCGCCGATCGCGGCCGATTGGGAGAGGGTTTGACTCGAGCCCCGGCCAAATTAGGACTCCGCCCCTCAACCCCGGAGAATTCGCCACGCAGCTCTCTCTCTCGCTCTATCGCTCTCTCTGTCGCTCTCTCTCTCTCTCTCCCCCTTCTTATCCTCCTCTTCACACGGATAACCCTCTCCTCCCCCTCCCTCGTGTAGAAATCTTCTGCAATTCGCGATTCGAGAAGGGGCTCTCTTTTCCCAGATTATCTCCTCGCCCTGGAGCCAAAGACTGTGTCGAATCTCTGACGTGAGTTCGTCAAATCTTCTTCCCCTTCTTCTTCTTCTTCTGCCTGTTGATTCGTTCTCCAGCTGTCCTGGAGGAGCCCCCCCGGCATGGAGGGGTGATTGGGCACTCCGTATTCATCAAATCTAAACCCCAGACAGAATCTCAAAAGGACTCTACAATAATCTTTCACACATGCTTTTGATCATTCGAAAACCTTCGATTGATTCTCCATGTGATCCTCTCGTGTTCATAAAAGTTGAAAACTCTGAGAATCCCTTTCAGGAACACAGAGGCGACCATCTTGCGAGGCTCCCATGGATGAGTGCCCCACCAAGAGGGTCGCAGGGGGAGCAGAGCGTGGACTCAGGAGGGGCTCCACCCTCCCTCTGAGGGAGAATCACGGCGACCGGAGCTCCCAATCCTGCGTTCGCCGGGGATGCGGCGGCGGCAGCAGCAGCAGAGAGAACTCCATCGGACCTTCCCGGAGCGGCAACCCGGAGAAGCTCAAGCTTTCGAAGCCGGCTTTCCTCTCCACCAGCAGCAGAATGATGGCCTCCGGCTCCTCGAGCAGCGCCGTCCCCGAGAGCCGCATCAGACGGCGGCAGCCGGAGGAGCCCTCGACAGCGATTTCGAGAACCCAGGCGGCGGGGAGCTGGAGAGCTCGACCAGGGCCGCCGGGAAAGCAGGCCGCTCCGGCGAGTCCATCTTCGCAGAAGCATTCTGCGGCGGCCAGGAACGCCCCTTGCCCCCTCAAGAGAGACGGCAACGCCTTAAATGGAGGAGGTCCGGCTTCGGAGAGGAGCTCTCGGAAGGGCCCGTCGCCCCAACCAGTCTCGCGCAGGCCCAGAAGCCAGCTCCCCGGCGGCGCCTCCGTCTCCGCCGGCAGCGCCGCCCGGAGAATCAGCAGCAGCAGCAGCAGCAGGCTGAGGCTGTCGGAGAACCCCAGCTCTGATTCCTTCTCACAGCCGCAGCTGAGGGCTCCGCGGCCGTCTCGGGCCCAGTTCTCTCTCTACGACGACGCCAGCTCGAGCTCCTCGCAGCCCCTCCCTTCGGATCGCGCCCCTACTTACGGGAGCTATCCTTCCCCTTCTTTTTCTTCTTCTTCTTCCTCTTCTTCCTCCTCCTCTTCTTCTCGATCTGCGCCGACCAGCAGCACCAGGGCGCCTCGCGGTAGACCAGCAGCATTGTCTGAACCCAGCAGATTCAGAGTTTTCCCCCTCTCGTGGGAAGGAACAGAGCTCTACGGCCACCGCATCAACATGGAAGGAATAGCAGAGGTTCTCTCTCTCTCTCTCTCTCTCTCTCTCTCTCTCTCTCTCTCTCTCTCTCTAACCCGATCTTCCTTCAACACCGCTTTTAACAGTTCATTATTTGAGAAATAAACTATTGTTTTTTCCAATGCCCCAGATGTTGCTGGCCCTGGAGAGGATCGAGCAGGACGAGGAATTGACTTACGAGGTTCGCTCTATCTCCATTTTTGGAAAAGCCTCCTCTTTTATCCGCATCCTTCACCCGTTGACTCTGGAGATCCTCCCACGATCAACAGCAGCTGATGGCTCTCGAGGCAAACCTGCTCTTGGCCGGCGTCAGCTTCCGGGACCAGCATCGAGAGCTGAGGCTTGACATCGACGACATGTCCTACGAGGTTCTCAAACGATCGATCCGCACACATCCATTCATCCATCGATCGAATAAAAATAGGCTTTTTACACTTCAGAAAATTAAAAATAAATAAAATCGGAGGGATTATTCAAGAGCTTGGGATCTTCTTCGTGAAACAGGAGCTGCTGGCTCTCGAGGAGGAGATGGGCACCGTCAGCACAGCGCTGACCGAGGAAGCGCTGGCGAGGTGCCTCCAGAGGAGCATCTACGGGCTTCCATCGACCTCCGACGCCTCATGCGGCGGCGGCGACGACGTGAAATGTAGCGTCTGCCAGGTATCTTTCAACCCTTGGTCAACCGTCCTCTTCCGGTGGTCAGCTCACGCCCACTGGATGACCGCCGCCACACATCCCTGCCTACATTTCTCTCCCCTAGATTGGGCCCGCATCGGATTTATCTCGTGATATCATCCATTGATTTTCGCTCCGGCTAGCTCTTCGAACATAGAAAGACGCAGTTTTATTGGCGAAAGACAGTGGATGGAGTTGACTTTTGAGAGGTCAACTCGCCCAACTGGATGACCGCCGGAGCGCGTCCCCAAATCTCTTTCCGATAGTCCGAAGTAGTCCCACATCGCAAGTCACGGTGTTGGACATGTGGGAATACCCCTCCACATATATGGCCATTTGATTATGTTGCGGGTTTCCAGAATCACCATACGTTTCTTTGGAAGAACACAGTTTGACCCGGCCAACCTTCCAAAAGTCAACCGGTTTTTATGACATTGGTACTAAATTCTCTACGCGTCTGAGAATATGTCCCACGTTGGGATTATCCGGTCCGATCGTGTGTTAAATACTTTTGGTTATATCAACGGGTTGACTTCGTCGCTGGATTTCAGAAATAAGACCAGCTGGCGTTTCAGGTGATCTCACAATCATTGACCCTGGTGTCTCCGTTGCCTTGGTTGACTTCAGGAAGAGTACCTCGCGGGTGATGAAATCGGCAAGCTTCACTGCGGTCACTTCTACCACGTGGGCTGCGTCCATCAGTGGCTCCGGCAGAAGAATTGGTGCCCAATCTGCAAGTCTTCCGCGTGCCCTTCCTGATAGAGAGAGAAAGAAAGAGAGAGAGAGAGAGAGAGAGCTGGCCCTCCTTGTAAATAGCACACTGCCTGTAAATAACAACACAGAGTCGTGGTCGTCGTCGTGGTCGTCGTCGTCGTCGTGGTCGTCGTTCACAGAGAGTCATTAAAACAGTTGCAGGTTCATCGGTTGGCAGAAGAACAGCTCAAGAACCATACCTTGTCTTGGAACATTCATTCAAAGTATATATATATATATAGATAAATACAGAATTTCTGTTGTTTTTCCCGTGGGGAACCCTAACCCTAACCCTAACGCAGAGTTTCTCGATCCAACGGCTGAGGAAGTCGATTTTGTTTATCTTTTCAGATTGTTTTTTTGAGATTGATATAATTTACGAGGACTTGGAATCAAAATAGTCTTTTTTTCCAAATTTTCCAAATAAATAATAAGATATAATACTGAGCAAAAATGTTGAATATTCTTTATGAAAAAATGATGAATAAAACACGAATTAATGATCTACCACTCACAGGAGATAATATTCACTCTCGTAAATATAGGCGTTAATAATTAATTATTTTTATTTCTAAGAATAATATTCCGGGAAATTATACAGCAGGAAAAATATCTTATATTATTATTGTCTCTGATAAAAATATGGTTTTGAGCGTTGCGACGGATCGAGAGAGACGAAATAAATATTTTTGTTTGACTTTATTATTTGTTTGTCTTGCGGTGGAAAAAAGATCTCGCCCTGCGGCGCCCAGCCTCTTCCAGCCTCTCGTTTACTGAATCGTGGAAGCGTCTCCTCCTCAACGCCGGCCCTCAAAAATCTACACTACGGTGGGGTATTCTTGACCCCAAGGAAGAGAGAAAGCGAGAGAGAGAGAGAGAGAGTGCGAGCGCCATGGCCCTGGCCTTCTCCCAGCAGAGCTTCCTGACCAGCATCCCCCTCGGCTGCGCCCAGCCGCGGCGCAGGGTGCTAAAGCCGCCGCCGCTGTTCGGCTGCCGGGCGACCATGGAGAAGGACGCCGATCACCCAAGGTATGGTTTTCTCTCCCTCCCCCCACCTCCGACGCGGCCTCCGTTCTTCTTCTGGTCCGGTAATGGCTTACCCTGGTCTAATGCTGTGACGCACCACCAGAGCATTCAAGCTGCGGCTGGCGAAGCTGGCCCTCGTCGCCGCCGCCGCCGGCATCCTGACTCTCAGCTCCGTCGGCGACGCCGCCGCCGCCAAATCCGGAGGCAGAATTGGGGGGCAGGCCTTCCGCCCGTCGGCGCCCCGTTCCTCCGGCCCCAGGATCAACAATTCAAGGTGGAACGCCGCCGCCCTCAATCTCATGCTTTCATTGAGCCAGCGATTTCTCCGGCGACTGTGGGATTGAGCCGATTGCATCTTGTGTAGGACCAACATCTACGTCAACCCGCCGGTGGCGCCGCCGCTCATCGGAAGGTACGGCTACGGCTCGCCGTACTACGGCGGGTGGGGCTGGTCGCCGTTCACCTTCTTCTCGCCCGGGCCGAGCGTCGCCATCGGGGTCGGAGGAGGGTTTGACTTTTTTGTTACGTTCCTGGTTCTGGGGGCCGTCGCTACCGTCTTTAGGAACTTCACCCGGCGGCGCAGAGACGACGAGGACGACGACTTCTAGCGCCGCCGCCATCGTCATCCTCTCCTAATTTTGCAGTAAAGGCGCCGTCCCACCCCCCTGGAGAGGTACTGTAAATTAGCGTTGACCCTCGCCTCCCCCAGCTCGCAGTTGTCGCCGGGGATTTCCGCCGCCCATCTTCTGTTCTTGGACACCGCTGGCGCAGCCTTTTACGGGTATCCTTCGCCTTCGATGGGCGCTGTTGGGCCGCCTCCATCAGCCTCTTCTGGCCCCAATGGGCCCAATGAGAACCAGCAAGGTCAAAGAGCGTTGACGACACGGAGAGAGACGAAACCGACTATTACGGATTGACCAAACAATCGTGTGAGGAAATATAACGTAACGGTAGAAAAATCGTGAAACGGGTGGGTAGACAACGCTTAGGGAGGCCCGCGGGTACAGCAGACCGCGCCCCAGGGGGGCGGCTGTGTTGAGGAAGGCTCTTTTATTGGCCGCTTTTCCTATGTTCCTGGATAATATATATTCCCATCGTACATTAAAGCTGTGCGGTACGATGCACCCGCGGAACCCCAGGAAACCGCGGGGAACGCAGCGGATTTTGTGCACCGGGTTGCTCCACGGGTGCGGTGCTCCGTCGGCCCGGCGGTGCATCATACACACACCGCGGGCGTGCTCGTCGTCTCCGACACTTTCCGTAGGCCTGCGGTGCCTGAAAGGCCGCCCTTCTCCTCTCCTCCCCAATGTCAGAGGCTCGGCAAGCCCCACATGATTTTGATGTTCCGTACCGCAGGCCATCGACATCCAACTGCTCCGTTTCTCTCTCTCTATCGCTCTACCTATCTCTCTCTCTATCAGTTCATTGAATGCAACATCTTTCGTTCCGTGGGCTTTCCTGGTGAGGGCAAGGAAGGCTCTGTTATCTCATGCAGAGAGGAGACCGATGAGAAGGGAAGAACAAGGATGGGGGGGGGGGAAGAAACCACTTCAAAACCAAGGAGAAGCCGCCGCCATTAGGAGGCACTGGAACAGTTCAAGCCCCCACCATTATTGCCGGCGATGTGATAACGAGGAAAGAGGAAAGTAGATGTGAGCAGTCTCCGGCGGCGGCCGTGTGAGCGTGGGAGGAGGGGAGGGTTCAGATGAAGTCCACCTCGAGCAGTCCCTGGCCGAGCTGGAGAAGGTTCGTCTCGGCGAGCGTTGAGACGGACTGAGAGGCCTCCGTGGGCGTGTTGCAGAAGAGAGCCGGCGAATGGAGGAAGAGGCTGGAGGAGGAAGAAGATGAGGGCTGACTGCCGCTGGTGTTGTTGTTGTCATCTGAGACAAAGACCCAGGAGGGCATCTGAGGGGAATAGTGGGAGAGGAAGCCGAAGCCGGAGCCTTTCTCCGATACTGCCGCAGCGCTGCCGCCTCCTCCGAGAGAGAGAGACGGACCGTTCCACAAATGGGCTGCCGTCTTGTGGTTATCTAAGCTTGCGTTATTCTGACTGATGCCGGAGATCGTACTGGCGCTGGTCGCAGGTCGGGGAATAAGGTGCTTAGCTGCCGCCGCTGCCCACACAGAAGTCCGAGAAGAGCCCGTTTAGCGAGAGAGAGCGAAAGAAAAACTAGGAAATTGTTGCACTTAAGAGAGAGAGAGAGAGAGAGAGAGAGAGAGAGAGAGGAAATATAGAAAGACTGAAAAAATTGTAGAACATGCGTCGGCGAGAGAGGACTAAATCAAGAGAGACGTTGAGGAGACGGGAAGGCACGGAAAGATGAAACCTTGACAACGCATAGCAACAGGAGAGAGAAACCCACCGTCGTTCCTCGTCGGGTTACTGGAGGGAAGCCTGCTCCTGTCCATGGAGCTGACGGAGCTGTCCGTCGGGTTGGATCGATCGCTTCCTGCTGTAGACATCGTCGGAGAAGACTGCGACTTCCTTCTCCGGCGGTTGTGCTCGGCCAGGCGCTTCCTACAGCTCCGCTTGGCCTCGTCGAACTCCGACAGCGGGTGAAATCTGACAAACAAGACGCCGACGACCGTGAGATAGTGAGGAAAGGCCGCGGTTCTCTCCATTTTCATTAACCCATAATCAAGAGAGGGCAGAAAGGAAGACGGAGAGAGAGGGAGAAGGAGAGCAGAGAAGAAAGAAGAGAGAGAAGAAAAAGAGAGTTGTCGGGGGACAGTGCAACAGAGACAATGTATGAACGGCAGTGGCAGTTACACCATCGTTCAGAAGGATCCAAAAAGCGACAGCAGAAACCAATATCAAAGAGGAAATCAATGGCAGTGTTATCATCTACATTGGGCGAGAAGATATATTTGCAGGGTCGATTCAAGCCCTTCCGGCTTCACTGCGGCGGTGAGAGATTGAGCCGTGAAACCAGAATGCTTAACCACAGGCCAACGGGGTCAATTCAAATTTCCTCCAAACGCCGTCATCCGAGGAGAAATCGAGGGAGATGGGAGGGGACTCTCTAACCCTAAACAGCTTGCGGACCAGAGACATCGACCTCACATCCTTGGAAGCAGTGGAGCCTCTCAAGAAATGAAACACACCCCAGTTCAAGATACGCTCCTCCTCAGCGACCCAAGTCCATTCCCGAATATCTACCACGCCCATTATCAAAGAGGCAGATGAAATCAACCTCAGAGAGAAAACGAGGATCCTTTCTCTGAAGAAAGGCCCGGAAGTGAGCTCTCTGAAGAGGAAGAAATTGACGAAGAAGAGGAAAGCATGTGTGGGTCGCGCTTCAAACGGCGATCTCTGTTATCAAGTTTTTTTTTTTTTTACTCGGAAAGAGAGAAACCCACCTGCTGCATTGCTGGCAGAAACGCTGCTGCATCCCGCCGGCGACCACCACTGTGGCCTTGGAGTGGAGCTCGCATACCTTGTGCCGCCGGTGGTAGTGCTTCGCGACCGAGAGGTCGGCCTTGCACCCCTCCGCCTGGCACCGCGTCGCCTGCTGGCCCACCTGGTAGATCCCTCTCGATCGCCGGAAGAGCTGCTCGATGGCGGCGGCCTCCCCAGAAGGGAAGTAAGTCCGCCGGCCAAGGTTAAGCCCAATCTGGCCCACGCCCCTATCGTCCTCGTTCTTGATGAGCGCCGCCGGGTAGTCTTCTGCCACTATGGAGTGGAAGGGATACCCGCCGCCGCTACCGATCCCCATGGGCGGGAAACTGTATGGGCTGCTGTTGACGGGCGAGGCGGTGAAGAGAGGAGGTTGGTGGTGAAGATCGGCGGCGTGGTGGGTCTGTGCGGCGGTGGGCTCCCAATCCCACATCTGCTGTTGCTGCGGCTTCTGGTTGCCGTTGCTGCTGCTGGTGCTCTCCAAGCCGGCGAAGGAGACCATGTTGGGGGTGACATAACCTCCATCTGAGTGGAAGCTATTCATCTTCTTCGGGAAACAGGAATCAACAATGGGATAGAAGCGAAGCAGACTTCTCAGACCCACTTTTCAGAGAAGAAAAGAAGCGAAGGCATCGGCGGTGAGCATGGTCCACCGATGAGGGAGAGACTGGAGAGAGAGAGAGAGAGAGGCGGGGATTGATTGTGACGAGCCTAAGTAACGACGGCCGTGGCAGATAGTACCGGGAAGGAAATATAAAAGAACGGGAAAAGTAGGCTGGTCGGTGGATTGAGAGTGGAACTCTCAGGACCATCCCCCGAGCCCCGTTACCGTCCTTCTCCCTGAGAGCTGAAATCTATGCATGACCCGGTTTTTCCTCACTGACACTGCTCTCTCTCTCTCTCGGGACGTCTCTAGGTTTTACACCCTCCTCCGATCACATCTAACACAACACGTAAAATCACAAAGACCGGTCGACAGTGATTCTGCGGATGCGATCACTCTCTCTCTCTCCCGCTCTCTGTGTACCACCAGCGTGTCTCTAGAATTCCATTGTACGGCGGAGAATGGAACGACAGTAAAAAGCTTCTCCAGCTCGTCGATGGCTAGCCGGAATCGCTTGACCATTTGACCGTGAGCTTACCCCACCCTCTGGGCTGTACCTGCTCCTCTGGTTTCCACCGTAGCAATGAGAGGAATCCCGGAAAAGGAAACCCCATGGGGTGTTTGGAAGTCTGATTTCGTCGTCTTGTAGAGCTTACGCAGAGGAAGCCGGCGTCAACCTAAAAGGGTTAGAAGGTCCTGCGGGGGGTAATGAACATCCGGTAGGAAAGTCAAAAACCTGGTGGGGCCCTGATTGTTCGCTGTTCCCCCTCTTCAGATCACAACCCCAGTGCATCACCCCTACCACCGGAGGTTTGGTGGGTCAACGAACCGGTGGGCCTTCTTCTTGATCAAGCAGGGAGAGAAAGAGAGAGAGAGGTGGGAGTGATCACTGTGCGAGTTCGGGACCATCGATGGGTAAGTTGCAGAGATCGTCTGTGAATTGCCCGCCGTCTAAAGGAATCGCCTTATCCGATGAAGAGAATTCCACTTCCCACCGACCCGCCTGCCGCCGACCCGCCGTGAGTACTCTACGCGTCATATTCTCTGCATGCCTCACTGCGAGTTAACCTTCTCTCGGGGAGCTCCATCTGAGCATCCGATCCCTCGGAATAATGTGGAGTATACGTTGTTCTCTACATGGCGTATTGTAGGTGAAACGTCGGCGATGCCCTGCCCCTCTCCAATCTCTCTCTCGACATCAAAATCTCCTTGTCCAATAGAGAGACAGAGAGAGACAGAGGGAGGAATAGAGTTGGTCCGACTGAACGGATAATTTCATACGCGGTTCTCCTTGCGGTATCCTTGCTTGGACGTGCAAAGATGGAGCACATGGTTCCCGGCCGTTCATCCGATCTGTTCCTCCGACGAGTAGGATCATTCGTAATTCATTCCGCCGACGGAACGGCTTATGACCAATGATCACCGTTTATTCAGGATCCATCTGTTGTCCCGAAGACGGAGAGAGAGAGAGAGAGAGAGAGACTTCCTGACCTAGACTCGGTCGGCGACGGGTGAGACTCCCTTTCGAAGGTGCATGGGGCATGAGAGAGAAGGAGAGAGAGAGAGGGGAGGGGGGGGAGTGTTCGATCTTGTGGATGTTATACGGTCTGCTGCACGTGTCCATCTCTTGTGGGCTCGGCTGAGCAGATGCTGTCGGGCAATTCCCCTCCCCCCCCCTTAAAAGATGGGATCTTTGTACCCTCATCGATGGCCACGTGAGAATAAAACCCGTCGGGCAATTTCCCCGGCAACAGAGCCACCGTATGGTAAAAAAAATCGCTCTTCGGGCTTTCCTTCTCCTACACGAAGGCTGATTACTAATTCAGGGTGATGTCCCCCGGAGCGCATGATTGTCTCGCTGGGGAGAGCGAGAGGGAAGTAAGCTGATAGAAAGGCGGAGAGAAATGGAGGGAAGAGAGAGACAGAGAGAGGGAGAGAGAATGAGAGGGGTAAGATGAGAGAAAGGTGGAGAGGATCTGAGGGAAGAGAGATGGAGAGAGACAGAGAGAGGGAGAGAGAATGAGGGGGTAAGATGAGAGAAACGTAGGGAAGAGAGAGAGAGGAATCGCTCATAATACAAAGGCACTAAACGAGCTAGCTATGACTACACAAACGTGTACCGGCTCTTTCCTCCGGCAGTCCTGCCATCATGCCTCCCATACCTGTTTTGACGAGAACAGTCGGGTCCCCTCCACAAGAACCCCGAGGGGGGAGAGAGAGAGAGAGGACAGGACCACCGTCTCCATCGGTAAAAGGGGTGGGTGAAGGCAATCTTAGTTCTCGCAGGGTAAAGCGGGGACTCCAACCGTCTCATCAATTCCCTCAGCAAACCGGCTTCATTATTGTCCTCGCAGCTACAAGCAGATGTGGTCAAAACCCCTTGGCTCGTCTCGCAGGCAGCTTTCTGCCGGCGGGAAGTTTCCTAGGTTGAATTCTATGGGCGTACGCAATACGCCGAGTGGACCTCCGCCTCTCAGCCCAGATCACCCAAGATCATAACGTATTGCATCATACTAACATTATATATCCCTCCGGCTAACATTATATATCCATGCAAATGATTCGGCTGCCAATGTCAAACCTCGCGGAAGCCGACGGGCGATCGGTTTCGAGAACTGTGTTTCAAGATAGAGAGCTAAACAGTCACCGCGAGGGACAGCTTCGCAGAAGGTGGTCGCCACAGAATCGTGATGACCTCTCCACTCATCAAGAGAGAGAAGGATTGCGAGGGAGAGAGACCTTCGGGACTAGCGACGGCGACTGCACTAACTCTTTCAAGCGTCCCGTTAAGACCCTTTGAAGGAGACTCTTCGGCGCGATACCCCTCATCCTTCGTCGAAAGCTGTCACTGCCACAATATCCAACCACTCCAGACGACTAGACGAACCTCAAAGCATTAAACTTCCCCCGCCTACCCGTGCAGACAGGCCTGGCCCCGCCCGCTCCTCGACAGGCTCATTACAGTTCAATATAGATAAAACCCCGAAAAAAAGGGCTCATACTAGCCAGTAAAGGTATTATTCTATACAGAAGATGCAATCTCGTGGCTCGTCAGTTGTGTAAATTCAACATTAATTGGGCAATTTTCATGCCCAACGAGTTATTGAACTCCGTCTCGGTGGTTTAGACTACCATAGTCGGGCTGTTGGATCCGAGAAATCGAACAACAGGAGCAGTTTGGCGGAGAATGTCCGTCTGGTCTTGTCACAGCATCAGAAAGAGTGTCAGATATATTAGAAATCTGCGGGAACGCGGATCGATGGGAGACTGGACAGTTGAAAGAAAGAACATCAGGAGCTGACGCTAGGGGCCATCATCCTTGCATATATTAGCTCTGACAAGGTCTCCACACCATTGACCGCGGACGGGACGATCAAGAGTAAGAAAGAGGGACCCCATTTTCTCGGATGTCCGAATTCTACAGCTCTGAAATGGGGGCGGAGATCTTCGGCGAAGGAAGGCTGATTCGTGTGAAAGTACTCATTCAATCAACAAGGCTGAATAAGTCCTTGATTTCTGATAACGATGAAGGAGATCATCCTGGTAGAAGGCTGATTCGTGTGATGTCTATAAATTCAGGAAACCGTGCGGGTTTGAACAAATTTCTACCATTCGCCCATTCGCCCATTCGCCCCTTCTTTTTTGTGTGTGGGTGAGTGGGAGAGAGAGAGAGAGAGAGAGAGAGAGGATGTTTGGGATTGATTGATTGGTCACGAACAACTATATTTAGAACAGGAGTTGGTTTTCGTATCATACAATAGCTCCTCATTACTGCGGGACGGGCGCAGCAGCGCCTGCTGGAACTATTCCAGCGTCTCGGATTCTCAATGTAGAAGAGACTGATGGTATCTGGAAGTTTGGGACAGACCCCCGTCCTTTTAGATCGCCGCTTTGGGAGCCCAGCGCCCGTGGGTTAAAGAAGAACTGGCCGAGCATCGAAAGAATACGTCCAGCCGGGAAGCAAACAACTACCTTCTTGATTTAGGGATTACTCACGCGACAGTCTCTCTCTCTCTCTCTCTCTCTCTGTCGCTCGTTTCTTGAATCAAAGTGGGCTTGGATTCCACGAGGCCCCCGTTCCGAAGACCACTTTTGGGCTTTCATCTAGGCTCGGGCTTCAAAATGATGTTCCAGCTAGAGGCGGGATGAAGAAAGTGCAGGATCGGCGACTGGTCGAAAGTCCTTGTGTTGAGAGACAAAGTTTAAGCATGGACTATGGCGTGTGATCTCCTCACCGTCTACAAGTGGATGGGAAGCGTTCAAATTGAATTACGAGGGCTGTTGGCTCACTAAATAGGGCGAGGGGAAAGTATGTTTAGACTCTTATGACTACCATGTCTGCATCGAGGATACACCCAGTATATATCCACGGAAGACAATCATATTATTCAGTCAAAATCCAGAAAAAAAATAAATTCATCACCCCTCGTCGAACAAACACTCTAAGCTATAGGACTATCTACTCTCAATGTCTCAATCTTTTTAAGTCCACATATTCTTATAGATCGTTGTTAATGGCGTCCATAAATACGAAGCATGGTTCCTATTCTTTCATGGGGGCGGAGTCGGAAGAGCAAAATCTCAAGGTCCTCGTCCCGTGACAACATCCGTCTGTCAAGCTCGTCGTTCATTTCTTTTGATACTACGACATCGGCAGATGAGCGTCCATGCGAGACTCTGCCTATCTTCTGTCTTTCTCCCTCCCATCCTGAGATGAGAAGTCTATGCAGCGGATCTGATTGGGCTAGGGTCCCGTGAGGTCGACTCATAGCTTATTGTCTGAACTATTTCGTGAGATGTGACAAGGTTCTGACTCTCGTGAGGGACCATTGAACCCGGGCTCTCATTGTTTAGTCTGTCTTCATGTTCGCGACAGTTGAGGGAATTAATATCGCCGAAATGACGATGGCACTTTATGTTGCTGGCCGTTGTATCCCTCTTATTACCCCAACCTACACTTCAGACAAGATGGTGTCCCTGCCTTCTCTTTTCAAATCCCCGAACATCCGTTTCTTTCCCTCTCTCTCTCGCTGAGGATCTTCAACGTCGGTCAATGCTGATGACGTGCTGATGTCTTCCTTCCAAGGATCAGCAACCGCTTTGTTGGCACGTTCGAAGAATAGCCGGCAATTGATCCTTGAACTATAAATATTTTATTACCAAAATTGAGTTGATAACTTTGTCACAGCAAGGTGGGAGGGAGGAGTTGGCAGAGGTAGGGTTTCTGGGCGAAGAGAAGGCTGAATACGGAACCTGAGCCTTCGGGCCGGACCCCATCGGAACCCAGATGTCGGCCCGGACGGACCTTGAACCATCAGGGCATATTTCTCTTCACTAGTTTTGATGGTGAGGCACGGGCCCGGAAGAACCGGTGCCGGTATGGGCAACGGGTTTTTCCTGCCCGCCGGCACTTACATGTTAGGGTTCTTCATGGTTTCACAGGGGAAAAGCTTGATCAACGTTTAAGGGGCACACGATGGAGACCCCGTCGCAGTGTAGAGGAAGCCCCACTCGGACCAACCCTGAACTGTGGCGGCGGATACATGGAAGATTCAACCCTCACCTATTCTGCTAGGAAACTCCAAGAAAGAAAAGAAAGGAGATGGCTTTACAGCAGCTTAACGTCAAAACTGAGGCACCTGTTGGGATTGCCATCTGTCGTCATCGTCGTCGTCGTCGTCGTCGTTCTCCTCCTCGCCCTCCTGCATTCTTTAACGGGGCCCAACAAGAGATTGGAGAATGCCAACCTGCAACTCGAGGCAAGTGACGTAGCTCTCGACCTCGCATATCAGTTCGCAGACGCCCATCCTCTTCCCCCCCGGCAGAATCCTCCTCAGGGTCCTTACGCAGTGGCGCAGATCCTCGTCCTCTCCGTAGAGAGCTCTCACAGAGCCACATCTCCTCGCCCTGGCTACTTTGCGCGCGGCTACCTTCTTGGGTTTGGCGCTCGCTCGATAACCTACGGGAGCCAATGGCCTGGGGATGGCCGACAGTATCCTCATCTCGTTGAACATCATCACCACGTTAAGTCCATTCATCTCTCCATAGGGGGAGAGGATATCAGTAGATGAGATGAGGAAGCTTTCGTTAACGTTGCAGAGCTTCTTCACGTTGGCTCCTCGCTCGAGCTTCCGTTTCAAAGCGCGGCTCCATGCGAATCCATTAGCAGAGACGGCCAGCGCCATGTCCACCATGAATCTCACCATGTTCTCCATCGCTGCTCCGTCTTCTCTCTCTCTACAGGTCCCAACTGCGCCCACACTGAGGAGTGCCGGCAGCAAGTAGGCGACGTACTTGTGAGTGAAGCTGGCGAGGACGACGGCGTTGCGTTGGAATGAGTACAGGCGGCGGGATTCACGTCCCTGAGGCTCCATCGCAGCCGGCAGCGGGGGCAGCACCTACCTCAGTTGTAGAAGCCATTAACAATCAGATAGAAGGTGAGTGATATGGTAAGAGATTAATATGGCAGGAAGATCGTCGAGCTACATTAATTCGCAAAGCAGAACATCGAACGCAAAGTTCCGTATGGCCCATCATGCCATTCCCAAGCTCGTCATTGTTTAAAATCAAGATAAAACTGAGAACACAAAGCCAAGATGACGTTCACAGAGGAGAACAAGGGAGGTGAAGGAGAGAGGTGAAGATGGTACCTGGAATCTATTCGGGAACCTGGGGAGGAGAAGAAGGCCGGAGGCACCATTTAAGCAGGTGGGCGATGGGAGGTATGTATGGGGAGGAGGGAGGGGGCGCAACAGCCAAAGCCCTCTCTTACCCCGTCGAGTTAAAGACCATGAGGCTCACTGTTCTCAATCGGCCGGCGGCATGTGGAAGCCAGCCAGGGAGAAATTATTGAAGGCTGCAGAAGAAACACTTTGGAGCCACTGCGTCACACAATAATTATTCTATTGGCAATAAATAGTATTGAATATTCAGTAGGAAACACGCGGAGGGAGGGAGGGAGGGGGAGAGAGAGAGAGAGAGAGAGAGAGAGAGAGAGAATTTGGAGCTTCTCACAGAGGCCATTTCAATCATTTGCATGAGAAAAATGGAGTGAGAGAGGGCGGAGGGTATGTGTTCTGAAGGAGCACATGGTGGCACATGCTGAAAGCTTTTGCCCTCTCCCGCCCCTGCCAAAAGATGGCCTCCCTATCTTCCACATGCTCTAGACAAGACGACACCAGATTCCCTTTAAATGCAGTCGGTGTAAATCTATCGTAACCAGAAGTAACCTTTCCTTCACAGAAATTAAAGAAAATCCCACTCCATCTCTCTAGCTTGGGTTCCCTACCAAGCCGGGAATCGACTTCACCGTCTCTCTCTCAACACGCATATATATACTATTGGTCGTCGAAAGGGTTCCATTTTTATGGGGGGATTTTCGCTTCTCAAGGAATGGGAGAACACCCTGCAGAGCCAAGATAACGCGTCGGAAGAGAGGCAGAAGAAGAGGAGAGGTGATGAGCCTCTCCACATGACCGCATCGGCGACAACAAGGATTCAATCATTGATGAACGAGCCATAGATCCACGTGAAAGCTCCACAGTGACGGAGCTCTCACGAGGACCCTGGATCAGTCTGCGCCCAGTGTCGTCCAGCGCTTCTTCGTCTGTCGACGAGAGAAGCACGCGGCGATCCCACTCGTGTCCTCCCCGTCCCTGTCTCCTAAACATCAGCTATTTTCCGAATGATCTCGTCTCTTTGCTGACGAAGACCTGCACGGGATGCTCTTAAAAAATTTGAAGTTCGAGGAAGACATGATTGACAGCCTGAGGATGCGTCCTTCCTTCAGCTGGGAGGCCCCGGGGATCACCTTCGCTCAGCACATTTTTTCTGGAACAGACATCAGGTATCTGAAGCAGACGAGATCTATAGCTCTACTGACGTAGATGGAGTAAACACTCTCGATACTCCATAAATGCTCTCATGTGGTGAATGGACCCTATTTTAATGTTCCTGAATCGGAGTTCGGAGGCCGCGGATATACTCCCTCCTCCAGTGTTCCATAGCGAAGAACACGGTGATCGCTCTCTCCGGCTTTCTTCTCATTTGATTCCCCTTAATAAGAGTAAAGACGAGCATGAAAGGAAGAACCTCTCTCTGCCTCGACACTCCGAGACTTGCGCAATAATCAGAACATCCGAAAAATATACACAGACTCACCATAGATGCATTGAAAATCTCTACGGATCGTAAATGCGCTAGCTTTATTGGTAGTAAGGAGGCGAAGTGATTACACCCGAGCTTCCTCCACAGTAATCAAGGCCCCTGAGCTGTCTACGAGAGAGGCCCATCGTACGGCCCGTCGCCTCGCGCCGTCGAGCTCCTCCGGAGCCGCCTCCATTTAAGTCGGCAGACGAGCTCCGTCTCCCCAGCACAAACTGTCAGAGACCAGCTGTTGCGGCTACAGCCCCCCACTCCCAACAGCTGTCCCGCGTGGGATACCATGGAGACTGTTCAGATGCTCCACGCTTCACCACCTTCAATGGCGGGCGAACCATGGTTATCTCTCCCGGATACCATTTTATTTCGGAGAAATATCAGCCGGGCCACCATATAAGCAACCAGTATCCATCTCCATTGTCAGACGGGCCACGGATAATCATCTCTCACTAAAATCCCTTTGGGCATCTAGAGAATGGGATTCGCGTAATTTAGAATGCTATGGTGAAGGAGCACGCTCTCTCTCTCTCTCTCTCTCTCTCTCTATCTCGCTCAATATATATATATATATATATCTATAGATGCAGCGTGCATCTCATGAGAGGGTTGACATCAGGCAAACTTTAAAATCCGGGATTCTTGGGTTTTCCTTGACAATAGTTGACGGCGCGATTATATCTCAGTTTGTCTCATGAGAGGGTATGGTCATCTTGTCATCTGAACGACTACGAACAGCTACTTCTGATGGCATCAGACTCCTCCGGCTACCTGGGTTTTTCTTACCTATTTAATTAGTAATTTATTTATTTATTTATTCTCTCTCTCTCTCTCTCTCTCTCCCGATTCTTGAAGAATCCGCATTGCTGCTGCATGCCGTGACGGTATCTGATGTGAGAGAAGCAGGAGAGGCACGTGCGAACCATCTGGGGACACAATCAGACATCCTCTAATGCGTCGCCCGCTCGATGGAAATAATCATGAGATTTGCCAGTTTCTTGGGGAGAAACGTGGGTTTATCATACGTCGCGCGAAGAAATAGGATTCTTGAGGGGAAGCTTGACAGCTCGTACGTACGGACGCGTGAGAGTTTTCCTCGCTGAACTCCTCCCCCCTAGCGAGAGAGAGAGAGAGAGAGAGAGAGAGAGGAGGGGGGGCAGATGCAGACAGACAGACAGACAGACAGGAGACAGAGGAGGGAAGGGATTCAATGGAGACGTGAAGCTCGTGTGGCACGAGAGAGCTAAGCTTCCCCACTAAACATTCCCCCCGAGGTAGAGAGAGAGAGAGAGAGAGAAAGAGAGAGAGAGAGTGTTCGCGCTGTTTTGTCCTGTCCATTGTCTGTGTCCATCGGCCATTCTCTCTCGCGTACTCTGTCTATACGGAAGAAACAAAAGGAGAGAGCCCGGGAAGTGAAACGCCCCTCTAATCCCTCTTTTATTCTTCCGTTCCTGGCGGTGGAGAGAGAGCGAGACTTAGACATGTCGAGCGAGAGAGAGAGAGAGAGAGAGAGAGAGAGAGAGAGAGAGAGAGAGAGAGAGAGAGGGAGATCTGATCCGGCTGCCCCCGCAGAGGCCCTTAACGATGGCGTCATCCGAGTCCAGCAGACGGTCTTTAGGCGGGGCAGGCTGCATGTGGGTGCGTCAGGGACTGGATGCACGTGGGATGAATTAGAGAGAGAGAGAGAGATTGTGGGTGCTAATGGGTCACGTATTTTTGGGCCTTAATTTTTAATCAAACTTGAAATTTTTCGGACCCGTGCGTCGAAATCAATCCCACAGCAAAAATTAAAAATTTTAAATGCCTTATCTTTAAAAAATAAAATTTCTTAAAAATAATTCATTTTTAACGCTAAAAAATATTTTAAAATATTTTTTTTCCTTTTTTAACCAGAAAAATATGTGATCAATAATTGAAATTAAAAGCTCGCATTTTAATTGTATCTCGTACTGGTCCAACTCGGTGGCCCAATATGGGACTAGCCCAGCCGGGGGGGGAGCCGAGCTCGGTGGCCCAATTGGCTAGTCAACACTTTCCAAATGTGGTCAAGTAAAGCGCAAATGCTAGGTCGAGCTTTTCCTCCGAAATTAATATTAGCGAAATATAATTATTACATGTACATAGATTTAAGTGGTCTTATTCGCATGCTTTGAATTATACTTTAAAAAATCTTATTGGAAATATAATATACGTTTTTTTTGTGGGTTTTTATATAAAAGCTATTCAAGTGGAGAACGAATCGGACATATATGATTAAGGATTTAAATAAAAAACTCCCATTTTAATTAATATTAGCTCCTCGCCCCGCCCGACCCGGCGTCCCGACGCGGACTAACTCGGCCGAGCGGGCGCGGATTGCCTAGTTAACGCCTTCCAGATGGGGTCAAGTCGGCGCGTGGCAGTTTATTTCCCAACCATTCGCCTTCCTCTTGCTACCCATCGTCGCTGTCTCCGCCGGCGAAAGCCCTCCGCCGTCCGAGGATCTTCCTGCTCTGCCCGTCTCTCCGTTCTTCTGCTGCCGCCGCGCGGCGGCTTCCTCTTCTTGCCGGGGTTCTTCTTTCGGTGGGTGGGTATGGGTTGAGGCGGAGGGTTGGCTTCGAGGAAGAATCAATCAGTAAAGGGCGAGATGGAATGGGACAGTGATTGGGAGGAGGAGGAGGAGGAGATGGTCGGGGAGAGGGAGGAAGAGGGTTATCTACTCGGAAGCGGGGGGCCTTTCCTCTTCAGCATCGGAGACTTGCCGGAGTCGGCGTCCTTCGGGTTCGTGGTCTGCGATGCCCTGGAGCTCGACTATCCAATCATCTACGTTAACACGACCTTCGAGAAGGTCACCGGGTACCGGGCGGAGGAGGTTCTCGGCCGGAATTGGTCAGTAGCCCTTCCTCCTTTTTCCCATTCTGTCAATTAATTCATGTTTTCTGCGCACGGCGGAGGTTTATTTTCCCGTACTCTGGCTTCACAAATGAATTATAATAATTTTGGGGAAGATAGGGGAGGATATTAAGCTCGACATACATGAGTATAATCTCTGATAATTTAGTTGACTTCCTTTTCCCTTTATACTCAAACGAGTTGCGGGCATGTAAATCCCATCTTACTTGTTCTTTGCTTATAAAATCGAACTGCTATCACGAACAAGGAGAGAACATTCGCTTGGAACAGTGCTCACACCCGTCGTGTCCATGGTCGTCTATCGCAAGAAGCGCGAGCTTGTTGATGCCCTCATGCGGTTTGGTGTATGTGCAACGTTAAATCTTATCACTGTTCTTTAAAATGGTGCATCTGCCCTTGAATCATCTGATTCCTCTCACCGTAGAAGAATCACGCTGATGAAATGTCCCTCCACAGCAGGCATTTGATTTAATCATCGTGATTGAGCTCGACATAGGCCAGCTGCTCTTCATGCTCCCCGAAGATGATTTTTCTATTTGCCTTCTTGGCAACAATATCAGGGGCTTCTACTCCCAGTGGTCCTCTAAGTGCCCCAGATTGTATGATCCTCCTTAGCAGCGTCAACTCCCAACTGTAGCATTCATAGTTTCTCTGGTATAAATGATGACTCATTTATTAGCTACACGCCTCTTATGGTTTCTGGTTTGAACGCTTTCTTGTTAGTTTTGCATGGTTGTGTGTGCCCATTTTTATTTTTATTTTTCCGCTGTTCAGTACAAGAACATGAGAGCAGTAAGTATGATCCAGATACTAAAACAGCGTGGTGTTCCCCTGAATAATACCTGGACTGATCATCTTCTCTGGAACAGAAGATTCCCGTGGTTTCCTGCTCGATTTCAGTCGGTTGTCCATGGCTAGATGCGAGAATGTGAGAAGGGGGAGCTCTTTAGTTCAGTAGTTTATCTGCCGTCAACGTACTACCACTGGATAAAGATAGCGTGAAGCTCAATGCAAAACCCTGCTGATGATCAGATTCTTGGTTCAGGAGACGTGTTTCGGAAGGGTTTATTGCTTCAACTGTGGAATTGAAACTAATGTCTATTTAGTCATCAAGACAAAAAGGACGAGCCCCGTGAAACAAATGATTCATGAACAGAGAATAAGTTACGATCATCAAAACTCTTTACCCATTCTAGTTTTAACTTATTTTATTCAATCTGTCTTCTTGTCAAAGAAGAGTTATGCGGGTTATTGCAGTTTTTTCTTTGTGTGATACGATTCTTGTGCTGCGTCTGAAACTGGCCGCAGCTTTTTATTTCCCTGGTATTTATAAATCGTTATGTTTTTCTCGAATTTTCAACTACGAAAATCAAAAAACAAAAACGGATATTTTTGAACTAAAAAAATACTCAGCCAGTCGCCAAAGCGCATATAACGGAAATTTGCCAGTCGTCGATCTAACCACATGTTTTGTTACAACATCGTTCTTTGTTGCCATTAATTTTCCAGATTCTTTAAGACCTTACTCTAAGGAATAACCGATGTTCCCTTGAATCTCTCTCTCTCTCTCTCTCTCTCCCCCCTCTCTCCCTCACCGATTGGGTCGGAGCTAATGTTTCGGAGAGAGCAGATATGAGATACCCTTTTACAGAGGTCTGATGGAGATAATAGCTGTTGAAATCATGGCGCTCTCGGCAGTGTTCTTCTCAATAAGCTGCGACTTCTTGCGCTACTCGAGAACTAATCTCCCTTTCTTTGACCACCTTGCTCTCTCAAACAACCCTTCTTGTGGAGTGAATGAGGCCTGAGCATGGTTCTAGAGCGAGCATGTGTTAACCATCTGAGGGGAAATCTTCTTTTCATTCTGGAACTCACGGTTGTATGGATGGTTGCTGTCTGTTGTCCAGCCGGTTTCTGCAGTGCCGGGGGGCCTTTGCTCAGCGGCGGCACACCATGGTGGATCCCTCCGTGGTAGCGGAGATGCACCGGTGCCTCAGAGAAGGGGCCGATTTCTCCGGCGAGGTCCTCAACTTCAGCAAGGACGGGGCTCCGCTGACGAACCGGCTGACACTGACGCCCATCTACGGCGACGACGACCTGATAACCCACGTCATCGCCGTGCAGGTCTTCACCGAGGCCAAGCTGGACCTCGACCCGCTCCCCACCGCCTCCGCCAAGGCGGCGCCGAGGCCGGCGGGGCCGCCGCCGTCGTGGTTCGTATCGGGGCCGTCTCGCGGACAGGTCTGCCGGGAGCTCTGCTGCCTTCTGCAGCTCAGCGACGAGGTGCTATCTCAGAAGATCCTCCTGCGGCTTCCCCCGCGCGACATCGCCGCCGTCGGGCTGGTCTGCAAGCGGTTCTACGAGCTGTCCAGGAACGAGCACCTGTGGCGGCTGGTCTGCCGGAACGCGTGGGGCTGGGAGTCGGTCCAAGCGCTGGAGGCAGCGGCGGCGCCGCCTGGAGGGAAGCGGCAGCCGCTGCGGTGGGAGCGGCTGGCGAGGGAGCTGACCACCCTCGAGGCCGTGGCGTGGCGGCGGCTCTCCGTCGGCGGTGTCGTGGAGCCCTCCAGGTGCAACTTCAGCACCTGCGCCGTCGGCAACCGGGTCGTCCTCTTCGGCGGCGAGGGGGTCAACATGCAGCCTATGAACGACACCTTCGTGCTGGACCTCGGCGCCACCCGCCCCGAGTGGCGGCCGGTCAACGTCGCCTCCCCCCCGCCGGGCCGGTGGGGACACACCCTCTCCTCCCTCAACGGCTCCCGCCTCGTGGTCTTCGGCGGCTGCGGCACCCAGGGGCTCCTCAACGACGTCTTCCTCCTCGACCTCGACGCCAAGAGCCCCACCTGGCGGGACATCTCCGGCCTGTCCCCGCCGCCGGCGAGGTCCTGGCACAGCTCCTGCACCCTCGACGGCTCCACCCTCCTCGTCACCGGCGGCTGCGCCGACGCCGGCGTCCTCCTCAACGATACCTTCACTCTGGACCTCACCGCCGAGAACACCGCCACCTGGAAGGAGATCCTCCCTTCAGGCACCGCCACCGCCGCCACAGCCTGGAAGGAGAAACCGCCGCCGCGGCTGGGCCACACGCTCTCCGTCTACGGCGGCCGCAAGGTGCTCATGTTCGGGGGCCTCGCCAAGAGCGGACCGCTGCGCTTGCGCTCCAGTGACGTCTTCACCCTCGACCTCGCCCAGGAGGAGCCGTGCTGGCGGTGCATCACCGGCAGCGCCATGCCGGGGGCGGGGAACCCCGCCGGCGCAGGGCCGCCACCGCGGCTGGACCATGTGGCGGCGAGTCTCCCCGGGGGGCGCGTGCTCATCTTCGGGGGGTCCGTCGCGGGGCTGCACTCGGCGTCGCAGTTGTACGTGCTGGATCCAGCGGAGGAGGAGCCCCGGTGGAGGATTCTGACTGTGCCCGGGAGGCCGCCGCGCTTCGCGTGGGGGCACAGCACCTGCGTCGTCGGAGGGACGAGGATTGTCGTCCTAGGGGGGCAGACCGGGGAGGAGTGGATGCTCGGTGAGCTCTACGAGCTCTCTCTCGCGAGCTTCGGCTCGTGAAGGCGCTTGGCTGGCCGGTCGCCGGAGAAGGCGACCTATGTGTTCGTTCCCCTCGCACCGTCAAATGACCCTCATACACTCCCATCTTCCCCTCGCCGTCTGGAGCACTGACCTCCCCTCGTGTTTCATTTCCCCATGTGATTATTTATATTAAAATTTATCCCCATGGGCCCACACAGTCAACGCTCGGCCCAGACCCCGCCGGCGATCCTTGTCGCTTTAGGGACCGCGGGACCCGAAGGATTATAAATTCACCCTCGTCATTTTCTAAACTACGAATATGCCACCGCCTATTTGTAAAAGCCCCTTGGTTGGACGCCTACAATTATCCGCGAGTAAGCACAAGCCGTCTGGCGATGGTTCCATCATCGAATGAGAACTCGCCACGTCATGCCCGAATTGGTCGTGTAAATCATCACCTCACTATGGAAAGAAAGCTCGGCACAGTAGCCAGGGGGTGGCGCCGGAGATACCGGCTTGATCAGCGGTGGGGGTACCGGTGGAGGGGTTCTGGTCTTCTGGTTTCTCGTCGTTCCAACGGATTCAACGGAGTGGAGCTCTGAAGATTGGCGTGGGCCTGGGAACTGGATTCCCCGCGTGAGGTGTGCCGGCTGTAAAGCCTGATTCTCCCCCCACCTCCAACAGGAAGGTGCCTTTACCTCGCCCTTCCCCATTCTGGATCCTCAGAGTGGTTCTGGAGGAGAGGCCTCACCCTCCCATTGCCTGCCTGCTCGGGCTCTCTTCTGTATTGGGTGCTGGTTCTCTGCCGCCCGCTATGGCCAGCGCCGGCGCCAAGGTGCGGGAAGGGACGCCGCCGCCCGTGGTCCGGAAGGCTGGGAGCTACACCATCTTCATCACCCCTCCGACCACGCCGAAGACGCCCTCCGGGAGCCCCCAGCCTCAGGGGAACTGTTGTAAGCCTGCGCCCAGGAGTGCCGCTCGTCCTAACGCCAAGAGTGCGGCGGCGCCTCCGCCTGCCAAGTCTCCTCCTCCGCCGGTTCAGGTCCCGCCGCCGCAGTTTGTCGCTGCTCCCAGCCCCCGACCCTCGAATCCCAGGTTGGGGTTTTTCTGGGATGCGGTGGCCAAGGTCCAAGATGGTAGCTTCTGCCACCCGAAGGGAAATCTTCTGGTCGCTCGTTCTTGGCTTGGATCTCTTCTCAAACTGGGTTTGGTAATCCTTGGCAGCGCACTCGAGCTTGGACAGCTTCTTGGCTGACTGGTTCGGGCTGAACCAGTCCAAGTACCAGTGGGCTCTGAATGATTTCTACCAGAAGAAGGGAATGGTGAGTTCGACTTCTCCCATCTTCTGACTATAACTCTGCCTTCTTTGGGCTCATTCAAGCGCCAGCTTCTGCGTCATTTTCTTTGATTTCTCGGTCTCTAGCATGTTCATAGGAGGCAATGAAACCCATCCCTCACCGTACGACGAGCCCATCGGATCAAGTAAATCTGATGATCCACAGATAATCTACGACGAACCCATCATGTAAATACGCGCCTGATTTCTTGATTTTTTTATCATATTTGGGGCGTTCATTTCATTTTCTTGTTGGAATGTTTTGAATGATGCTAAAAAATAATTGCCTTTTCCCCCTTGAGATATCCCACCTTGAAAAATACAGGAGGCAATGCTATCTCGCTATGTGGATGAGTCTGGTTCTCTTATAATGTATCAGAATCAGTCCATTTCTTTTGTCATCTTGCAGAAGCTCATAACTAAGCTTGTACGAGAGATAGATCACGGCGGTTCATATAATGCCATTTTATATAAAATAAGAATAAGAATAAGAATAAGAATAAGAATAAGAATAAGAATAAAAATAAAATCCTGTGGCTATGTTCTTCCTGTGGTTATTTATCGTTTTTTTTTTTTTTTTTTTTTTGCTTCGGACAAAAAGGTGTGCAGTGACTCTATTAGAGTGGTGGGTTGACAAGGTTTGACTTCGGTGAGGTAAAGAGTCAACTTTTCTTTAACCCTTTTCTGGAACTTTTCAAGGGAAATTGTGGGTAATATTATTTATCTCTTAAAAAAAGTGGGTAATAATTCCGGGAGAGTGATGGAACCTAGGAAGAACACCCAGAGGCGACCGCAGAAAATATTAATATTATTCTTTTACTGGAATATATTTATTTATCAACTGGGTTATCTTATTTTCCCTTCATTTCTTCCTGATCTTAAGGTCGTAGTGCCTCTACTCTTCTCATGGGGCTTATACTGCTCTCGCAGAACTGATGAACCCCGGCCATCTGTGAACTTTGGCCCGCAGGTTGAAGACTCCGGGAAGTTGAAGGTCGGCCGCTGCCGCCGGGACATCGTCTTCTCCGAGGGGCAGGTTACCCCGAGCCGCTGAGCTGGCCGAGGCCTTCGACTCGGAGACCTCGTCGAGTCATCCCACATGAGATTGAACTATGTACACGTGGCAAATCATCTGCTCTCCAAGTCAGCTAATGGGCTCTCTTTCTGATATTTAGCTGGCCGGGCCAGAACCCCTAACGGTTGACCGGTGTTGGGCCGATGAGGCCAGGGGTGTGGTCGCTTGGGGACAGGCCCATTGGGCCTGTTAGTCGTAATTTCGCATCAAGTGGGTGGGCGAATGGACGCCAACCGCCGTTGACGGGGATACCTTTCTGTTTTGATCTTCCGCCGCTGCTTTAGGAGACGACCCATGGCCAGTCAACCTTCATCCGACGGCTGCGGGCGACTGGCGGCTCCCTCGTAGGAAACTTTAAATAAAACCCCAAAAAAATCGCCTTGAGAGAAGGTCACCCAAAAGATCTGCGCAGGGAAATCCCCTCCCCCTCAATATTTCAGATAATTTGAAATATGCACCGGCTTCTAGGGCTACAAGTAGACCTTGTAGAGGGTATTTCGTAAACTAACATTATTAATTGTGGGTTTCTGCAAACGGCAAGCGAATTCCGTCTCGTCATTCCAGATCGGTAATTCCTACTCTCACGGAGAGCAGAAGGTGGGGAGGAGGAGCGGTGGTGGGAGTCGTTAGGTTCTCTCTCTAGTTCTCTCCCTCTCTCTCTCTCTCTCTCTCTCTCTCTCTCTCTCTCTAGCTAGTTTTCTCTTTCTTCCGTCTGTCCTTCCTTTTTCCCTTCCCAGCACGCCAGAAGAGGAGGGGCGCAGCAAGGACAGGACTCCACGCAGCGAGAGGGGAGCGGTGATTGGGTTGGATTCGTGGGGGAGGGCGCCGGAGAAGGTTAGCTTCCTGCTTCATCTCATCCGGAATCTGCTTTTTCCCTGCTTCTAGGGCTTGTGACTAGGCCCACCTTGGCCTTTATGTGCGTCTGAACTTTTCTTTCTATCGGTGGCGAGTTTCCTTGGAGATGATGTGGCGTATGGTGCTTTGACTGCTTGTGCCGATCATCTCTGAGCGGTGTTCTTTCGGGTGCGGCCATTTCGGGCTTCCTCTTTCATGGCCTCCTCTTCGCTCCACTCCTGATGCTGCTTGCATCCACCGATAGGGAGTCCAGGTGTGCGGCCGAAGGATGCCTATTTTGCTTCTGTCGCCAACCTTTCAGGCCGCTTAGTTCTTCCCTCTTTCGTCCACCTTCATCCTATTTTTCTCCCAAGTTTTCTGCCTCCCGGCGGGCCTTCCTTTTGCAATAATCTCAGGCACCATAATCAGTTCTGTTCAGCTCAGCTGAGAATTTCGATTCCGATTTCGTGAGTTAGCGCTCCATATCGCTCGCTAGTCGTCTATATACCGCCAGGCATCTTGTTACTGCCAGTCTTTGGTGCCCTCTTCTGTGTGGTGCGTTTCTTCCCTAGGATTCTATACCCAGCCATGTGGATCCAGTGCTCATCAGCTTTTTGCGGGGAGGTTATTCGATTACCTTTTGTATGCATCGGTTGCCCTACTCTGTGGACTCATTAACTGAAGATCGGCTCCGATTATGCATGCAATTTTTTTACGCGTATTTCTGTTCTACCTGGCTTACCAATGTTTCTCTATTGAACGACGTCCCCAGACTATCTCTTAATGAACCGAAAACCTCGAATTTTCTGCTGTTTCCACCCACCCACCCACCCACTCCTCCTTTTGATCCGCAGGATGATTCTACGGTCAAAATTGAGGAGTGAAGGGGACTTCTCATATCCCATCTTTTTTTTTCTGAAATTCCACAAAAATCGGGATATATATGTGTGAAAAAGAGGAAATAACTCTGCTGCTGGAGATTTTTTGATAAATTGTGCAAATATAGATCAGGAGGATTAAACCACACATTAACAATGTCTTTTGGAGGCAGTTTAGTTCAGACTGTAGCTGCTTTAGGTCATCAATGGCGAGATGAAACATAGTTCCTTGTGTTTGCCTCTCGTGTCTGATGGGGCGTGCTCATTTCTTCGATCTGCCTGCAGGTTTCACACCATCCGTTCTTTCTGCGGCTAGTTTCCTTCTGGAGCGATGCTGATGTAGAGGAGGTCTCCATGGTGCCGGGGGCTTGCCACCAGCGACAGCCGCAGGTCAACTCCGCGATGGACTTGGGGCTGAGTTTCTGCAACTGGGAGGATGTGATCTGCCCGATCTGCCTGGATTTCCCTCACAACGGGGTCCTCCTCCGGTGCTCCTCCTACGACAAGGGATGCCGCCCGTTCATGTGCGACACAGGCCACACGCACTCGAACTGCCTCGAGCGCTTCAAGGCCGCCAATGGGCTGCTGCCCCGGGCCGGTTCGTGGGACCAAGACTGCAAGCCAAAGTGCCCACTTTGCCGAGGGGAGGTGACCGGCTGGGTCGTTGTGGAGGAGGCCCGTACACAGCTCAATGGTAAGCAGCGGTGCTGTGAGGAGAGGCACTGCTCCTTTGTGGGGGACTACTTTGGCCTGCAGGAGCACGCCCGGGTGGTTCACCCACACTCGCGGCCGTCGGAGATTGACCCCGCTCGGAAGATTGACTGGGAGCACTTCCAGCAGTCCTCTGAGATCATTGACGTGATCAGCACCATCCACTCGGAGGTCCCTCATGGGGTTGTGCTTGGGGACTATGTTATTGAGTACGGGGACGACGACACTGGCGATGATGAGTATGAGGACTTTCCAGGGGACGACGGCAACTGGTGGACGTCTTGCATCCTGTATCAGGTCTTTGAAAACTTCCGGGCCTCGAGGAACCGGCGGAGGGCCCGGGTGGCGGAGTCCCGGAGGGGGCAGCATCGGGGTGGCTATGATGTCTCCATGGCCGACGAGGGCTCCTCCTCCTCCGTGGATACAGTTGACTTCAGGTTTGACGAGACCGATGACGAGTTGACCGGGACAAACGCTGTTGCTATCCAATCCAGGGGAGGCTCGAGCCACAGCAGGTTAGTGAGTGGTCCTTGATCTGACAGTCTTTTATACTTCTCTGCTTCTTCATTCTGTGTTTGCTAGAGATGCTGGGTCTTCCAATTTAAGACCAATTGGCCGTGAACTGAGCAGGCCCATGCTGATAATCCTAGATTTTTTTTTCGATCCTACCGTGGATTACCAAATTCGCTTACTGTTCTTTATTCGTTAATTCTGCCATTTCAAGACCATTGCCTGACGACCAATTCTCTCTCTCTCTCTCTCTCTCTCTCTCTCTCTCTTTCACACATAAACACACAAACACATTTCAAGACATTAGAAAGTCAACGAATTTATGAAGAGTTCCATATTTCTGAGATTTCCGCACTCTGATTAAGCTTTTTAATCAATTGCTACGGAGAGATTACCGACCTAAATTTATCAACCCGGTGGTCCATTTCTTTGTCTGGTTTCTCTTTTAGCTTCTGCTTCTCGCCATGTTAGCTTCTGCTTCTCGCCATGTTCTTCATCCCTCTTCTTCTCACCCTCCCGACCTTGTGCCAATGCAGTTCTAGGAGGCGCCGGTCCCGGTTCCGTGATCACTAGGTACACAGGGCTGCTCTTCTCTCTCTCTCTCTCTCTCTCTCTCTCTCTCTCCACCCTCTCAGCCCCGGCCATCTGTTTTCTGGGTTGCGTCGCTCTGTAAATACTGTTTCATCCTCTTTACTTTCTCTTGAATTTCCCCTTCTAAATGATGATGATGATGATGATGATGATGGTGATGGTGGCGGTGGTGGTTGTGATGATGATAAGGTGGCGGAGAAGAATAAGAGCGGATCCGAAATTGGCCGTCATTGGAGTAACAAGATAAGATTTCCCATTTTTTCTCTCAATTTTGTTCGAACATGTCTTCTGTCCACCGCTCAAGTTTTGTGGGTCGGTTTAGCCCTATCCGAGTCAACGTATGAGAGAGAGAGAGAGAGAGAGGGAGAGAGAGGGAGAGAGAGAGAGAGAGGGAGGGAGAGAGAGATACAATTCTTTATTGGGTATGTTTTTATTTTAGAGTTTATTCCATTCCGAGGAATGTCGACATCTAGGTGGGACCGGTGAGGTGGATGGGTGCTGGGGGTAGGCGCTCTGGGCCGCCTATCTTGGTGTCGCATCAGTGGACATATGGGCCTTCTAGTCGAGCATAGTTGCCTCTAATGGGCTGGGCCCAGGCTTTTTGTCTGACGACTCAGTTTATTACAGATGGCGATCATGTGGGCCCCGCGTGGGGCCTACCGCGTACAATACAAAGATATTAACTTCTTAACCGAGGAGTAATTACTTGGTTCGGTACGCAGGAGAACAGCTGCCCGGGCTACGGAAGATCCAGCGACTGTCAGTGTGGGGGTGGGTGAAATCCCGCACAAGGTAATCACAGAGGGAGAGAGAGGGAGAGAGAGAGAGAGAGAGAGTCTGAGTTGAGCTTCATGCATTAATCCAAAGGGAGAGTGGGAGCACACGTCAACGGGGCAGATAATTATACATTAAACCCCAGCAAATTGCCCACATGATTCCAAGCCCCGAGATCATATACACAATTAAGACAACAGCTGGGGCCAACGAATATTAATATATATATATATATAAATAAAGACAAAGACGGGCATCTACCTCTACCCTTCAAGCCAAAGCCCAAGGCAGTTGACTTTCAGAGGGGCGAAGGAGTTAACGGCAGCCGTTCATCAGACGCCCTCAGGCCTCCTTGGCAGGCGTGCTGCAGCATCCGCTGAAATCAAGAACACGCCCGTCCTCCTGGAGGGCAAGACCTCAACGGGTTACGAACACAACCAATCAATGGAAGATATCTGGACATTCAGATGATATGATATGGATCGATGAGACCACCGAGATCGATGGCACTCCCAATGTATTATTCAAAGACTCCGCTACTGCCGCAGAAGGTGATGGATGATACGACGATTCAAGCCATGGCAGGGAGAACTGAACTGAACTGAACTGAACTTACCGAGATGTCTCGTGGCAGGGAGCAAGGAGTCTCTTGTTCACTGCCAGCGGTCTGTTCTCTTCTGCTCAGTTCTCCCTCGCGCTGTGCGGCCGAAGGCACTTGAATGCTCCCACGCGGCGATACTCCGTGGGCTTTGGCCGACGCGGCAGCATTAGGCTCATTTAGCATCCGCATCAGGTCTACAGCGTCAAGGGCTCGATCGCGAGGGCTCATGAAGCATCCATATCTCTGTAAGAGAATCGGAATCAGATATGGGGGTGGTCAACGCAGATTAAGATACTCAGAATAACAGTTAATTGGTATTTTTTTAACCAGTTAATTGGAACTTGCTAGTTAAAAAAGTCAAGGAGCGATATCTTTTGCCCGAATTTGTAGGAAAGTCAACAGGTGAATGAAAAAGAAGAAGAAAAAAAAAGTACATAGTTCACCTACCTCAAATTTTGATCCAGGGAGGAGTGTGGTCATGAACCAGGGTGACTTCCATGCCGAAGGAGAGTCAATCCCACGTTTTATGCCAGGTGTACTCATAAATCTGAGAAAAAGTAAGGGGAAGATATTTTCAATAGGAATAGGAATTGAAACGGAATTTATATTTTTTTGATTTTATGAAGGTGATTTAATCAAATCTTCATCTGAAATCAGGCATAGTTTTTCGATATTTCTGAGAATTTGATACTATAATTGGTTGAGATACAGTAAGTCAACGAGTGACAGCACAAAAGAAAATTGAGCCAAGACAGACATAAAACGGTAAATGCATGCATGTTGATCTGGGTGGATTTTATCCGTCCTACTTTCTATAAACACCAATCAGATCTTCTGCAATTGCCATCTTAGATGGAACCTCTAGATAAAGAAGAGTAGAACATGTAGAAAGACAGATGATGACAATGAAGATAGATCTAATTCAAGTCAATGATCGGATAGCTTGAAGCGTTATAGACGCGAGTATCTACAATGTATAGAACTAGCGAAATGACTGCGGCACCCACATCCCAAAGGGTTGATGAGCAACTCTTCCTCATTCTGATGCATAGAAGCTCTTTCAGATAATTAAGAAATTAATTGCATAACTATAGTATTTAAATAACGCAATGACTGGTGCGAAGGGAACCGTTCTTACATGTCTACGTTTTCATCACAAGACTGAAAGAATTGCTTGTCATTGATACTGTGGTCAACAAGTATCCCTCCCTGCAAAAAGAGAAAAAATTACCGAGGCAACTAAAAATGCAACGCAACCCAACAAAAGGCACAAGGAAAAAAAAAAAAAACCTAGGAATTTAACTCTATTTTTTTAAAAAAAGAAGCACGGAAATATACTTCCTAAAGTATTATGCAGTAATCGTATCGTGTTTGTAGGGTAGCAGAGAGTGTTTATCCATCCCACATCAAATTCAAGATGGATTAGGGCAATTCTCTTTCCTACCTAGGCTTCAGATGAGAAAGGTAAAAATTTTAGAAGATGAAAATTATTTGGAGAATGCATCTGCGAGTTCAAAGATTTGGTGATCGGTAGACACCAACCTCTAAGTAAACAACAAAAGCCTTAATAAACATGTCCACACAATCTGCTGCGTAGCAATCGCGTAACCATCATTTGATGTGCTGCTGGTTTGTACATTCCGCAGATATTATTCATCACAGACCTTCAGATTTTCTTTGAGTGCTTGTTGATGTGTCAATCAGGAAACTTTTACATATTTTTTTGTAAAGATACTTTTCTACCATGTTTTTTTTTCTTACACGCTTGACTTCGTCAGTTAATTGGCACGACAGTACTACTATCTTTGGAACACCTCAGCTGTCCCCCACCTGCATGACATTCAGGCTAATACTCGTCTGAAATGATGAAAAGGTTGGTGGAATATGATTCAATGATGTGTTGAAATTATGAATTAGAACCAGTTGAATGAATTCTCCTTTGTACGGCTTTGCAAAAGAAAATGCCCAACCTTCGATATTACCGGTCTAAAATCGTCCAAAAAACATGAGACCCAATTCCCGACAAAAGACCAGTCGGACATGATGAAAAAGTCGGTAGAATATCATTCATTAATTAGAAACAGCTAACTGGATCTAATTTGTTTGGTTCTGAAAAAAAAAAAAATGCCCTTGTTTTGATACTTCCAAATTAAAATGGAGAAACTAGCGGGAGTAAATGGAACTCACAGTGTCTGATCCTGTGTCAACATTAATGCCCTTTCGTCCATCAAGATCATGTCCAACTGGTTCTTTTTTGTGTTCGTCTTTGTTGGTTATCATGCCAATAGTGCCTAAAACTTGGCTTCCATCTTTTCCACCGCTGTCAACCAGATTTTTCTTTTTGTCTGGAAAAGCAACAAGGTTATTCTTCTGATAACAAGGGGAGGAAAGCATTGTCCCTGAGGTGGATGAAAAAGAGGCTACAGAAGATCCATTCTCATCAGATATAACATCCACTTGAAAATACCCATTTTCCTTCACAGAGGATGTTCCCAGTTCGTGATGTGACTCTTTTCCAGATTTTTTGTTGTTCCTTTGTTTGTGAAGAGGTGATAACAATTCACGCTGTCTTTTCTTCATTATTGATGGAGTATATAAGAAGCTTTTCGCTGCATTCTTGACGACCGCATCAGGACTATCATCACTGGAAGGTGAATCCCATAACCTGTAAGCAGCTAAACAGCTCGTGGAGGGTGTCATTATTTGCCGAACTCCAAGTGGGCTGTAAGACTGCAGCTCATGACAAGACGATATGAGATCACAGCTGACAAAAGGAACTTCCTGTTTTGGAAATCGTGGATGTTCATTGAATAAAGCTCCTGAATGTTGGTCTTCTCTTGGAGTATATTGTTTCTCACCAGAGGAAGAGCAGAATCCATTGACATCTTGGGATGAAACAGAAATAACTTTCATCGTAGTTATGGTGGCATCCACCTCACCTTCACAATTTTCAGCGCATGAATATTTCTGAATAAAACCACAAGGAATGACCGCCCCCCTGGTATGCGAGAAATCATCATCTGAGTTTACAAAGGCATCTGCTTCCGGAGATTTGTCACCATCCACAAGGTCATTTGCGGATGCCTCTCTTCCACTAATGGGCTGAATAATAGTCATAGGGACTTCAGAAGGAATACTCTGAGAACAAGGAATGGACAACATATCCAATGAGCTTACAAGATTACAGAGCCCATCATAAGTTCCACAGCTCTGATCATCAAATTGGCAATTTCTGGAATCTTCAGGGCAGTTGAGACAAATGTCATTTGAACCAGAGCAAGAAGCCACCATAGAAGATGCTAGATGGCTGCTAGTCTCAACAAGATTCTTATTCTGGCAGTCAACCTCAAAAGTCAGTTGGTCCTGACTGTCACAAATGTCGGAATCCTTTTCAAGGTAAATGGATGTATCAAATACTGAATCTAGAAATGATACGGTATTGCTGTATTGATGTGTTTCACCAAACTGTAGTGCATATAGTTTCAATGTTCTTGAAAATCTTGGTGATACCTCCGCTTCTTGTCCAGTAGAGATGCTGGAAATATCATGTGAACCGCTTTGATCAGGGATATGTCTAGTGATACAGGAATCAGGTAAAAAATCTTCAGCTGAAAAATCCCCCACCATACTAGTTCTGTATTGCATGTCTCGAGCACTTGCAGAAGCATAATATTTCTTGTAGCTTAAAGCTGAATGAGGATTTTCTACCTTTATCTCACAAGTATCCTCTCCCACTCTATTCTGTCCATCTGTAAATTTTGGAGTTTCTGCAGTTTCTTCAGAGTCCAATAAGCCACACCCGAGGTGAGCTGAACGTTCACTGCATTCTGATGCTTCTGCAGATTCTACCCCGTCATTGAGAGCCTCTTCACTACAGCCCTCTTCATTCTTTGCAGAAGAAGATGGCACACTCTCATTTGAGCATTCCACTTGAGACAGATGTTGAAACTCTCCAAGTAAACCTGATGCAATGTATGACTCCATCTTCCTTTTGACAGAGCTATTCCAGTGATTTTTTATAGCATTGTCTGTCCTGAGATACACAAAACGTATTTTTTAGAAGATATTAATGAGAGCTTTTAGATTGCATAGCAATCATTTCATGCTGATGAGAACAACAAACAGAGAATGTAAACGTAAGTTAAAAAAAGTCTAAGAACACTCACCTATTCATTATCAAAGTGAAAAAACGCTATAATTTTGGCAAAACACTTTGAATGACGAAACACATAAGAGAACTAGAGAGGACACGTAAATGATTTCTCTTACCTGCCAGGCAAAAATTTTGTTAACTCTGCCCACTTGTTTCCATAAATTTGGTGAGCACGGATCAATGATAACTCTTCTTCCTGGCTCCATGCCTCCTTGTTTATTGCAGGGTTTAGATGATTATGCCACCTGAAACATTTTTATCTTTCTACATAAGTAATGTATACTTCCAAAACACAATGGCTCATGAAATATAAAGGTAACAAGAAAAGGAAGGTCACGTGTCTTAAAAACTATTATAAATCAATGATTACATAAATGGACAGTAGATAACATACATAAATAAATAATCAAGAGTGATGAGGAAACTAGAAAAAAAAAGTTTGGAGAGATTTCTACATGATGATTTGTCACTTATCACAAGAATTTTGCAAGTTGTTAGAAGTATCCCCAAAACAATGCATCAGGTTACAAGACAAAGAACAAAACATGCATAATACAAAAGGGAAAAAGAACAACTAAACAACCTAAGAACACAGGGATGAAAGACATACAAAAAACAATGGCAGCTGATACACAATCAGCTTTACCTCTGTCAACATGCGTACAAAATTCTTACCCTAATACAGGGGTCGGCATCTGACACAAAAGTACCAAGACTTGCATGCAAAACACAAGGTGAAAACAAGGCTTGTGATTGGTAAGACAAACAAGAGCTCAAGAATCAACACACGGACGCTTGTAGAGTCAGTCCCATTGTGTTTGTTAGACACAAGGGTTGACACTTGAAAAGCTGCTAAGAAAAGTTTACCTGAAATTGCAATGGGAAAAAGAAAAAAAAACAGTAATCATTTAGCCATTGAGGGTAGTCTTTACAATGGATATTGCAGTCTGAGATGTCCAAGGACTTCCACAGATTTACGCACCAAATTTTTCGGGCATACTTTTTAAAACTACAATGAGTTCAAAGTGCTCTCATCTTAAGATTTAAGCGAACCTTGAAAACTTTTCCAATGTTGGCCCATTAGACTTAACCTGTGCCTTGATTCCAGTGGTGAAATCCATTAGTAAAAGAGAAATATAACCTTCTGTTGATGTTGTATCTAGTGAGCAAACCCAGTGACAATGGTTATGCATGGCTCTTTAGAGGCCGAAAAATACTAGAGGCTCTTTATAAAGGTTTTAATACTCAATGGTCTAAGTCCATACAAATATGCCTAATAATACTCAAAAGATGAGCTTTGTCGAAATAATTGGCAATGGGGTAATATCACAAAATATTTACAAATGAACTTCATCTTATTAACTCTCAACTAGGCTTCATTTCAAACTATTTGTCAATTAGGCTTTATTCTATGAGTTCTCAATTAAGCTTTGTCTTACAAAGTTGTCAAATCAGTTTTACCTCATGAACCCTCAAATAGGTTTTATTTAATAACTTGCGTCAAGTGGGCTTTACTCAATGTATTATCAGATGAGCTGTATCCCAAAAAGTTGTCAAATGAATTTTCTCTTATACCCTGTCCAATGAGGCTGGCCTTAAAAAGTGGTTAAATGAACATTCTCAGACGTTTTCAGAAAGATTATCTCACAAATTCTCAAATAGGCTTCATCCAACAAACTTTTGATTAGGTTAGTCTTCAACACATATCTCAATTTGCACTTGATTCATAATCCTTTTATCTGTGGTACATTTTTACAACATGTAATCAGGGGTGTAGACCTCTGTCAAGAGGATGTAATGAACACCAACTAAAATTGGAGAGGATAATCCAAATACAAGCAAACAAAAAGAGATCAATAAAAAATCAGCAATAATAATAATAATAATAAATTATCCCAATTTCGTCAAGATGGCAGAGGACTAGCCACCTTTTAGCCAAAATCCAAATATATTTGTCATGGCTTATACTCAGATATGCCCTGAAAACAGGCTATATACGTATGAAGGACGGGCCTACTTGTAAGCATATTAGCATAAGGGAATGGATGGGCTAAATTACAACCAATAACAATTAGGTTCAGTTCTGTTTATAATTTATTACTCTTGACATCAAACCCATTGAATTTCTTTAGGGGTTAACACATTACTACAACTATCGTTGTCAATCATCAAGCAATCAATCTACCAAGACCCCCACATTTTGCCACTCGTGTGCCCCCGTGTCACTACATTTATATCCCTAATGATTCACACTTACAAGCCTACTTCATAGGCGTGAGGCCATGAGGAAGCCGAATAGATTAAGATTTTCTCGACAAATAACGCGAGATGGAGTGATCTCATTGGGGTAGAGAAGAGAATTGATGGCAAGGCAGAAGGGGCAGAGCTATTTATGAGTTAAGGAAATCTGATATATATGAGGGAGAGACGGAATGAATGTGAAGGGGGGGGTGGGGGGTGTGGGAGAGAGAGAGAGAGAGAGAGAGAGAGAGAGGGAGAGGGAGAGAGAGAGGAGGACGAGGACAATAGAACCAGATTGACTCCCTAGAACGAGGACAATAGAACCAGAATGGAGGGGAGATAGAGAGAGATGGGAGGATGCCGCAATCTGGAGTATCTAGATAGGTTACAGGTTGACGATCTTTCAGGTCTGACCATATCCCTATTCAAACACAACTTGAATCACGCCTAGAAACCTGTATGGATTACTATTGAAGTCCAATCCAAGTAAAAACCTAGGGCAAGCCGAGTGTTGGGCTTACATCTCTCATTGATACCAATAATTAATTTATTATTTTGGGTACTTTTCAACGATAGTATTTGCATTCTCCCTTGATCTATTCACCGTTAAATGAATTTTAGTATAACTCACATCAAAATTTGATTCAATATCAAGGGTAATAGCCAAACCCACAACGAAGGATGTAAGTACTGAATCAGCGATGACATGTCAACGATGGGCAGGCAATATCCTAATGGGGGCTGTGAAGGGATGTACAAAGAAGAAGTTAATGTACATTATGTTCATCCCCCTATCTTAGTTATAGTCTAAAAAGGTATCTTTAAAGAGATGAAACATATGAACTACAAATAAAACTAGTGGCACCTTTCTCGGCATTGCTTTCCAATGCGTCCAGGTAAAGCTTGTGCAATGGTAGACCACTTTTTAGGCCCATGTTTATTAACCATTTCAATGATCATATTATCTTCCTGCAAACGCAGAAACAAAAAAATAATGTTCAACTCAATTAAGTTAAAGAATAGAGAAAGCATGCACCAAAGTGATCAGCCAGTTGCATTAAATATCTTACCTCTTTTGACCAAGGTCCTTTAACAAGCTCTGGGTTTAAAACTTTCTGCCATCTATGCAAGCATTGAACATCAGTTCGATCTTTAAAGCATTCAGCTACAAGATAAACGAGATAAACCATTAAATTTTATAGTTGATTACAAAAAATGTAAAATACATCATCAGTTCAAATTGAAAACCTCTGAATCAATTGTCTTTAACATTCTGTAGCGACTAAATAGAGAATCGAGATATGTTGATTCGAAAAAAAATGGAAATTGTGTTAATAAAAAAGGGACGCGATTAATAAATTAGCTAACAGATACTGTTGCCCAGATGGCAGTAAAAGGTAGAGATGTTTGAAGACACGAGCTGATGATACACTGCCCACAGTTTTAAGTAAAGAGAAAAGGAATGTAGACGAGTACACATTTTCATTTTTGGACTACCTTTTGATACAAAGTTGCTTGCATAACAAAGTTCTTATTGCGGTTGATTGAAAGCAAGATTTGAAGATAAGATAGGATTCAAAGTGGTATGGTGGTAGAGCCATTATGAAATCCATTTTTTGCAACACAAACTACTAGTAGGGTAAACTGTCTTGAGGAAGGATTTTTTTAAAAAAACAAGTTAACATTTACCGTGGTTTATGCCAGGCATTACACCTATTCCCATTGAAGACATTTTTTCATTTCACACTTGAGATTTGAGAAAAACCAATAATATGTGTGACCAAACGCTCTTATTTTTAAAAGTCAATAAACTTCAAAATCATCGAATAATTAACACTCCCATTGATTTTATCCTTCCAGTAAGAAGAAAAAATATCGGTGTAAAATACTCAAAGCCTGTTATCTGCCAAAAACCATCCTGCACATGCTGGATGATCACTCATCTGATTTCCTTTCCCCCAGCCTATTCTTTGAAGGTCACCTTCATGCCGATTGCCCTGTGGAACCTGCCATCGATCATGTACCCTGTGTGACGACGGGAGGGCTGCTGTAATGAAGGGCAGCATGTCTCCGCTTCTCAAAGGTGCCAAGCGTGCTGAGCTTTTGATGAATCAGCTTCTCCACATGTTCCTCCTATTCCTGCTTCTGATGCATCGTGTGGACAGAAAGCTTCCTCTGCTGGTGAAAATGCACCATCTGCAGAAGACATTTACCTCCGGCAAACAGAGTGTGGACACAAATCATTTCATGGAGTCTTTGTCCACGTGCCCCTGCTTGGTGCCACACCTGAGAGCCTACTGCCATGCTAGACAAATCTAAACTAGGGGTATCTCTCCTTTGAGGTAGGCAACTGCTCCTGCCAAAATACTCCCACGGTTGTGTTGTACGCCCCAAATGCTCCAGGCTCCTCCTGTACTCCAGTTCAGGTCTGATATGTCCCACTCTGGCTTCAGTGTCAGCCTCTATCCAGTGCAGAAGGTTAAATCTTTGGTGTTACTGCTCTGGCTTCAACGATGCCTTCTACTGCACTGGATTAAACTTCTGGTGTTACTGGCCCAAGTTCTATATCAGCTCCGTCCACACCAGCCTAAGTCATTACTACTCTGACATCAATATGGTCTTATACTGTACTAGCTTCAAATTTGGTATTTGCGCCAGCTACTGGCATCTACTGTTCCAACTCCAATTTCGACTTAAGCTCTGGCATTTATTTCTTTTCTGGTTTGTTATTTACCAAGGAATGGTTTTTCATATCATATGTAACCAGCTTGAGTAAAAGTTGAGCAGGAGTGCTTGGGAGTCTATTAGAATATAGACATAACAGGTTTCCCATCATTTTGCTATGGAGTCATATAGGATATCGGTCCATTGGGCCAAAGCAAATTGTGTCATATAAGGTAATGCCTACCCTCCAATCTACATATAAACAGCCAAGGAGGCGTCTATTAATTCAAACCTTAGTATTCTTCTCCTATTTTGATGCTTACTTATTTTCTTTTTGCCTTGTATCTGTTTACAAACGTAGAAGAGAATGAAGTACAAACAACTATTGTTGGATCAAGCCAAGAGAATTTTGCAACAAAAGAAGGTTGTTCACCTAACATAATTTCAAACCATGCTCATTTTTTCTTTCTACATCTATTTTATGCCAACTCCATACTGATGAGGCTATCAGTTGAACATCACCTCAACTTTCCGTTTTTTTCACTATTAAGTTGATGCTGATATAAGAGTACGATTGTGTGTACTAAGATGCAGCAGGCCATGACATGACTTTCATGGATCCAATTGATGAGAAGTGCAGGTATTTTGACTAGATCTTTCTGCATGAAAAGGATATTGTTGGGAATTGATCTTGATTGAGATTCTTGCAACTTGGAGAATGAAAGGAATTTATCTTCACAATCCTCCTCTTCTAGGAAGATGAATCAGTCACCACTTCTTGGAGCAAAGTTTCCACAATCCCAAAAGCTCACATCAATTATCTTGGTTTCTCGCTTAAGTACAGGTTACATGAGTTAATGGGCCAGGCCCATTACATTAAACTTTAAGTGGATCCGTTAGTAGTCTAATGGATCCACTTAACATAGGGAATGACAGAGAAGGATGAAAATACAGTGAAAAGAAACAGATAGAAAGGAAAAACAATCCTAGAGAGTTCAACACCCCATCTCAAGTTGGGTATGGATGTTTTCTATGCCCAACTTGGACACCATCCTTTGAAATATTGGTCTTGTAAGTCCCTTTGTGAATATGTCAGCAACCTGTTCTGATGTTCCAACATATATCAGATCTACATCTCCTGTTTCTACATTTTCTTTGATAAAATGTCGATCCACTTCAATATGTTTAGTCTTGTCATGTTGTACAGGATTTCGAGCAATAGCTATTGCCGACTTGTTGTCACATAATTATTTCACATGATTTGATTGGTTGTCTCAATTATAAGCATTCACATATCCCTTGGGCCAATGCCCTGAATCCTGTTTCAGTACTAGATCGTGCAACTGCTTGTTGCTTCTTGCTTCTCCTGGTCACAAGATTTCCACAAACAAATGTAAAATAGGCCAATCTTGATCTGCAATCTATAACAGATCCTGCATAATCAGCATCGGTGCAGATTTCAACAGATTGATTACCTCCTTTTTTGAATAAAATACCCTGTCCTGTTGTTGTCTTCAGATATGCCAACACTCGATATGCTGTCTGTAGGTGCATCTCCCTTGGCTCATTCATATGCTGAGTACATTTACTGCAAATGTTATATCCGGACAGGTATGATTTAGATATATCAATCTCCCAATCAACCGCTGACATGAGCTTTTGTCCACCTGATCAGAATCTTTACCTTCTCCCGAACTTAAGTTGGGATCAATTGGAGTGTCAACGGGTTTACTCTCTAATTTTCCAGTCTCTTGAAGTAAATCAAGAATATACTTGTGGTGTGAAAGAAATACACCTTCTTTTGAATACACAACCTCAATTCCCAAAAAATATTTTAACCTTCCTAAGGATTTGATATCAAATTCCCTAGATAGATTTTGGCCAAGGCATTTAATCTACTCAGTATCATCTCATGTTATGATGATATCATCTACATACACAACTAAGGCTGTGACCTTGTTTTGGTCACCATGTTTAATGAAGAGAGTGTGATCCCCATTGCTTTGTATGTATCCAAATCCGTTCATAACTTGAGTGAATCTCCCAAACCAAGCTGGGGGTGACTGTTTTAAGCCATATAGAGATTTCTTCAACCTGCAAACAACATTATTCTGACGGGTAAATGTGTAACCTGGAGTTATATTCATGTATACTTCTTCCTCCAAATTTCCATGAAGAAGTGCATTCTTCACATCAAACTGATGCATTTCCCATCCTAGATTTACTGCCAATGCTATAAGTATCCGGATGGTATTCAGCTTTGCAACAGGAGCAAACATCTCAAAATAATCAATTCCATAGGATTGTGAATAACCTTTAGCTACCAGCCTTGGTTTGTATCTTTCCAATGTTCCGTCAGCTTTATACTTAGGAGTATATACCCACTTGCAGCCAACCACTTTTTTCCCTAAAGGCAAAAGGACTAAGTCCCATGTACAATTCTTCTCTAGTGCATCAATCTCTTCATCTATGGCATGACTCAATTCTTTGTGTGACAGGGCCTCTTCTATTGTCTTGGGGATAACAATTGTCTTCAAGTTCATGAGAAAAGCCTTGTATGATGGAGTTAACTTATTATACAATAGGTAGTTGACCATAGGATAGAGTGATTTATTTATACAACTTCTCTTTCCTTTGTGTAACGCAATGGACCAATCTAGTTCCTCCTCATCAATAGCTTTAGTGAACTGATGATCCTCTTCTTGATCAGTATTATAAATTTGAGATGTGTCTCTTGTACTTGGACTAGTTTGTTCTGCTGGTTATCTCTACAATGCAGGTAAATCATTCATCTCACCTGGTATATTTTGTGTCTCCACTCTAGGTCGTCTCCTATACACTTATATTTCTTTGATTCTAGGAACAGGTGTCTCCTGAATCACGAGTCCATTTGTGTCCTATAACTCAGTGGCAGCAATCAAGTTCTAACTTCTGTGGATTTTTCACCCCATAATATGGTTCCAACTCATTAAAAGTCACACTTGCTGCGATGAAGAGTTTTTTAAAAGCAGGATTATAACACTTATAACCTTTTTGTGTAGTTGAGTACCTAACAAATATGCACTTTATAGATTGTGGATCAAGTTTTCCCACTATGCCTTGAGCATGAACATAAATAGTACATCCAAGTACCTTTGGACGAAGATGAGTCTTTAGTTTCACATGAGGATAGAATTTACTCAACAGTTCCATAGGACTTTGATATGCATGTGTTTTTGCTGGGATCTGATTAATAAGATGAGTACTAGTGAGGACAGCTTCACCCCAATATTGCCTCGGAACCTTTTGTTGAAACAAAAGAGCTCTAATTGTATCCAGTAATTGTCTAATTTTTCTCTCAGCCACCCCATTTTGTTAGGGTGTATTGACACAAGATGATTCATGAATTATCCCTTTCTAATCAAAGTAAGAGGATACAGCCGAATTGAAATAGTCCCTAGCATTATCTGATCTGAACCTCTTGAGAACAGTTCCCAATTGATTATAGATCATTTCACAAAAAGATTTCACCACTTGGGTGACATCTGATTTTGATTTTAGGAGGTAAACTCAAGTAAACCTAGTACAATCATCAACAAATAAGATAAACCACTTGCATCCAGACAAGCTAGTCATAGGCGCTGGCCCCCAAATATCACTGTGTATACGATATAAAGGGATTGTACTATGTTCACCAGCATTTCCAAATGAGGAACATTTGTGTTTGGCCAATTGACAAGCATCACACACTAAAGTTTTTGCATCAACACCTTCAAAGATAAGAAGGAAACCATGGTTTTTAGGAGATCAAAAGAAAGATGTCTAACACGACAGTGTTGTAACAGTATACTATTCTTTTTGTGTTCACTAACTCCACTCCAAGGTGACTGCTGTATAGAAAGAGTTGCACAATCATCCTCTTCCCAGTAGAGCAAGCCTCCTCCTTCCTTAACATGTCCAATCTTCAGCCCTGAGACCTTGTCACACAATGAATATCCATAGTCCTAAAAAATGAAACGACAATTAATATCTTTAACAAGTTTCTGCAGTGAAATCAAATGAGCCTTTAGTATAGGCACATCTAAAACATTCCTTAAAGTGCCTAAATGATTTATTTTCAAGTTCCCAATCCCTTCAACAAATAGAATCTCACCAACAGCAGTAATACTTTTCTCTGCCCATCACATTTCGTATAATCAACAAATTTGCACATATTTGAGGTCATATGGTCTGTAGTGTCAGAGCCAAGTATCCAAGACAATTTAGAAAAACTGTTGAATGCATATGATTTTGAGAAAAGTTTACTCTCACCTGACTGAACCAAGAACGTAGAGCTCAGCATATTCTTGAGTTTCTCTACTTCCTCCCTCAGTCTTTCAATTTCATCACCCTTCTGCTGATTACTAGGATTGGGACGTTCCTTCATTGTAGATTGACCTTCTATAGTCTCTACTGGTTGAGAAGTAGCCACATACACCCTCCCCTGTTGAGGTGGTCGTCCATGTAGCTTCCACCAGTTTTCTCTTGTATGCCACTTCTTCTTGCAATATGAACACCGAAGTTTTTCTTTGTTATCCCACTTCTAGTGTCTTCCTTGTGATTGAGTTTTGATTTTCCTCCTTTTTCTCTAATTGATTCCCCTTATCTTGTTTGCTGAAGGTGAAGGCTGTTGACTCATTCTTCCCAATATTAATTAAGCTTAATCTGCTCTCCTCTTCCATAACAATCTGGATAGCTTCATCCAAATCAGGTACCGTCTCATGATGGAGAATTTGACCCTTGAAACTTTCATATTTAGAGTTCGGTCCCATTAGAAATGTATACATTCTGTGTTTCAATGTATACATGAGTTCCTCAGAACTAGGATTCTTTACTGGCCAATAATGGTCAATCTCCCTCCATATAGCCTTTAATCACACGAATATTTCATAACTGACTGACTGACTTGTACTAAATGTGTTGCCTTAGACACCAGGCCATAAATCCTTCAATCATTATGTTTCTTTGAATAGCTTTTATGAATTTGATCCCACAATTCCTTCACCAAGTGCATGAATAAGAAATTCTCATACATCTCTAGTGTCATTGTACTTAGCAGCCATGTATGGATAATAGGCTCTTTTGATTTCCATCCTCTATATTTCGTATCTTACTGCTTCAATGGTTCTTCTATAAGGTGATATGTTAAGCCTCTTCCAAGAAGCGTCAGATCAACAAACTGCTCCCATTGATGAAGATTTATCTCATTGAATCTAAGTTTCTCTGGGATATTCGAGAGAGTATGATATAGTCTCTCCCTTTCTCCGGTCATTGGTGGACATGATGTGAGTTCCATGGATGATGAAGAGCCTTCCCCTAAATGCATTCTGAAAGTTTTTTTCCATCATACTTTTCAGAATGCCTCAGTTCGTTGCTTGCGGGAAGTTTCTTTCTTCCTTAGTATTGCTCCAACACAAAGACAAGAAAAAACAAGATTCATGAAACAAGAAACAAGAAGTATCTGATCCTACCAGAATCAGCACCGCTCTAATACCATGTTGAGAATTGATCTTGATTGAGACTCTTGCAACTTGGAGAATGAAAGGAGTTGATCTTCACGATTCTCCTCTTCCAAGAAGATGAATCAGTCACCACTTCTTGGAGCAGAGTTTCCACAATCCCAAAATCCCATTACACTAGACCTTAAGTGGATCCCATTAACAGTCTAATGGATCCACTTAACATACGGAATGACAAAGAAGGACGAAAATACAGTGAAAAGAAACAAATAGAAAGGAAAAAAAATCCTAGAGAGTTCAACAGATATGAATAATATAACACTGATAACTAAGCCCCCTCAACCTTTACTAGTTTAAACATTCAATCCCACTTCTTGAGACACCTTTTCACCGAACTAGCCATAGGATGTAAATTTACCCTTGAATTCGGACTTAGTATTTGCCTAGTTATATAATTTGTCGTCTGGTTTTGATCTTATCAATCAATAATAATATGTAATTTGACTTCTCCCATCACTTAGGATTTTTCTCTGAATCAAATGGGTTCTCTGAGCATCAAACTAGTTTACACGAAAACCCACACGAATAAAGTATTTCACCAAAATGATTGAAGGCTAACAGCCATTCTTAAAAATGAAAACCAATAAGGAACATTAAAAATGGCAAATAACAAATATATAATAATTGAATAAAGGTCAATTGTCTTTGGGATAATAAACACAAATAAAAAACTTGTGAAAATAAACAAGTCTCAAGACCTATACTTGCAATTACCTATCTTTTTCCAATTTTTTCCTTTGTAACATTGGACAGCTCGGAAGAGCATAGCATCCTGCAAATGACTCAAAAAGGACACCACATATCAGAGAATAATCAAACAAGGTTGGATAACTAAGAAGAAGGTTGAAAGAGTCAAATAATATGCAAGGGTCTGTCACGTTCCAAAAGATGGCATATAATGTCTTAAATGATGAAAATAAATTACTCAGGGCGATGTCTAGGAGAAAAAAAATGCTCCGAACATTTCCCCATAACTATGGACGGATAATTACTGTAATCACGAAGAGTGCGTGATAACCTTTTTCCTAGCATACATTAGATACTTAGAATGTGTGCGTGTGTGCTCACATTAAACACACGTCCACAGACACACAGAGAACTGGAGTGAGGGGAAGGGTTGGAAAGAAGAAGAGAACCTGAAAATTAATCCCCAAATCATCTAAAAATATTCTGCAGTCTCATGGATAGCTATGATAATTTCATACAAAGATTAGAACTTGATATATCGTTTAGAGCAACCATGAGATACATCTTCCCATTCAAGGATTTCTAAGCGTGGAAAGAATTCTGTCAAAAATGACATTTTTGTCCAATAAAAGGTGAAGCAAAAACAAAATTAAAGCAGAAACAGACAAGGTCTCGACCTACAGTACGTATTCTTTGTAGATCACAAAAAGTAACAAGCACAAGATCGTAGGGCATGGAAATTCATATTTTAATTTAGCTCTAATGACGTTGTGAACCACTGCCATCGTCCAGAAGAAAAAAGTAGGTCACTTTATCAGGAGTGTTCGGAATGGCCTCATGAGTGGAGAAGGCCATGGATTGTTAGCGTGAGTCAGAAGACAAAGTCTAGCCGAAAATGAGACCTAAGACTTTAGTTTATGAGTAAAATGAAAATAACGAAAGCATATGTTCAAATCAGAAATCTACAGCCACAACTAAGTTCGCAAGGAATCATTTAACTAGTTGACAAATTCCCTACTTCCTCCAGGGCATGAACATTTGCCCCACAAGCCAGTAGTGAAATACTTTACCATCAGACTCTAGATGACTCATATTATTACTGCATCTGTACAACGTCTGGATGCGAATGAAAGTTATGAGAAAAAAAAATTATCTTCTAGATACACGTAATTTTTTTTAGTTTTAATGATTGTTCCCAAGCTTATTGATTGCAACCAAACGTAGTGAAAATGTGCTCAAAAGTTGCAGGGTCGAACCTTGATTCTGGAACTGAAAAAGCCACCTTGTGTCTGGGCCTTACGGCAGGTATATTTGCAACTGTTGCCACATGAATAGTCGGTCCAATCGATAGTAACAAAATCATAGGTTTGAGAAGATACCAGGGGACCTCTTAATTGAAGAAACATACGTCACACAGAAAAACAACATTAAGGCATCCTAAAGAGACCATGATGCCACCCGCGCAGATAGAATGGCTTCCATGTTTTAAGGATAATAATTTATACAAGATGACTTGTAATTTGTCGAACGAAAGAAAAGGCCAGATGAGAACGCAGTCCTAAATGCTTAATATGCGAACATAAACGTTCGAGAAGACTTACTTCTTCAGGTGTCCAGTTTCCTTTTGTCGAGCGCCTAGTGGGACCACTTGTCCTCCTACATAGTATCGTTTGGCATAGTAAAACTTCAGTAAATTTCTTTCATTTACCTACTTCACCAGTACATAGGAATTGAAACAGATGAAATTGAAAATCAAGTTGGACTCAGGAAGAAGAGCACAAGTGGAGAAATGATTCTGAATATTTACCCATGAAACGGCCTCGGTTTCTGACAATGGACGCTGCTCTCTTCATGGGAATCAGTCGCAGTCATTTCACCTATCCCCATAGTTCGTTGGCATGAAGTTCACCAGATGTCCTCTACTATCAGGTGAACTTGCATATCTTGTTTCCTGACAAATGCAGCACTTGATAGGGCCCAACATTCATCACACGGATCCGCCGGTATAACAGATGTGAAGATTATTTCATCACTGCCTGTATAACAATCAAACAACCCCATCCCAATTAGATAAATAAAAGTTTTTAAATAAATTATCTAATAGGATATTCTTTCTATTTGTCCGCGGCTACACACACGTCCAGAAAGAGAGAAAATTATCCAGCTCATTGTCCCTTAAATAATAGTAGAGATGAGACGCCATGGACATTTTCATGAAGAAATTCACCAGATCTGCGAGAGAGACAACGCTTGATATTTTTTCCCACCTAATTCCGCACTAACTTCTTTGGAAAACCTGCATTCTAGTGTATCGGTGGCGGAGGTAGGGGGGTTTGGGGAGTGGGGAAAGAGAGAGAGAGAGAGAGAGAGAGAGAGAGAGAGAGAGAGAGAGAGAGCGAGAGAGAGAGAGAGGGGGGGGAGAAGAGAAGAGAGAGAGCGAGCAAGCGAGAGAGCGAATTACAACCTTGCTCAGGGGAAAGACGATGTCGGTGACCGCTCCTGGTACCGTTCTCTCACCCGCCGGCAGATGCTTCGGAGCGCACGAGCGGATGCAGGCTACGTCGGAACTGTGAGACTGCCGAACAGAGAGAGAGAGAGAGAGAGAGTTAGCGCCTCCCTTCGTGTTTGAATTGTGAAAAATAGCGACGTCAGCGGGCCCATCCGTTATGGGCCTACAGTCGTAAACGGACTTCTGGCAAGTGCAGAGTCCGGCCCAGCCCAATTTACTCACAGCTTGTATCCCCCACCGACTTGGGCGATAAATAACAATGGGCTTGGCCGGCCCGGTTCTCTGATCATCCGACCTGGAACACAGTTGTCCTCTCCATTCCTTAGCTCTCCTATCCCCACGAAGAATCATAAATATTTCTCGATTAATTATAACATAATTATGTCATTACTACATCATTATTTAATTTGAAAAATTCATATATAATATTATTAAGTGGTATGGCTCATAATTAAAATATATGAGAAAAATATCAGTTATTAGTCAACTTAATTTTTTCCACTTTTAATGAAAAAATATATTCATTGTATATAATTTTAAGATCAATTAATAACAGTAATTATTATATACAATTATCTATATTACTAGTAAATAATATATGTGACCCTGGTCTTCTTCTTCTTCTTCCTGCTATCACTCTACTCGAACGGCAGACTCTTACAATGGCCTAGACTGACTAGGCCGATTGACGCCCCTAAATAATAATAATAATAATAATAATGTTATCACCATCCACTTTGGCTTTTTTAGTTTTTGATGAGAGGTCGGCTGGCTGGAGGGGAGGCGCATCGTCGCCATGGCTTCTTGCTCCCAGCCACTGCTGTCACTGCTGGAGAGGTGCTCTGGCATGAGAGAGCTGAAGGCTGTCCACGCCCAGGCCATCGTGCTCGGCCTCGCCCGCTACGCCTACATCGCGGCTCGCATCCTCGCCTTCTGCGCTATCTCCCCCAGGGGGAGCTTCAGCTACGCACGGCAACTGTTCGATAGAATCCCCCTTGCCACCGTCTTCCACTGGAACACGATGATCCGGGGTTGCTCCATGAGCCGCCGCCCCGAGGAGGGCCTGCTCTTCTACGCCATGATGCGGCGGCGGGGGGTCGACCCCAACATGCACACCTTCCCCTTCACCCTCAAGGCCTGCATCCGCTCGTTCTACCTGCAACAGGTGCACGGGCAGCTTCTCAAGTTTGGTTTCCATGGCGATGTCTACGTGGTGAGCTCCATGGTCAAGGCTTACGCCGACTGTGGGAACATGAAGCTTGCCTTCCAGGTGTTTGATCTTAGTCCCAATAAGAACGTCGTGTGCTGGACCAGTCTCATCTCCGGGTGCTGCGCCCAGGGCGACGTGGCCCGTGCGAGGCTTCTGTTTGACGAGATGCCCGAGAAGAACGACTCCTCCTGGAGCGCCATTATCAAGGGTCACGTCCAGAATGAGCTCCACGCTGAGGCGATTGAGCTGTTCCGCACCATGAAAGCTTCCGCAGAGGTGAAGCCCAACGGCTCTGTTCTCGTGAGCGTGTTGGTCGCGTGCTCTGCTCTGGGCGCCTTCGCCGAGGGGGAATGGGTGGAGTCGTATATAGATAGGGAAGGCTTGGACTGTGGCCTGGAGCTGGGGACAGCCCTGATCGATTTCTATACCAAATGCGGCCGATTGGAGGACGCCAGGAGGGTGTTCGTCAGAATGATCAAAAGAGATGTGACGGCATGGAGTGCCATGATCATGGGTCTTGCTGTGAACGGACGTAGCCGCTCGGCGCTTGACGTCTTCTCTGAGATGCTGCTGCACGGGGTTGCGCCGAACGCCGTCACGTTCATCGGCATCCTCTGCGCCTGCAACCATGCCGGCCTGGTGGAGGAAGGTCGGGCGAACTTTAAAGCTATGAGCGAGGTCTATAGGATCTCTCCCACCGTCGAGCACTACAGCTGCATGGTGGATCTGCTAGCGCGAGCGGGAGATTTGGTCGGCGCGGCAGAGCTGATCGGGCAAATGCCAATGGAGCCCGACGGCGCCATCTGGGGATCCCTACTCCGCGGGTGCGTCTCACATGGCTGCGCGGGGCTGGGAGTAGGCGTGGGCCGGCGGGTCATCGAGCTGGACCCTCGCCACGGCGGGCGGTACGTCGGCCTGGCGAACGCGTACGCCGCCGCGGGCCGGTGGGACGGCGTGGCGAAGGTGAGGAGGATAATGAAGGAGCGGGGCGTGGCGACAGATTCCGGCTGGAGCTCCATCGAGGTGGGCGGCGCCGCCCACCGGTTCCTGGTAGATGACCGGCGACATCCTCACTGGCCGGCGATTCACGCCATGCTCCATGAACTGAACAAGGAGTTGGATCCTTCGAGCTGAGGTAAGGTCTGAGGGGGGACCCTGGGGGGGTCTCCATGGCGGCATCGGCAACTGGTAGAAGTCCAGGAGATTTGCCAATGGAGGTTCGGTGGGTGGGTCAGCGACGGAGAGAGCGGACTCCGCCAAGCTCGGGCCCAGCGCGGAAAAGCACTGGTGCAGGCTTTCAAGCTCCCAAGATTTGCCATTTTTTCGGTAAGATTTGCAGTCTGCTACACTGATTCCTTGGCTTCTTCGCTCGCCCTCACTATTTTCCTCTTAATCTTAATAGGGATGAAGTTTGACGAACAGCGTGGAATCTGAGAGCCTTCTTCCTCCTACGTCTCATCTCAAAAGAGGTGGATCGCCTGCTTCTATTGGCTATCGCAATATTGCTATCTCAAGCAGCTGATGCTAGTTCTATGCTTCTGCTCTTCGAAAGGGTTACTTTTGGTGTCACCCGCATAGCTCTCTCTCTCTAAAATATGCATAAGAATGGGCAAGATTTGCCCATTTTCAGAACCAGAAACCTTGGGTCACATCAATAAAGACTAGCTGTGGGTGATCTTCGTAAAGATTTTATATGGGTAATCAGACCCCGTAGCAAGCCCGGTCGACTCCTGGGTATTAGCTTTCAACCCCAGGAAAGCTCGGCTGGCCCGGGCCTGGTTGATCATCATCCTGGATCATACGAGGAAGCTTGTCATGATTAAATGCTCAACTTTTGGAAAGAAAGAGCCAGGGGAAAGAAGCCAAAAGCTGACTCGGGAGGAGACGAGTGGGCATCTTCCGAGCCCCGATTTTCACCAGAATTTCGACACAGAGTTACTAGCCCCCGAGGAGAGAGAGAGAGAGAGAGTGAGAGAGAAATGGATTGCTGTTCTTGACATCATGCTGTCGATGAAGATAGATATTACAGAATCCTGTCAGTCAGTAGAAAGCAAAAGAAGCGAGGACATACCAAAAATCTAGGTTTCTGGTTAGTGTCTGTCTACCGTTCCTTTGTGTGTCAGTTCACATCTTCCTCTCTCCCTCCCTCTCTCTCTCTCTCTACACCCCTCTTTCTTTCTCTCTTTCCTCTGATCCAAAATGTTCCATGACGTAAACCAGCGTCGATTTCATATCATTCGATTCCATAAATGGGAGTCTGAAAATGTGCCATACCGCTCTTCGGACCTTGGTCGTAGGGCTGCATGGGGTACCCGATCGGCGTCACCCAGTTTCCCACATAGCCCGGAGCATCGCCGCCGCGGCTGCTCCCTGGGGGAACGGATGCGGCGTAGGAAACGGAGTAGCCCTGGCTCTGGGTCTGCTCCTCCTCCTCCTGCTGCTGCTGCTGCATAATCCCGCCGCTCCAAAAGAAGCTCCCATGGCCCTGAACTGTGGCCGAAGAGAAATCCACGTTCACGGGGGGCGGGTAGCCGCCGTCGGCCTTGGGAATCTGCTGGTTGTGGAGGGCGAGCAAGGACCAGTAGTCATGATGTTGCTGGTTCTGGCTGAGGGGCAGTGCTAGACCGAGCAGCGATGCCGCCGGCGCCGGTAGGTCGATATCTCGGCCTTCGCCCTGCGGCCTCCCGTCTAGACTCCTCGTCTCCACCGACGAAGATGGGGAGTCGGCAGGCTTGGAGGTCCTCCCTCCGGCCATTCCGCCGACGGGGAGGTTGCTGGCGACGATGCTCTTCACGTCGTAGCGGCTCATGTCGAAGTTGGTCACGGCGTTCAACCCCCGGAACTTGATCGCCGCGATGTCGTACGCCTCCGCCGCCTCCTCCTGCGTGCCTGAAGATAGGAATATTAAACCCGGCGCCCCTTAGGACTCTTCCATCGTTCATTCGATCGATAGCTTGAGAGCTTACTGAAGGTTCCCAGATAGAGGTCCTTGTTGCCGGCCACCCTCCCGATCCGAGCCTGCCATCTGCCGTGCTGGTGATGCCTGCAGTTTGAACAAGACCCAGAAGATTCAGCGAGCTTAGAACAGACGTCCTACCGAAAGTTTTCACTTGGAGATGGCATAACCTTGTTACGCCACGATAGATCGAGGCTCCCCTGGAAAACCCGCTGCTTTTCCTGTCGAAACAACAAAAATCGTCAGCGATGTTGACTGAGGGGTACCGGGCAGTGCTAAGCCAGCAAGGATGATAATGGCGAAGTCAGACCTTCGAAGAGAGGCGACGAACTCCTGCCGGGTCATGTTCTTCATTTCCTCCATCTCCTTCTCGTAGCTCGAAACCTGTTGCAGACAGCGTGGAGCTTACATTATTCTCACCCTCTTACCAACCTCCAAGTGAAGAACGAGCCAGAGCGAAAGAGAGAGAGATACAGGGAAGTTGGTGGTAGTGGTCGGTCCCCAGTACTTGAGGGCGGCGAGGTCGTACGCCCTCGCGGCTTTCTCCTCCTTATCATATCCACCTGCAGGGCATAGTTTCTCATGATTTCATTGTTGGAATCCCATAAAACGAAAAATAAGGCGTCCATTTCCTTCTGAGAAACTGTTGCAGAGTATCGACTAAACTCACCCAGGTAGACTGAGGTGAGGAGCAGAAGCAGAGAGGGATCGTCAAAACCCCGGATTACACCACGCGCGGGGGAAAAGAAGAAGAGGAGTGAGAAAACTTCCTCATGCGAACATATGAACAGCTTCTTCAGAACCCCTTTCGGTGCTCTTCCAAAGGATGAACAGAGAAAATACACACACTTATGTATACTACCTTGCCTTCCCTTCCTGCTCTGGCCTTCTCTCCGGCAGCTGTTGTCCCACAGATGAGCCTCGTAACGCCCCGTCCACCTGTGCCTTCAGAGGCCGGGAGAAGAATAAAATAAAAATTAAAGTTGTTCCCCCTATTTTTATTCAACTACCACAGGAAAAATCAAGCTCACTTACCTGGTAACACCGCGGTAAATAGAGGTCCTCTGTCCGAAGCCGTCCACCGCCTTCTTGGACTCTGCCGGCGCCACCGCTGTCGCTGGCTCCTTGTTGCCGCCGTCGGACTCCTGATGGTAGGGAGGGAAGTCCTGGAGAAGCCCCGCAGCAATGGTCTTCAAGTCGGAGTCGTAGATCCCCGCGCCTGTATCGGGCTCGGCGCCGTTACCGGAGATCCGCGCCGCCAGTTCGCCGCCGCGGCCGCCGAGGAAGTCCTCCAGCTTGGGGCCGCAGGAGCCCACCGTCGACATCGCTTGATCCGCCGACCCGACGACGATTGCACCGCCCTTCTCATCCGCTCCTTGCACCGCCACCACTCCTGAACGCATGCGACGACAGAAGATTATAAGAATAAACGGCGACGGATACTATGAGGTTAAACAAGAGCAGAAGCAGTGGTTACCGAGGTGATTGTCGTGGGAAGACGAGTTGAAGGCGTCCAGCAAGCAGTGCTGGTTGGAGAGCGAGAAGGCTAACCAGTCCATGCCTGCAGGAGAGAGAGAGAGAGAGAGAGAGAGAGAGAGAGAGAGGAGGGTGGTCAGAGGAAGAGTCGAAGAAGGAAAGAGGAGAAGACGACACAGATATAGAGGTCGAGAGGGAAGCAGACAGGAGAGAGTGTTTGTGGAAGAGAGAGAGGGTGAGGAGTGGAGAGTGCGCGAGGTCCAAGACTTCCAAGTTTAATACAAAAGAGACGGTTTTTATAAAAAACATATTTCAAGCGGGTAAACAGTAAAGACGAACGACGGCCGCCAAATGGAGGGTTTTCACGGGCCGGCTAGGGCGGTCTCCAGGACCGTCGACGTGGTGGGGAGGGAGGGAGGGGAGAGAGAGAGAGAGAGAGAGAGAGAGAGGAAATGAGGTGTTCATCCCTCAGTGGGTGTGTAGTACGCGTGGATTTGGTGTCATCCGCCCACAGTGATTCATCGCGGTTTCCGCAAGGATCCAAAGGAGAGGATAGCTCCGCAGTGTTGCAGCCGTTAAAAGATGACCGCAGTAGTTTGGACGGACAGGCAGAATGAAGGCGGACCTCATCGAGAGAGAGAGAGAGAGAGAACTCCCTGAAGAGCCAGGGGGCAGCTGTTCTTCTTCAAAGAAGGTGCAACACGTCTGCCGAAACCCAGCTTAATGGGAAAATATGGGGTTGAAGAATCATAGCACTTGCCGCTTTCGTGGTATTTGTAACCTGGAAGTGGAACGCCTCTCTCTCTCCCTCTCTCTCTCTCAGTCCGCCGATATCGCCAATGAACAGATAGATGTTAGCCAGGCATTCTTCTCGGACGCGTAAGCAGGTTGAAGGAGCCTTCTTCACATCTATCGAACTGGGATCTACAAAATACCATGCACATCTCTCTCTCTCTCTCTCTACAGGAGGTCCATCGTGGGCCTCCGTCTCCCCCCAGCAGTGGTGGATCCCACAACTGGCAGCGTCTGATCGCCATCACATGGAGGATGTTGGCCTCCCTTTTCTGTCGAAAGAGGAACTCGCCGCCTGATGGGTGGCGCGTGCCGCCGTTGAACGAGAAAGAAGAACTAAAGGCGCGGCGAAAGAGACCGGAGAAAGAAGGAAAAGAAGAAGAGCAAGCAAAACGACGGGATGCCGAAGAAACCTACAAAACAACGGTCAAATCTCAATCGTCCGCCGGTGGGGCCTCCTCCATCTCTCTCTCTCTCTCCCCCACACCCAAATCCCCCTTCTCCTGCCGGTCATCAGGCGGCATTGTGGTGCAGTTTCTGAAATGCATTCAGTCGCCGAAATAGGAATGATTGAGGATATCTCTTACGGGTGATCCAATCCGGGCTTTAACATGGTCATCCACGGAAGCCTCTTTTTTTCGAAAATTTCTTCGAATCTGGTTCTAGCAGGAGCCTTACTTACTTACATAGCAGACATCTGGGCTTCGGACGGGACTTGACGTGGCCCGTCAACAGGTCCGCCCTTCGTGCTGCTATTCTGAGCCGGTTGACCGTATTAATGGGGCCAGGGATCGTTATACTACGCTGCACAAGATGATCAAAATAATTCCCCCCCCCCCCTCCCAAGGGTAGGCCTCCAATTATATGAAATTACCTCGGCATTTATGCAAAATATGCCTGCGAAATTGCTCACATCGACATGGAAGAGTGGTGAAACAGATTTCTTTTCCAAAGATAAATGGTAAGTTTTCTTAATTCATGTGATAATTTAAAAATTACCCAAAAAATAGATAGTACTCCCGTCGATACCCATGCACCCACCAGATTTGCGAGACATTTACCTTCCACATTCACAGAAGATCATTCCCCACCAGCCATTAAATAACATCAACTTTTTCGCACGGCCAAAATAAGATAATCCTCGGGAGCAGCCGAGGGCTAACCGTAGTACGTCAGAGTTGTTCGTTGTTTATTGGAGAGTCAGCAGAGCGTGGCGGCATCTCCAAGACCTTGCACGTGCTACGGGGGTGCGCGAACCGCAAGGGTACGTACGACAGACCGCAACGGGCGGCCGCACGTGGGGGCGGGCTTCAGCCGGTATGGTCGGTGGCTCCGCCGTCTCATGCGGACGGAAGGGGCCGTCGGCCCGGCGGCGGCCGGCGTCTGACATGATGAGGCGGCGTGGCTCTGTCTTGCCCCGCAATCTGGTCAAAGGAGCCGCGGAGGGGAGATATGATATATATATATATAGGATGGAGAGAGAGGGAGAGAGAGAGAGAGAGAGAGAGAGAGGGCGGTCGTAGTGCTATCTCCTGGCCATGTGGGAAGAGGGGGGGGGGGTTAAGAGAGAATGCTGCAAGTATTTACAGGAGTTCCACGTTCACAGAAGCCAGTGGAGGAGAAAGAAAGATGGAGGTTCTGACGAAGAGTGAGATTCAAGACCCCGCGATCAGAACGGTAATTAGAGCCCCACGCTCTTCATATGGCGCATCATTAGATCATCCGTTATAGACTCACGCATCAAACTTAGAGGGTAATATCACAAGTAGCTGTATAATTGATAAAAATAATTGTGCAGCTTTTTTCAATATAATTTATTTGAACTCTTTAACATGGCTGAGTACTCCTAGGAGGGCCCAACCTAACCAATTGACCTCTTGACATACCGTTGACTATATGATATGATCCATAGTGTTCGCCCATGGGTGCAATTGAGTCTCCATTAGATAAATCTTCTAACTGACACGTGGGCAATCTAAACTAATTACCCAGTGTCAGCGCGCTGAGATTGGGCGGGGTGATCCTAATTGGGGCCTAGTAGAATGGAACTTGCCTGGGCCATCTAGACTCTTTTCCTTGTCGAGCTCAAACGGGCTCATCCGTGTACCCGTCGGGCGTTGTGCGAATCGGGTCAAACGTTCTCCTTCTCAGAAGGGTAGGCAGAGTAGAGGTAGTGGGAGATCCATCTGTCCTCTTTTCCAACCTCCCCTTGCTCCCACCCCCATGGTTTTTATCTTCTTTTCCTCACCTTCGGCGGCTACCCCACTCAGATCCGTATCACCGGCGAGATCAACCACCGGGAGATTGTTGTCGTCCTCGCCGTCGACGATGGCGCTGCCTCCGCCATCTCCAGACAGCAGGGCGAGGTCACTTGAAAGCTTCCCAGCGTGGACGTGGCCCTCGACTTTGACGAGCAGGAAGCTGAGGAAGAAGACGCCCTCCGTCAACGTGTCGCCGCCTATGAACTCCGCCATAGGGTGATGCCAACGCACCCTCTCGAGAATGCGCTGATACTCACGGATTTTAAGTCACCTCTCAAGAGTTTTCAAAAGAAATGAAGCGATAAATCCAGTATTCTTGAACTATCTGAGATGAAGAGAACCCTCACCGTGGGCAAGACGTAACCGGGTGGGCTAAACATGGACGGGCCAAGAACCACAGAATAGTACCTATGACTCCCTCCATACTCCCCCCTTCATTTTTATATCTCAGATATATCCATTTGAGATTTCATATACAAAATAATAGTGACAGTATCTTTAAGCCTTTCATGCATAACTTTAATTATGAAACATTGTTAATAATTTAAAATCTGCCGTATATGGACTCCAAGTCCCACGAGACAGTTTTCTCCTATACTAGGTCAAAGCTACGTCATATTCCTTGATATGTTCATATAAAACTCAAGATTTTTAAATACTAATCGGACAAAGTGTATGCAATAGTACTTGTGAGAAACTGACTTTTTACAAGCGGTAAAAAACTGTAAAATTTAATCAGATATTTAGAGTTGTCATAGAATGCTAACTACCCTAGAACAAGGAGAGAAATGGTAATATATATATATATATATATATATATATATTATATCTAGACACAGCGAGAGAGAGAGAGGGAGAGAGAGAGAGAGAGAGAGAGAGGAAAAACCAAATTATTTTTAAATATTGGTTAAAGAAAGAACAAAGAGTAAAAGAATGGACATATTTTTCATCAAACATAAAATCAAGTAGTAAAAATAGATATGTGTATAGTTGTTTATTTAAAATAAAGAAAATTGATTATTTCTGCTGACATACATAATAAATGAAGTATCTAATTAAATTTTTTGTATTTTTCATAAAGAGTAATATTAAAGCTAGATTTATGTGTTTTAATTAGTTTTATTATTTATTTATTTTTTAACTTGCAGAATAAATATAGGATATATTGTTAATTTTAAAAGTTTAAAGTTAGAATACTGTGTAATTTTTTATTATTAAAGTAAAAATAATAAAATATAAAAAAATTCTGCTTGTTGGCAAGCCAACATTTGGTAGCTGACCCAGAGGGGAGACAACAGTCGAGCGGGTAGACTCAGACCGGGGGAGCCACGAGCTAGGCTTGACTGGCGAAGGCCTCACTCCGCGCACACGTGTGTCTCTCCCCTTCCACATCTTAGTGGCCAACTAGTTGTGGGGCAAAGCGCACTTGTGCACACGTGCACGTGCCAGGGTGGACCACCTTATTGCCTCCTCCCAAGATGGTCCTGGACATTATTTTATTTCATGAGAAGGGATCTCTACTTAGAGACGTAGTTTTAGTTTATATTCGGCATATGTTTTGAAATATTTCCGATGTGGGACTAAACATTTTCATTTGTTTCAGTACAACCATCTAGAGCATGGTGTGATCCAGTGGTATGCAAAGAGTCACGTCATCCGATTTGTCTGATCTTGTGGCTGGCAAACTGTCATGATACTAAATGTGTAAAGTGATCTATCGGCGGTTTGCAAATCTGATGCCGCTCAGCATGCACGTAGCCTTAAACGCCGATCCGACGGCTATGGAGGTACCACGATACTAGAACATAAGTTCCTAAATGGCAGCAGTTCGTAGCAGGTTGTTCTTGTGTCTCTCAGAGAGCCACGTGACCAAGCTCATTTGATCCAGCAGCTCTTGGAGCGCTACGATACTGAGAACTTCTCACATGTATCACCGTCAAAGATATAAAGACAATAATTGATTATTATCAAGTAAAATAGATAATATCAATTATCTTTAAAATCCCAACAATAGTCGTGAATAAGGCAATCCGTTCTTCCCTCCTTTTGCACGATCGACGTCTCCGGTGATTGGCAAACTTCTTCCTTCCTCCTCGACTGCACTCAAGGCCTCCAGTGAGTGGTCAGCTCTTCCCTTTTTTTCCCAGACAACGGTGACAGCATAGTCAACTCTTCTTTCGGCAGATCTCTCTAGCAAGCAGCGCAGTGCTTCCAAACAATACTTCTGTGACTTCCGGCGTGGTGTGACATGACCAAACAAAACCAAGCCACCACACTAGTATCTTTAGTTGCCCAGGAGACAGATTAAACTTGGGCAATGATTTATTTCCTACTTTCAGTATTTACTTACTTGCTTTTGTCATTTATTTACATTTTATGGCAAATTATTTCCATTTCATGCATGTTTCAATTGAAATGAGTAGAACTAATTCAAAACTTGATGAATGATCTTCTTTCTTCTTCTGAATCCTCCCAAACTCGTCTGAGATCAAGCTAAGATCGTTTCTAACTTATTTTCTATTAATTTTCGTAGTTGAATCTCGACATATTTACATTCTTGACATTTTGCGAATAACGAGTATTTTTTTATTTTCAAACATGAAATCACTAAGATTAAAGGCTGATTAATAAACATTCAACGGTTAAAACAAGTTGGAGACATTCACGGCTGACCTCATGTTGTGTGTGAATCTTCGAGCACACATTCGTCTGAAAAAATGGGTTGACCGTATTTCTCTCTCCCTTCATTTTCTTCTTATTTCTCTCTCTCCCTCTCTCGTGAGACCTTTCTTCTCTCTCTATTTCTCGTGAGACCTCTCTTCTCTCTCTACCTCTTGTGAGATCTCTCCCTTTCTCTCCCTCTATCTCGATTGATCTCCTTCTCTTTTTCTCTCTCGTAAGACTTTTATCTCTCTCTCTCTGTCTCACATGAGATTTCTCTCCTCCTCTCTCTTCTCTCTTTCTTCTTTCTCTCTTTTCCTCCTTCCTTTTCTCCGCTTCTCTTCCTTTATTTTTCTCACCTCACTTTTCTATTTTATTATTTCTATTAAGTATTAATAAAATATTAAAAGTCACTTTATATATAAATTAAATTAGTTTTCACGACGGATTAGTTAATCTCCTTATGTTCAACTTGAGACTTACTTCTATACTAATATTTTATTAAGTCTTAGTTATAAATATTATTAGATAGTATGGATTTAAACACAACGACAAGTGCACACCAGGTAAGTAAGTTTCACATGTCAACATATGTATATAAGATTTAAACATCATTTATTTGTACAAATGTATGTGTGTAATTAACATATATTGATTCAAATTGTGATAGATTACTCCTACTTCAATATGATCCAATGACTTGATGTTAGATCCCAAACAATGCGAGAATTAGGTGCTATGAATAGTCCTATATGACATCATATACAAAAAATATGATTAAAAACATTATACCACTCTTTTCAATGATCTATTATAATAGACGATTTATCTTTAGTTGTATACACCTTATTTGTATTGCCATATGACAAGGCACAAGAGTCAAATTGCATTTGATAGGTTACATTAAAGTAGTCCCATAGAAGTTAATGTAAAATAAAATTATTGTTATGAAGATATTTTTGCTCACCATATGGTCAGTAGGGTTCAAGTTACATGAGCCTATATGTTCAAAAAATATATTTATATCCACTTGGAGGAGGCCTGCTGCCTACCGGTGGCCCTTGATATGTCAATCCAATTGGTCTCAAGAATATTCTTGGGATGGTGGGGGCCCTTCTTGGGAGCATGAGCTGCCATTTCTAGCCACAACTGTGAAACCAAATATATTCACACCAAATCTGAAAATTTTTGTGCCACATGTGCATGTGGTGGGTCATTGATACACTTATCCCGAGGTCGTGCCATGCGCTGCAGAGCGTACGATAACCTGATTGGCGGCACGAGCGGCATGAGGTTAGCGGGCGCTCGGATGTTGGCGTGGTGCGAAGGCGCGTCGGCACTAGCGACTGCACAAGACGGTGACGACCCCCAGAGTGCTCGGATCTGAGCTATTACGCAAGTGTACGCGTAAATGTGCGCGTTGCGGGGTGAATATATGATGATATATACGTAAATATGCGTGGATTATACGCACTATATGATAGGGATCGGCAAATAGTCAACGAACGGATTACCGGTTCAACTTCTCTTGCTCTGGTGCGCCTGTACGCTTTCAGGGATACTCATCAGAAGTGAAGATCTAGCCCACGTTTAAGATAGCCATGCATGCATCCAACGAGGTGGTCCCCACGCGTTGGCTACGAAACCTACGCCTGTCTCGGAGTAGCTCGGAGTTACTCCGCCCTCGGCTGCGTCGCCTTATTCGATCTTCTCCCCTTCCGGAGAGGGGGAACGGATGATCTCGAGCTTGCACCTGGCAGCATCCTCTATCCTCTCTTGGCAACGAACCTCGAGTTCGCCAGTACCCATCGGACAATACCGAGCCTACGGAATTGACAACCCTGAAACATGCCCCTCCCCAGAGGGGGGGAGAGATCCAGCTAGCGGCAGATAAAGAATGTCTCTCACCCCGCCTGGGCGGCCCACACTCCGCGACAATATAAAGCCCATTCCCCGTCTTCCAGCCTCCTCAAGGCCTCCCTCTCTTTCTCTCTAACTCTATCCCTCCCTCCCTCCCTCGCTTGCATCTTGTGGGGGGGGTTGGGGGAGAGAATCTGGTAGGGGGGGAGAGGCAGGAGGAGGATGGCGGGGGTGTGAGTCTTCAAGGATGGGGTGGTCCGGCTAATTGAGAAGCCCAAGGCGGAGGGGCGGCCGACGGTGCTGGTGTATACGCCGACGGACAAGGTGACCACCTCGCACCTGATGCTGGAGGAGAAGCTGGTGAGCCTGGGGTGGGAGAGATACCTCAACAACCCCGTGCTTATCCAGTTCCACAAGAGGTCTTCCTCAGTGCTGCTCATCTCAGTGCCCAGGGATTTCTCCAAAATGAAGTCCATGCACATGTACGATATCGCAGTTAAGACCCGAAACGTGTTCGTGGTGAGGGATGTCTGAGCAGAGAGTGCGGTCGATCGGGCACCGGGCCTCAACGTCTGCTGCAGCTCATACGCGGGATGATGTCTCCAATATCGTAGGGCGCCTCTCGGTCTTTGTATCTCTCTCTCTCTCTCTCTCTCTCTCTCTCTCTCTCTCTCTCTCTCTCTCTATTAGTCGATCCATCTCTTCTCTCCATATACAGATCTATTGTCTGCTGCAAGTCTCACGTGGGATGGTGTCCCCAAGATTGTAGGACGCCAAGCGTCCTCGTCTCTATATCTCTATCTCTCTCTTTAAGTCTATCCATCTCTTCTCTCGAAATACAGATGTACTATGCCTGCTGCAACTATTACGTGAGATGATGTCTCCAAGATTTTACGACGCGAATCGTCTCCGTCTTTATTTCTCTCTCTCTTTACGTCTATCCTTCTCTTCTATCCAAACACAGATCTACTATGTCTGCTGCAACTGTTACGTGGGATGATATCTCCAGGATAGTCGGACGCGAAGCGTCTCCCGCTCCATATACACATCTCTCTCTCTCTCCCTCTCTCTCTCACGCTACCCATCTGTTCTCTCCAAATATAGATGTACTAACTCCAATCGTCTCTCATCATCTATAATCTCTTCACAACTGTAAATTTCCCAGACTATGAGTGATGCATGAAAGGATTGATTGCTCTTCGGCCATTTCCAGCATTAGCTCTGGTATGCTTGAGCTTTATCCCAGTAGGTATCCCATCTCTCTCTCTCTCCCCTCCCCTCCTCCCTCCCTCCTTCCATCTCTCTCTCTCGCTATCAATCTATCTCTCTCGATATGTGTATGCATGTATATCCCCAATCGCTTACGCCCTTGAGAGAGAATGACCTTTTGCGCATTGGAAGATGAGAGTTTATGGTTACCGAGTCTATCTGACGCGTCACGCTCTGTAGTGGAAAACCTCATGAAGTCTTGCTCTGTGTCATTCTTTACGCTTCTATGGGGAGGGAACAGTTTTCTGCTCATTGATTTATAAAATCGTCGTTACTTTACAGATCGAGACCCCGTAAACTCCTCGCTTCTCTCTCACTCTCTCCTGCTGTCCTCCGCAGTTACACTCTCTTAAAGAGTATCATTCTTAAAGCTGTCGTAGAGTGGATATGGTTCCGATCACTGTGTACTTAGGATCTGTCATTTCGCGTAGAGAAACCCATCAAGGCCCTCTCTCTCTCTCTCTCTCTCTCTCTCTCGTTCATCTCTCTCCGTACTCAGTTGTCCACTGTCATACAAATATGTTGGTTAAAGTTGTTGTAGAGCGGGCAGGATGGCTCTCTGGTCATCCTGTGCATACGATTTCAATTTCTTCCCTACACACGGCAAAAACCGCCACAGCTCTCTCTCTCTCTCTCTCTCGTTTATATCTCTTCGTACACAGTTGTCCACTGTAAAAATATCTTCCTTGAGGTTGTTGTAGTGCGGGCAGGATGGCTCCCTGGCCATCCGGTACATAAGATTTCAATTTCTTTCCTTCACTCGGCAAAATCTACCAATGCTCTCTCTCTCTCTCTCTCTCTCGCGCGCTTGGCCGCTCGCTCCCTCCCCAGTTGGCTCCTCTATAGCAGACATCATTCGCACATATGTTGTACAGCGGGCAACTTGATTTTCTGGTTATTGGGTCTCCATGATTTTCGTTACCTCACCCGCCAAAGCGCCATTTAACCATCTCTCTCTCTCTCTCTCTCTCTCTCTCTCGCTATCTATCTATCTCTTCAGAAAATAATACTTTTCTTCGCTCTAATGAACTTCCCGACGATATGGTTGGGATATGCTTCTTATCCCGCATACATGCACGGACACGTAATCGACTCACGGACCCACCGCGGGACAGTTTACTACGCTATGGATGTCATCTTCCTCCCCATCACCATCATAATCATCATCATTATCATCACCAATCATCACCGCCCACCATCTTGAGGTTGACAAAATCAAGCGAGCTCGATCTTCCACCTCCCTGCAGCATTACCCAACGGACGGCCTGGATCAAGCGAAGAAGAGAGAGAGAGAGGACGTAATCTATTTTAGGAAATAAACTTGTTAGTGTCTAGAAAAATGGATCCATCTGTCTGAGGAAATGAGCTGTCCGAAATAGCAGAAGAACGAATCTAAGTTTATAAGCACGCGGGGCTCCAGATAGTACGACGGCAGCAGGACTTTTTTCCATCAGGCCCCAGCCATCTGGTGGACTAGAAAGCTCCACGTGTCACTGCCCAGACGTGGACCGCTGACTTTACGTCAATTGGACCGCGATGCGTTTCTTCGCGTGCTATTACGGGCTCTTTAGCGTCTTCTCCTCGACCTCCGGCGTCTACGCGGCTTGTTCCTGGGCACACTGCATAGGGGCCCACCAGCACCCCGCCCGCTTTTATCGCGACAAGAGGGGTCGCATAAAGGGTACGAGTGGCCCCACTTTCCTCATGCATTTTGTATGAGCCTTCGGCCCATGGCCCAACAGGCCACGTCAGGCTGCAACTATCGATGGGCCGAATCATGATCAAACGTGCCCAATCCTAGCGAGCCCTTGTCCTCACGTGTGAGCCCAATAAACGCTGCGATATATTCCATGTACGCATTGAGTTATAGCGTGGGATATTGGCGGGGAGACATTCTGTCCTACTGACCAAATCATATGAACCTAAATGACGATTGGAAGGTTTTCCGGATCTGATCTGCATCCACGCACACGTATGAAGATTAACAGAGAGGTGGTGCAGGCGGAATATACAGGGAAGAGCAAGGAGGGGATCAGAATCGTGGATCGTCCGACCGTATAAAGCTGAAAACAGAACACCTAGCTATGAATCCATAGCGGAGCAGAATGAGAGGTCCCCACTAAGGTGAAAAGGAAATTTGGCGCAGAGAGAGAATTTGACAAAGGATCGGCGGCGACGGCCTTCTGGCCTGTGCCGTGAACGCTCAGCCGCCGAAGCCGTAGAGCGTCCGGCCCTGGCGCTTGAGGGCGTAGACGACGTCCATGGCGGTGACGGTCTTGCGGCGGGCGTGCTCCGTGTAGGTGACCGCATCGCGTATGACGTTCTCCAGGAAGATCTTGAGGACGCCCCTCGTCTCCTCGTAGATGAGGCCGCTGATGCGCTTCACGCCCCCACGGCGAGCAAGACGGCGAATCGCGGGCTTCGTGATCCCTTGAATGTTATCTCGGAGCACCTTGCGGTGGCGCTTCGCCCCGCCCTTGCCCAGCCCTTTGCCTCCCTTCCCTCGCCCCGACATCCTTCTTCTCTCCTTTCTCTTCTCTGGTTCGCTCTTAGCAGCAGTACGCAGCTCCTTCTGAAAGGGGGATGAGGCGTTAGTATTTTAGGAGAGGGCATGCCCTTTGTCAGCCGTTGGATCCCGTCAGGATCCGCAGGACTGGCCTCTGTTATTTATTCGCCGTACGATTATGCCATCTTGAAAGCTGATTGGTGGAAAAAAATGAGACGTTAGATTGACTTGGAGTTTGCTTAGTGGGAACATAATATAGAAGGTCCTGATTAGCTTCTGATGAATCCGGAGAGTAGCGGTCTCTATCAGAGTCGTTCGATCTTGATCGGAGGGAAAGAGCAAGTTCCCGCCCTTGCTAGTGGTTGAATTTTTCGTGGTTTTTTTTATTTACTTGTACCTGCGGAGCACCGTAGCTGGTTTACATATCTCCGTCCTCTTCTTCTTCCTCCCGCGGCCGAGAAGAAGCTTCGTTTGAAATTTCATGAGGCCTCAGAGACTTCTGGACATCGCCACTGAGAAGTGCACGCTCGGCTGTCCAATCCTCGATGATCTCCTCGGCGGCGGCGTTCCCTGCGGTTCCGTCACGGAGTTCGCCGGCGAGAGTGGCGTCGGGAAGACGCAGCTCTGCCTCCAGCTCGCCCTCTGCGCTATGCTTCCTCCCTCCCGGGGAGGTCTCTCGGCCGCCTCCCTGTACATTCACAGCGAATTCCCGTTCCCTCTCCCCCGCTTGCGCCATCTCTCATTTCACTTCCCTTCGCCGTTCCCCTCCCCGCTCGATCATGTCCTGGTCCGCGGAGTTCACACGGCCGACGAACTTCTGGCCATCCTGGATCGCCTTGGTGACCTCCTCTCCCGCCCGCCATCCGGTGTCCCAGTGAAGCTCATCGTTATCGACTCCATCGCCGCCCTCTTTCGTTCTGATTTCGATAACAACTCGGTGGATCTCAAGCGGAGGTCGTCTCTCTTCTTCATGATTGCCGGGAAGCTGAAGGAGCACGCGGCCAGGTTCGGGCCCGCGGTGGTGGTGACAAACCAGGCGGTGGATGTCGTGGCGACGGAGGATCAATCCAGCAGGCTGCGCGTGGGAAACTACGCGTCTCTGCGGACCTCGGGAAGGGATGTCTGCCCTGCCCTGGGACTTTCGTGGGCGAACTGCGTGAACACAAGGTTGTTCCTGTCCAGATCTGAGCAGAGACCGCCGAAAGCCGTGGATCTGGGAGATTCGACCAGTGAAGGTACCTATACGGGGAAGGTGAGGAGGATTCAGGTCGTCTTCGCGCCTCATTTGCCGGAATCTTCCTGCGAATATGTGATTCTGAGGAAGGGCATATTAGGCCTCTGTCAATAGCTAAGTATCATCGGCACCCCGCGTTTCCTCTATTTTCCATATTTTATATCATAGCTCATTTTTGATATCTAAATTAAAGAGGATACTTGGGCGAGAGATCAAATTCTTCACATTCCTGCTACCATAAATTGGAGGGAATATATTATCTGCTCAAAGTCCCACGTGAATCTTTTCCTCTACGGCTCATCAAACTACATTGCGCGTGATTTCACCGACTTTTTTTTTTTTTTGACGAAGCAGTTCTCAGGTAATGATGCCAAATAAATTCACAATTTCCACAGGTGTTCGACCCGCTACCCACACGACTTCATCAAATCAACATCGCACCAAAATGGGGCCTAGATAATCAAGGGGTAGTTGACCATTTTTTGGTGATGATGAGCTCTTACCTCGCTGTGATCATTGGAGGAGGTGGCGCTGGTCGCTGGACTTCCCTACACCAGAGCGTTGACGGGCCTTCCTTAGTTCATCTCTCGCCAGTTCCATCTCAATGTCCACTGTTGCATTCTAGGCTCGGATTTGACCGGTTCTGAGAGAGAAGATTCTAAAGTGGACTCCAGTCAAACAAAAACTAGCCTGTGGGTGATATATGAAAGAGAGAGAGAGAGAGAGAGAGAAGAATTGACTTTACTTAAATGAAGGGCCACAGGCTTTGGGGAATATTGCACAAGTGAGACAGAATAAAGTGACACTGAGCTACACTGCCCATAGAAAGACTGGCCGTTGCCATTTTTTAATTTGAATTGATTATTATAAAAATCTAAAACTCGCTGTATCCTTCTTTTAGTTTTCTTCATTGGCACTTTCCGATGGTGCGTTTGAGCAGCTGCCGATCCCGCCTGCTGGAGGAAGACGAGGAAAAACCCTAGTCGATCTCAAAGCCCTGCCACCCCAGCCAGGCCCTTGTTCCCGCTCTTCCTGCCTTCGACCTCACCGGCGGCGCCCCCGCGGCCGACGGCGCCTCGGTAGTCGGCGCGGAGGATCTTCACCTAGTGGAGCGGGCTTCTCTGTCTGGCTCGTCGGCCGGCGAAGATGGGGAGCGGTCCAGCGCCATTTTCGGAGATAGGGAAGCGGGTCAGAGGCAAGTCTGTCTTTCACTGATTAAGCAGGAGAGGTGGGAAGGGCGAAGAGATGATCGTCTTTCCCCTCTCTTGGTTAGACTCCTAGCTTCTGTGTTCATCATACGATATCGTCGTTGGCATCTCTGCGTAATAAAGTTTTTTCTTGTCTGATCAGCATTGCAGCCTAGTCTGTGTAAGTTGTTTCAGATAGTGAAGGCTTACTGTTATATCTTGAAACTCATAGATCATCAGGCTGACAGGTTTCCGAACTCTGGCTGGTTTGGTTGTCTCCTCTACGTTTACTTTTACTCGTGGGTGGGTCGGGGAATGGCTCGAGAGTACTAACTTAACTATATCAACGCTTTCTCATTCGGGACTCTTGGGGAGTACTGGTTTTATACATCATTCTGTGTCCTGATCCTTACCCACGCACAACAATCGGATGGGTAGATCGATTTGATGAATGCTATGTTTTTTCAGTGTTAGGAGAGAATTTCTCGATTTAGTTTACTAAACTAGTTACATCCGGATATCTCTAATCTTCATAAGATGCTTGAGTTTGTCTATGACGAGATCTCAGACAAAAAATTATGCCATTCGCGAGCTTCAACATGAACATTTTCCTTTGCATGGATGTCTTGCTCTAGATCATCTGCTAGAAAAGTTTTGTAGATGTGTTTCAGTAATTTTTCATGGTAGTTTTTTATTTTTTGGTGGTTCAAGACTGAGATCACTGTGATGCGACTGATTGGACGGCTAATCTTTAATATTTCGCTTGACAGGCTCACGTAGAGTTCTGTGTGTTAGCTTGTAGTGGCAATAGACAATTGTGATACATGCAATATTAGTGTTGGGGTCAACAATTAGCCGATTATTAGCTGATAGCGGTGCCATAATAATTCGTCAACTTGGATTGAAATGCATTCGACAAGCAAAAGGTCCAGCCTGGTGAGCTAGTGCATTTCATTAGAAGCCCGAGAATGATGGGTTAGTGTTATCTGTAGCCATTTACTATTACAAGGAAGCACAAGATTTATGTTTCTGGTGAACAGCTCTCCGTTTGTTACACTTGTTTATAATTTTTTGAAGTACTTACAATTATGATAGATTGCTTGTATTCTTCATGAATGCCGAGGGGTTACCATATGAATGCTGAGGGCTACCATCTGAACTCCTCATTAACAGTGATCTCTCCCTGTATTCATTCAGGTGCCATTTGTGGTACGCTAGCTTGGTGCCCTGTCAATGTTTCCTAGGTGGAGAAACTGAGTTCATTCTCTGACTTCGATCAAATCAGAATGAGCCAGACAGTTGGTAAACCCAACTAGAATAGTCAAGCATTCTTGATTCGCATCTATTGCTGAAATCATTAAGAATCAACAGGACTTAGTGCGTGAAAGCGTTGGTGACTGTGCTAAGAGCTAACTCAAAATGCCGTGTTGATTAGCACTAAGCCACGCTGTCCTTTCTTTTGTAACCCTAGTCTTCCACCTTTTCATAATCTCATCATGTTTAGTTGATGTTGTGGCAAAAAAAAATAAATCATCTGACAACATTGCTTCGTCTATGGCTGATGGAGTTTGTAAATTCATATATCTTATAACTATCAAGCTTATGCTAACACTATGCCTGTTTCCTTCTTGCAGATCTTTTGACAAAAGATTACAATTTCGATAACAAATGTGTTTTCACGGTGCCTGGAGATGCAAATCTGGTAAGAATTCGTCTTCCAGAGAGCATTAATTCAGTAAAACCTAACTCCATTTTTCCCATTTATTTGTAATTTCCTGAAAAGTCTACGGTACATGTAAGACCTGTACTCTTGAGGAACTATATAAGGGGCTTAATACGATGGGCATGCTTAACGTAGTAGTGACTCAAGAACAGATAAAACACATTTTTGCAGATGGAAATAAGAAAATCGCAACAGTCTGCTACCACATTTATCCGAATGTGGCGTCACTGATGTGGTCTGGAAAGCTTTCCTAAGACATGCTTTCCGGACATGCTTTCCCTTTGACTTTTGAGACAAGGTTGGAGATACTCTCTTAGTACCATGTCAAGAACAAGCTCTTTCAAATGCGTGGGTCTCCACTGAGGTTTCTCCCTCCCAGTGAAAGCCATATCCGTGATGTTGATTCCATCTTTGGTATCATCTCTGAGAGAAGAATGCCATATCTCTTACTTCATTTGACATTCTTGCTCTTCTTCAATCTTCAATCACATATATTTCTTAGCTCCTCGCATCGTTGACCCGTTGCAGGGGATTACAGTGACTGGTGTGAAGCTGAATCAATTGTTCATTGGTGATATCTGTTCGCAATACAGGAGGGGTAAAACGGTTGTAGACTTCAAGGTGGATACCAATTCTAATGTAAGCACAGATTTGTGGATGATCCGCGTGTTTTCTGCTCGTATTTCTTCGAATTCTAATGGAAAACGCGCCTATTTTTCCAAAGATCTCCACCACGGTCACTCTCAGTGGGATCCCATCTGGAGTGAGGACCACACTCAGCTTTAAGATACCCGATCATCAGAAGTCGGGCAAGGTCAGTTGGCATCTGCAAGGCTCCCCACTCTGCCATTTGGTCATGGAACATACAAAGTTGGGCATCCATTGAAGATCATCAATTATTTTCTGATCTCTTGTTTCAGCTAGAGGTTCAGTACCTCCACGACCGCGCGGCGGTCAGCTCCAGTGTTGGCTTGCATCCGACCCCTTTGCTCGAGCTCGCCGCCGCCGTCGGCAGCAACGAGCTCAGCGTCGGCGCAGAGATCGCCTTCAACGTGGGCTCTGCTTCTTTCACCAAGTACAGCGCTGGGGTTGGCTTCAACCAGGAGGACTTCTCTGCCTCCATCGTACTGTATGCTTCCTTGCCCCCCTCCTGCCCACCTTGGTCTCCTGGCCTCCGTTAATTGCTCGCTGCCCGATCTCTGATCAACAGGACCGACAAGGGGGAGACCACGAGGGCCTCCTACATCCATCTCCTGGGCCCAGAGAAGAGGACCGCAGTGGCGGCGGAGATGGTCCACCGCCTGAGCACCTATGAGAACACCTTCACACTGGGGGGCTCCCACGCGCTGACGCCGTACACGGTCGTGAAGGCCCGGTTCGGCAGCACCGGCGGGCTGGCCATGCAGTGCGCCCATGATTGGCGGCCCGGCTCGCGGTTGACCCTGTCAGCAGAGTACGACCCTAAGTCGTCGGTCGTCGCCCCTTCTCGGGTCGGGTTGACTCTCGCCCTCAAGCCCTGAAGTGGGGCCCCGGACATCAAAAGCCACGTGAAGAAATCAGGAGGTAGCAATTCCTACGGTCTTCCATGAAGAAAAAGCCACTTGAAGAAACCACAGACCTACGGTTTTCCATGGTTGCGTGTCCTTCCCGGTGTTTTCTCTCTCTATGGACCCATCGGCCTGTTGGGAGATTGGCGGGACGGGTTGAGGGGTGGACCCTGGCATGGTTGGCAGCGACACAGCGCTTCTGCTGCGCAAGCGCAGACGTCTGTTTTGATAACATTCTAAATGGATATGTGAGGGTGGGGAAAAAAATTAGAAAAAAAGCTGTCCACATTATTGAAAGTATTGATATAGCTAATGTCAAGATACTAACCAAATCCGTACCTCACAGGCCAAGCTTTGTACCAAATCAGTCGAGTCATGTTACTGGAGATTGATTCAGCCCATGAAGTTCTTTGTTGACTATTGAGATGCAAGAACTTGTGCATTGTGGTTACGGCTCAGAATGGGCTATAATTGTCTGAAACAGGCTAGCATTAGAAGAGATAGGGAAAACATGGCCTAGGATTACTATAGTTTTTGTGAAAAGATGAAATGGTGGTGGGGAGGAAAGAGATGGGGAAAGGAAATAGTAGAGTAGGAAGTGAGGTTGGCGTGTTGGTCTCTTGCAGTGTGAACAAGAGTTGGAAAATGGTAGAGTAGATTGGTCTAAGCTTGGTTTCGATTTGTATAGGTTAGTAAACACCATGGGTTAGTCTAATGATTTGGCTCCCATTCTATACTTTTACAAGCATCTCTTCACTTTGACTACTCTTCTTGAGTAGAAAATGAATCTAAAGGCATCAACTCACTCAATTCAGTTTCATGTCTCCCGTCAGGCCATGACTAAATGCTAATTCCTACCTATTGTTCTGAACTACTCAACTCCTATTGAGACTCTATGTAAACTTAGCATGTAAACCTTTGCAATACATAAAAAATGTAGGCAATATATATCATGAAAAAGCTGCTACATTTGAGCATGGATATAAAGACCTAAAATGATATAAGACTTATCATTCTGGCACAACCAATTATTTCTATTTTTTTTGTTTTTTTATGGCTTTCTTACTTTCAATAAAGAACAACATTTTTTTTACATATAATAATTTAATTTTAAAAAATATAAAAATATAGAAATATCGAATTTGAGGAATGCTACAATGATGTAGAGGGAGGTGTTTGAATAAACATTTTCTTAAATTCCTTTATTAAACATTCAAAACTACTATATTTGGAAATCTTATTTTGATCAATCATAGTTTTGGGCTTCTAGTACTCCTCTCTAATGATCGGTGATGACTCAAAATTTAACCATAATGTCTTGTTGTGTGTTCCCAATTGTTGAAGATGTGTATTAATATTTAAAAATAGATCAAATATATATATATTTTCTTTGCACATCTTATTTTATGATTTCTCTTTCAAAGATCTTTCAAATGGGTATATGCCTACATGTATTGTTGAAATGTGAGGGAATCGACTTAGGTGTTTGATACGACTCCACACATTAGTATAAGTAAAAGGCCACTTCTAGAAGGTCAATGTGAAAGGAAAGATTTTTGACAATCCTACTAAGATGGTTATGTAAAAAGTTGTGATGGATGGCATAGTTTAATGTCTTATGATTATAACTATTGAATGTCTGTGATTATAACTTTAAAGAACTAACTTAGAATTAATTTGTGGGCAAATGGTGCTTAGTCGACACGTGCTAGGTGTCCAAAGGCTGTTTTAAAGACATTAATGAAGAACTAGTATTGAGTGTCTTATGGTAAGTTAATTAAAGTTATACTATACTTCTATAGATGTGAGGTCATGCTATTGTGCTTAATGATTGTGCATGGGGTGACTAAAGGATAAATAAATTACCCTTGGAAGAGAGATGTAGGGGTTTGTCATACTACCATAAAAAATCTTATTGTGATTTATCTGATAAAAGGGTTAGGTAATTATGACTATACTAACCTTTTGGGCTAATATAGACATTATTAAGATAATAATTTAGATATTGATAAAGTACAAAAGAAAGGTAAAATAGTCATTTTATGCACCTTAAATTACTATAGTCTTAGTATCCTTATGATGATGTTTGTTAGTACTAGTCATTAATATGATTACATATAAATGACAGTTTTCTTGTTACTTTCATATGCTTAATAATATGAGTCAATTCAGCTAGCTGAATCACCCCATATGTAGTCACTAAAAGCCAAAATATGTTAGAAAATGTACTAGAATGCTAGAAATGACTAAATATGTTATAAACTATGTTGCAATGAGTACATATAATAGATTTTTGATAATGTCCTACCTTGAGAAATGGAAAAATTGCACCCTTATGAGAAAATATTACTAGCATTATATTGAAGACTATAATGAGCCAGAAAATATATTTGATAATAAATATGTCACACCACATGTTAGAGTTTTCAAATTTTTAAGTACATATCAACAACCTATACTTTAATTGCCAAATTACTAGTTAATTACTATAAGTTGATGACATTTGCTCTATTTAATTAAAATTTTAAATATGAATCTAAATTATTTAGATATGATAAAATATTTCCTTGGATGGAGTGTTAAGAGTTTTACTATTTTAGGTTTCAATGTTCCTAATTTGGGAATTACTTCAATATGTTTTCATTCTCATCCCCTATATTTACTTTTTGTAGACATTTTCCCTAATAAACTTTAGTACCCATGAGGCATAACAATGTAATGCCTTATAGGCTGCTTTATTATTTGACACCAAACCACCCTCTTCATGTTCATCATTATCAACACACTATTACCCCTTAGAACAAAATTAATAATGCTGAACTATTAGTCACCACAATGCATCTCTTGATGTTAATATAGAGCTTTGCATCTCTTGTATTTAGGGTTGTTTATCTTCATACAGTTTTACATGAAAGCATCATAAAAAATAATTACAAAGAAACTATATTGTGATCTTTTTAATGTCAAAACTTCTAATACATAGTATCTAAATCATGTTCTCCATAAGGACAATAACTTCTAATACATTAAATCATGAAGTGACCTTTTTACATGATTTTGTTGTTCTTATCCTATATGATTATCAACTGCCCTAGATTGATTGATGTTATTGAAACCACATTTGTAATGTAATATTTTCAAAGTATTGGGATACATCCCTTGAGACATATATTTGAGTTTATTAACTTTGACCTCATTGGTTAGAATATTATCTTTCTAATATTTTGATGATAATAAAAGACTGTAAGATCAATAAAAAGATTGAATTATAGTTATTCTAAACATTTTATGATATAATCATAATTGTGAAAATGATTATATAATTAATTTAATATAATATTAATAAATATTCAGATAATATATTGAACATAACTCTCTTCAGTAATATAAAATTTATATCATTGATTGATTTCGTCACTTAAAATTATCATAGTCCATATTTTTGTTGAAAATATTTATATGTAAAATATATATTATATTGAAAAAATAATAATTATCAGGTCATAATTAGTGATACTATGTGAAGTAAAATACAAGTGTTAAAGCCAACTTAGTTTATCATGTCCATGTGAGATTATATTATTACTATTAAATAATTTAATTGACTATAATTACATTATTTATTCAATCTAATATAATTTTCCTAATAATATATATACTTTAGAACATGTTATTAGTATTCTTAGTCATCAAATCGGTGATTATATGTATTCGGATGTTAATGCACTCACTTGAAGATTGTGTTTTTACTTGGGTGATTTAAATGAGTTTTGATAGGTAAATCATTATTTCAACAAGACACATGGTATTAGATGTGGTCATAATATAGGATATCTATTGAATTGATTTAAAAGTGACACAAACTAGATAAGAATATTATATTTTACTATGATTGAGTATTAGTTTCCTCTAAGAGTATCCAAACTATAAAAAAACCATAACATATTGGATTCTCAATTATTCAATTTATGTTTATTTTATGAAAATATATATGCTGAGATGTTATAAAAATCTGAGAAGATATTCATGCATGATTTACTTGTAAAATTGAAGGTTTCACATAAATAATCACTAAATTATAAGTGTTCTTATCTCTCTCACGACCCCAAGTTTTGTATATAAAATTCTGCACATAAAATCTTGTGGGAATGAGAGAGGACATAATTAATTGTTTAAACTCAAGAAAACTTAAAATTGAGAATCAATCATTTAGTTCCCAGATATTCATCCTTGACATACTAAGAGCTACTATTTCTTTCACTTATAGTCAACACTTTTTAGAAAAGAAGAAAGGTACAATAAAATTTTGATCACCATCATATTCATTAGGGTTCTAGTTTTGCACTTAAAAACCACACCATGTTTATACAATCTTCCATGGTGATATATTTAATATTTATAATGTGACAAACATGAAATTAAATATTCATTTACTCACTTGTGAGAAATGTCCCAATAAATAGTTGTTGAATTTATTAAATTGTGAATCTGGACGAAAATTTCAGAACAAAATTTTAAGAGAGTTGAGCTGAATAATTAGCAATATGTGATTAGATGATCATATTTAGTAGAAATTAAGAACAAAGTTTTTTCTTGGATAATGTGCCTAGACAATGAGTCAAGTCACTTCAAATCCTTGTTGTATTTAGTGATCTAAGAAGATTATAGAGATTAGGAACTTAAGGGAAGGATCAACTTGAGAAAGAGATTTTATTCAAAAGAGAGCAGAAATAGATTGATTCAGCTCTTGCTTCTTAATCTTGTAGTGACCTAGATCCAACATAATTTATATAATTTTTTGACTTAGATGGTTTTTATGTTGAAAAACTATTGCCTACCAAATGAAATATATACGTCTCATTCCATGACCTCACATTATGCTCACTCATAGTGATGATCAATATAAAGTAAAATATTGCAATGGTATGTTGCCTTGATTCAACTAGATTTTTGAGCCACTTAATCTTATAAGACAATAAATGTTACCATAAACCTTGACTTTTGAGGTAATATTTTTAACAATTTATTCTCAATAAAGTGACAAGTAGAATCTTTGACAAATTATAGGTCGTGTGGTTGTTATGTTCCTTGAGTTAGATAAGGAAAGGTTTTGACTATGCTACTAAGATTATGTTTAAGACCTTTAACTAGTAAAATCTATTCATTCTAATGAACATATATGTATTGCTAATGTAAAATTAAATTATTTTTATTTTAATAATATCTCTAACATTGATACTTCCTTGTATTTGATTGCTATAGACTGTTTAAGTGTTCTATCAGATGCTTTCAAAATCCATAAACAAAGTATCACACCACTTTCATTTCTTCCAACAAAACAAGATTAATTTACCCAGATACTCACATTTTTGGGCTATGGAGTGTTAGCAAGGATATTGATACATGCTTCAAAGTTCTCATGTGATAACTTTTTATTTTTATTTATCTGTATACTGGATCTATTTATATGATGTCCCTTTTAAATCACAGTAAGAGTAACTTTTAAAGAGTAAACATAGAGACCCAACTCGTGCCTAATCCCTTTAGTCCTAAGTTGATCTCCCACCCTTTTAGGGCTGCTGTAACTCTCACCCTCAAGTCCTAAAGTAGCTCATCTAGTCCCTGTCTCATGCGTCTATATCCTAATATTGGGATTGAGCCTTTTATCGAGAGAAAAGTCTGGCATTTAAAACCAGATTGGAAAATGAGGAACATGAATTTATTCGTGGAAAACTTTGTAAGCACTCTGATTTTCATATCTTTTTCCTGTAGTTATGACACATCAAGCGATGCTAGTTAATGAACAGCCAATCTTCCTCTGTTATGACACACGGAAGTCCTCTCACCGCGTAATGGTCAAGTGCAGTCAATGTTCTTGGGCTGCCTTGGAATGGCGGAAACCTCGAGGTGACTCATCGTTGATGTGTCGTGTGAGCCTAATTCATGGTCTTAACAGAAGAACACCGACCCACGCAGTCAGCCGATTAAAAATCAAACTTTTGACACAAAGTACTCGAAGCGTTCGGTCGATTGTGGTCATCTTCGCAGTCCCGTGCTGACGATAATTTCCCCAACCACCCGCCTTTGACAAATGGAAACAGAGAGAGTAGGTGACGGATCCGACCTCGGCGCCCGGCCTGACCTGGCTCCGGGCAAGGTCGAAAGTCAAATCGGGGGCGCGTCAAATCAGACGAACAATTGTTGACTAGGTCAAATTACAAAGCTTAGAGGTTCTAGTAAAGCTTGGAATAGCGCTCGTCTCCATTCTCACCAACCACCACAAACTACCCTTTTCCTTTTGTTTGAAATAGCGCTCGTCAACAGCCGTCAGCTCCGCATTACAAAACCCGGCAACCCCCGATCGCCGCCATTCAGCAGCCGTCTGTGATGGGTTCGTTATCCACTCTTCCCGACGAGGAGTTCATCTTCCGCTCCAAGCTCCCTGACATCACAATCCCCGACCAGCTGCCGCTGCATGACTACTGCTTCGAGAGGATCGCCGCCGTTGCCGACCGACCATGCATAGTCTACGGCCCTTCGGGCGTTGTGTACACCTATGCGGAGGTGCAGCTGACGGCGCGCCGGGTGGCCGCCGGCCTCCACCGGTTGGGCATCCGCCGCGGAGACGTCATTATGCTGCTGTTGACCAACTCGCCGGAGTTCGCCTTCAGTTTCCTCGGCGCGTCCTACGCCGGCGCGACGACGACTACCGCGAACCCTCTGTACACTTCGTCGGAGATCCTCAAGCAGATCCAGACGGCCGGGGTGAAGCTAGTGGTGACGCAGTCTAGCTTCGTCGACAAGGTCCGAGACAGCGGGGTGAAGATTGTGTGCACCGACGACTCGGCCGCTCAGGGGTGCCTGCACTTCTCGGAACTGGCCTCGGCGGCGGAGATGCCGTCGGTGGAGGTGCGGCCCGACGACGTGGTAGCGCTGCCGTACTCCTCGGGGACGACGGGGCTGCCGAAGGGGGTGATGCTGAGCCACCGGTCGCTGGTGGCGAGCATCGCGCAGCAGCTGGAAGGGGAGAACCCTAACCTGTGGTTCCGGGGAGACGACGTGCTGCTGTGCGCGCTGCCGCTGTTCCACATCTACTCGCTGAACACGGTGCTGCTGTGCGCGCTGCGGGCGGGGGCGACCATCGTCATCATGCCGAGGTTCGAGCTGGTGGCAATGATGGAGCTGGTGGAGCGCCACCGTGTGACCATCGCGCCCTTCGTGCCGCCCATCATTCTGGCCCTCTCCAAGTGCCCACGAGTCGAGGAATACGACCTCTCTTCCATACGCATGGTTATGTACGGCGCGGCACCCATCTCCAAGGACCTCGAAGATGCCCTCCAATCTAAGATCCCCGACGCGAGGTTCGGTCAGGTACATAAACTCTCTCTCTCTCTCTCTCTCTCCTATCTCCCCATGTCTGTATGGGCTAATTCGAATCTGACGAGGGGAGATTAACTGCGTCGAATGAAATCATCCAGGGCTACGGGATGACAGAAGCGGGGGCCCTCTCCATGAGCCTCGGATTCGCCAAGGAGCCGTTCAGGACCAAGCAGGGGTCCTGCGGGACCGTCGTCAGGAACGCCGAGCTCAAGGTCGTCGACCCCGACTCTGGCGCGTCCCTCCGCCGGAACGAAGCGGGAGAGATTTGCATCAAGGGGCCCCAGATCATGAAAGGTGCACCAAAGTCAACGGGCCTGAACTTCCACAGAAGCTCTTTCCTCTCTCTTTCTCTCTCCCTGAAGCTTGAAGCCGCTTTGATTTTTTTTTTTCTTCCGAGAATTTGTCCGCATTTTCCGCGGCGTCACATCGCTTCTGCTACGCAGGCTACCTGAACGACCCGGAGGCGACGGCGAGGACCATCGACGGCAAAGGGTGGCTGCACACCGGAGATATTGGATACGTTGATGACGAGGATGAGATCTTTATCGTCGACCGGCTCAAGGAGCTCATAAAATACAAGGGCTTCCAGGTGCCCCCTGCAGAGCTCGAGGCGTTGCTCCTCTCCCACCCCGCCGTCGCCGATGCCGCCGTCGTCCCGTAAGACTCTCGCGCCTATGAATTATTCGAATCTTCGGATTATAATGAGATTCATCTCTATATTTTATTCGATAATCATCGATTAATATCATTTTTTTCTAAATAGGATGAAAGACGAAGCTGCCGGAGAAGTCCCAGTGGCCTTCGTCGTGCGATCAAGCGGTTCCGGCGTCACGGAGGAGGAGATCAAGCTGTTCATCTCTCAACAGGTGATCACTCCGTTTCCTTTCTGATTGCTACGTCTCACCGGCAGTGGGTAGAGTCTTTGAGCGAGATGGTGATCGCTGCAGGTGGTGTTTTATAAGAGGATTAGGCGAGTATTCTTCGTTGATGTCATCCCAAAGGCGCCGTCCGGCAAGATCCTGAGGAAGGGATTCAAGGAGAAGCTTGCGGCTGGATTTGCTGACATGGCACAATGCTGAACGACGGGCGATCTGGTTCTAAAGATGGGACTAAACCCGATTTACAGCCAATACTGAGGTGTCCGGTTTTTCTCAAAAACAACCAAATTACCCATATGCAATACTTATGCACCTCATATCGATGACTTTCGAGACCAGGTTGATATTGTCTTCCTTCGAGCGTAGCTAAGAAGTTAAAATTATGACTTGGCTGGTGCAGCCGCACGGTCTTGACTCGCACCCGCGACCCGTCGTTATTTCTGGCTCGTAGCAAACGTTCGTTGGCCAAAATCAGTAATTTGATGAAAAATTCCCTTCATTCCTGCCTATATCGAGCATTCGCGTTGACCACATGGATCCCTTCGAGCGGTTTCCTCGAAAACTTCATTAGTATCTAGGTCGAGGACCCACACCGGTTTTCTCAAAGGGTATTCTCCCCAAATTAAGAGGTAGATGATCGATCACCACCAAGAAGATTAGGGTTTTGCGATGGGCTTCAAGAACCCAACATCCTCATACACAGTTAAACAAGAAAGGAGGACTACTGGATAAGAACCAGGATCGCCAGGCCCCACAGCCTCTACTTCTTGAGATGGGGGAAGCACTGGTAAGCGTCGTTTTTCGGGTGCTTTGCCTCAGCATGCTCCCGGCACTTCACCTCCGAGGTGGTGCAGATGAACGTCTGCATGCACACCTTGCACTGAGGCACAGGATAACGATCATAGAGGAAAAAAACAAAGCGTCAGTATTAAATGAATTAAATTAAAAGTTTGATCTTGAAGGGATGTGAATGTTGAGCGAGAAAGAACCATAAAACTCTTCATAGTATCGATATGCGTCAATTATAATCTCTATGAGGCCTTTTTTTCTCTCTCTGAACCTATAAAGGTTCAACGATAAATGTCATGATCAGATATAATATTTATATATAAAATAAAAAAGAATCAGTCCTGATGAGGGATCCCTTGACTTGAAGCGGAAACCTGTCGCAGATCTATGATATCTGAGGAGGACTTCCACTAGAATCGGTAGAAAAATGAAATCCTAATGCTTGTGATGGGAAAGAAAGCCTAGCATGGCTTGAATTATAGACATCTGGGTTGAAATGACGATCAATAAGAGTTGCTATGTGAACAGAAGATGAGATGAAAATGAAATAATCCTAGGAACATCTATTACAGAATTAGACTAAAATGCCAATCAAGTATAAGGTTAAAGAGACCAACATCCAGACGCTCCCACGTCCATTAAAACAAAGCGATAATTAATTATTTAATATTTTTTTATAGCATGAAAATGAAATCTCGGGATAGAACTAGATCCACAAGAGTTCAACGCTTTCTCTACAGAGTGTCTGTGTCTCGGTTTTTTAGCAGAAACATAATGAATGCATAGGCTCTGAATTCGCCAAAATTCTCTTATAGTCTCAAGAGTGTAAATCCAGGCTCCGTTAGGCTGCTGTGGCACAGAGTAACCGGAGGATCTAATCCAAGAAATCAACGGAAAGAATCCCAACTGACGACATTGTATGATGAAATGGAGATCGAGGATCCTTCCGAATATGACGAGAAAGAGAAGCAGAGGCACGATGATTCCCGGATAAATTAGTGCCGTACAAGGAAACCAAGACGATGAATGCGTGGAAAGAGTGGGGGATTGGGGGTGGCGCCCAGACCTGGATGCTCATAGCCTTCTTGTTCGTCTCGAGCTGGCTACCTGCGTAACCACATCGACCAAGCGCAGATTAAGTCCAGATCAAACAACCACATGCGGAGGAAGGTACAGAAAAAAAAAAGTAGACAAGAAATAAAGAAAGATCTGGATATCCACAAAGAGGATCGATCAGTAAGTATAATCTAGACACACCCCTCGCAGCCTTCTGCTTCTCCATGTTCTTCTCCCTTGCCATCTTAGCCTTCTGCCCGTTTCCTCCTCCCATCTTCTTTCTCTTCGCACAGGACCCCGGACAAGGGAGAGAAAGGCAGAAGAACTTCGTTCGATGGCCTTCCTCCGTCCGGCTATGTCTAAATAATTGCCCGATACGCCCTTCCTCTGCCCCCAGCGCGCAGTCACGCGCTTCCACCGGCAAGAGAGCACTCACCCACTCATTCATTGCGACGGGGGGCCGCTCCCAACGGGATCCTCCCCTCCTTCCTTCCTTTTCCCAGACGGACGAGATCTCCGTTGACCGGAGCGAACTCCCAGGTCAAAAGAAGACGAAGCTTCTGGGGAACTTTTGAAGTTCGGCCGGAGAACACTCAAAGGCGAACCCGCTTCCTCCGGGATTGGTCCACTCGCTGCCGTGAAAGCATGGGCCGAGGCCGCCAATCGTCCTCATTCGCCAATCCATCCGGCCCACCGTCTGCAACGTCAAATCCTGGAAGCGGCGGGCGGCGGGCGGCGGGCGGCGGGCGGCCCCATCGGTGGGGTCTCAGCCTACCTTCTGCAGGGTTGGCACGACGATCTATCTCTTCATGGCGCAGATGCGGGATTTAGACGGCGGCGCGGGGTGGGGAGGGGAGAGAGAAAGGGAGAGAGAGGGTGAGAAGGTTGGAAAAGTCAATGCGAAGGGATTTAATGGGCCCAGTCAACGTTGATGGGTCTCATCAAAGCGGGTTTGAAGTGGCCCGTTTAATAGTCAATCCTACCCAGAATGGGCTTATACGGGCCCAAAATAGGGAATCGATATTGGGCAGGGTTGGCACCGCGGGGGAGTCGCATCGAAGGGTTTTTTCTCTCTCTCGCAGCCCCGCATCTCCCTCTGTCTTCCTCGCAGGGGGGGCGGCTCCTCTCTTCCCAGGATTCGCCATGGCGGAGCAGGTAGGGGGACTTTTATGGCTTCTGTTCATTTCATACCTTCATGCTGTGGTACTTTACCGAGTTTCTTCGTTATCTTGTTCGCTCTTCAAGACAACTTTTCTTTTGAATTCGGAGAGTACTCTATTGGCCGAATTTTCCGAAGACTACTTTACAAAATCTCCTTTTCTTCTAGCTACTGTCCGATCGCAATATGGGTTTCGTCTATGCGTGCTCGTAGTGTCTAGTGGAGTGAGATGAATTCCTCGCCATGTATGATGCCCAAATCTCTAGCAAAAGGATTTTTTTAATTTTTATTTTTAATGAGGGTTAGAGTTGGCTAAGAAGAGATCAGAAGTGGCCATCCTCAACATGGGCGCTGAACTGGCAGAGTCTTCCGCTCTTGGCCTCTGCAGGACCCGGCGGACATGGAAGCCAAACGTGCAGGAGAAGCGGCTCTTCAGCTACGCCCTCGACCGGCACATCCGGGTGAAGGTGACGACGCACGCCCTGCGGTGCATCGACAAGGCGGGCGGCATCGACGAGTACCTGCTGAAGACTCCCTACCAGCGGATGGACACGGAGATGGGTCTGCTGTGGAAGGCCAAGATCGAGAAGCTGTACCAGGAACTCGGGCAGGCGGAGGCCTTCTTCTTCTCCCCCGAAGAGGAGGCGAGGATCGAGGCCGGGTTCGAGGAGTACCGAGCCGCCAGGAGGGCTGCCAAGAAGAGCTCAAGCCAAGACCCGGCGGCGGAGGGAGGAGCTTCGTGATTGGCATTGGCGGCGCCTCTTCCTTGTTTGACGGGGCATGTTTGACCTTCCCCCCGCAGACTTCCTGGAGAACTTTGATGATTTCTGTATCAAACAAATCATGCCAAAATCTTCGCCTGCTCCTCCGCCGGCGCATCTCCTCAGGAAGATCATTCATGGTAACTCGCGCACTGGCGAGTGACAGTCTTCTACTTAGCGGTTGACCCCAGCGACGGCTAAGAAAAGTCAATGGGAACAGATTTGGTGGGCCTCGTCAGAGTGGGATTTGGTTGGCCCGTTTGATTTCTTGGTGTCCATTGCAGTGGCGAATGGGGTCAAGCCCATACGCTGTGGTAATTCGCGGGCCGGGCCCATACGTAGGTGAGAGTAATTGAGCCCCACGAAGGGGGCCCGGCCCTACTAAGTTGCTAGTGCTTATTGGACTATCCGTAATGGGCCGTCCTTATTGGGTTACCATGGAAGCGAATGGAATAAACTCACGTCGAATAAATATCCAGGGTTTTCTACCTTCCCCGCTCTCTCGCAGCGGCGCCGCTCCTCTTCACGCACGCAGCGGCGCTTCCCAGAGCCCGGCATGGCGGAGCAGGTCGGAGGGCATTCCTTGTTTCCTCACTAAGATCATTTACTCATCGTGCTGTCACCATTACAATGATTCCTTCGACTTTCGTTGTCATGCTCTTCGATCTTCGTATTCATTTTCTCTCTGGATTTGAGAGTTGTATGATATCAGCCGAGATGTGGATAGACTGTAAGCCAAATCTCGTTCGTGTTAGCTCCTGTCTGATCGCAATACTAGGGAAGGAAGGAGGGACAGGCGGACTGAGGGACGAGAGGAGGCTTTTTTTCGCTTGTTCGCACCTCGCCATTAGTGGACTTATTTTTTCGCTTGCCCTTTGTCTTTTTTAATGTTTTAGTAAATCCTGTTTTTGCAGACTGAGAAGGCTTTTCTCAAACAACCAAAAGTATTCCTCTGGTATGATGGACTGAGATTTACATTTTTTAGTCTGTCGATTATTTTGCGACCTCTTTTTTGTGCTATTATTTCTGAGTAGCAAGGTTGTATGATTCTTTTGCCGACAATGTGGTCGCAGCTCAAAGAAGTCTGGGAAGGGGAAGAGGCCCGGCAAGGGTGGCAACCGTTTCTGGAAGAGCATTGGTCTCGGCTTCAAGGTTCCAAAGGAGGCAATCGAAGGTTCATATGATTTTCCCGTCTCATGAAAATTTTATTTTTCTCTTTTTTTAACGTGGTAGGCTCAGGTATTTTATAAATTAAAGGAATATTCTATCTTGACTGTATTGGAGGCAAGGCCCTACTGTGATAGGCATTAAATCGTGTGGTATAATTCATAGGATTCATATAGCATAGGAATTGGATGCTCATAGATAATTTTATGAAGAAATGATGTCTCGTGAGTGCATTTTTCTTGTTCATAGTAGTAATAGACTTTGGGCCACGTAGTTTTTCACGTCTTGTACAATATTCCACTGCAAGTGTGAGTGAAGTGATCGGTATCATTCTTTTACTCTTTTCATGTATATCCATCATATTTCTTATCCTCGAGTGATGATTACAAATTTGATCTTCTGTGCAAAGTCCATTTCACTGGCATTGTTGTGTGGTCTGTTGTTCTTCTAGAATCTTCCCTTTATTGGTTCCGTCTGTAGTTGAATATAATACCACAGAAATATTTTTTATTTCGCGTTTGGCTGAAACTAGGGAAGTCATGTCCCGGACTTGTTGATGTACTAATGTTTCTGTGTTGAATTCTTAGGATGGGCGAGGTAATATACCATTTCAAATGTCTTCTATTCTCCCATGCAGTGTCCTATATCTTATTTAATGAAAAATCTACTATTCGTGATCTGATTTTGTATGGGTGGTTTGATTAGCGGACCTCAACGGGTGTTGTTGTTTTTTATTTTTTTAAAAATCCAGGAACGTACATTGACAAGAAGTGCCCATTTACTGGTAATGTTTCTATCAGGGGCCGTATCCTGAGTGGGATATGCCACAGTGCTAAGATGAACCGAACTATCATTGTTAGAAAAGACTACCTTCACTACATCAGGAAATACCAAAGGTACTAGTAGTATGTGGAGTGCACACTTACTCTCTTTCCCTCATCTCACCATAACCTGAATAGTTCTCACACAGCTGCTCTCTCTGCCACTCGTCGTCTCAGGTACGAGAAACGACACTCCAACATCCCGGCACATGTTTCTCCTTGTTTCCGTGTGAAGGAGGGAGACCATGTCACTATTGGGCAGTGCAGGTAATCTTGTCCCCATTACTGACCATTCCCAGTCATATATAATATAGAACTCTCCATGAGATATCTCGCCTATTTCCGTGGATGATGGTTGTGAGCTGCTTTCCTAGAATGGAAAATACCCGTGTTATTTTTCTTTGGATGGAAAAGCACCGAATCAGATGAATTCACTGCTCCATGCAACTAGATAGCCCAAAAATCTGATCGATCGATTCATTCTTCATATAATGGTCCGTGTTGGATGATGGGTTTGCACGGCTTAAGCTCTTATTTAGGTCTAATAATAATCTAATTATGTGCAGCTGATTTGATTTATTTTTTTCTCGACACAGGCCATTGTCAAAGACGGTTAGGTTCAACGTTTTGAAGGTGATCCCAGCAGGATCAGGTGCTGGGGGCAAGAAGGCGTTCTCTGCATTTTAGGTGTTTTTCTCTGGCTGTATTTATATCTATCTTGTCAGACTTAAGACCCTAATCCCTTCCCCTCTTATTCTCAGCAGCTCTTGGCATAGTCTTTATAGGGATAAGGTGCTCTTTTAGCCTTGTGGCCATGGCTGTTTATTTTTTCGACATATATGATATCTAGGATCTGGCTGGCGGTCATCCAAAAGACCAAGTAGGCCAGCCAAGTGTGTCATCTTGTTGCTCACCATTTCATTTATTTATCTATAATTTGGTGGGTCATCACTTTTTTTTCACCCGGTGTGCTAGGAGATAAGAAGACCCCAGGGAAAGAAGGGGAAAAAAGATTGAAATGCTTGGCCCATCCTGCTAGAAAGCAGTCCATACATCTCGTCTTTCCAACAACTTATTCGTCTACATAGTCAGTGCTGTAGCCCGATCATGGCTACTGATAAGAGTGGACTACAAACCAAAAGCCTGAACGAATAGCAGGTGTTGGTAAATTGCCTGATATTTCTTCGTCGGTCTTGCTCTTGATCTTGTAGGTGTAAACTTTCCATCTTAGAGGTTGTTTTTCTATGGAAGGATTTAAATATCTTGAATAATGAACATTTCAGTCCAATAATGACATTTTGTAGATAGCTGAGGATCATCAGTGATTATGTGCCCCTGTGAAATCATCCATTCTCGAGCTTGTGTAAAGAAATATTTATTTCCTAGAACATCAAAGACATATTTTTTTAGTTCCATAAATAAGAAATGACTTATTTTTATTTTTTTGTTTTGTCTTCCAAATAGAATATGTAAATGGAGTCTCTTTAAGAATAATATGTATGAATCACATGTAATACAGTGATCATCCAAGTTATTTGCTATCAGGATTGCTTGCTCTACCCTTTAGAATTGCTCTTCTCCCACATTCCTTAATCAAACATAAGTTGTTTTAAAGTTTGCTCAGGGCATCTGGCATCATCTGCTCCCACAAAGGCCTTCTCTACTTTGATCTCCTACTTGGAAGGGGAAGCACCTCCAATGTCAAAGTCAAAGTCAACAACTTTTATGATAACCACCACATACATGTGAATTTGTAGTAATGGTGGATAGTTGCCATTGGCTCAGCCAGGTTAAGGGAGTTAGGGGGGAGAGAGAGAGAGAGATAATGCAGATTTTGTTTGTCCTAATCTGTCATCACCACACCATAGTTAAGATGACACATAGTTTAGAGCTTTGATAGGTGCCCAACACTCGTGGAAGAAGAACTTTAACTTTCTTGATCAAAAATGATTTATAAGGAGAGTAGGGCCTAGTATTTATATCAGATCTCTAGAAGGTTTAAGACATCTTAATATAACACAAAATGAAAGGTACATGAGGACATATGTAAACGTGTAAAGTATATATGTTATTAAGTATGTCTCGACAACAACCCCCCTCAAGTTGGTGAATGGATATCATCTATTCTCAACTTGGGAATAATTTTTTGCAAATATGTAAACATGCCTTTAGTAAGTATGATTGCCAATTAATTACTTGTTGAAATGTATGATATACAAATTAGATTGGCCTCAAGTTTCTTTTTTATGAAATAGTGATCAATCTCCACATGTTTGGTATGGTCATGTTGTATTGGGTTGTGTATTAGATTGATTGTTGACTTATTATCACAATAAATCTTCATAGGACTGAATAAAGAAATTTGTATCTCATCAAGTAAGTTCTTGACCCAAAGTAACTCACATATTCCTTAAGCAAGTGTCCTAAGCTCAGCCTCATCACTTGATTCAGCAAGTATATTATGTTTTTTATTTTTTGAAGTGACAAGATTGTCACCAACAAAAGTAAGATGATTGGAGGTTGACTTTCGTTCAATTGTTGAGCCTACATAATCAGCATCTATAAACATCACAACCTCTACCTTTCCACTTCGTTAAAAAAGAACCCTTTTTGCTAGTGTGCCTTTCAAATAATGTAGCACTTGGTAGGTAGCATGTAAATGACACTCTTTAGGTTGATGCATAAATTGGCTCAATATACTCATTGCATATGAGATATCATGGTCAATATAAATTTCTTCATCTATCATACACAATTTATAGTTTGGATGAATAGGTGTATTAGCTGATTTACATCCAGATTTTTTTGTTTCAATTAATAGATTTGTTACGTACTTCCGTTGAGAAATAAAAATGCCTTTAGAAGAATGTGTCACTTCAATTGAAGAAGAGTGTTTAAAAAATAATGTGTGATCAGCATTACTTTGGTTGTAATTCAGTTTCTTTATGGCTACTGTAAACCTTTCAAACCATGCATGTGGAGACTATTTGAGGC